GTCCCCTTCCCTGAGTAGTCCCTGCACATATATTAATTTGTACATGAGAAGCAAATTGAACCTTTCCCATTCACTCCAGCAGCAGCTCCCAGGCATTTTGACAAAAGAGGGTGCTGAATATGCCACGATTCCTCACTCCCCCCCCCCAAAAAATACTAATATAGATCTCAAAGCAAAATTATTTACCTCATTTTATTTCATAAAATGTAAACATTGTTTGACTGTAAAGAAAAAAACACCATCACAGCAGTTTACATGAAAAGATAAAACAATAAAATTAGCAAGAAAAAAATTAGGAAGAATTTAAGACATTTGAAAGGTTTAAGTAACGGAAGACTAAAGGTAAAGGTAAAGGGACCCCTGACCATTAGGTCCAGTCGTGGCCGACTCTGGGGTTGCAGCTCTCATCTCGCTTTATTGGCTGAGGGAGCCGGCGTACAGCTTCCAGGGCATGTGGCCAGCAGGACTAAGCCGCTTCTGGCGAACCAGAGCAGCGCACGGAAACGCTATTTACCTTCCCGCTATTTACCTTCCTATTTATCTACTTGCACCGACGCGCTTTTGAACTGCTAGGTTGGCAGGAGAAGGGACCAAGCAACGGGAGCTCAACCCGTCGCAGGGATTCGAACCGCCGACCTTCTGATCAGCAAGTCCTAGGCTCTGTGGTTTAACCCACAGCACCACCCGCGTCCCTTTTAACAGAAGACTAAGAACAGAGTAAAACCTGCATCGAATTTCTAAGCATCTGGGTGGGCTTGTCTGAACAAAAATGTTTTCAGCATACAGGATACAGTGACGGCATCAACGGGCAGGGAGTTCCAAAGTGTAAATGCTGCTACACTAAAGTATTGATTTCTCACAAAGAAGGATGGATGCTTGTGATTCCTGCATTGCAGGGGGATGGAGGCCCCTTTCCAAGTCCACAACTTTATGTTTGTATATTACGTGGCCAATGACTCTTTTGCTCCCCCCATAGATGCTTGACCACTCGCAGGCCTTGGAGGGTGTCTGAGGAGCAGCTCCAAGACATCACGAAGCCGCCTAGTCTCCTTACTCATGAGGAGAGCTGGAGGGTGACTTGCTAGCCTTCTACTGACAAAAAAAATGCAGTCAAATTTCAAATGTCTGTTCTCCAAATCCGTTGGATTTATTCCATCCACTCCTGGCAGCCATCCTAGTCCAATTAAGATTTTATTTGCAAAAGAGGGGTTGAGAGGGAGGATAAACAAAACTAAAACAAAGGATGTCCTGTGAACGCGGCCATGTGGAGTCAGAGAGAGGCCCAGAGTGAGCCTGGAGAATCAAAACTCTCTCCTTCCTGCATCTTTACAACGGAAGAGTCCCTCGCCAGAGTTGCCAACTGCTCCTGTGCCTTTAACAGCACCTTAATCTGCAAGAAGCACCACCAGCTGATGCTTGTTATGGTGTTGAAAACTCAAGCAGCTGTGTGTGGGGTGATGCGTTTGTTTTAAGTGCTCAGGCAGAACACAACATTCAGATAACTGCAGATAAGAAAGCAATATGTGCTTAAAAGCAACACATTCCTGGCTCTCCCTCTCAAAGAGCCAGGAATCAAGGCCAGGAGTCTGGTCTGGGCATCGATGCCCGAGGTCTCTTTCCAGCATCTGGAGACAGGACTGTGTCAGGTTCGGGACACTCCAGGTTCACAAAGGTGTAGGCAAACTGAGATGGGCCCAGGGGAGAGCCACAAAGGTGCGCAGGGGTCCAGAAAATGAGTCTTGGGAGAAGGGATGGGGCTTAAAGGCCTCATATACTTTCTTGGGCATCTTCAGGAATGGCTGAGTCTGAAACTCTGGAGAGCTGCGTCAGTGTGGGCGGCACTGAGTTGGATGGCACAATGCTTGCACTTCTATAAGGCAGCTTCTGTTTTCCTAAATGGGTATGTTTAGTCTAAAGAAGAAAAGGGGGGGTGATAGCCCTCTCCAAATTCCTGGAGGAGTCACCTAGAGGGAGGCTATTGGTGGCTACTGAACACGGTGACTATGCTTCCTAATAATAATAATAAGAATATTTATACTTCACCCATCTGGCTGGGTTTCCCCAGCTACTCTGGGCAGCTCCCAACAGAATATTAAAAACACAATAAAACATCAAACATTAAAAACTTCCCTAAACGGGTCTGCCTTCAGGTGTCTTCAGGTGTCTTCAAAAAGTCAGATCTTGGGGAAAATGGGGGGCACAAGGAGAAGGGGATGACAGAGGACGAGATGGTTGGACAGTGTTCTCGAAGCTACCAGCATGAGTTTGACCCAACTGCGGGAGGCAGTGGAAGACAGGGGGGCCTGGCGTGCTCTGGTCCATGGGGTCATGAAGAGTCGGACACGACTAAACGACTAAACAACAACAACAGTTGTTTATTTCCTTGACATCTGATGGGAGGGCGTTCCACAGGGCGGGTGCCACCACTGAAAAGGCCCTCTGCCTAGTTTCCTGTAACTTCAATTCTCACAGGGAGGGAACCGCCAGAAGGCCCTCGGAGCTGGACCTCAGTGTCCGGGCTGAACGATGGGGGTGGAGACGCTCCTTCAGGTATAGTGGACTGAGGCTGTTTAGGGCTTTCAAGGTCAGCACCAACACTTTGAATTGTGCTTGGAAATGTACTGGGAGCCAATGAAGGTCTTTCAGGACCGGTGTTATATGGTTTCGGCATATTGGAGGCAGCAATGTTCCTGCATCCCAGTTGCTGGAAACTGCAGGAGGGGGAAGAGTTGCTCACGTGCTCAATCCTGTGGCCACTTTGAGAACAGGACACTGGACTGGATGGGTCACTGGCTTGATCTAGCAGGCTGTTCTTATCTTATCTTATCTACTTACTTGTTCACTGCTGCCCCAGAGGACGGGATGAGAGCTGATAGGCTGAGGTTAAAGGAGGATGATGACTAACAGTCAGGGATCATAGAATTGTACTGCTAGAAGGAACCCTGAAGGTTCTCTAGTCCAACCCCCTGCAATGCAGGAATTTTTTTGCCCAATGTGGGGTTGGAACCCACGACATTGGGATTAAGCGACTACTCCTCAAACGACTGAGCTCATGGGAGCTGGAGTCCTCCCACCCCCAGAGGGCCCTGACAGGCTTCCCAGCCCCCCACAAATTCTAGCCAGTTCCACTGAAAACAAGGAGACCCAAGAGCTCAGAAAGAGACCTCACGCCACTGGTCAAGGACCCCTGGACGGTTAAGCCCAGTCAAAGGCGACTCTGGGGGAGCCGGCGTTTGTCCACATACAGCTTTCTGGGTCATGTAGCCAGCCTCAGAGGTGTAGGAAGGTCAGGTGGTACCCGGTGCGGAGAATTTCTTGTGTCCCCATTGATTTCCCCCCCCCTGCAAAAATGGTTTTACATTATTTCATATTTTCTTACAAAGGAATGTGGATTCTAGGCCTCTAATAACAAGTAGGTGACTGTGGACAGATACTTAAATCTACAGGATGGATTGTGTTTTGACTTGTGTTGTTTATTTATATTTATTGTTTATTTATTTAATAAAATTTATTTTTTAAAAACGTGAAAAGTGAACTTTTTTTTTTGGAAAACGCATGCTCCACTGAATTGAAATTTCAGCCTTCACAACATAGGGAAACAGCCAATTAAACAGCTATTTTTGTAGAGGAGAGTGAAGATATTAACTGATATGCATGAAATTTCATATATAGCTATATAATCCCTAGTGTAGTAAGATAAGACCTTTGGAGCAGGCATTTTTTTAAAAAAATGTTTTTTATGAACTGCCCTAGTAGCGCAGTAATTGTTCCTTGATAATTTGTCACACACACACCCTTCATGGTGGCACCTGTGGCGACCTGCCCACCGCCCCCTTTCCTATGCCCCTGGCCAGCATGACTAAACTACTTCTGGCGCAACGGGGAACCGTGATGGAAGCCAGAGCGCACAGAAATGCCATTTACCTTGCCGCCACAGCAGTACCTATTTATCTACTTGCCCTGGTGTGCTTTTGAACTGCTAGGTGACAGGAGCTGGGATAGAGCAACGGGAGCTCACCCCAGTCGCGGAGATTTGAACCGCCAACCTTCTGATCGGCAAAGTATGATATGAGTAGTATGTAGTATGAGCTACACCAGGTGGGGGGGCCCTCCAGATGTTGTCGGACGACAACTCCCAGTACCCTTGGCCACTAGCCCATGCTTGCTGGTGCCAATGGGAGTTGTAGGGCAGCGACATCTGGAGAACCAAAGGGTCTCCATCCTTGGTCTGCATCTCCTGGGTGGAGGATGATGGGAGCTGGGAGACCATGGGACCCTCTCCAGGGTTTTCGGGAGGTCCTGGAGAAGAACCCTTCTGCCTTCAAATGGTGGGCTCTGTCTCTGACTAATCGTCGTAGGATTGCACCGCGCAACTGCATTTAATACATATACTGTAACCAAGACTGCAGCAAGCCAGCGCGCGCTTCGGTAGCCTAAGCCTAAAAAACGCTGTGGATGTGCTCTCCCCCGGGGAAAGCAGACGCGGGCTTCTTTCTGATGCGCTTCGAAATGGTCTCGCCCTAGACATCTCCCTCCCTAAAAAGCCCCATTGTTTCCCACGCGGCTTACTCCCAGGTAACAGCGTGCCTCGCCAGCGGCACGCTCCTACTCAGAAGCAAGCCTCGGTGCCTCCAAGCGGGACTTACTCCCGGGAAAGCAGCTCCCACCATCGCCCTTTGCGCAGCATCGGGTCTGCAAGCAGACGCAGCTCCCCTCGGCGCGCCCCGCGCCCCAAAGAAAAGACGCCCAGATGCGCTTGGGGATGGGCGCGCGCGGAAGGAAAGCGGAGGGGGGTGCGCGCGTGTGCGGTTGCTTTCCTCTTTGCTGGGGGGTGGGGGGTGGGTCAGCCTTTTGCATTGTGGGTGGAAAAGGGCCCGGCAGCTCCGGATGAGGCCCCCTCCGTGCGCGGACTCCACCCCCTCTCGTCTGAGGCGCCTCGGAGGCGGGGTCGCCTTTTCTCTCCGTCTCTTATTAAAGAGGGGACCTGACATCACCCGCGCGCTAGAGAGAGGCGGCGGCGAGGGTGGCAACAGCAGCAGCAGCAGCAGCAGCTGGGCTTTGTGAATCGGCCTTTGTGAATCGGGCAGGGGGAAGGCGAGGCCAGGCAAGGAGAAGGGGGGGCAGCAGCAGCAGCTGGTCCGCCAGCCAGCCAGACAAAGGCAAGCCGAGGAAGGGGCCCCGCCAGCCAGCCAGCCAGACGCCGTTTCCCCCTCTCGCCCGGCTTTTGCGCGCCCCGCCATGACGGCCAACGGCACTTCGGAGTCGCTCCAGATCCAATTCGGCCTCATCAACTGCGGCAACAAGTACCTGACGGCCGAGGCGTTCGGCTTCAAGCTCAACGCGTCGGCGCCCAGCCTGAAGAAGAAGCAAATCTGGACGCTGGAGCAGGCGGCCGAGGACTCGACGGCCGTCTACCTGCGCAGCCACCTGGGCCGCTACCTGGCGGCCGACAAGGACGGGCACGTCAGCTGCGACAGCGAGGCGCCCGCCTCGGCCGACTGCCGCTTCGTCATCCTGGCGCACGACGACGGGCGCTGGTCGCTGCAGTCGGAGCCGCACCGTCGCTTCTTCGGCGGCACCGAGGACCGCCTGTCGTGCTTCGCGCAGAGCATCTCGGCGGCCGAGAAGTGGAGCGTGCACCTGGCGCTGCACCCGCAGGTGAACATCTTCAGCGTCACGCGCAAGCGCTACGCGCACCTGGCGGCCGCCCGCGACGAGATCGCCGTGGACCGCGACGTGCCGTGGGGCCTGGACGCGCTGGTCACGCTGGTCTTCCAGGAGCAGCGCTACAGCCTGCAGACGGCCGACCACCGCTTCCTGCGCCGCGACGGGCAGCTGGTGGCGCGGCCCGAGCCCGACGCCGGCTTCACGCTGGAGTTCCGCGCCGGCAAGGTGGCCTTCCGCGACGCCGACGGCAAGTACCTGGCGCCCTCGGGCCCCAGCGGCACCCTCAAGGCCGGCAAGAGCGCCAAGGTGGGCAAGGACGAGCTCTTCGTCCTCGAGCAGAGCAGCCCCCAGGTCGTGCTGCGCGCCGCCAACGACAGAAACGTCTCCATCCGGCAAGGTGAGGCAGCCGAGGAGGCCGGTCACACGTGCGGCGGGCAGGCTCTGGGTGCGCGCGTTCCCTTGGCCAGCCGGGTTGGCTACCCTCCTCTTCTGTTTCCCCGCGCATATGCTGATTCACACGTGCGTTACTTCGCACGTGTAGGTGGCTTGCCCCGGGATGCGCTTTCCCTCGCGGGAAGGGAAGAGCAGAACACGTTGTCATGGGCGGCTTGGGCTCTCCTCCTTTGTTTCCCCCGCGTAGATGCTGATTCACACGTGCCGGGAGGGGGCAGGCTCCAAGTTCGTTCTTTCGTTCGCGGCTGCAAGTGGGAAACGTGTTCCCTTAGGCGTCATTGTCTCCCTTTCCCCACTCTGTTTATGCTGATTCACACGTGCGTAACTCCACGCGTGCATAACTTTGCGATCCCCCGATGTCGGTACTATTAATGCCTCGCGGCCGGAGTGCCTCTCTTTGCAAGAAGTTGTTTCTAAGGAGATCCCCCCCCTTTTTTTTTGCTGGAGGGGGGGCAATTCAGACGTGGAAATTGCAGGATTAGGCCCTCGAATGGTGAGCGAATGGGCGGAGCGGCCCTTGGGGAGCGGCAAGGGAAATGGAACTTTGTTCCGCAGGCGGAGGGGGCGTTTTCCTGCCGGGGGGGGGAGCAGCAAAGGGGATCTTGTTGCAGGATTTCCCCCCTGTTCGGCGGGATGGGCGGGAAATCCTTTCCCCAAAAACGTGGCACTCCACGAAGTGGGAGGGGGCCTCTTTCCTGCCCTTCCGAAATGTCTTTGATCCAAACCAAGCCCTTTGTGAATGGGAAACAGGGAGCGGAAGGGAACAGTGAGCGGCGGAGATCCTGGCTTTGCAAGATGGGCACTCCCCCCGCCCCCGCCCCCAGATACAAAATTGCTTTGTCTCCTTCGCCAACCCGTCTTCTGAGGAAGAGCCTGGTGGATCAGGCCCACCTAGTCCCACATCACAGTGGCCAAAATACCCCACAGAGTATAGGAATCTAGATAGACTGCTCCTGTACCTGGAGGTTCTATGAGAACACCTGAAGAGTCCTGCCGAATCAGGTCAAAGGCGGCTCATCCTGCTCAGCATCCTGCTCTCTCGCTGGCTGGCCAGGTGTCTCAGCTGGGAAGCCCAACAAGGCCCCAAGCCGGACGCCCCTGTCTCCTCCCTGTGGCTTCCAGAGCAGAGCCCTGGGGGCCAGTCTGTAGCCCTGGAAGAACATAGGCTGGGAAAATAAAAGGTCTTTGCTGGTTAGGGTCCTCCTCCAGATGGACTGGTCTTGAAGACCCCCCCCCTTTCCCAATGGAGATTGGCTGCCACTGGGCCCCCCCTGGGCTAGCAACTAGGAGGGGAGGGGAAGCACAGGGCTCTTATTCTTCAGCTAGGCCTGCAGCAGCCCCCCCTCTTCCCTTTCTTGCCCCCCCCTTTCTAGAAGTCTTAGCGTTCTCTCCCCCACCTCCGTGTCTCATCAATTTAAGGGGGGGTAGTATTTGCAGAATCAGAACCCAAAAAAGAGCAGGTATGCCAGTTGGCGTGGAAGCATCTCTATGCACAATAGGGAGGGGGCATCCTTTCGAGTTGACGACAGCATGAAAAACCTAATAATCCAGTTAATACTATTAGTTATTTGCTTTGTTTGTAATAGTAATAGTTTATAGTTTATTAGTTATACCCGCCCATCTGGCTGAGTTTCCCCAGCCACTCTGGGCAGATCCCAATCGAGTGTTAAAAACACAGCATTAAATATTAAAACCTTCCCTAAACAGGGCTGCCTTCAGATGTCTTTTAAAGAGAAGATAGCTGCTTATTTCCTTCACATCTGAAGGGAGGGCGTTCCACAGGGCGGGCGCCACTACCGAGAAGGCCCTCTGCCTGGTTCCCTGTAACCACTTCTCGCAATGAGGGAACCGCCAGAAGGCCCTCGGCACTGGACCTCAGTGTCCGGGCTGAACGATGGGGGTGGAGACGCTCCTTCAGGTAGCTCAAGGTGGTTGGTGCACATAGTTCTTCCCTGCTTTTTGTTGAATCCTCACAACGACCCTGTGAGGTAGGTTAGGCTGAGAGGCAGTGGCAGATTCCCAAGGTCACACACACACACACACACACATGAATGGGGGGATTGGTACCCTGGTCTCTCCCAGACCCTCGTCCGACTGTGTCCCCCCCTCCCCAACTGCCCGTCTTAATCTTGTGCAATGCAGGGAAGCAGAGCATCATCTGGACTGTGAGCAGCTGGAGTGAGCAAGCAAGTCTGTGCACATGCGCACCTGGTCACAGGCCCCCGCCCCACCCACATCCTCCCCAGGCACGTGGTCCTCAGCCAGCAGCATCACTGTTCCTGCCTCTCCTCCCTGCATGCTGCCCCCTCCCCTCATGCTTCTACCACCCCCTCCCCCCCTCTCTACCCACCCCCCACTCCAGGCCTGCCTGTTCCACCTGCTGCTCAATTGCCTAAATGGGGGGGGGGGTGCTCCTCCTACCCGCATAGCACTGCCGGATCAAATTCCCCGAATCATCCCTAAATCTAGGGGACTTTGTGTTGGTGGTGCTAGGTTGGTTCTGTGCACAAAGCATGGTCACCCTCTTCTGGGCATGACTTTTTGGGTGGAGAAAACCTCAGCAGACAGCCTCATGGGACAGAGGTGATTTTTTTATGGGGGGTGGGAATTGAGTTTGATTGCAACGCAAGCCACTAGTCCTTCTGATCTCCTTTTCCAAATGCGTTATTTCCCTCTCTCTCTCTTCTCCTTCCCAGCACCACGATTTGTGCATCTGAATCCTAGCTTTGTTATTTATCCCTCAAAGTGTGTGTCCTCCCCCCAGCCCCCCCCCCCGCTGCCTGCTGGGTTTGTAGCATCTATTTTTCACAAGGAGCGAAATGGAGGAGGGGGTCTTTCACTGACCTCTACTCTGATAGCCCCCCCCCTTCAAATTCATGCTGTGTCTGATTTCTGTTCTGGGGTGGGTACAGAGGCACCATAAGGTCAAAAATTCCCCCCCCCCACCCCAAGCCCCAAGGCTTCTCTGAAGAAGAGAGCAAACTCTGCCTCCTGCTTAGTTCTAAATTTGGGGTAGGCAGTTGTGGCTATTGATGGTCTGCCTTGGGGCAAGACAGATCTTTTTCTTTTTCCTTTTGACTAATTGCATCGCTGCTGTCTGGGCTTTCCTAAACCTAGAAATCTCTGGCTCATTTTCCCTTTAAAAAGCTGACTCAACAGGAGATCAAAGGCGGCTTATTCCACCAAGAAAACCTTCCATCAGAGCTCGCACCCGCCTCCCTTTTTTTTCTTTTTTAGAAAGCCAGTGATTAAGTTCTGGAAGCAATTCACTCCTCCCCACCCCCTTAAAAAAATTACAGAATCTCATTAAACAGCCTGTCTTTGTGGTGGAAGGAGCCATGAGAGGGTCTTAGCAGTTCCATTTTGTTTGGTTTTTACTTTGGCCACTGAAAAGTGAAGCAAACCCTTAAAATTCTGCGCCTGGGCAGTCTGAATTCTGCAACATGTATGAATCATGAGGCCTAGGAACTTGATTTTTAAAAGGGCAAAGGAAGCTGAATTCTGTAGCCCAAACAGCAGCATCATTTCCCCCCCTGCCCCCACCCCATAACCACCTGAAAATTGTGGCATGGATCCATAGCTGATTTTGGGGGGGTGCAGAGGGGTAGGCAGAGTGTAGTGCAGAACGCAGTGTATATGCAAGCCATAGTCAATGCCTGCTTAAAGCACACAACTTTGCTCCAAAGAATCCTGGGAGTTGTAGTTGCAAAGGGTAGCTCCATGCGGCTGGAACTGCAGTTCCCAGGATTCCTTGGGAGCAAAGCCACGCACATTGAATGTGCTTCAGAGGCATCGGGTGGATCTGCCCCGTGTGTGCTGTGAATCCTTTCGCCTCTCCGCAATTCCCCAGCCTAGCTGGGCTTTGCTGGAGCCTGAAACTGACACAGTTCCGTGAATGGGTTTCAGCTGAAAATCTGAGCTGAGTGGCCGACTTCTTAGCTGACCTACATTGAAGTAGCACAAAGGGAGCTTTGCGCCTGCTGGCCGGCCCTTCGGCTGAGTCAACTGCATGCCAAGCCTGTCCTCCGCGCCCCCCCCCCCTTGTCTCTGGGCTTGCATGCCTGCAGCCGGGTGACCGCCTCAGAGCCCTTGCACAAGGGGGGGGGGGAGGAGAACAGAGCCCCTGAGGATTTATGGGGGCACAGCCTGGCTGGCTGCAGGAAGTATGTGTGCAGGCACATGCAAGATTGATGGTGGTGGCCTGCTGCTTAGGAACAGCCCTGGGTACCATTTTAACGAGAAAGAAAGCATTTTGCTGGAGAGTTCTTAAAAATTATAGATAACCTTGGCTGGGCCAGGGGGGGTTCGGAGGTTAAGGCTAGGACTGGGGAGTTGTTGTTTAGTCGTTTAGTTGTGTCCGCCTCTTTGTGACCCCCTGGACCAGAGCACGCCAGGCCCTCCTGTCTTCCACTGCCTCCCGCAGTTTGGTCAAACTCATGCTGGGAGCTTCGACAACACTGTCCCACCATCTCGTCCTCTGTCGTCCCCTTCTCCTTGTGCCCTCCATCTTTCCCAACATCAGGGTCTTTTCCAGGGAGTCTTCTCTTCTCATGAGGTGGCCAAAGTCTTGGAGCCTCAGCTTCAGGATCTGTCCTTCCAGTGAGCACTCAGGGCTGATTTCCTTCAGAATGGATCGGTTTGATCTTCTTGCAGTCCATGGGACTCTCAAGAGTCTCCTCCAGCACCAGAATTCAAAAGCATCCATTCTTGCAGGTTCAAATCCTCGCTTAGCCACAAAGCACCCCTGTCTTTCAGCCTACCTCACAGGGCTCCTGGGAGGATAAAAGGGAGGAGTGCTTTGTACAGGACTCTATAAAGTTTAAACTACTCAGAATAAGGGGAGAAGAGAAGAATGCATGATGCTGTGCATGGCAGATGTTTGCCTTGATGCGTCAGTGCTAGCGAGCTATAGGATTATCCCAGTTTGTAGAGTGGCCGTGAGGAGAGATGTGTGGTCAGAGCCCCTTTCCAGATCAGGCTGCAGCAGGGATCTCTCAGATCAAGCACTGGCCTCGGGTTCAGGAGGCGACTGCAGGCAAACCACTTCTTCAATCTCAAACCCCACCCTGCAATCCGGAGGTAACACTGGCCTACTTTGCAGGGTTCCTGTAAGGGCCACCGGTGCACAAGACATTCTCTAAATCAGCCCTTCTCAACCTGTGGCTCCCCAGATGTTGTTGTACTACAACTCCCATCACCCCTAGCTAGCAAGGCCAGAGCTCAGGGATGATGGGAGTTGTAGTCCAACAGCATTTGGGGACTCGCAGGTTGAGAACCACTGCTCTAAATGCTTGACAAGGTGAGTTCTGTGGGGCTTCTGAGCTTCTCCTGAGAATCCCAAAGGAGGGGTGTCCGCCATCCCATAATGGGGTGAACTCTGGCGCCCTGTCCCTTTGCTGTACACCCTCTTCCAGTTGCTCCTCCCATTTTGGAAATGCCAGGGTCTTCTCAAGCGAAAGTTAGATAGAAGGTGACTTGGGCTCCCTTCATTACGTCCCTTTCCCCTGTTGGGGTGGCAGTAAGGCTTGAAGTGCCTGTATATTTATTTTATTGCATCAATATCCCACCTTTTCCTGCAAGTTGGTGCACATGGTTCTTCCCCATCTCATTTAAGCCCTCACGACAACCCTGTGAGGTAGTTTGGGCTGGAGGGACAGAGACTGGCTCCTGAGTTCACACCCTGTGAGCTTTGTGGCCAGTTGATGGGGATTCGAACTCTGGTCTCCCAGGTCCTAGCCCGAGGCTCTTAACTGCTGCACTACGCTGGCTCTCCCATGCAGGCACACAGCAAAGAGCAGCAGGCCAAAGCATAGTTCTCAACTTATTAGACTCACCATGACTGCTATCCTGTGAACAGCTTCCTGATCTTTGCTTCTGACTGCATGGCTTCAAGCTGTAAGACACAAAGAGCTTTAGCAGATGAAATGCAACTGTTAGCTTTCAGTTAGATACGCAAACCGTCTTGCAAATAAGTGTTAGCTTTTAAAGTGCTAGGGTGAAGTAGGAACACTATCAAAGAAAAAGCAAGCAGTATCCAGCCTTTGCCTGGTTTGTTTTCCGGCTTCCTCCATGCTAAACCACCACAAACAAACTTGAAAACCTCCTTATCTCCTCACTTGCCAGGGCATGGAAGATTCACCAGTGATCCTGGCCCCTCTTGACCACTGGCCACGTGGACTGGGGCTGATGGGAGTGGAGTCCTTTTGGCAAGGATAGCCTGGTGACTCAGGCTCTGGTAACTGCCAATGGAGCTGCCCTTGAAAATTACCCAGAAGCTGCAATTAGTACAAATTACAGCTGCCGGATCATTAACTGTTTCAAGGCTGGATAGAATTGTGTGTTTAACACAGAGAGTCTAAAGAAGGTCCATTGGTTGCCTGTTTGCTGCCTGTTCAGTGCCAGGCCAAATGCCAGGTGTTGGCATAGGGCCAGAAAGCCTTAAAAGCAGGAGCCTAATATCTGTAGGCAGGTCTCTCTGTGTCCTGCCCGGCCTGTGCCAGGTGATGAGACCAGTCAGTGGGTGAGCCAAGGATTGTAAAATGCACACCGTGTGTCCTTTGTCATGCAGGGATCACCGGGTGAGTCGCAAAATGTAAAGCCACACAAAAACAACCACAGAAATATTGAAAGCAGCTAGGACCACAGGAAGCTGCCTTAGACTGAGTCGGCCCATTACATTCACCTAGCTTAGTTGTGTCTGCACAGACTGGCAGCAGCTCTCCAGAATTTCAGGCAGGGAGTCGCTCCCTCCCTGGAGATGCCAGCAGGATTGAACCTGCGACGTTCTGCATGCAAGGCGGTTGCTTTGCTACTGAGCTAAATCACTTCCTCTCAAATTCACAGTCCAGTTTTGTATTCAACACCACTCTATCCACCAGGAAGACTTACCTTATTAAGAGTCCTGGTAGCCCAGGCTTTGTTTGGTACAGCCCAAAGGGCCCTCCTGGTATACTCAAATCTCAGAGAAAGCTGCCTTGCGCTGGGGTTGGACTAGATGACCCTGGGTACCCCTTCCCACTACACTTTTGTGATTCTATGAGATCAGCCTTGCCATCCCTGAGTCCAGGATTCCAGACAGGGGTTTTACCTGGAGACTGAACGCAGAACATTCTGCAAGCCAAGCAGTTGCTCTGCCTTTGTACACTGGCCCTTTTCTAAGTCACAGGCAGGATAGGGCAGCAAGAGGTGCTATGATGGGAAGCCGGATCCTAAGCTGTTCAGGGCTCTATATAGTGATGGGACTGGTAGCCAATAAGCAGCCAGGGGAGGGCAAAGGGCCCTCCTAGTGGTGGTATCCTGCCTACAGAACGCCCTCTCCTTGGAAGCATGTGCGGTGTTGGCACTTAGAATTTCAGCACCAAGACGGAGTTGTTTGCATTGGTCTTGGGGCATTCCTTTGCTTGGGGTGTGTGACTCACGCTAGGTATTATTGGGGGGTTTTAGCAGCTGTGATTTAAACAGTCAATGTGGTTTGAGATGTTTCTTGTCATCTATATATTTTGGAGAATGGTTTGCCTCTCTGTGCTCTATGCATCTGGGCTCTTCTTCAGATGCCACCACCAAATTTAGCACAAAGGTTCCCAAGATGGAGGGGCCAGGTTTTTGTCTGTATTTGGATGCCATTGGCTGGAAGAGCAGGTGCCGGTGTGCATTTTTGGACACCATGAGTTGCCATTTTGAAACAAGATGGCAGACTGTACCCTTCCAAACTGCACAAGATGCCTTTGAAGATATTGCCACCTGATTTTGTGTGGCAGTTCCCAGGATTGGAGAGCAGGTTTTATTGAACCTTTGGATACCTTCAGGTGCCATTTTGAAACAAAATGGCGGACCGATTTTTTTTTTTAAAGGTTTCATAAAATTTCCAAGCATCGCCAGCTACTTTCTGCAAGAGTAGCTTTGATTCTGCTCCACGCCTGGGGTTCCACTGTGAGGAACATCTGGAGGGCCACAGGCCTTTAGAAAAAGGGGCCCTTGGCAGCTATCTTTGTTTGCTGTGATGCTTCAGTGGCGCAGATTTAGCTGCATTGCGCAATATGGATGGCCTTTGTGGACATGCACACAGGTGAAAGTCATTTTTTAAGCAGTGGCCTGGCTTACAAGCTTTCTGGGCTAGCAAAGCGATTGGCAGAATTGGGGTGTGGTTTTATTTTTTTAATAAAAAAATTGCTGATGCAGTTTCCCTCTGGTTACGTTTTTTCTTGCAGGGCTTTTGCCAACCAGAGGCCATGGCAGGCAGCTGCCTCGACGCCACCCATTTGCCCTCCACCCTCTTGACATGAGCTGTTGGGTTCTCAGATTCTGGCAGATGTTAAATATTTGTCTGACGGGAGGGGGAGGAGGGAGTTTGGGAGAACAAGGGCTGGATTGTGATGGTGGGAAGAGAGGCGATTTCGGAGCTTAGTTGCAGAGGGGGCTCGGTGGGGCGGGAGACGAGGCTCCTGTTTCAGTCCTTTGTCACTTTGGAAAGCCAGATGTGATGGAGGATGGGGAGAGAGGGAGGGAGAGGTTGGTGGGTTTGACTGGGTGGAGAAATGTGGCTGTTCTCAGCTCTGCCTTCTTGTGAGCTGCTTGACAAACCTCTTTGCAGATGCAAAAGGGGGGCAGCATTCTTCCACCCCCCATTCCGTTGGAGGAGGAGGAGGAGGGCTGTCAACAGCTGCTAACCATAATGACTGTGCTGTACACCCCCAGTTGGAGACAGCCATGCTTTTGCATTCAAGTGTCTGGAAACCAAAGGAGGGGAGAGGACTTTTGCAGTCACTATGAGAATTGGATGATGGACTCCATGGGCCATTGGTTCTCTCCCAGGGAGTGAGGCCTTTTAAGTTGTACCAAGTCTGGGCTACCAGTCCTCTTAATAAGGTAGCCATCTCCCAGTTAGGCAGGTACTGGCAATGGTTAGCTTTGGATGCAAGGTGTGTAAGCAGTAAAGGTAAAGGGACCCCTGACCATTAGGTCCAGTCGTGGCCGACACTGGGGTTGCGGCGCTCATCTCGCTTTATTGGCCGAGGGAGCCGGCGTACAGCTTACGGGTCATGTGGCCAGCATGGCTAAGCCGCTTCTGGCGAACCAGAGCAGCGCACGAAAACACCGTTTACCTTCCCGCCAGAGCAGTACCGATTTATCTACTTGCACTTTGACGTGCTTTCAAACTGCTAGGTTGGCAGGAGCTGGGACCGAGGAACGGGAGCTCGCCCCATTGCAGGGATTTGAACCACCAACCTTCTGATCGGCAAGTCCTAGGCTCTGTGGTTTAAAGCATTGGTCTCTCTCTGTTTATTGCATTTATCTCCCCCTTTTTCTCCCAAGGAGCTCAAGGTGGTGTACATAGTTCTCGTCCTCACAAACAACCCTGTGAAGTAGGCTAGGCTAAGCGTGTCTGGCTGGCTGTCTTGCCAAATGCAAGGCAGTTCTTTTCATGAGATTCAGAAGCAATACAAACACAAGTGAGTGAGAAGGTTAAAGATTTTGTTTTCTAAACAGCAATCATTATATACATTACCAAGAAGTGGCCAAGTGACCCCTAGGTAGCCTTCGTTTGCACAGCCCTTTGATCAGTCCATGCACTTGTTTCTCAGAACTATGCCCCCAAACCACTGGATTTATAGATACTAACTTGTTAGCCTACATGCCTTGCCCGACTAGCTAGTGCAGATTATTAATTAGCTAGCCCCCTCTTCAATACAGCACGTTCCTCCAAACAATGTCTAACATCAAAGAATGTCAGAAGGTACCCATCACTATCTGCTTCTTCCTTCCACCAGATTATACATTAAAGGCTGCTCTCAGCCATCAAAGAACTTTAACAAGAGATAGAGAGGGGCAGTAAACAGAGGACCATGTCAGATCACTAAACTCCTCAAACTACACTGGAACTACACTGGCTAGCAACAAGAGGAACAGCCATTTTAGATCTGGTCCTAACCAATGTTGATGACCTGGTTAGTGGGGTAGAAGTGGAAGGATCATTAGGCGCAAGTGATCATGCTCTTCTGAAGTTTACTATACAGCGGAAAGGAGCAGCCAAGCATACTAGGACTCAATTTCTTGACTTTAAGAAAGCCGACTTCATAAAACTTAGGGAAGTGCTGGGTGAGATCCCATGGACAGTAATACTAAAAGGAAAGGGAGTTCATGATGGCTGGGAGTTTGTTAAGAGGGAGATAGTAAAAGCACAACGTCAGGCAATACCAATGAGACGGAAACATGGAAGGTGCCTAAAGAAGCCAGGGTGGCTATCTAAAGAACTTTTAACTGAGTTAAGATTAAAAAGGATGTGTACAAAAATGGAAAAGGGGGAAACCACCAAAGAGGAATTCAAACAAATAGCCAGCACGTGTAGACACAAAGTCAGAAAAGCTAAAGCACAGAATGAACTCAGGCTTGCTAGAGAGGTTAAAAGCAACAAAAAGGCTTTTATGGGTATGTTCGTAGCAAAAGGAAGAACAAAGAAACAGTGGGGTCACTCAGAGGAGAAGATGGTGAAATGCAAACAGGGGACACAGAAAGGGCTGAACTCCTCAATGCCTTCTTTGCCTCAGTCTTCTCCGATAAAGAAAACAATGCCCGACCTGAAGAATTTGAAGCAAATGATTCAGCAGAGGAAACACAGCCCAGAATAACTAAGGAGATAGTACAAGAATACTTGGCTAGTCTAGATGTATTCAAGTCTCCAGGGCCAGATGAACTGCATCCAAGAGTATTAAAAGAACTGGCAGATGTGATCTCAGAACCACTGGCAGTCATCTTTGAGAATTCCTGGAGAACAGGCGAAGTCCCGGCAGACTGGAGGAGGGCAAATGTTGTCCCTATTTTCAAAAAGGGGAAAAGAGAGGACCCAAATAATTACCGCCCAGTCAGTCTGACATCAATACCAGGGAAGATTCTGGAGCAGATCATTAAGCAAACAGTCTGTGAGCACCTAGAAAGGAATGCTGTGATCACCAATAGTCAGCATGGATTTCTGAAAAATAAGTCATGTCAGACTAACCTGATCTCGTTTTTGACAGAATTACAAGCCTGGTAGATGAAGGGAACGCAGTGGATGTAGCCTACCTTGATTTCAGCAAGGCATTTGACAAGGTGCCCCATGATATTCTTGTAAAGAAGCTGGTAAAATGCGGTCTTGACTATGCTACCACTCAGTGGATTTGTAACTGGCTGACTGACCGAACCCAAAGGGTGCTCATCAATGGTTCCTCTTCATCCTGGAGAAGAGTGACTAGTGGGGTGCCACAGGGTTCTGTCTTGGGCCCGGTCTTATTCAACATCTTTATCAACGGCTTGGATGATGGACTCAAGGGCATCCTGATCAAATTTGCAGATGACACCAAATTGGGAGGGTGGCTAACACCTCAGAGGACAGGATCACACTTCAAAACGACCTTGACAGATTAGAGAACTGGGCCAAAACAAACAAGATGAATTTTAACAGGGAGAAATGTAAAGTATTGCACTTGGGCAAAAAAATGAGAGGCACAAATACAAGATGGGGGACACCTGGCTTGAGAGCAGTACATGTGAAAAGGATCTAGGAGTCTTGGTTGACCACAAACTTGACATGAGCCAACAGTGTGACGCGGCAGCTAAAAAGCCAATGCAATTCTGGGCTGCATCAATAGGAGTATAGCATCTAGATCAAGGGAAGTAATAGTGCCACTGTATTCTGCTCTGGTCAGACCTCACCTGGAGTACTGTGTCCAGTTCTGGGCACCACAGTTCAAGAAGGACACTGACAAACTGGACCGTGTCCAGAGGAGGGCAACCAAAATGGTCAAAGGCCTGGAAACGATGCCTTATGAGGAACGGCTAAGGGAGCTGGGCATGTTTAGCCTGGAGAAGAGGAGGTTAAGGGGTGATATGATAGCCATGTTCAAATATATAAAAGGATGTCACATAGAGGAGGGAGAAAGGTTGTTTTCTGCTGCTCCAGAGAAGCGGACACGGAGCAATGGATCCAAACTACAAGAAAGAAGATTCCACCTAAACATTAGGAAGAACTTCCTGACAGTAAGAGCTGTTTGACAGTGGAATTTGCTGCCAAGGAGTGTGGTGGAGTCTCCTTCTTTGGAGGTCTTTAAGCAGAGGCTTGACAACCATATGTCAGGAGTGCTCTGATGGTGTTTCCTGCTTGGCAGGGGGTTGGACTCGATGGCCCTTGTGGTCTCTTCCAACTCTATGATTCTGTGATTCTATGGCTTTGAACTCCTCGAACTACTCTGGCTTCCAAGGTCCTCCAGTGACCTTCATGGCAGAGTAGGAGATTGGGACCCTTGGTCTCCTGGGTCCCAGTCTAGCACTAACCACTACACTACACTACTGCTCTCCCTCCCTCTCACTGTGTGTGTGTGTGTGTGTGTGTGTGTGTGTGTGTAGAGAGAGAGAGAGAGAGAGATGCACAGATGAAGCAATGTTGAATACAAAATTGTATTGTGAATTTTAGGGAAATTTGGCTTGAATCTAGGGGTTTCAAAATCATCTCTTAAAAACAGGCCTGGGCACGTCATCTTTCCCAAGGCAGATAAAGCAGCATACCAGCTATCTAGAAGAGATAGCACAGACCTCAGACATCATGTTTGGCCTGTGATGAAGGAAACCGTCCCTGTTTCTCCATCTATCTCATGTGGTTCCACGGCATAATCTGAGCCACTGGTCTTCAGCTGGGGGTTCAGGACTTTGGGAGTGTGGCCTGAGCCAAGATGGGTCACAACAGGAGCACTGCCGTGCAAGGATGTGGCAAAAGATGAAGAAACGTGTCTCCAAAAAATGCTTTTTTGGGTCTGAAGAAGGTACTTGATCTAAGCCTTGTTGGAGCTCTGGAATTTTCCTTCTCCCTGTCTGTGGCAGCCAATGTGTTGAGCTCCCAATTCCTACTTCTCTGGCATTAGCTCAGCTGGCCAGGGTTGATGGGAGGTGTTGAGGGGCACCCTGTTGGCTCTCGCCACTGTGGCACAGAGGGCATACCCAGTTTGGGAGATGTGTTCTAAAGGGGTGAGAATTGAGTTGCACTTTGGCATGTGAACATCGGAAGAGCCCGCTGCTGGATCAGGCCACAGGCCCACCTAGTCCAGTGCCCTGTTCTCACAGTGGTCCACCAGGTGTCCCAATGGGAAACCCTCAAGGAGGACTCAGCTGGGCTTCAGAGCACAACCATCATGGCTGGTAGCTTCTCCTCCTTGAATTTGTCTCATCCCCTTTTAAAGCCAGCCAGGTTGGTCACCATCGCTGCCTCCAGAATGCGGCAGCTAGACTGGTGACTGGGAGCGGCCGCCGGGACCACATAACACCGGTCCTGAGAGATCTGCATTGGCTCCCAGTACGTTTCCGAGCACAATTCAAAGGCTTGGTGCCGACCTTTAAATAGACTCGGCCCAGTAGACCTGAAGGAGCATCTCCACCCCCATTGTTCTGCCCGGATGCTGAGGTCCAGGGCAGAGGGCCTTTTCAGTGGTGGCACCCGCCCTGTGGAATGCCCTCACTTAAGATGTGAAGGAAATAAGCAGCTATCTTATATTTCAAAGACATCTGAAGGCAGCCCTGTCTAGGGAAGTTTTTAATGTTTAATGCTGTATTGTTTTTAACACTCGACTGGGAGCTGCCCAGAGTGGCTGGGGAAACCCAGCCAGAAGGGTTGGGGTATAAATAATAAATTATTATTATTATTACTCCTGCAAGAGGGAGTTCTGCAGTTTCACTCTGCCATTTGTGAAGAAGTCCGTTATTTTTATCTGCCCTGAATCTTCCAACATTCAGCTTTGTTGGGTGATTAGCTGCTTCAGAAGGCTGCGGGGTGGGTGGGTGTTTGCTTTTGGGAGCAAACGGGGAACGATTCCAGTAGATGGTGCAGTACAGCAATACAGAAGCTGTGACGCCCCTGCAGGTCTGTTGGACTACAACTCCCATCAGCCCCTGCCTGCGCGGCCAATAGCTTAGAATGGCCGGGGGGGTTGCCCCCTCCACCTCCTCCTGGACCACTGGTGTTGGGGAGGGGCTTGTGCTGTTTGGCTTCTCCCTAATCAGCTTGCTGGGAGTTAATTAACTTAATGGCTAGGAAGCTATCAGTGCCAGCCTATGATGGCAGCGGGCCTCTGCTCACATGGGAGGGGGTTGCTCTCCAGCTGAGCAGTGTGTGAGGCTGATGGGAGAATAATGGGACCATAGGACTGTAGAGTTGGAGGGGATACCAAGAGTCATCTAGTCCAATTCAGGAGCCACAACCAAAACATCCCTGATGGGAAGAAGATTTGGGGTGGGAATGTCAAATATTTGGCTGCTGTCTCACAGACCCCAATAGGCATGAATGAGAGACTTTTCTGTCCCTTGTGAACCAGGCTATGTATGTGTGTGTGAGAATCTGACTTGGACTGTGATGGCTGCAGTTGGTTGAATTTCCCTGACACCCTCCCCATTCCATCATATCTTCCACCTCCTTTATTAAAATAAACCCTCTATGCCACAGGTAGGCAAACTAAGGCCCAGGGGCCAGATCCGGCCCAATCGCCTTCTCACTCCGGCCCGTGGACAGTCCAGGAATCAGCGTGTTTTCACATGAGTAGAATGTGTGCTTTTATTTAAAATGCATCTCTGGGTTATTTGTGGGGCATAGGAATTCGTTCATTCCCCACCCCCCAAGCATAGTCCGGCCCCCCACAAGGTCTGAGGGACAGTGGACTGGCCCCCTGCTGAAAAGGTTTGCTGACCCCTGCTCTACGCAAGAGGAGGAGGCACAAGGAGGTCTGGCTGTTTGTCCTGATCTGCCACGCCAGATAAGACAAGCCCTTGTCCCTCTCCCTGTTGCAGTGTTGTAAATACCTGAGGCCCATAAAGTGTGGCCTTTCCTCTCCCCCATCCCACCCCAAAACTCGCTTCTAAACTTGGGTGAACCTTTGCTCTCTGGAGCAAGCATCCCGATCTTAAAAAGGAGTTGCCTTCTTTAAGCCATTTGCCTGGCAACGCTGCCCCTCAGTTTGAAAGCCCCGTGATGGGAAGAAGGAGGATCGCCTATCCTGACCTGACCGCTGCCTTCACACACCCCCTCTCCTCCCCCCTTTTCCTGTTGTGATTTGAGGATTGATTCCTTTGTCCTCCCCCCTCCCCTTTCCCCCCAAAGGTAGGCAGAAGAAACGGCAAGAGAAAAGCAATAACCCACAGTTCCGCCATGGCCAGTAAATAGCAGTTAGCAATTCCTTGCAATGCAATCTCTGCTCCCTCTCTCAGAAACCAGAGAGTTTGTTTCCCTCCAGCTCATCTTACCCAGCACTGAATCAACAGTGGCGGCTTGTGCTCTGAGCTTGCAGCTGGGACCCATTTGTTCTTCTGACTGGGTTTCCCCTCCTCCTCTCCCACAAGCAGGGGGAGGGAATAATTTTGTTCCGCACTTTGATTGAAAGCAAACCTGAAAACTCTCCTGCCCAAACCATCCCTGCTCACCTCTCTTGTCGCTAGTCGGGTTGTGCATTGTGGTTCACTCTAATCCAGCTGTTCCTGAACTTGGGGGGGGGAGTATTGCCCCCCTTGGATCCATGAATTTCTCCCCAGTGCCCCCAACTCTGTAAAAAAAAGCATTATTCAGTATCATGGTTTTCAGGAAGGTGATAGCACAATAAAATTCAAGGCAGTGACAGTTAATTGCACACTTGTTCAAAATCCAATTGAAAGTACTGTATTTAGTTTAATGAAATTGAAGGAACTCGATCCATGATGCCAGCTATTGCCAATATTTGTTTTAAAAATATTTGTATACCGCTGTATCAAAACAGGAAAGAAAAAGTTTTTAAAATCGTTATCTTGTGACAACTCAGCTTTGTAAATATGAACAAACGAGATCCCAAAGGAAATGGCCTTGAAAGCGAGAACAACAGTAAAAAAATTAAATATGAGGCTAGAGGTGTTTTGCTCTAGGTTCTAGTTTGGTCAATTTTAAATAAGCGATCAATGCATCATCCCACACCCTCCAACCTCCCCGTTGCCTCTTAGCACCCCCTGTGTAATCCCCCTGGGGTGTGATCCTGCCCACTTTGAGACCCCCTGCTTTAATCCATGAAAAGCCTTTTGTGCCTCTGGGAAGCAGTGCCCAATTCAATGGTGATGGAATGACTAATACTCAAATGGTTACACTCTGAATACTGGAAAATCGAGATTTCGTTCTGCATGCATAGGAGGGGAATGTTCTTCCATTCCGTGCCTGCTGGTCCCTCTTCTCAATGTGAGATGAACTCTGTGATCAGCGGTGACGACAGGACCTCTTTTCGCCCAAAGGCCAGAGTGGGTGTGGCCATGCCGAAACCGAATTATGCACGGCCACCTCATTCCAGCTCTCTGGCTAGTGTAGACATATCATAACCATTTGGGTTGCACAATGTGCCCCTTATTGTAGTGGTTGTGGTTCCTTGGGAGCTGGGAGATAAGCATGGCATGGGATTCTTTCTGGCAGGAAAGTACCACAGGTGAGAGGGAATTCCGTGCAGATGATGTCTCGGCTGGTGAAAAAAGGATGGATCTTTGCATCCTCTTGAGGTAGATCAGATGTCCTGGCAGGTGATGGAAAGTCACAGAAGAAACGTGTGCAGAGGGGCAGTCTTGCGATCCCTGCATCTTGCTATTGCAGATACGTAGTTTTCAGGATGCAATTGCATTTCGAAGCTGGAAGTTTTCAATAGCTGTCAAGCAAGGCCTGCAGTTCAGCAGTGCACTGGCCTCTATCTCCTTTTTTTTGCATTTTTGTACTAAAACAACGGCGTTCTCTTTGTCTTTCACACAGTTGGGACAAAGGGGTTTGGGAGAGCCTTAAGCCTCTGATTGGCTGCTGCTGGGAATGAGATGATGGGCTCCTGATCTTAATCCAGAAAGGCTGGTCTGTTGCCATATTGGTGGGCTTTCTTTAGACTGCATCTCTGTGGGTGTGCCTGCCTGGGGAGTGGGATGCATATTGGAACATGAACTTGGGAATGATTAAGGACCCTCTGGTTTCCTTACAGATTTTCCATTCATGTGCAGTTGGATGGTTGCTTGCACAGGCAGGGCTTCACTTTCCTTGCCACCCCCCACCCTGCAAATTAATTCCATGTCATGTAATGTATGGACCCTTTATTCAATTGTTGGTGGCACACCGTAATAGGAATGACATGGATTTGCGGTGGGATCCTGCTTTCAGCTGCGTTGGGTTACGCTGAGGTTCTTCATCGCCTTTCAGAAATATCAAGCATTGCAAAAAGAATTTTGGAAGTGTGTGTGTGTGTGGGTACCATGCCTTTTCAACAGATCAAAGCTCTAATATGATCCAGGATTGTGGGGGCAGCGGTGGACCATTTGGAGGGACTGGCCAGGAAGAACACAAGACACACACACGGACACACATGCAATGCGCACACCCAAACATTGCCCGAGCATGCATGCAATTTCTTCACCCTCGGTTCCCCAGCGCAGTTCCAAAGGACGCTGTTGGTGGGTGGCCTTTGTCTGGAGCAGAAAAGGGGATGAGATACTTGCCCATCATCTCTCCTAATTAGTAGCGGAGCCTGGCAGATGGCGAAAGTCCTTGGAGCATCTGCCCCTCATTACGGCCGAGCCCCTCCCCTTTAATGGGACACCACTTAGAATGGAAGAAGGATGGACTTTGGGGAGAAAACAGAAACAGGTTCCGGGGGGGGGGAGCGGCTCTGGGGTGGGCTGCTCCTCCCCACAGGAAGTGGGGAGGCTGTTCAGCATGCTGGGATGAGCTTGTGGCAGCAGCTGGCTGCCATTCAAGGCCGGTGGCTCTGGGAGCGATGCTGGTGTCAATGGCTGTGCGAAGCAAGGGCTGACTTAGCAGGAGGGCATTTGGGGTGGGTGCCCTCTAAAGTGGCTCTCTTTGGGCCCCAGAACCGCCTCCTAGCTTTCAGCAACAAGGGAAGACGAAGTGGGTTCTGCAACAGGGTTGCAGGATGGAGAGCTTCCATTCAGAATTACCGTATTTTTCGCACCATAGGACGCACCGGACAATAGGACACACTTTGTTTTAGAGGGGGGAGAACAAGAAAAAACTTGTTCAGTGAAGTGGCAGGAGGCGCTGTGCAGAGAGGGGGAGAACTTTCCCCCTCTTGTTTTCCCGCTCTAAAACAAGGTGCCGTTTAAGGTGCGTTCAGGCGGCTAACCTGAAGCCTGGAGAGCGAGAGGGTCTGTGTGCACTGACCCTCTCGCTCTCCAGGCTTCAGATTCCTGACCTGCTCTTTGGGGCTGGCGGGGAAGCCCACCACCAGCCCCAAAGAGCAGGTCAGGGAGCAGTGGAAAGGCGCAGCAGAGAGGCTCCTGCCATAGCCGTGCAACACCTCTCCAGCCGGGAGAGGGTCGCTAGGCAATGGCTTCTTTAGCCCCGCGCGCGCTCTCCCGGCTGGAGAGGTGACGCACGGCTATGGCAGGAGCCTCACTAGCCGCGCGTCACCTCTCCAGCCGGGAGAGGGTCACGGGGGGGCTGCTTTAGCCCCACGCGCGCTCTCCCGGCTGGAGAGGTGACGCGCGGCTATAGAAGCTCCTGCCATAGCCGCCCGTCACCTCTCCAGCCGGGAGAGGGTCGCGGGGCTATGGCGTCTTTGCTCCATAGGACGCACACACATTTTCCCTTCATTTTTGAAGGGAAAAAAGTGCATCCTATAGAGCGAAAAATACGGTATCCCCGAGAACAGCCTGGAGGAGATTTTTGTGGCCATTGAGGACGCTCTGTTCTCCATGGGCTGTTTGGGGAGTTCTTCTTCTCCCTGGGATTTTTAAAGAAAGAAATGTCACAGGTACTTCTGAAAACTTTGAAGCTCCTCCTGAGCAGTGTCAGAAACTCAGATATATAAGATAATCACCAAATGGCACCTTCAACCCAGGTTGTGGTCATCTAGGCACCCTACTGGCACAACACATCAAATAAAATAATTCAGAACAAAACAGATTCAAGCTTCAAGGGAAATCACTCGGATCCTTTAAGTGACATCGTGCTTTCCACATATTTATTTCGTAAAACATATACAGTGGTACCTCTGGCTACGTTCTGGAGGTCCGTTCTTAACCTGAAACTGTTCTTAACCTGAAGCACCACTTTAGCTAATGGGGCCTCCTGCTGCTGCTGCGCTGCCGGAGCACGATTTCTGTTCTCACCCTGAAGCAAAGTTCTTATTCTTAACCCAAGGTAATATTTCTGGGTTAGTGGAGTCTGTAACCTGAAGCATATGTAACCCGAGGTACCACTGTACACCACTCGATTGTAAACAAACAACCCCCCCAGCAATCTCAGTGATTCGCAAAGAGAATGAAACAATAAAATTATCAGTAAATATAGTTCAGAGGAACCATTTAAAACATTTTTTTAAAAAAGCAGCAGGAGACTAGAAACAGATTAAAACTTGCACCACAATTCCATATCTCTGGGTTTATGGGAGTTTGTGGGCGCTGCTTGCAGTTTCTGGTTGAGAGGAAAGTGTTAACTGGAAGTTTGGCTTTCCTTCCTGGCTGGCTGTTGGGGGTTGCTGCACTAAGGCACCTTCTCCTGTGTGAGCCCCTGAGGCGGAAAGCCTTGGCTGCCGTTCCTGTCTGAGTCCATTTGCCAGATGTTCACCTTCCTCTGCCCCCGCCCTTCCCTCCCCAGCGCTTCCTGTGTGGAGCAGGGCTCTCCCCAAAGCGGCTCCTTTCCTCTCCCCGCTTCCCATCCAGCCTTCCTCTGCTCCTCGGGTCCCCATGACGCAGAGGGTGTTGCATGCTTCTCCCTCTTTCCGCACCAGCCGGTTTCCACCCGGCGCAGCTGAGCGTGACTCTGCAACCGCCTAGCCCCTTTCCCCTGAAGCTACAGGGGAGCACATCCAGGAATACACCTCGGTCCTTTTGCAAAATGTGGGAGGTGAGTCTTAGAATCAGAATTGCAGAGTTAGAAGGGACCTCCAAGAATGTCAGCTCAAGCATCCATGACAGATGGCCATCTAACCTCTGCTTAAAAACCTCCAAGGAAGGGGAGCCACAACCTCCCAAAGGGAGTCTGCTCTATTGTCAGAAAGCTCTTTGTGATATTGAGCCAAAATCTCCTATCTTGTCATTGGAAGCTATTGGTTTGAGCCCTACCCTCCAGAGCAGGAGAAAACAAGTTTATTCCATCTGTGACAGCCCTTAAGATCTTTGAAGATGGCTCTCGTATCATCTCTCCATCTTTTATCCAGGCTACACAAACACAACATATCCAGCTCCTTCAACCATTCCTCATCAGGCATGGTTTCCAGGCCCGTAATCATCTTGTTCATCCTCCTCTGCAAACCTTCCAGCTCATCAACGTCCTTCTTAAATTGTGGTGCCCAGAAGTGGACACAGTATCCCAGGTGTGGTTTGACTAGATTCGAGTGGTGCCCTGACTTCCCTTGACCTGGACACTAGACTTCTCTTGTTGCAGCCTAGAATAGCATCAGCTTTTTTTGCTGCTGCATCACACTGTGGACTCATGTTCAGTTTGTGGTCCACCCAGACCCCCAGATCATTTTCACTAGTAAGCCAGGTGTCCCCCATCTTGTATCTGCGTAGCTGTTTCTTCCTGCCTTACATTTTGTCTGGAGTCTGTCAGGTTGCCCAAGACCTCGATTCTATGCTGAGCAGATGGAAGCTACAAGAACAGCCCTGCAGCAGGATCAGACCACTAACGCAGCATCCTGTCCCCACCCCTGCCATGGCCAGCTGGGTGCCCCAAGGCAAGGCCGCAAGAACTGCTGGGTTTCCCATAATAGGCACCTGGCTAGATGGGTCATTGGCCTGATCCTGTAGCCAGGTTCATATGTTCCCATATGTTCAGGAGCATGCTAGCTCTGAACAGGGGAGGTTCCTTTTAGCCTAGGGTGACATTGGCACCCAACTTTCTCTTCCATGACTTAGCCCTGCATTGGAAGCCGCCTGAGCCAGCACCCGTCTTCCATCTCATGTGCCAGTGAGTTTGCTTAATTTTGGGGGGCTGCTTGTCAGCTGGATGACCCCAAACTCCTCCATTTGGCTACTCTAAGAGGTAAGCAGGCACAGACTACTTGCTTGCTCTGGGGACCTTGCTTGAGCAAGACGGCAGGACTGTGGCTTGGACGAGGAAGGTGGGAACAGAGGCCTCCAGAGTCTGTTGGACTCGAGAGCCCATCCTCCCTAGCTTGTGTGGTCAAGGGTGATGGGCATTGTAGTTCAGTTTGCTAGAAATTACAGGAAGGGGAGAGTACTCTTGTGTCCGAATCCCACTTGCTACTTTGCCATAGTTCAGCCACTTAGAGGTCAAGATGCTGGACTAGGTGGGCCATGGGCCTGATCCTGCAGGCTCTTACGATGTTGTGGATATCTAGAGAGCACATGTTCCACATCCTTGACCTATGAAGGGTGGCTGTGTGAGCTGTGTGTCTTAAAAAGCTTTGCCTCTTAAAAGTGTGGGATGGGGAAAGTGGTGTGTGTGTGTGTGTATGTTTTGAAAATCACAATGTGCCCAACTTGGACTAGAACCCCATTTCCCGTCGCTGCTGTTCTCCCAGCTCCTGGGGTGCAGCAGGTGGCAAGCAGGCCACAAGCTGTTGTCCGGTTAATTTCGGCTGAGCTGCAAATCTGGGAATGAGCCTTGTGAATTATCATATTATCCACCTGATCGCACAGCTGGCTCATGCTGGCATTGGTGGAGATGCCAGCCCTGCGGGGGCCGCCAACACTCTTGATGAGGGTGAACTTAGCTGGAATGCGAGGCCTTGGGAAAAGGGGGAAGCAGCCGGCTTCGCTTGAGGACCTGGGGGCTGGCAGTCCCAGGAGAATCGCTTGGAATTTTCTCAGAATTGCAGTTGCTTCTACATAGTTACCAGCAAAGTAGTCTGTCTTGGGAGCCTTTGGTGAAACAAAAGATTTCTGAAAGTGCAAGTTTTCAATGCCGGCTGGATCAAATCTTTGTGTAGGTCAGGCTTCCTCAACCTCGGCCCTCCAGATGTTTTGAGACTACAATTCCCATCGTCCCTGCTAGCTAGGGATCATGGGAGTTGTAGGTTGTTGATGCTCTCAAATAACTCTTAATAGGTTCACGAGGAAGGACTTCTTGTGAAGATGTGCTTTCCCAGGTGAGGCTCACCCAGTGCACTCCAGGTGTGGTGATCTCTGCATTTCCCCCAAATCCCGGAAACCTGACTGCATGATTTGTGCATGTGATGGGAGTGGGCGCCCCTGTCTCCAGGGAAGGCCAGATATCCCTCTCCTAATGTTGTTCTAGACTTGGTACCGTAGGCACAGTGTTACAAACTTAGATATATAAGCTAGGCATCAAATGGCTTCTTAAACCAAGGTTACAGTTGCCAAAACAGAATGCCTAGTTGCCATTTTGGGGCCAGTCGTATTTTCCCATAAAACGTTTTGGTTCCTGAAATTCGTTCTGATTGGGCAGATAAAATTTCACAGACAGAGTTCTGCAGGATGTGTTGTTAGTGTGGGGAAACAGGCAAGATATAGATGGTGGAGATGTCAGGCATCATCCTGGCACCTGGGCATCCTCACTTGGTCTCAAGTGGCTGATAGCCAGGTGCAAAATGCACCTGGCAGATTTTGACTGCTGCATAGAAGCGTAGAGTCCAGGAGGACACCATCGTCAATTGTACTGAAAGCTACAGAGAAGCAGGAGCCGGGTTGCACTCCCGCCGCCCTGCTCTCTGCAGAGGTCGTCTGTTAGGGGTGGCCAATAGCAACTCGGTCGCACAGCCAGGCCTGAACCCAGATTAGGACGGATCTAAATCATCTGTGCCACAATAATCTTTCCCCATTTGCACCTGCAAGACTGTTGCTCCAGTCCAAGGGGTCCAGAGCTGGTTTCTTCTGGAGTAGCCACACAAGGGGGGGGGTCTCTTCTCGCTGTATATAAAAATGTGTGAGGTTTAAGTTCTTGCTTAATCGACTTTTGGGAACTTTGAGCAGGTCTGACTCTGGAGAGGCGGCTGAGCTTGTTTTCTCTCATATGTCATGCTTGCTTCAAGGAGTAACCAGCAGGGCTTCCTCAGCTGGGCTTGTAATTGTCCTGTTCCCCGTGGAATGCAAATGCATGATTGCGTCCTCGTGCTCCCTCCAGGATATGATTATATGGCCCCACGGAGCCATTCCTGGCTGCCAGAGACTTGCCACAACTTGCCCCAGAGAGTTGTACTCAGGAGGAAATCTGGGGCGCCGATTCGGACCTAGGAGCAAAGCGGGGAGCTCTGAGCCCTGAGGGCTTGTTGCTCCTGCGAGACTCGTTCCATTTCTGCACAGTTCTGATCTCGCCCCTGCGGGGTTTGTTTTCTAGCTCACACTGGGGAAATCTTAGAACGGTGGCCAGGCCAGTCCATCTCCCCTGCAATGCAGGAATCACAACCAAAGTATCCATGAGCTCTTTCTGGGTCTACTGAAAACCCTCTGCATGTTTGTGGCATTGCATGTCAGGAAGATCTTTGAGATGCCTGTTGGTGCTGACCTTTAAAGCCCTAAACTGTGTTGGTCCAGTATACCTGAAGGAGCGTCTCCACCCCCATCGTTCTGCTCAGACACTGAGTTCCAGCTCCGAGGACCTTCTGGCAGTTCCCTCCCTGCGAGAAGCCAAGTTACAGGGAACCAGGCAGAGGGCCTTCTTGGTGGTGGCACCTGCCCTGTGGAACGCCCTCCCACCAGAAGCCAAAGAGAACAACAACTACCAGACTTTTAGAAGACATCTGAAAGCAGCCCTGTTTAGGGAAGCTTTTAATGTTTGATGCATTGCTGTATTTTAATATTTTGTTGGAAGCTGCCCTGAGTGGCTGGGGAAACCCAGCCAGATGGGCGGGGTAGAAATAATAACATTATTATGCCTGCTTCTCCACGCCAGACCAATGAGATCTTGCTGCTGCTCCCATTTCAACAAAGGACACCGTCCCCAGGTGTCACTTGCTGTGCATGTGGCTTGGTCTTCGTTGGAGATGTCCAGCCAGCTGGTCCAGGGAGCTTGTCTTCCAATCCCTCACCTTGTTGAAAAACTCGGGACGGTCTCCTGTTGCTCCCGGAGCCCAGCTTGGAAGGTGCTGCGCCCGACTGCCAGAAGAAGCCCCAGTTTGGGCCTTGAAGCTTCTTCCTTCTGCAGTTCCCATTTCTTGTGTTGACGCTCGACCTTTCTTCCAGCCTCCTCCAACCTGGTGCCCTTGAGGGCAGGTGCTTGAGGAGCCATCCCCAAGAGGGGGTGCAGTCACTGAGCAAGCCTAGTCCTAGAATCAGAATTGGTTTTATTTATTTATTTTATTAACATATAAAACACATACATATACAGTTACACAATACACGTACACAACACACTACGTAATTTTCATAACATAAAAGATACCTACATTATATAATACCTACCTATACTGTACATATCAACATACCTACACACCTACCCCACACGGACACCCACCAAGTGACGAGTTCCAGCCGTTCTTGTTACGCTACTTTATTTTTCCAAGTAGCTTAAACGCATTTTATTATTTCTTTAATCTCTTCTTTTATCTTAACTTTACTCTCCTTTCACTCTAATAATTTTCTGGATTCACTCAATATCTGTCAGAAATTCTACTTTTCCCACATAAATTTTGATGTATTCCTTAAAGATAGCCCACTCCTTATTCACTTTTTGTACCAGATCTCCTCTTATCCTCCCTGTTAGTTCGGCAATATGGAAGTATTCCATCATTTTAGATTACCAGTCTGTTTTACTTGGGACGCTGCTGCTTTTCCAATTTCTGGCAATCAATAACCTTGCCGTCGTAATTGCATACATAAATATTGCTCTGACCGTTCTTTTTATCTCCTCTGACATGATACCTAGGAGAAAGGATTCTGGGTTTTTTTCAAATGAAAACCTAAACATCTTTTTTCAGTTCATTATAGATATTTTCCCAGAATCCCACTATCTTTTTGCACTCCCACCACATATGTAGAAAGGTTCCTGCCCCGTTGTTGCATCTCCAACATGCATCACTACAGTTTTTGTTACAGAATTGTAGTGTTGGAAGGGAACCCCTAGGGCCATCTAGTCCACACACACACACACACCCGTGATGTGTGCCATTTGCACAGGAGGGCGATCCAGCTGCTGTGGTCTCATCCGGCAGGGATGCTCTTAACAGATATTTGGGGCAGAGCAGCTGGATCCTCAGCCCTTCCCTCCGGGATCTGGCCCAATATGGTTTCTGGTTTGGAATTCCTGTGTCGCTGCCGACAAACATCCTGCACTGCGGGGGCAGACCAGAGGACCCTGTGGCCGTTCGATGCTCCAGCCTGCCCCTTCTCTGCAAGTCTCCCTTCCCACAACTTCCTTCAGCCCTTTCAGGAACTGGTAAAGACAAGTTAAGTGTCTTCTCTCTCCCTTTTCTTAATTGCCGCTCTTGCGTGGATACCAGATGGGAAATCACCCGACTTCTCTGGCGGCTCCGCCTGACCTTGGCAAGACGGGTAATTAAAAGTCTGACTCTGCCGTTATCGGCAGATGCGCTCCAACTTGGAGAGGCATCACAGGGAAATAAAAACAATGCTCTTCGGGCTCTGGAGGAGGTCTGTAGGGGAAGAAGGCTGCAGGCTGAGTCCCCAGAAACTGCAGGCAAGGGGGAGGGGTGTCCCCCTGCCCCCCAAAACGGTGGAGAGAGCCGCTGCCAGTCTCCAGGCAATACTATTTATCAATTATTATTTTTATTTGTTGCATTATTCTATCCCACCTTTCCTTCTAAGGAGCTCAAGGTGGAGTACCTGCTTCTCCCCCTCCTCATTTCCCCCCAACAACAACCCTGTGAGGTAGATTAGGCTGAGAGGCAGCAACCCAGCTTCCAAGGTCATACCCGGTGAGCTTTGTGACTGAGCAGGGATTCGAACTCTGGTCTCTCGCAGGTCCCAGTCCCAACACTCTAACCACTACACCACGCTGCTATATAAGGCAAAGATCTGACACCTCCCTGTGTACATTTTTTAAAAAACCTTCACATTTCCTCGGAGGAACCACCCGCAACCCCAAGAAAACGCCACACATTTATATTAACCAGTGAATCACTTAAGAGGAACGTGTTTTGCAGATGTGCACTGTTGTGGCGTGCTAGAAGGGAGCACAGCCTTTCGGAAGTTGTTAGGAAACTTTGGCAGATCACGGCTGAAACAGCTGCTTAGGCATGAATCTCCCTTTGTCTGGGGGGCAGAAGCATTGAAGCCGCTCTGGCTGGCAGCTGGAGAGACCCCCGAGGAACCTCTCGCTTTTCAGACTCCATTGAGGAAGAATGGCTAGTTGGGAAAGGCGAGAAAGAAACGGACATGGCAAATATAATAGCCAGCCCTTCATTGCAGGCAGGAGCCTCATCTGCTGCAGCAGCACAGAATGTGGCTCGGGCTGTGTCAATGTGACTTTAATTTTCCCGTCTTAGAAGTGGCTTTATGTCAACAACAACAACAACAACAACAACAACAACAACATTTTTTAATTATTTATACCCTGCCCATCTGGCTGGGTTTCCCCAGCCACTCTGGGCAGCTCCTAACAGATTAAAAACAGAATAAAACATCAAATATGAAAAACTTCCCTAAACAGGGCTGCCTTCAGATGTCTTCTAAAAGTCAGATAGTTGTTTATTTCCTTGACATCTGCTGGGAGGGCATTCCACAGGGTGGGCACCACCACCGAGAAGGCCCTCTGCCTGGGCTTTCCATCACCCGCTCCCCGGCCATTTTTGCCCGCAGGTGCCAGGAACTGAACCAGGGGCCTTTCTGTATGAAGTGTGATCCCCCCCCCCAGTTAAGGTTTCTGCTTTTGTTAAAACCAAGCTTCTAGTCCTCATGGTATGTCTGAAAGGCATTGAGCGGCACCTACATTGGAAGCTGGAACAGTCAGATATTTGGGATGTGGTGCCTCTGCCCTTCTGTGACAAGTGAAATAAGAAATAATTTGCAGATGTTCCTAAATGTATAAGAGCCTCAGAATCCGATGCTTCTCGGTATGAATTTCTTGAAGTGTCCGATGCACCCAGAGCGGGGAGGAGCTGGCGTGTCAAGGCAGGCGGCTGTCTTTCTGGTGCTCCAAAGGCAGCGACAGGAAATGCGCCTCCCGTCCTCATGGAAAGGTGGATGGTGCAAACGCAGGCTGGAGGTGCTGCAAAACGCCTGATGTGCAAAATTGGTTTGCCAGGGCAAGGAAGGAAGGAAGGGAGCAAAGCTGTATGGACAATTGGGATGCTGTTGTGTAAGGGAAATGGAGGAGAAACTCGGGAGCGAGTGTTTCTTCTTAATTGTGTTTTATATCGTTATTAAATTTGTATACCACCCTGTACCCCTAGATTTTGGGGCGATTCGCAATGTAAAATTACAATTTGAAAAAGACAAAGTACAAGGTGTGACCAGAAGTCAGACAGTGAGAAATGTTTGGACATACAATCGGCATCGGAAACCCACGAAATGCTCACAGTTGTGTGGGGAGATGAAGCTGTAACTCGAAAGGCCGTGTGTCAGTGGTTTAAGCGTTTCTGTGAAGGGCAGCAAACCATCGAAGATGACTCTCAATCTGGCAGAACGTCAACGAGCAGAACAGCAGCAAATGTCGACGGAGTTTCTGAGTTATTGATGCGGGATCGGCGTTTGTCCGTCTGAATGATAGCGGAAGAAATGCGTATTCCGCGTGAAATCATTACTGAGGTTACTGAGTTGTCCTACCCTCCATATTCTCCCAATCTGGCCCCACCGGATTTCTTTTCCAAAACTGAAATCAGCGCTGAAAGGGCACAAATTTTTCCAACATTTCACACATCCAAGCTGCTATGACGAAGGAACTGAAAGCAGTATGAAAAGAGGTTCCAACAGTTCTACGAACGTTGTCAACGGTGCATTGTATCAGAGGGGGCCTGCTTTGAAGGCCTGTAAGGGACCCGGGTGGCGCTGTGGTCTAAACCACTGAGCCTAGGGATTGCTGATCAGAAGGTCGGTGGTTCGAATCCCCGCGACGGGGTGAGCTCCCGTTGCTCAGTCCCTGCTCCTGCCAACCTAGCAGTTCGAAAGCACATCAAAGTGCAAGTAGATAAATAGGTACCGTTCCGGCGGGAAAGTAAAACGGCGTTTCCATGCACTGCTGTGGTTCGCCAGAAGCGGCGTAGTCATGCTGGCCACATGACCCAGAAAAACTGTCTGCGGAAGTGGACAAACGCCAGCTTCCTCGGCCTGTAAAGCGAGACGAGCGCCACAACCCCAGAGTAGTCCGCGACTGGACCTAATGGTCAGGGGTCCCTTTACCTTTACCTAAGGCATGTATGTTCGAATATTTCTCACTGTCCGATTTCTATGACCATTCACCGAACTTTCCGGTCACACCTTGTACATAATAAAAATTAGAACAAAAACACCACCAGGCTTAGGTTTGCCTGCTGGCAAAATCCTGGGGTTTGAGGCAGCTGGGCTGCATTAGCCATGAAGCTAAGAATCAAAGAACCCTGCAGGATGAGGTCCATCTAGTCCAGCCTCCTGTCCTCCCAGTGGCCAGCCAGATGCCCCCAAAGGGAAGCAAACTTGCTCTCTCTGCTATTCTAAGGTAGACTGGCCCTGTCCATGGAGGTTCTGCATAGGAATCATAAGGAATTTAGAGGAGCCCTGCAGCAGCTGGATCAGGCCAAAGTGGGGTGGGGGAAGCCGGCTGTGCAGACTTGCTGGTCCATGGAAGGCCGGCAAGCCAGCAGTCGGGTTTTTGCCTGATTTTTTGACCCTCCTGCACAGTTTCAAGTTTCGGCCTCCTTCGAAAGAAGGCTAGCTGCAGTTCTGGCAGCATTCCTTTCCAATGAATCCATGTAACCCAACTCCCCGGCTGGCTTTTGGGGCAGGGGCTCGGGAAATTCTTGGCGAGTCCCGAAGCCTTTCTCTCTGCCGCCCCACTCCCGAGTCCTATTTCTCAGCTACTCGCTAAAGTGGCGCATCCCTTAAAATCTTGGTTGCAAAAACTTCTTCCCTTAACAGCACTAATCGGAAAAATCTTTAGTGCCTTTTTCCGTCCTATGTATTGCTAGGGAAATTGTTTTTACCAATAATGATATTCATGGCATTCATATCCCTCCTTTTTCTCCCCAAAGAGCTATAGGCAGTATAAAGAGGAGAATGTCATTTTCAATGGTGAAAATGGGAAGCCGTTCGAAAATGGAAACAATTGATTCCGGGTTTTTGGCATTCGGGTCCCGAAATGTTCGGCTTCCAAGATGCTCGAAAAATGAGGTTCCACTGTACCTGCGCAGGGTTGCAAAGCAGTTCATAAGGAGGCGAGCCAAAGGTTTAGGCTGGAGGATTTGTGAGTGGCCCAGGGCCTTCCCCCTGGCCAGCCAGCCAGCCCCCACCAAGGCCTCAGGGGTGTCTGCCTTGACTATGGGGTTGGGAGCAAGGAATTGCAGTCTGTTCTTCTGTAGGGAGAGTGAAGAGGGAGTTTTCAGGCCCTTTGCCTAGGCGAGGGTCCCTCTGAAAGTCTTTGGGTCTCTGCTCTGGCAGATATAAAACGAGGCAGAAATATACCCTCAAAGCACTTAGCAATTCTGTGAACCCTTGGTCATTGAAGGGAGCTGCCAGACCTGTGGTCTACTGAGCTCTCTGCAGATATATTTGCAAAAAAAAAAAAAAAAGGTTCCCTTGCGCTTTTGTTTTCTCAGAGGTTATGTGACCGTCCTAGAGTAAAGTGTGTGTGTGTGTGTGTGTGTGGAACAACACAATGCCAGTTGTTTGAGAATCTGGCATCTCTGGGTGGTACCGGCTTGGTGGACAAATGGCCATATGCCAAATTAGTCTATGGGATGACCAGTATGACAGGCAGTAAATAAAAACCTTGAAAGGAGCAGAAAAATAAACGACCTTCTTGCATGTGGGTGAACATCGGACGCTGCTCTGCCTGGCTCCACGTTTTCTCTGCCAAGGAGGTGCAGCAGAGGGGCTTCTGGATTATGTTGCACTACAACTCCCATCAGTTCTAGCGGCCAGCATGACCAACGGTCAGGGCTGATGATAGGAGTTGCAGTCCATATGGACGGCCGCCGGGTCCCCAGCCCTGGTCTCCCATGGTGGGCTGGTTTTGGGAAGAGAGTCTTCCGCAGCCCTACCTGGAGACGCCAGGGCTGCTTGCAGGGCAGACGCTCAGCTGCGGCCCTTTCTATCCGGTGGGTGCTGCTAAGAGCTCAGCCCAGCCGTAGCAGCTTTGCCGCTTCATGCAAACCAATAGTCAAGGATGGAGACTTGTTGAGTCAGTGATATTGTCCTCTTCTCTTGCTGAAACAGAGAGGAGCAACCTTCCCATTCCTTAAGGCTGCCTTTTATTCCCAAGGCAACCCAGCAGCTGCCTTTGTGCTGTGGAAACGGCTTAGGTCTTCTTCTCCCCCCGCCCCTCCATTGCAGCTGTCTTCCCTTTCCCAAAGCTGTTCTTGGCCGCCTCTCTCCGGCATCCCAGATTGTCCCCAGAAGGGAGATCTCCTTACCCCCCTCTCCTTCTTTCCCCCTTAGATGAGCCTGCTGGGTCAGGCCAGGAGCCCATCTAATCCAGCCTCCCCTTCTCTCAGGGGCCAACCAGATGCTATTTAGGAAACCCACAAGGCAGGTTTTGAGCGCATGAGCAGCGCACTCTCCTCCTGGGGTTTCCACAACTGAGATTCAGGAGCATTGCTTCCTCCAGCTGTGGAGCCAGGGCAGAGATATCCTGGCCAGTAGCCATCAATCGCCCTCTCATCCTCCATGCATTTGTCTAATCTTCTTCTAAAGCCATCCAAGTTGGTGTCCATCATGTGGGAGGGAGTTCCACAGTCTAACTCTGCACTGCATGAAGAAGGACTTTATCAGCCCTGACGCTTTGCTGGGTGTCCCCGAGTTAGAGTGTTAGGAGGGAGGGAGGAAAGTATCACTTTCTCCATGCCGTGCATCAATGTACAGTCATACCTCGGGTCACAGACACTTCAGGTCGCGTTTTTTTGGGTTACGGACCGCCGAAACCTGGAAGTACCAGAACGGGTTACTTCTGGGTTTCGGCGGCCACGCATGCGCAGAAGCACTAAAATCCCGCTTTGCACATGTGCAGAATTGCTGAATCGCAACCCACGGGTTGCAAACGTGTGTCCTGCACGGATCACGTTCACAACCCGAGTGCCCACTGTATAAAGTTCTTCCATGTCACCTCATCCTTGCCTTTTCTCTAAATTATAAAATGCTTCAAATTTCACAGGGAATTTGCCAACAGGGGCACTTAGGAAATATTCAGCCATTCACCTGATTGGTGAAGCAAAATGATTGGAATCTGGCCATAGTTTTTAATATGATTTGCAAAAAATGGGCCCCTCCTGGCCATGACGGCATTTTCAGTTTTGAGAAATCTCTCTGCTGTGCCCCAGGCTTCTAGCCATGTGCCTTTTAGAAAGACAAGCCCCTTTGCTGCCCCCTCGCTTCAGAAAGCAAGCTCAGGCGCATCTGCCTTAAGGGGCCGGGGGTCCCCATCTCAGAAGAACTTTGCCGTGGCCTCAACCGCAGACCTCCCTGAGCGAGCCTTGCAAATAGGAACTAGCTGCAAGCGTGAGGGGGGCTGGGGGGGGTGGGTTAGGCACCCTGCTAGGGCGAAACATGTTTCTTTTCTGAATTGATAGTAATTATTCCCAAATTTGCACCTCTTATGTGCAAATTAGAAGATGCGAATCTATTTGCTCTTTTTGTCTAAGTGGCCACCCAGTGAAATCTAGGGACATAATTCTCCTGGCTTTGCTGGCAGAGAGATGCAGAGCAGATGACCAGCTTTGCCCAGGTGGCGTCCTAAGGGAGGCTTTTGTTTCCTTCCCCATCTCTGCAATGGGCATCGTTTTCAGCAGTGATGCTTTTTTGGAAGCCCTTTTGGAAAAAGCTCCCCCGGTCCGGGTTGCGTGGAGCCCCTGACAGCGCAGTCTCCTCGACCCCCACATCCCATTTACATGAGACACCCGGCAGAACCAGCCTCCCTCCCCCCCTTCTACATGACTTCTGCATTCTTTGACTGGCCTATTCAGCTTGGAAATTCCAGCTCCCAGATGTGAATGAGCCCCAGCTGTGAAGAGGAACTTGAAAGGCAGCTTGGGGCTGCCTTGGGGGATGGGAGAGGAGCTCGGGTCCACAGGATGGGGGCCCACATGCAGACACAGAGGGGGGGACTGCGGTCTGTGCAGCCCCAGGGAGAGCAGATTTGGGGGGCCTCCAGCTGTTCTGGTTGAGAGTGGATTCTCCCATTTGGCAGATGAAAAGGTTCCTACGTTCTTTAGGGTTGCCAGACCTCCAGCTCTGACCTGAAGTTTGCAGGTGGGTGAGAAAGCCCTTAATAAGAATTTAAAAATCGCCAAGAAGACTGTGCATTGCAAGCCTTCAGAACAGGAGCTGGCTGCAAATTCTAGCGCAGAGTCATAGATTCAGAGTTGGAAGGGCCCCTTTATCACCTAGTCTAACCCAGGCACCCCCAACCTTCAGCCCTCCAGATGTTTTGGACTACAATTCCCATCATCCCTGACCACTGGTCCTGTTAGCTCGGGATTATGGGAGTTGTAGGCCAAAACATCTGGAGTGCTGCAGGTTGGGGATACCTGGTCTAACCCCTTGCAATGCAAGAATCGCAACACTCAGCAAGATCTGCGCTCCTATGCTTCCTTCTCCCAATTAATCTCCGTCTCCAGGGTCCGTCCTGTGACATCACTTGGGGCCACTCCTAGGTATCAGGTTTGGGCCTGAAAATCTCAGGGGCTAGAATGCTCCTTACCTGGCAACCCTACACCGTAGACTCCACTTCTTTCAGGATTGCATTCTCAGCCACAAAACGGATTTTCACAGTTGCTGTCCTGTTCCGTTGCTTTCAAAATGAGGCTCGGGACTTTCAGTGTCTTGTGTGAAACTTTGTGGTTTTGCTGACTTCCATGTTGAAAAATGCCAAAGCACCAGGATGGCTCCCAAATTAATTCCAGGCGTGTGTTTGTGGAGGTGCGGTGGTTCAGTGTGGGAATGATGCAAAGAACCAACGTGGCATTTGGCCTGATGGGAATCTGTGTCACCAAGGGATGTGAGGGAACTGGATCCTGCCTTGAAAGTTCCAGGGCCAGTGGAGTCCAAGAAGGCTCCACAGCAGGGGCTGCCAGCATGGCGCCCAGGGGCACACTGCTACCCCTGACCCTTGAACAACCCCCACCCCTTGGCCAGGTGGGGGGTTGCCTTTTTCCTCGCTCAGAAATCCCAGGGGCCCCAAGAAGGCTGGTTCCTGTGGGAGGGAGTTCCACAGTTTTAACCATGTGCTGAATTTTCCAACGCTCGTCTTCACGGCATGTGCTCTAGAACGGGGTGTTTGCATTGCAACTCTGGAAAACATGTGTGGAGGTGGAGACTTGCCCAGCTTTGGAAAGCTGTTTTATTTCTCTCTCTCTCTTTCTGTTTCTTTTGCTTTTTTTGGAGCCTGCATCTGCTGACGAAGCAAATTTTGCCTTGGCTTCCTCTCTCCTGGGAGCCCTGCTTGTTATGTCTAGCTCTCGCAGCAAACAAGAACCTCCAAGGCTACTCCTGACTGTGCCAAGGACTTGAATTTTTGGAAAGCCAGAGTTAGCTGCTGCCTGAAGTCCCACGCTCTGGGATGGGGGCCCCTCTAGGCCGGGGTCTTCATTTTTATGTCTCTCTTGATTTCGAGGCCCCTGGAGCTCCCAGACCAGGTCTTCTCTGAGTCAGCTTGGCTGCAAACACAGCCCAAAGTGGGTGGTAAGGGAACGTTGAAAATAACGGCTGAGGTTTCATTTTGCAAGGCATCCTTAAGGCGGCTCCAGGCTCCTCTGAAATCCTCTTTACAGCAAGCTATAGTTGCGCCTGGGTGTACCACAGTTCGGAAGCAAGTGTGCACAGTTCTACTTAGTACATGAAGCAGAGTACAGGGATCTGGGCCTCCCAATATGTTTCATGGTTGACGGACGCCATTTCTCTCTTTCTTTCTGTCTTACTCCCTTCCCTCCTTTCTTAGGAATGGACCTTTCTGCCAATCAGGACGAGGAGAGCGATCAGGAAACCTTCCAACTGGAAATCAACAAAGATACTAAGAAATGCACCTTCCGGACCTATACTGGGAAATACTGGACCCTGACCTCCAATGGGGGGGTGCAGTCCACTGCCTCCACTAAGTGAGTTCTCTTTTAGGCAAATGTGTCTGAATGAGCTTTTGGGGCATCCTTGTCATCCTGTGAATAGTTTAGAATAAGAGATTTTTCGGGGGTTTTAAAGGTTGCTGGTTTTTTTATTTAACTTATCGAGTGCCATAATTTCTATACCCCATTTCTTTTTAAAAAAGAAAATAAATTGTAGTGGTGAACAACACAAAATCAACCACAACATTATGTCAATAAAACAAATACGGGATGCGTCATAAATCCATAGAGGAGAGTAGGGCATCAACAGAACTGGATCACTCTTCCAGGAAAGACGGAGTGAGCAGGTGAATTTCAAGCAATACGGTAGGTTCCTGTCTGGTGTTTGCTGGAAGCGCATTCGAAGGAGGCGGGTGCCACCACACTAAAAGCCCTGGTCTCAATGAGCATAAGACAAACCATGGGATGAGGAGAGCCTTTGAATTCAATCCCTTTCCCAGTTTATGAATAGGGAATGTGGGTCTCTCTCTCTCTCTCTCTCTCTCTCTCTCTCTCTCTCTCTCTCTCACACACACACACACACACACACACACACACACACACACAGTCTTGTGGCACCTTAGAGAATTATCATCCTTATGGCATAATCTTTTCTTGATTACAGTCTACTTAATCAAATGCAAGTAAACAAAAGCAAAGTCCATGAAAACTTATGTTAGTATTTGAAGATGCCACAAAACTCTCTTGCTGCTGTCGCTGCGAGAGACTAATGAGGGATACCTCTCTGGAAAGAGAAATCTAAGCTTCCTTGAAATTGTCACCTGAGTCTGAAAACCTGATCACCAGGGTGGCTTGTAAAATTCCAGCTGCTGCCATACAATGCTGTCATGCCCGTGTGCCAGCCAACCACTTGCTTTCCTCTGTGTGGATCGAGGCCGGCTGCATATTGCTGCACAAAGCGCAGGGGGCCCCACTTCTCCCTGTGGGAATGTTCAGGGAGAGGATATATTGTTTATTAATATCCTTCCTAACTTGCGCTAGCAAGTTCCTTTACTTAGAGTTTTACTTTGCCCTTTTCAACACACGGCGGGTAGCTGGTTGCAGGCTCGTGTAAGCTTCTCACTATTAGGTTCCTAGTAAGTTCCCTTATATCTCTCTTAAAATAAACACGCCACAATCTTGTGTAAAGTATATAAAAGATTTTACTCACATCAGATCATAGTTGGATCCCTGAAGGCAGACTTAGTTACAAAGTATATCCATGTGGATCTATCCCATGTGGAGATAATCCCAGTGCATCTCTAGCTAAAAAGCTGCTCCAATGACGAGGAAGTCAAAGAGAGAGATAGTTCTGCTTGCCTTGTCCCTTTTGTTACCTGGGCAGGTAAGGTCAAGCCCACCTCTAGTCACATGCAAGGGGAAGGATGCTCCAGGCCAGGAGGAAACAGGAAGTTTTCGACTGGCTGGACCAAACATTCCCCCGCATCTCCACTCTAGGAAAACAAGTAGTACTTGACTGCTACTTATATATGACATCCCACACTCCCTGCATGGAAAGCGAACCCCAGAGCAGCTGAGTCAGGGGCTCCAAGCTGTGTGCATACCCTTCCCCACCCCAAAAGAATAAAACCTTAATGGCCGGGCTGTTGCTTCTCACGCTCATGCGCTCTCTCTGCCACAGCAGGAATGCCAACTGCTACTTTGACATCGAGTGGTGCGATCGGCGCATCACCCTGAAAGCGGCAAATGGCAAATACGTCACAGCAAAGAAGAACGGGCAGCTGGCCGCCACGGTGGAGACAGCTAGTAAGGATTCTTTGGCTTTGGAAGTGGGGGGAGTTGGGGGGGACTTAGATCCATGGGATGCCCAGGGTGCGTGACAGACAAGACCTTATTGCCCTAGACCAGAGATGGGGAGCCTGCAGGACTCCTCCAAGTGAGGCTGGATCCCTGCCCCCCCCCAATCATCCCTGACCATTCACCCATTCCCAATTCCTATATAAGAATCCAATGTCTCTATTCAGACCAGGTCTCTCCACGGTTTTAAGTTTGGCAATAAGTTGCAATACCTGGAGCCGAGGGGGTTGGGGGCCCAGCAGCAAGAGCCCCCACCTACAGGTGCCCCTCCCCTGCCTCAAACCACAGTCCTTTGATGCAGATGAGGTTCACCATCAGCCTTGCATGCTTTCCTTGAAAAGCTACAACCTCTGCCATCTTCTGGCTGAGTATTACTATTTTTAAAAAGCTTGTATCAATCAAGCCTGCAATAAACCCAGATGCCAACTTTACTGCCACATACTCCCGGATGCGGGTGGCACTGTGGGTTAAACCACAGAGCCTAGGGCTTGCCGATCAGAAGGTCGGAGGTTCAAATCCCCGCAACGGGGTGAGCTCCTGTTGCTCGGTCCCTGCTCCTGCCAGCCTAGCAGTTTGAAAGCAAGTGCAAGTAGATAAATAGGTACTGCTGCGGCGGGAAGGTAAACGGCGTTTCCATGCGCTGCTCTGGTTTCGCCAGAAGCGGCTTAGTCATGCTGGCCACATGACCCGGAAGCTGTACGCTGACTCCCTCGGCCAATAAAGCGAGATGAGCGCCGCAACCCCAGAGTCGGCCACGACTGGACCTAATGGTCAGGGGTCCCTTTACCTTTACACCCGGACAACACCATTACTGGCCCCAACAACATCAAACATACCATTTCAGGACTATTTAATTGCTCATCTTCTAACATTGTGCATGCCATCAAATGCCAACAGTGCCCTTCAGCTCTCTCTATTGGACAAACAGGCCCAACCCTACGCCAAAGGATAAATGGACATAAATCTGACATCAGGAATCACAAGACAGAGAAACCAGTAGGAGAAGACTTCAATCTCCCAGGACATTCTATACAAGATCTCAAAGCAGCTGTCTTATTACAAAAGAATTTCAGAAATAGACTGGAAAGAGAAGTTGCTGAATTGCAACTTATTACCAAACTTAAAACCATGGAGAGACTGGTCTGAATAGAGACATTGGATTCTTATCTCATTATACATGATTAAGCTATTTTTAGCCATCTCACCCCTTGCTTTTTCCTGTAAGACCAATTGCAGTCGTTAACAGTCGTCAACAGGTTTACCACACCTATCAGCCAATCACCCATTCCCACCCCCCTTCTGAGTAAAACCCCTCCCCACCCTCCCACTATATATAAGGGTCCGGTGACTTCTGTTTCAGTGTATCTGAAGAAGTGTGGATGCACACGAAAGCTCAGACCAAGAACAAACTTAGCTGCTCTCTAAGGTGCTGCTGGAAGGAATTATTTTTATTTTGTATCAATCAGATCTTTAATACTGTCCTAGACTTGCATAAGTAGAGGGGGTGGTACAATCATTTAGAATCTGTAAAACGTTTTGGAAAGCTCAAAAGTATTAAAACAGAAGGTATATCTAAAAGACTATAAGAATCTAAAAGAAGGGTTAGGAACATTAAACGGATATGAAAGAGGATAAAAGGTTAGTATATAAAAGACTACAACTATCAATTTAGAGAGCACTCTGATGTGAGTGTTCATTAAATCTAGTTTGTGGCACAGGTCATCATCCGTCAGATCTTGAGCGCTGCTGTGCAGAATCCAGAAACGTATGTTGTAGCAGGATTGGTATCTGACAGCAAGCAGGGACATATAAAATTGTCCCGTGCACCCTGGGTACTTAAGAGTCATGGGGAGATGAGGCCAATACGAATACGAAAAGCTTGTATACAGTGGATGCAACATGAACCGTGCGGGATGCACATATGCAACCCGTAGCGTTCGCAACCCGCGTCTGCGAGTCTGCACATGTGTGACCGCTGGAACCCGGAAGTAACCCGTTCCGGTACTTCTGGGTTTCGATGCTTCATAACCCGAAAAAATGCAACCTGAAGCATCTGTAACCCCAGGTATGACTGTATTTCTATCCGCAAAGGTATCAAGGCTGTGTGTGGAGATTAAAAAGCCAGAGTAAAAATGATCTCGTGATAACAGTAAGTGGGGAATTTCTGAGCAGCAGAATCGAAGGCCAGGAAATGCCCCGAGAAAGAAGAATGCCTTATTCTTTTTAATCGCTGGCAAAACTTAAGAGGGGAAGCTCTTCCCTGGCATAACTGAAGCCTGTTTTCCCGAGTGTTCTTCCTTCCTCTAAGACAGTACCAGAGTCTGACTGAGCCAAGAGCGTCCGCCTGGTCTAGGACTGCTCTGGCATGTGCAGGAGTTGGCCTTCCCCAATGTGGTACTCTGCAGCCGTTTGGGGACTACAGATCCCACAGCGCCTGCCAGCATAGCCCTGCTCCCCATCATGGCTGTTAAGGAGGGGGCTGCTGCTTAGAAGGAAGGTGGCCAACCTCTGGACTTCTCTCGAAAGAGAGCCTCTGGGGGTCAAAGCGTCTGGGTAGGATCTCATGGGGAAAAGTATATTGAGTCCCCAAGCTATGCAAGGCCACGGAGGTGAAAACCGAGCGCTCAAAAGCAGTGCAATGCCCTCCGTCAAGTCTTGTTCCTGCCAGGAGCTGGGCCTCTGAATTCTGCACCAGCTGAAGTTTCCCAACAGTCTCTATAGAGTCGTAAGGGACCCTGTGGGTCATCTAGTCCAACCCGCCCTGCAGTGTAGAAATCGCAACTCAAGCATCCCTGACAGAGGAGCATCCAGCCTCTGCTTAAAAACCTCCAAGGAAGGAGAGTTTGCTGCTGTCCAAGATCTTTTGCAGCCAGGAAGTCCTTCCTGCTGTTTAGTTGGAATCTCCTTGGCCTGCAATTCGAACCCGTCTCCCGGCCCATGACCCTCCTTCTGTCTTCCCTGACGGACAGGTGAGACAGAACACTTCCTCATGAAGCTGATCAACCGGCCCATCATCGTTCTGCGGGGGGAGCATGGCTTCATCGGCTGCCGGAAAGTGACAGGAACCCTGGATTCCAACCGCTCCTCCTACGACGTCTTCCAGCTGGAGTTCAACGACGGGGCCTACAACATCAAAGGTGGGGAACTCCTCCTTGGGGTGAGGGGCTTGGCTTTGGTTCTGCTAGCCCAGGGTTTCCCAAACGTGGGCCTCCAGCTGTTTGTGGACTACAATTCCCATCATCCATGTCCACTGGTCCTGCTAGCTAGGGATGATGGGAGTTGTAGTCCCCCCAAAAAAGCTAGAGACCCATGTTTGGGAAACTCTGGGCGCTAGGCAGGGCTGCATTGACGTTCCGCAAGAATGTCTTCTTTCCTTCTGAAAAGAGGAGCCACATTTCTAGCCCTCCGTGTCCCCCGAGGTACCTCTGCTACAGGCATGACCAAACTTGGCCCTACAGCTGTTTTGGGACTACAGTTCCCATCATCCATGACCTGTTAGCTAGGGATGATGGGAGTTGTAGTCCAAAAACAGCTGGAGGGCCAAGTTTGGCCATGCCTGCTCTGGTACCATGTTGCTGGACTAAAACTCCCAGCAACCTGACCCTTGGCCCTGCTGGGCACTGGAGTTTCTCTCAGCCCCCTCTGCAGGGGGGCGGCCATGTGAGCAACCCCTGGCGCTCAGTGTTCCAGGGAGATTCTTCCTCCGCAGAGCAGCGTCACCCCTTTTCCCTTCCCCGCTTCCAGATTCCACTGGGAAGTACTGGACGGTGGGCAACGAGGCCTCCGTCTCCAGCAGCAGCGACACGCCGGTGGACTTCTTTTTCGAGTTCTGCGACTACAACAAGGTGGCCATCCGAGTGAACGGGAAATACTTGAAGGGCGACCACGCCGGAGTCCTCAAAGCCTCTGCCGACACAATCGACCCCTCCACCCTCTGGGAGTATTAAATGCACTTTAGCACTTCCCTCTCTGTGTTCCAAGCTCTCCATCCATCCACCCAGCCCTCTCCCCTCCTCTCTCTGTGTCTCCCCTCTTCACTTTCAGTTGCCAATTTCTCTTGTTTTTCCTGTTCGGTTGCCTCCCTTCCTAAAACAGAGAGGCTCCCTTCCTCAGCTGTCCTGCTGCTTCTCTCCCGCCGTAGAAGTTTTGGGTTGATCTTGTCTCTTTGAAACTGGAAAAATGTAATTAACCTGCAGGAAACTGTGCACTTCTTGCGGGGTGTGTGTGTGTTGCTTTGTTGGAATACCAAACTCGGTCCTCTGAATTTGAAAGGGAATAAATCCTGCTAAAGTAGATCAGCCTCTGTCGCCCCCTTTATTGGCATCTCCCCTGATGCCATTTATGTGGGGCGATTCTAGTATTGACCTAAGCCAAGAAGCTAGTTTAGCGAAGCCTCTGCTGTTTCCGCTTTCTTGGTTCAATGCTGGCCATGTGGATAAGCCTGAAAAGGGCTTCTCCCTTCTTCTGTAGCCGGTCAGGATCTGTCCGTCTCTCTTTCCTCCTTGGCTTTTTCATAAACACTTCCTTTTCCTTACTCAGGCAGAGGAGTCTTCTCCTGGCACCCCTTGTCCCTCCAGGAAGTGTCCGGGGGGACAGCCAGATGGACGGTGTGTGTGGGATAAGTCTGAGCGTCAGTATAGAGACTGACTTTGGCCAGCGAGTTAAGTACAGTTAATAAGGACTAGACGCTTTGCCCACGTTTTTAAAAATTAGCGAGCTGCTTTTGGTGGACCACTGCTACGTCATTCATCTCGTCGGGGGCTGAGCTTGAGGAAGAGCTCACCCTCCGTTGCTCTTAGGTGCCCAGGGAGCATCTCTTGAGTAAAAAGGCTTGAAACAACCGCACTGACGAAGCTGTGCCACTGCCTTACTCTCCCTCTCCATGTCCCTCGGGTGCTGCAAGTTGTTCTTAGAGCCCCTTTCCTCCCCCCTTTTATATTACTGTCTTTGATATCTCGAAATAATAACAGAAGGGATCACAGCTACCTGTGAAATTACTGCCTGTCCATGACGGCATCTGATAGATGTCAAACTGCACACGCTGATCTGCACCAGTCCCTCTTCCTTGCCTCCGATAGGGGGTGGGGGCCGTGAAAGACCTTTATTTTACTCCTCCGTGCCTCCCAACAAGGAGTGGATGGCCCCAGAGCCACGGACGGTGTCATTTCCCTCTTCCTAAGTGACCCTCTCCTGGCTGGGACTTTGTGTCTCAAGGGGAGTCTTATCTCAGTTGTGTTTGTGTGGGGGCAGAAGCAGAGGTTTGGGCTGAGGAAGAGGCCAGGAAAGGTGATGAATGGGGGCAGTGACACCCATGTTGCAGAGGTCTTTGAGAAGGGGGCTCTCTACACTTTTCAACCGCTTCCTGGACTCTGTGGGGGAAGCGAGTTGCCGCTCTCAATTCACAGGAATAGACAGCCTTTTTTAAAATTAGCAGCCTTTGCACAGTAATAGCACAGCACATTTCCTCCCCCCCTGAATATAACTGGAATCTCTGCCCTACCCCTTAAGCGTTCTTCACCAAGCGGTTTTTCAGAATTGAGGCATCACTCTCCCATCTTGGGGGCTACCTCTTCTCTGCCCCCCGCAGCCCCTCACGTGCCTCTTCCAGGGTTTCCCCCCAAGGCTGCTCTGAACCCCCTCTTGCCCCCCAGCCGATCGCTCTGCTTGTGGGGTTCCTGGGGCAACCCAAGGTGACCAAACAGCGTGTTTCTTGTCTATTTATATATGCTCTTTCCGAAGAGCCCATCTCCACTGTCTGTACTAGATTTGCAGTATTGTATAATCCATTTGTAGCATGTTGCTTAACTGTTTGGGAGTTTGGAAAAAGTCTTGTGTACCTTGGTTTGTTCTTCTGGGCTGCCTTTTTGGGGGTCCCCTCCTTTCCCTCGGCCAACCCGGGGCCCTCCAGAGGTTTGGCACCCCAGCTCCCATCTGCCACAACGTCATTCAACCACGATGGCTGGGGCAAGTGGTCCAAAAACATCTGGATGGCGCCAGCTGTGGCTCTTTGCTTGGGTAGCCTCTGCCTGTTCCAGTACCCCGATTTCTCATGCAATGCAGAGGGAGGAAAAGATTCCCTTTGTGACTGAACTCCACCTGATCATCAGCACCCGTGCAGCCACGGCTGGAGCCCGCCTGGGTTTTCCTGTTGCCAAAATTCAAAGCACCAGCCCTCCTTTTGCTCAAGGCGGGAGGACGCTACAAGCCTTAAACGTGCCATGCACCCTTTGCCACCTTCAGGGGCCTTTTCTGCACTTGGTGCTAAATTCTGAAGCAACTGGAATGATTTGCCTTACGAGGAAAGGAGGGTCACTTCTGGGGTGGCCCAGGAGCTCTGCGTGGATTTATCGGGACATTTTGGGAGTGGCGAAGTCCAGGGAATTCTCAAGGGAAACACACAGAGCTTTGGGAAAGGGGGCGGCTGCTGGGGGGCTGAGTGTCTGCCACCCCCACCCCCCAAATCCTTCAATACTTGCTGGCCTTCATACTTCATGCTGCACCCCCACCCCAAAACCCCTTATTTCATGGATGACTGTTTGAAACTTGTAACCCCAGCTGGCTTCTCCCATGTAACGATTTTTTAAAAGCCGAGAATCCTCCTTGCCTTTCTTCCTTGGCTGTTGTGGCTCTGAAAAAAAAACCAACTACTCACGTTCTGGTATATTTGGTTCAAGTTTTTTTTCCTTGATATTTTTTTTTTGTAAGTGCCATTTGTATAACAAGCTTCAAATGGAGAAGTGACAAAATTAAAAACCTGCATTCAAATAAGGAACAAAAATGTGTAATTTCTCTTCTTTTCCCCACCCCCCAAAAAACCCTCCTATACGTACATACACACACACACACACACACCCATAAGTGTTTCTGGTTTGACTAAGCACACTTCAGAAATCCTACAAAGCTAATGCTGGTCAGTACAGACCAGGGTTTCCCAAACTTGGGTCTTCAACGGCTTTTGGACTAGAATTCCCATCATCCCTGACCCAGACTGGTCTTGCTAGCTAGGGATGATGGGAGTTGTAGTCCAACAACTGAGCGAGATGGATCCACAGCCTGGCTCTGTTTGAGACACCTTTTTCCATGGGACAAGTCTTGCTGCAATTGAAGCGCAAGTCCAAGTGCTCCATTGCCCTGGCTTTCCATTTCAGTCGGTGAGCGCTGAACATGCGCAGTTCCCATTGCCTTTCTCCCTTCAGGTCCCTTAAAATAAAAATGCCAAATCCCGAGTTCCTCAAAGCCTGCGGATCACTTCCCTCATGCACAACTCATGCTATTTTGACCCCGTAAGCATAGATGTGAACTCCTAAAAACCCGAGGCAGAACATTCAGTGGGCATTGCAGACCCTACCTGTTTGTGGTTTGACTAAGCACACCTGCATGTTAAAAGGTGGACACCAAGGATCCCCATCCCAGAATGCAAGAGCCACTCCTGCAGCTGCTGCCAGGACTCCTCCAGCCAGCCCATAAGCATCCCCTGTCAGTACGCCTTTCAACCGATGCCAGGGGCTGGGCTCAATATCTGGTTCTTCCCCGACTGGGCTAGACGACTGGAGCACTTTCAGAGACCTTCCAATCCTGGAAAGCAGGTCTCAGTGCCCTGGACTCACAACTGTGCACTGTGAGCACCAGACTCTGCAGAGTATAAATAACGCAGAAGATAGCTGTGAAGTAGAACTTCTTTTATTTCTAATAGCTACTGCAAACTAAAGAACTACTGGCTTGCTCAAGTGTGTTACACCTCCCACTCAGCCATCTAGTCACTACATAGATAAGACTCTCAGGCAGGAGTGGAAGAACAGAAGAGCAGTTTCCGCCTCCTCCTTTCTCAAAACATCAGATCAGGAGATGCTTGCAATGGGAGGGGGTGAAAATATCAACATCCCCTGCCCCCAGTCTCTCTCAGGAGGAAGCGCTCAGCCCCCCTCACGTCTTTGATCCAAGAAGAACATAATTGCATGCTGGGTCAAGCCAAAGGCCCCTCCCCAAGTCCATCATCCTGCTCTTAAAGGTGCCAATTTTGGAAAATCTTGAAGCAGGACCACAGCTCAATAGCCAACTCCCCTACTGCGGTTTCCAGCAACAGATATCACCCTCATCATTGAGTAAATTGGTATACTGCTCTTCATCCACAAATCTGAGGGTGGTCTACAACATAAAATTGCAGGATTAAAACCACAAAATCCATAGCAAAAATAAAAACAACAAACCAATACTTGTCCGTCCCCCTCAAAAAAACCCCCACATTTAAAAGGGCATCAGCTGCCAATCACCCAAAGGCCTGGGAGAAGAGGAACGCTTTCATCTAGTGCCTAAAAACATACATAGTGAAGGTGCCAGCCGAAACTCCCTAGGGCCACCACAGAAAAGGCCCTGGTCTCGTATTGCCACCCTCTGGCCCTCTCATGGAGGAGGCACATGAAGAAGGGCCTCAGAAGAGGAGGATCACAGGGTCTGGCTTTAGAAGAGGATTGGACAAATTCACACAGATGACTAGCTACCATGGCTCTGCTCGGCTTCCACAGTCGGAGGCAGCGATTTTTCTGAATCCCAGGTTGCTGGAAACTGCAGGAGGGGAGAGTTGCTTTTGTGCTGTGATCCTGCTTGCGGGTTTCCCATTGGAGCGTCTGGTCAGCTACTCTGGAGGCCTAGAAGGCTCACCTTGTACTATGGTGCAGCAGGTCTCAGTGCACTCACAATCTTGTACTATGGTGCAGCAAATAACAATATTCAGATTAAAGTCTTTTGTAAGACCACAGCATCCACACGCAGAGAGGAGGTTGGCCGCTGCGTCTCTGCATGATTTACTGTTCTTGATGTGCCTCCTTCCAGCCGGTGGTGGTGAGAAGCCCTAGTCTCAGCAATGGAATGGGGTGGGTCTTTTAATAGCTCCTCATGCAGAAAGCAACGCTTAGCCCCACAGAACCATAGCATTGCAGAGTTGGGAGGTACCCAGGGGGTCATCTAGTCCAGCCCCCTGCCATTTGGGAATCCTAACTAAAGCATCCCTGATGGATGGCCATCCAGCCTCTGCTAAGAACATCTGCCTAGGAGGGAAGCCTCAGGAAAACACCAGAGAGCTGCTGGTCAGTTTCAGCAATACTGAGCTAGTGGACCAGGGGGCAGTTCCAACACTGCAGGAATCCTGAGGAATCCCTACATTTGCCCAGTGCAGAGTGAGTATGATCAGAGCAGCCTGTTAGGAGTTATGTGTGCAGCAGCCTGTGAAAAGTGGGGGATGGATCCCCCAGGGCAGGGGGGGGTCTCCTATAATGCTCTTCTGCAGCAGCTTTCCAGACTGCGGCCGGTGTGTGAAAATGGTTGGTCCAGAGGTGTCTGAAAATAAGAAGCTGCAGCCGGGTGCTCCAGTCCTCGTTGCCAGTAGCAACTTGCTGGATGTTCTTTTATTTGTGGCAGAATCCGTTCTGCAGCCCGGCTCTGCTTCTCCCTGCACAGCAAGGCTTGAGGGCAAGGGGAGTGGGGTCGCCTCTCCATCCTCCTTTGGGAAAGAAGGGGCAGCCTTGCTCTGATTTGTTGTCTGAGAGAAACGGGGGGCCCTCGCCTTTGGGAGGGGAAAGCCGCCCTCCTTGCAGGCCTCCTGGCTAACAGGCATTTGGTCAGCCTGCTTTGGACAGCAGTGCTGCTGACTCTGGTTGGCCACCATGAGGACAGGAGGCTGGCTAAGTAATGGGGCTGATCCTGCAGGCTCCAGTGTTGCTAAGCAAAGCATTTGGTCCCTTTTGCTGGCAGGACTGTGAGATCCAAAGCAGTTCAGTGTTACCTGCAAATGCATGGAATGCAAGGAAACCTTGTCTCAGGGGTAGCCTTAAAACAAACTCTGCTCAAACCCAGCTGAGCTCAACAGGGCTTGCTTGAGAGTAGACAGGCTTGCCCCGCGAGTCTCCCATTGGAGAGTAATTGCTGGTTCCATAAGCAATTCCAGCCATCTCAGCTGCTGCACGAATTAACATTCGTTGACGGCCCTTCCACTGGGCTGAGGCAGCCTTCCCAGATACTGCGTTTATGTTCTAAATGTGCAGCTGGACAAATGTTTTGTGCAGTGTCAGAAAAGTGCAGTGTGAAGCAAGTGTTTTTTTTTGCAGTTGGGCATGTGGAGTTTCTAAGGAACTGGGCTGTGTCGATAACAGAAATAAGGTGAGGAAAAGAATGTTAAAAATGAAGATGAAGGCTGGTTCCTTTCATATCTCCCTATCCTGGCCAGGCAAGAGAGGCGGCCTTTGCCCTCTTCACCTCTCCTGTCCCCAGCACTCAGTTCATGGAGTTTCCATCTCGCCCCCCACCCCCTTTTCCAAGGCAGCCAGGCTGAACTCTGGCCCTCTTCTCTTGAAGAGGGGAAGGGTGTCTGACCATGGAGAGGGGCTGCCTGACGCTTTGATGCTGCAAGGAAGGAGGGAGGGGGACACCTTGGCTCTGAATAGCAGCTTGGGGGGGGGGCTTGGCTTGTCCTCCCTCCTCTTTTCCCTTCACCTCCCCCACCCCCACCTCCTTTATTTGAAGAGGTCAGGGAGAGAAAGGCAGGAAGAAAGACAACAGCCCCCAACCCCCTGCCCTGCTTGGGCCCAGACAGGCCTTTCTCCTCCACACAAAGGAAACACTTTCTGCAGCAGTGGAGGCTCCAGCAACCCACAGATCAGGCTAAAACTGACGTGTCAGGAGGGGGGGGATGTGTGCCACTCCTGTTAAGAGGAAGGAGCAACAGAGCTGTCCATTTGTCCATTTTCAAATCATTTTGCAAATTAAATAAAACACACAAGCCTCCGTGAAAATTCATCGAGTTCCTCCTGATATGCAGATCTGTTTGCAACTGTCATTTTTGCTTATTTGAACCTGGTACAGTTGGGGTCTTGCTTCCTAGTTCGAAGAGACGCTTGAGGAAATCAAAACAGGGCTGATGGAGGAGAGACCCTGAAATAAGCTCTCTCCAGTCGTATTATGCAGAGGATCAGGCTGTCAAAGAGCACACACACAGCTGCACATCCATTTAATGGGGGCAGATCTCTTTCCTCGTGGGGAAGGAAAGGCCACGTTACAAGCTATTGCTCTTTACCCTACACTGGCAAACCAAGGCGAGTGAGCAGATCCCCGGACCTCTCCAATTCTTGCGAAGGAGGGTGCGTCAGAATTCCCCACCTGGTGAGGCAGGGGAGAAAGAGATTTGCCTTTAAAAATGAATAATCTAACCCTCCAAATGACATGAATTGCATCCACATGGAGAGATTTCAGTGCTGGGAGCTGGGGATATAGGACTGGTGTTTAGGGATGGAATCAGAAGAACTCTACTCTGCAAACACCCTGGTTATTATGGTTATATTATGGGTATCTTCTGCAACACATTGGCACACTGATAGTGCATCCATGGCAGATTTATCCTGCTTTAGCTTGTTCCACTACGGTATTGTTGCTCTCCAGAGGAGTCATGGCAAGAGGAAATCGGGACGAAAATAACCCAGAACATTTCCCGTATAAGAAGCTACAGGATTTCAGAGGAAGAGTCTCCTGGATCAGACCAATGGCCCACCTTGTCCAGCGTCTTGCAGCGGCTGTTCAGATGTTTTGCCACCTATAACCACAAACAACAAAAGGTGTGGAGGAAACCAGAAGCCAGGTTGGGGGAGGAAAGAAACAGCCACCCAATGAGAGTGCACAAGGTTGTTGTTTTAATTACAAAAAATTCAAATTACAATATAATACAGAGACTTTTTACACACAGAATATTAGAATGGTTTCCTACCAGAAGGTAAAGAAAAAATATTCTTTTTTTCCTTTATTAATAAACCACTTATTCATTTTTAAGCTATTGTTATACAAAGTTCCAGGACATGCACAATTTGTTTGCTCTTTTTTTTCCATTTCTTTTCTTTTTTTGCGAAGTGCAAATACTAGATTTCTCTCTTTCCACCTTTTAAGGCAAGTTAAATGCGACACTGCAAATTTGATAATAGAAAGTACCTGTTAAAATGTCAAGCTTGGGGTGTACAAAATACACACTTCCCTGTGTCTACCCGTAAAGAGAGATGAACTTTTTTTTAATTTAAAAAAAAAAAGCCACAAAGGAAAATGCAAATACAAAAGAAGAGAGGAGGTCGCAAGAACCTGGAGCCCACAGAGGCATGTTGACAGCAGCCTTTGCTAACTGCTGCCCGGCCAGATGTTTTGCACTACAATGCGCAGCCAGGAGGGCCATATTGTATACTCACCACAGCTGTACTAGCTGGGACTGGTGGGAGTTGTAGTGCAGAACAACTGGAGGGCGCCCTGTCCAGGAAGCCTGGCTCAAGCTCAAGGGACTTCAATGTTACCTATGCTAAACCGTCCTGGTTCGCAGGACGTTTCCGGGCGGACCTCTTCAGGTTGTTTTTTAAATCCCCCTATGCAGAAAAATAACACAGCAGGGGGAAGTGGCCACACCAGAATCCTTGAGCTTGCTAGCTTTATGCGTGCAAGGATTTAAAAAAAAAAAATTGAGCAGAGAAGCGTTCTGTCATGAGAGGCCTCACCTGCATGGCCAGGTGGTGCGGCCTGGACTGAAGCACGCCACTGCAGTGAGAAGCCGGCCTTCACGCTGCGTCACAGTACGGGGGCAACGCTCTCCCATGTCAGACACACAGGTTTGGTAAAGTTTCCCTGGCCGAAGCTCAGAAAACCCCTCACAAAGAGACGATGCTCTCCCCGTGCGAAACTTGGAAAAGGAAACCAACATATATCCGAAGTTAAGATTCATCCTTGAATACCTGCAAGAAAGGAAATCCTGGCCCCCTAGGGGCCTCTTCCCTGCAGATGCCTGCCCTTTCTCCCCAACGTGGTGTTCTTAACACGGAAAGGGACCGAGGACCAAAATCCGATTCAAGGGATGGGGGGGCTCATTGTTTAGGACGAAGTTGCGCAACCCCAAACAAGAAGTTGCAAGGAGAAAGGCAAAATGCTCACGGGGACGCTTCCACTGGGGCGGGGGGAGGCAATTGAACAAGGCTGTTCAAGAAGTGCCAGGAGCTGGACCTTGGCATCTCTGTTCATGATCATAGGCTAAGGAGGTCTTTGCTTCAGGCTTACACATCAAAATGAGCAAGGCCAAAAATCATGTTTTAAGTCAGTATGGACCCCAAGAGGTTTTCTCCACTGCTCGTGGGCAGGCAAAGAATGAGGAAAGAGTGTTTCAGTTTCAGATGCAGTAAAAAAGGCACCGTCTTTGCAGTCAAAATGCCTCGATTTCCCAAGAGGTGGATTATCCCCGCTTAAAGAATTATTTTACTCAGAGCACCAGAATGATGGGAGGCAGAGGCTAAGGAGTCATTCAGCTTGGGCGGGTATCTTTCTTCAGTATTTTGTCTATGCAAAGAGGAGGACCCCTGGCCAAATAAAAAACCTCACTGAAAGGGGCACCAAGTGGGGATGGGGTGGAGGAATGGGCCATCCCATCCATGCTAAATGGCTTTTGAAATCCACTGGATATGAAGAACAGCAACAGCTGAGCTTCCAATCTCTGGCTAACAGGAGCTGCCGCCACCCAAGTCTCCATCTCTACAGGAAGCAGCCTGAAATGAATGGAGGCTATGAACCAGAGTCAGCACAGAAAATGGGGAGATGGTGAAGGGCCAAGGGCCTCACGGGTCCAGCAAACTGCAATGAAAGGTCTCCAGTCGTACTAAGGCAACAGCAGCCAGCTTTAACTGCACCTCTGCCTGCTCCCAACTACGTTCACTCAAGTACAAACATCCACAAAGACCTTCCAAAATGCTACGGTTTAGAGATAACAAACGGTAAACTTCATGTGAGCTGGTCAAAGCAAAGGGGAAGAGAGCACAGTAGCCTAACAATAGGGAAACGCCATTCTTAGGACCTGCTTCTGGTGTGCAAGGATCTGATTGGTCAGCGTTAGGAAGGCTCTAACCATCTTGGTAAAGGCACCCAGGGCCCTTGCACATGCCAGGGCGATTCTGCAGCCTAGGTTGGCAAAAAGGTCAAGCTCCTTGCCGGAAGTTGAGCTTTGCCTCTGAGCCCTGGCCACTCTGGGGAGCCCCACACTCTGCACAGCCAACACAACCACTGTGAGCGCATCAGAATTCCCCAAGACAAAAAGGGATGCAAGGTCCTCACCCAAATCTTTAAACACACAGGGACACAGCATCAGGATGTCCCGGCACAACTGTCCATGTGCACATGAATGGGCCGGTAGGCAGGAAGGCCACCCGAGCTTCATCTGCAACCTGGGGAACGCTGCCTCCCCAGGGAAATTGTGCCTGCTGCATAGAATGTAGACCTGGCCCAGAGCGCAGAGCGCGCAGGAGCTTCTCCTCCCAGCGAGACCCACGGAAGGGGAGCCAAAGTGACTGGGGGAACATGCACACTGCAGAAGCAATCCTGGAAAGGCAGTGCCAATGGGCAAACTGGGAGCGATGCACCAACACCAAGCGCTTTCAGAAGCAGCTTCTCTTATCAATTAAACCGCAGGATGGCACCCACAGGCCACCTCTCTGTCTACAGCTGTGATACAAGAGGGGTTTCTTTCATGCATAGCTGGTTGCTGCATGCATGCACTCACACACGCCCAACGCTTTCAAAAATATCGCCAGCGGTCCTCCCATCCTTTGTTTCCTGACAGCTAGCCCTGCTGATGTTCCTTTTCTCCAAACGCAGCGCCACCTGCATGTCCGGCAATTGCTACATCAAATAATCTTTTGTTTTAAAGTTAAGGTGCTAATGTCAAAACCTGAAGAGAAATCAGCCAAAGAGCACTTGGCCAGCTGTATCGTGACCCCTTTTAAGAATCACTGAACAGGAGCAGCAGTGTCGACAAACAGCATGATTTTAAACTACAGCAAACATGGAACAGTCAACGCAATGGAACTTTTAAGCCAACAAACTTGGAATGCAGGTATTGCCAGATTCATCCGCAGTGCGCGCATACACCACTCCCTCCACACCTGTCCCACAGGCAGTTGTTCTCTCTCTGCAGCAAAGGAGTCATTGTTTCACTTTTGTAACACACTCCCTCAGCTATTCCCAACCTGGTGCCCTCCAGATGTTATAGACTCAGGCCCCCAGCCAGGCGAGGCTGGAGTTGCAGTCTAGGAGAGCACCAAATAAAATGAGTGGGAGGGACTGAAACAGATCAGTTTCCAAATAAATAGGTGGTGGTGCTTGGGTACGTATTGCAAGGGAAGAGGGGAGGGCAGGAGGCAAGAGCATCCCCACGGCTATTGGGAGAATTGTTTTGGTTGCCTCTCAGGGTTTAAGGTTTGCCCGCTTTCCGTGCCCTGGTGGAGCTCATGCAGGGAGCTCCCAAATCCATGAGGGGGGAGGGGGGCCAACATCGGAAGAGAGGGGAAAGGGCGGAGCTGCCATATTTGGCTTTGTCTGTGGCCCGTAGTCCCAGGACTACGAAGGTCAAAAGGGAAGGTCGGGGGAGAGAAGAGCCCAACTCAGAACGGGTTCCACGCCCCCACTCCACCCCAAAGATGCTTTATCGTAATACTTCTAAAAGGAAAGCAGACCCAGAATTTCAAAGAGTAAGTGCGAAATGTATTTATTATTAAGCAAAAGGGTGGTTGGAAATTCTTCTCCATTGGAGTTATTTTCTGTAAGTTGCTCATAATCCTAGCAAATGAGAGCATCCATGTTCATAGCTTTGCGAGGGAAAAACTGTTTCAAATGGCTGGCGTTAAGTCAGGCGGACAGGATGTGATCCAGTGCTCATTCCTGCCGCACTCGCCGCACAGAAGCCTTAGAGTGGGGATGGACCTGACATGTCGTTGTGCGAAAAGTGGTCCGTATCTGGCAACAGAGACCCCTCCTTGAAGCAGAGGCAGGACTGCAGAGCTCTGGAGTTCCGCAAGTCATGCAGAAGGTCAGGCACATGGGAGCCTTTGAAGGACAGGCTGCAACCAGCTGTGCATTTGCCGGCACTGGTACAAAACAGCCCTTAAGCCAAGGGTGGGGAATCCATGGTGGTCCTCCGGAGGCTGCTGGACTACAACTCCCATCATCCCTCTGGGCATGGGAGCTGGAGATCAACAAACCCTCTTTCAGCCCTGCCTGGAATAATCCAAGTGGAAAGCTTTAGGCTGAAGGTTTCCACAGCCGAGTGCGGTGGGTCAGCGGCTCAAGAGTCCAAGGAAGCCTTTGCACATACGCAGAGTGCCCAGGAGCGCTTGGGTCATGATTGCCCTGTCCCAATTAACGAGGGCTCCACTGGCCTCAGGCAGCTCCATGTATGCAGCAGCAACTCTGCGATCTTCTGGGAGCTGGAAATGCCTTTCAAGTGCGCAGGGGGGAATTCCTTGACCTCCAAGCCTGCAAGATGCCCCAGAGTGCTTCAGACCACAACTAGACAAGTCAACGAGCAGGTACTCCCAACATGCTGAAGACCCCGAACAGCAAAGCACACCGACTACAACACCAGAGGAGGCAGAGGCTCGCCTGTGAAGCCAGCCAACGCTCACCCAGTTCCTTCCAAAGATTCCAGACACGTCACCACCCACACCGCCCTCCCTGCAGCTGTACCAGGATTCAACCCACAAGGCTTTCCATGTGCAATGCAAAGCCCAGCAGGAAGCAGCCACAGGGGCAACGCACCCCAAAGCCATAGCACTGCTAAGTCAGAGGCCCAGCACCAGAGGTTTGGCTCACACACTTGAGAACTGTTCCAGCCACGGAAGCTGCATTTATTTTAAACAGATGCGGTCTCACGTTACATTGAGCTGAGTGACAGCAAGTCTTCAGTTTGGCACCTCGGAAGAATCAGAGGCCTCTGATATCTCTTTGAAAAGCCCGACCCACCAACACACTGAGTCTGGGAAGGCTGGGTTGCAGCCAACGCGAGTCCTGCTCAGAGTGGAGCCATTTAACTTCATGGGCACGGCCAACTTAGGTTCACTGGTTTCAACGGGTCTACTCTTGAGTAGGACTTAGTTGGCTGCAACCCGCCGCCTGACTCCTGTGCCAAAGGCACAAGATGGTTGTGGTGGGAAGAGCTCTGCTGGGGTTTCTTCCTGACCTGAGGGCCACAGAAGCTGCCAATCTGGTGTTTGCAACGGCCTCTGCCAACTTCTGCTTGCCTCGGTGGTTTCCCATCAATGGTTTAATTTGCCCGTCAACCACACCGGTCAAAATCTGTAGCTGGCTGGAGCTGAACCTCCTACCTGATATTTTTCCACTCTCAGCGCCGTTTGGGCAGGCATGAGAAACTGTGGTTTTGGCACGTGGGTCCGAGTCGTCGCTGCCTCTTTCCAAACAGGCCCCTGCACCCCCTGCCTACCTCACTGAGCAGAGAACTTCCTTCCTAGACGAGCGGCGGAAGCAAAAGGGTGCCAGGGCGAGCCTCCCGTCCCTTCCGCTTCCCGCAAAAGAGACTGGGCAGCAAAGGTGCTGATCTTGCCTTGGGGGACGAGAAGACCGGAGGGGCGCCCAGGAGCGTGTTCAGCGCTTGCAGTTTACTGGGAAAGTGGAGAAGAGAGGAAGGGGCGGGCTGCGTCAGCCAGTGTGTGGACTTTCCCTGCAGAGACTTCCCAAAGTCCTGGCGCCGCCCTGAGCCGGGTCAGAACCGGTGCCGTGGCTGTGGGCCAAAGTGCATCGGGAGGTTGTGCTCCAGCGGCAGGTTCACCTGGGGGAAGTCGTAGTTCACCCGCATGTTGGGCAGGGGGGGCACATAAGGGGCAGGGATGGGCCCCATGTTGATGTGGCCAATGTTGTTGTAGAGCGGGCGGACGGGGGGCATGTTCAGCGGGTAGGCAGGGTGCACAAACGGGTAAGGGGGCATTTGGTGGTGAAGGTTCTGCGGGACCGGCCTGGGGATGGCTTCGATTCGCGGGATTTTCTCCGCAGGCTTCTCTGCCGGGGGCCCAATCCGCTTGAAACTGTTTTCTAGAGGAGGAAAGAAAGACAACAATGTGGAGGGCAGGTAAACAGCAGAATCAGCAGTTCAGCTTCAACCTTTAAAGCGATGGGGGCAGGGAAGGGCCAGCCTGACTCCCCCAGATATTTATGGACCCCTGGGCCAAAGGCGGTCAGAAGAATCGAGGGGTCCAGCAGCAGCTAGAGGAGAACCAGGCTGGCTCGGATTGAAATCCGTTTGGAAAAATCTTTCTGAGTTATCTAAAAAGTGCAATGATTAACCGAGCAGCAGATTTAAAACTGTATAAATCCTACAGAACCTTTAAAGAACACCACACGAGATATTCTCCATTTTCTAATACTGCTGCTATAAGAGATGCAGGCAACTCCCATGCTTCCTGCTTTAGGTCTACGGCTTTTGCGCATGATGCATTTTACTCAATCAACTCATGCAATGAGCCAATTTTTTTTAAAAAAAAAACCAGTTTCCCCCTATGTCACATATATAATTTAAAAAGAAGTAATTTTGGTGAACTCAAACTTATTACAGTGGTACCTTGGTTTGCATATGTTTTGGATTACAAGCATGTCAAACCCGGAAGTGCATGTCCTGGTTTGCAACCTTTTTTTGGAATACAGTCCTTTTTTTTTTTATTACAAAAAAAAAATAAAATTGGAGGCCCCATTGGCAAAAGCACGCCTTAGGTTACAACTTGTTTTGGTTTACAAACAGACCTCCGGAATGGATTATGGTTGCAAACCAAGGTACCACTGTACTTGCCATTGGAATTCCCCTTTCTCAATCCTTTTCTCCAAACGTAACCTTCGGCTAAAACCCCACGGTGGTTGTAATGCTCTGCTTTTTCTGCAGAAGACCTGCATGCCACGTACACGGGCCTGGCTGAAACCTGCCTGCCAAAACTCAGGCAGTGCAGCTGAGGTTATCCCAGGGTTATTATGTTATGTATTCTTGTGTTTCTATACTTTAAACTGTTCTGCGATCCTCAGGTGAAGGGCAGTATAGAGGTTAAATAAATGATGATGATGATGATTACTACAGACCCCTTGAGGCTACAGAATATCCCTAGGGTGCTGAATTGTGCAAACACTACCAGCTCATTTTCATCTAAAGTTTGCAAGATCAACCAACAGGCAGACAACCGACCAGCCAAGTGTGTCTCGTGTGGGTAATCATGGGGCTTAGGCAGAAAGCGCTTCTGGGAATTGGGGCTGCTCTGTTCTCCAGGGACCCCCATCGACCTCTGCCTGTTAAGGGGGGAGGGGGAGGCACCACCCACCTCCGTTTTTCCTCTTTTGCTCCTCTTCAGCTTCCTTCTGAATCTCCTGGATTATCTTCTCGTCATCCTCCTAGAAAGGACAGAAACAAACAAAAGCGTCAGCCAGGCTGTTTTCTCTCAACGCCCAAACAGACGAAGAAGGAAAATCGAATTTCTGTGCTGAAATCTGCGGAGAGAAAATCTGAATTCTGCAAATTGTGCAGAAATATGCAAACCCGAGAGAATTCTGTCAGTTTTGCATGCATTTATTCTGCAAAAGTGTGTTGCTGTTTATGTATTTTCCCTGGCTATTATTAGAAATCTTGCTCGGCGACCTCATCTGGTTCTCGAGATCACCCCGGACACTTTGAGGCCTGAGGGCCAGGGCCTTATTTGAAGAAAAGGAGACGGAGGAGGTGGTTTGCAGGAATCTGAATTTGGTAAGCAGCGAATAACCACTTCCTGTGGAAACTGAGCACCATTTCAGCCAGCCGGGTCGCTCTAAGCCCCGGCTGCCACGAAAAAGAGGTTCGGGCGGACGCCTCTCCAGCGCTGCGGGTGCAGACGGCCGGCTGTGCAGCCGAACATTTTCAGCAACATCTTGGACTGTATTTGAAACTGGGGGGGGGGGGGGAGCAAGCAGCAGGTGCACGGCCACACTGCTGACAACTTGCTGTGCGCTTGCACGAATCCTCACCCACACCATGGAGCGTGACTAAGCCGCTTACAGGCAGAACACTGATCCTGCCGCAAAGCTTGCAAGACTGACGAAGCAGATGGCAACAAGCGGCGCCTCCCCCCAGCCCTGCCAAGGAGCAGCTGGAGCGATGCTAATCCTTTAAATGGCATCCAAGCGTGAAATGTTCAGGGGGCAGCTCCAGAGAGCCCCACAGCCGGGCTGCCTGGGAGAGGCTGCCTGCCATGGAGGAGGAGGCAGGCCTTGAATAATCAGATTAAGAGGCTCAATAGGAGCAGAGCTAGAAACTCAGGTCTGTAAACTAGGCGCCAAATGGCTCCTGAATTCAAGGTTGCGGTCGCCAAAATGGAATGTCTAGTTGCCATTTTGGGACAAGACGGCTTGAAAGCCTCATTTTTCAAATGATGGACTGACTGTGATGGATTCTCAGTTAAACAGTGCAGATGACAACCTTGCGCTAGGTTAAGAAATTAAAAGAAGAAAAGTCACTTGATCTAGGGACATTCCACATCTATATTGGCCTCTTCCAACCTCTTTTTTTTTAATGGCGGCATGGACCATTCGTAACGGAGGAATATTCTTCACAACTGTGAGCAGGGCAGTGGGGGAAGTGAAGACAAGCGACGACGATTCACTGTGACGTTGTTTGCTGCTCCTGCTCCTGCCACACAGAATTTCTCTGCCTGCTTCCTCAGCTGGCTGGGCAGGGGGCGTCTCCCATCCGCAATGCCTACGACATATGCTGGGAGAAGGAGATTAACCAAGGCAGGCAGGAAACAAAGAGTCCCCACCCTCACTCTGTCCAACGATAGGACCGGCCACAATCGCCAACACTGCTTGCCAGCCTAGACCGCACGCTCTCTCCAAAACGGGGCCATCCTTACTCCGTTCTCCTTTCTTTCCATTCCTCTTCCTCATCCCTCTGCATGTCCCCACATTCCACAGTTCTCAAAAAACCTCAATTTTGGAAGCATGCCCAAAGTTACATCTTAAAAATTTATGCAGAGCATAGGATCAGGGGGACAGAAAGTGAGAGAGAGAGATGTAGACTGCAGGACTAGTTGGAGGGAGAGTCTGGCTGCCTTGCGAGATGCAAAGAACTTCAGCACAGCTTGTTTTCATTTCCCCCTTTTAATCTCTTCCTGTATTCCACCCCCCCACCCCCCGTCCAATGTGGAAAACGCTCTGGATTTGGAGAACGCCCTGGGACACTCCTGCAAAATGTGCTGTCTTTGCATAACACATGGATGGATGCAGGAGGCTTGCCAGCTTCCAGATTTGAATCTGGTGAAGCCCAGCACATCTCGAAACTCTGCCAAGTTTCCCCGTTCTGCTTTCTGGCGGGAGGAGCTCAGCATCCCACCAGCGAGGAGAAGTCTTCTGTCCAGCAAGGCTGGTGCCCTCACTCCAATTTCTTTCCTGAGTCAGCAGGCTGCCTCCAAAAGGCTTTCGAAAACAAAGGCCCTATGGATCGTTGATAGCAGACAGCCACTCGAGGAAAGCCTTTGCAGCCACGACTCTGACCCTGCAACTGACCCAGTCGTACCGCGCATCTGCTTTACAAGTGAGTAGGTGGCGAACTTCCCGCTTTGGGCCACGTGGCCTGATCCTGGATGTGAGAAGGCGCCCCTGAGGCACTAATCCCAGCTGAGAACCGTAATCAAGTTTGGTATTTAAAGGGCAGAGATTTTTTCTCCCACTACAAGCTAACACAGCAAAAGCTGAGAACAAGAGGGCAGCAAAATCGCCAATTACTGTGCTTGTGAAATATCACAGACCAGAGCTCTTCCTTCGTCATGGCCTATGCCTGTGCTGTTATGGCAGAGGTGCCACAGAAAAGTGCATTATTTTTGTTGTTGCTGCTTCAACAGACTAATGTTGGTGCTACTCTGGAATTAATCCCATCAGTACCACTGGAAGAACAAACACAGGACATTTCTCTCTCATATACACACAGAGAGAGAGCAGAGCCAGGCAGCTGCTTTCCTCAAATTCCCTTTCCCCCCAAATCAGAGAGTAGGATAAGGCTTGCTGGATCTGACTGACTACAAGCCCTAGAAATATTTTTGTGAGGATAAACTGCGTGGCTCCCTCCTGCCCCTGACCTGCCACTTTGAATTCCTTAGAGAAACGGCGTGATGCAGTGGTGACAGGTAGGACGCCTGCATCTTGTCAGGTTCTGCTGGAGCAGCACAGAGCAAGTCACCTGGGATTCCGCAGGTGTGACGGGGAGCCAGCTGCAGGCTCAGAGTGGGCGGGGGGGGCGGACTCTGTCAGCTCCCCACCGAAGCCTCCATGGGGAGAATCCCCAGCTGCAGCCACACTGTATGGTTTTCCTGGAAGCTTGTGGATTTGCTAATAATAATAATAATAATAATAATAATTTTTTTTAAAAAAATTATTTATACCCCCCCCACCACCCGGCCAGAGCCGGGCTCAGGGCAGCTAACACCAGTAAAATTACAGTAAAAACATAATGGGGGGGGGAGCAATTTAAAATGCAGCCTCGTTTTAAAAGTAGCCCATAGAGCAAAACCATAAGGGGAGGGAAACGTATGGGTCAGACTGAGTCCAAACCAAAGGCCAGGCGGAAGAGCTCTGTCTTGCAGGCCCTGCGGAAAGATGTCAAGTCCCGTTGGGCCCTGGTCTCTTGTGACAGAGCGTTCCACTAAGTCGGGGCCAGTACTGAAAAGGCCCTGGGACTAGTTGAGACCAATCTAACCACCTTGCGACTTGGGACCTCCAAAATGTTGTTATTTATGGACCGTAAGGTCCTCCATTGGGGCATACCAGGAGAGGCGGCCCCGTAGGTTCCCCCCAAACAGCAAGAGAGCTTTGGCCAGCAATGTGATCTTGCCACGTTCTGCCTGAGAGGATCTTCAAGGGGTGAGAAAAAGTGACCAGGCTGTCAGTTTTCTTGAGCAGCAGCACGGAGGCCAAGTCTGCACCTCCCCACCTCATTTCTTAATTCTGCAAACTGCCACGCCTCTGCCCAGATGCTGCTGAAATGTGCCAGTTTTCAGTGCATATTTTCACTTCACATTGCACACTTTCCTGCTCAGCTATTCGTTCTTTTGGCACGTGATCAATGTACAATATGGATTTGCATACTTTAAAGAGAAATTGGGGGAAGCCTGGGAGGGGACAAAGGAGCAAAACAGCTGCACACATGGCGGTATTAACGCCTGACACATATATAGGGGGCACAGTGAAAATGCCAATGTTTCTGCCTGCTGAGGATGCAGAATGAAGGACAGCATTCCTGGCAGAGCTTTATCCCAGCCCAGAAACTGCAACTTAAGAATTCACACAAGTTTTCTTCCCCCTGTAAATTGCCTCTGCCTGAGCATGCCAAAATATAATTGGGTCCCAAGATAGCAGTGCATAAACAAGACTCAAAAATATGAAAATAGTACTGTATTGTATTCAAAGAACATGGCTAGCAAAAGCTCGTGTTTACCATACTCAAGTGGTGTTTATTCTGCTTTGCCCTGGGAATCTGAGCAAAATATTCCATTCTCACCCTTGTTAAGTGTATATTTATTGGACACTGTTTGAACATTTTGTATAATTTATGCCATAAAAAACAAGTTGTGCTTACAGCTAACACTCTACCAGCAAAAACAGGTGAAATAACTTCTCCCGGCCAGTTATGCACATGAAGGTTGTGGGTAAATTTCCAGGGGGTGGGGGCTGCAATTGCTTTTCCCAAGACCGCTGAATTCAGTGGGCGGGATTGGAAAAGGCTAAGAGACTGAAAGAGATTTTCAGCCCGTGTTCTGTCTTCTGCTATCACACACACAAATGCATTACACTTTTGGGCTTAACTGCATCTTCATTTCCTCTCTCTGTTCTGTGGGTCTTCCTGTTCTTTATGCACTGGAAAAGCAACGGGGACCATGCAGAGAAGCTGCACCAACGATTAACATTCTGCACAGAGTTAAACCCAACCCAGCCCTTGCGGAGAGAAAAGGAGGGACTCTGCACCTTGCATAAATCACGCAAACCAAGGAAATCTGCATGTGTGTGCTAATGTTGCGTAGTTTAGTCTGGTGCTGCTAGCTATAGGTAATGCAGGCTGCTGCACAGAGCACAATGGCCTGCTCCTAAGCAACGGGAATTTCATTTAGCAACTGTCTGTCTGCGGAGATGTCATTAAGTGTTGCCCACAATGAAAATGGAAGGAATCCTGAATGCCGAGTCAGCCTTCCCTCCCGCCATTTACGGAACAACTGCACAGCTGATGGAAATGTTTTATCGTTTTCAGAATTTGTAAATATGGTTGTATTGTTTTTAGAGCTTACGGGAACCATTTTATTGGTTTGAGAACTTGTGCTTTATTCTGCTTTTACCTTCTCCACCACTTCAATGGCTTTATGCTACTTAAAGATCCCTTTAAATCGGTTAACTAATCTGTTCACTGAAATGCATTACCACCATTCTATTGATTATCCCCTTTTAACCAACTCGGTAGCGGAAGCTACTGGAGTGAGGGATGTGGTTGGTGTCTTGGTGGTGTCACAAAGGCTGGCCTCTTCTCGGAGCTGCATCTGGAACTGGGATGCTACCCCCCCCCCGGCAAAGCTCACCCCAGAGGGTGGGGCATGGGATGTGCTCCCCCCTTGCAGGAAATTGGGTGCAGGCTGCTGGATCACTGCACTCCTTTCCGCTGGAGTGGAAGGGAAACAAAACGCATCTATTTTTGTTTCCCTGCTTCAGTAGTTCCAGGCGTGCGTCTCTACACACAGCAAGAGCACAGCTAAGCGAAAGAAAACGTGAAGTGTTGGGAAAGGGGAAAAGGGCCAGACGGGAAGGAGACATTCTCAACCAGCACAGAGTTCAAAAAATAAAATAAAAAATGCAATCACAGAATATTTCTATAGGGGATTTTTGTCCAGTGCAGCAACATCACCAAAAGATGGGAGGGAGGAGGGAGAGACTGGCTAATTATTTCAGGGTGGAGAAATATTTTTTTGGCATTTTAAAAAGAGTTACTGGGAGCTGGTTTCTCCATTTGCAATGCATCCCCCCCCCCAATTTTTGAAGAAATATTAATAAAAGGGCTTCCTTTTTCATGCATGTGCAGGCACAGCCGTTCCCAATAAGCTCTGAAATGATTTCATGAGGCAGACACTTCCAGGAGGGGGAAGGGAGGGAGAAGAGCTCCTTTCAAATCATTCCCAGCTTAGTCAGGGAGCGCTTGAGTAACAAGAGGCAAGGCGGGAGGAGGGAGAGAGTACAGGTCTGGAATGGAGTCAGCAAGCAGGGCGGGGGGGAAGGGGGGATGAAGCCCCCCGTAGAAGGGAGAGCTCCTGCACGGAGGCACAGGCAGCTTGCTCATGGCTGAGAACTAGCAGGGAGATGGACTGCAACCTATGGAAGGCAAGGCAAGCCACTTTGGGGAAGGAGCTGGCTTAAGTGGTGTGTGGAAGCACATTAGTACGTGGCTCTGTGGACTCTTGCGCAGGGCAGCGGAAGCCTTCTTGCTGTGCCTTGGACATTGTGCCACAGTGAGAGAAACAAGGAATAAGGAAGGTGCTTCTGGAAGAGAGGTCCAGAGGGTGGCAACACGAGAACGGGGCCTTCTCTGCAGTGGCTCCCCGTCTGTGGAATGCTCTCCCTAGGGAAGTTTGCCTGGCGCCTTCATTACACACCTTTAGGCGCCAGGCAAAAACGTTCCTTTTTAACCAGGTCTTTGGTTGATCCAATTTACATCCTATGCCCTTTTAAAATGTGGCTCTTTTTGTGGGGGGCACTATTGGATTATTGTTTTTATTTTTATTTTATATATTATTATCTTTTTTGTGAACCGCCCTGAGACCTCCGGGTATAGGGCGCTATATAAATTCAATATGAAATGAAATAAAATGAAATGAAGATGTTGAGTGGCCAGAGGGAGCAGACTGGGAGAAGGGGGTGTCGGAAGCTGAAGAGGCAGCAGGGCTTAGTGAGCTGGGAGAGGCTGGGGCAGAGAGAAGTCCAGAATCAAAGACCGAAGCAGAGGGGCTGAGGCAGGCTGCTGAAGAAGCCAGGGAGATCTCCCTACTGCTACTACCTGCTCCCTCCCTCCCCCAGTCTCCCAGAACCAGAAGAGGTATGAAAAGGGAGAAGCAATGAGAGACACGACGACAGAGCCTTAGGCTGCTGGGGGAGAAGTCAGGGAGCAGTAGGAAGGTGGGAGTCTTCAGTATAGGGCGGTATATAAATTCAATAAATGAATGAATGAAGCACAGAAACTCTAGTGGGTCGCAAAAAGGTGTCAAGAGCTTGCACAGAGCAGACCTCTCCCAGATGTGAGGAGGATCCTCGTAGTGCTACCCCTAGGCTCTGCGGGGGTTCGTGGGCAGGACACCCACCATGGATCTCTCTCACTCAGGGACTTTCACTGCAGCAGGTCCAGAGGGGGGGAGGACAGGGACAGGGATGCTTCCAGTGAGCCCCTGCTGGGAGGTGGGTCCTTGGCAGGTGCCTGGCCATGCTGGCCGTGGTCATTGGTCTTTGGCCATGTCCAAAACAGCCCTTCTGTGAGCGAAAGAGATTGTCTTAGCAGGCAGGCGGATGGATAACTCTGGATTCAGGACTGGGAGTTCCAGCAGGCGTGGGAGAGCGCTCTCTGCAAACAAAGTGTGGCCCAGACAACTCTCTCCAGAATCTTAATCGTCCATTGGGGTTCTATTGCAGAAAAACTAAAGAGCTCTATGAAGAGTTAGAAAACTCGCCACCTTAGTCAATGAATGGGCGATATGCTGGGATGCTGAGGCAGAAGGTGGACTCTGCTTGTTCTCAGAGGCTACTTTGGTCCCAACACATCATTGCAGCAGGAAAAGGAAGGTATTAAAATGGCCTCTCCTTCCAACAATGATCCTATGATACGTTTATTAAATTGTAAGTTCTCTCACGCTTGCAACGCAATCTCAAAGAGGGCGCCAGTACTGAGAGCTGGCAGCACGCAGGTGCATTTAAATGTTCACTGGTTATTAAGCTATAAGAAGAAGAAGAAGAGTTTGGACTTGATGTTCCGCCTTTCACTCCCCTTAAGGAGCCTCAAAGCGGCTCACAATCTCCTTTTCCCTTCCTCCACCACAACAAACACTCTGTGAGGTGAGTGAGGCTGAGAGACTTCAGAGAAGTGTGACTAGCCCAAGGTCACCCAGCAGCTGCATGTGGAGGAGCAGAGAAGCAAACCCCGTTCACCAGATTACGAGTCCACCGCTCTTAACCACTACACCACACTGGCCGGATAATAAAATCAAGCCGCCACTCTGACTTTTACGCATATATTGCCACAGGAAGCTCCGCCTTGGAGGCGAAGGCACGGCACATCCAAAGGACAGGGCCAGCGGTCACTTGTGATTTTACCGCAAGCTGCTCCCAGAATGCTCCGCTCCCGAATCCGCGCAGGAGAGCAGTCGGGGGAAGCGGAGCCACTAGCGTCTATTAGAGTCACTTACCGTGGGGTCTGTCCAGAGGGAACACTTGGCACAGTCTTGACAAGGGGCCCCTGGGGATCGGGGGTGTTGGCAGAAGTGGTCGTACCCATTAATGGCGGCTCGGCAGAGGTAGCACATCTGGGCGCCACAGCGGCACGACATGCGGTTGCAGCCTTCGGATTTGATCAGGCCGGTGGCGCACTTGTGGCACTTTCTGATGCGGGCTGCCGTCATCTTCTCTTCTCTACAATGAGGCAATTGGGAAAGGGTTAAACAAAAAAACCAGGTGAAAACAATGTGGCAGCCCATCAGATATTTGAAGATGGCTATCGTATCCCCTCTCAGCCTCCTCTTTCCCAGGCTCCTTCAACCGTTCCTCATAAGGCTCGCTTTCCAGACCTGGATCATCTTGGTCGCCCTCCTCTGCACACCGTCCAGTCTGCCAATATCCTTAATGCCATCAGCTTTTGTGTTTGGTGGGCTGGAGCACACGTCATCCGCTGCAGACGATTTTTAAATAAGGATTTTCTTATAAACAGAAGGTGGCAGGTGTCATTTCAGATGAGGTGTTTCCCATCACCATCATGCAGGTGTCTGCTGACACACACACACACACACACACACACACACACACACTCCTCTAAGAAGAAAACGTCAATTCCTTCAAAGCTATGATGTTTGGTCATATGCAAACTAAATCCCAATGAATTCTGAGCAGGCATGTAGAGAATTGCATCGTTCATTGATCCAGACTTCATCAGCTAACATTTCTTCAAATGGTGACAGCCCAAAGTATTACATATCAAATCACAATAATATAATTATTCATACATTTGTTTAGATGTGTGTTAGTGAGTGCTCTTGTTCTTTGGCTGATGAGAGATCTATGGGCCTGGGTGTCACACTCTTGCCTTCAGAGTCTCCACATAGATGAACACCCCCCCCCCCATTCTTTAGCAACCATGTCAATAGCAACCCTGCCATCTCGAACAGGCTCTTTCCCAGGAAGGGGGGGGTATGAAGCCCACCCCTCCCATGCTGTTTCCAAGGAGGTCTTTGTGGCTGTCTATTTAGAATTACCTTATGATGAATTGGAGACAAATTAAGTGAAAGGAGGTTCATTGCAGGCTGGCATTCTGCAGGCTTAAATCTGGTTTCCCAGAGCGTCAAAGAGGTGGGGGAGCTAAACGTTAATGCAGAAATAATTTAACCCAGGAGTCAAAGCACACACAGACCCTCACCTCTGACAAGCAGAAAATATATAGCTGAGGCCATGAAAGAAGCAGGAAATGCAAACTCTGCACTGTTGCTTGACGCCTTTGATAAATCAGAGCCTGTTGCTTTGGTTACAGAGATGCTGCAAAAGGTTTGCTAACTATTCTGTTCTGCAAACAGGAGGTGTTTCGGGCCTGACAATAGTTTTAAGCTTTCCCCACACAAGTTAAAGCATTGCACCAGCACTTTAATCACTCTGTGCTTCTGCTGATGTTTACAAGTTATATAACAGAGCACCTACATTTTGTTTTCCTTCCCACAACACAGCCCAGTATCCAAGGATGCTTTCTGAAGATCCTTAGTTTACATCGCACGGTTTCAACTGCAGACTTTTCCCTCCCACCGGACAAATATTAGATTTTATGCCTTGTGCCTCTCTCAATATGGTGCTCAAGACAGCAACTGCTCTATTCTGAACTTAAAAAATGGAAAGCGTAGTGCTGGTGGTCAACAAAAGAGGTTTAAGGACTCTCTCAAGGCAAATCTTTAAAAATGTAGTATAAACACCGACAACTGGGAAACACTGGCCTGAGAGCGCTCCAATTGGAGAACAGCCTTTCCCAAAGGTGTCATCGACCTTGAAGACACTCGAACTCAGAACGCAAGGGAGAAACATGCTAAGAGGAAGGCATGCCTGGCAAATCCACACCATGATCAACTCCCGCCTGGAAACCAATGTCCCCACTGTGGAAGGACGTGTGGATCCAGAATTGGCCTCCACAGTCACTTACGGACTCATTGTTAAAACCGTGTTTATGGAAGACAATCTTACTCGGCTACGAGGGATCGCCAAAGAAGACAATGACGACTCAAGACAGCACAGGGAGGCTTTGCAGTCCTGTCCAGGCACTGACCAGACTGACCTTCACTTCAGGAAGATGATTCTATGTCTGCATGATGTGCCTTTGGACCTTGGCTCTGTGACTGAAAGAGGTGAAACCCATCCTGCTACTCCTAGATCTCCGCCAAGAGCCTCTCACACCCATGTCTTAGTTTGGTGGCTCCAAACTCCCACATCCCCAGACCACTTGAAAATCACTGAGGGTCTTGGCAGCTCTCTCAATGATTTTCCTGCCTGTTGTTGCAACCGTAATGTGCTGTGCTAGATGCTGCAGGGTGTAACACTGTATTTTTATCGCCTCTTTTATTTCCCAGTTTCCCCATTTCAAATTCCTCTTTGGGAACTGTGCTTGCCCTTAGGGCAGACAGTAAACCCGCCAGAGGCAGACTCTGCTCCCCGTTTTCTGGGCTGCTCCCTCTCATCTTCCCAGCAGGAAGCGCCAAGCAGAGCAGGAAGCTGGGCCTGAACTCCAGCTGCGCTTCCCCTTCCCAAGACTCAAACGGGACGTTTTATTGTCTGCAACAAGAGTAGAATTTCAGCTGCTCAAGGATAAGAAACTATATTAAAACTATATATGCAAAGCAGCTCTCTCCTGGCTGTCCTGCGCCCAGAGGTTTGCTCTTTCAGAGCGCATAAAAGCAGATACCTCGAGGGAGTTGGGCAGGTTTAGCCTGGAATAGAGGAGATGTGAGAGCCATCTTCAAATATCTCAAGGGCTGTCACATGGAAGATGGAGCAAGCTTGTTTTCTCCTGTACTGGAGTGCAGGACTTGAACACATGGCTTCAAGTTACAAGAGAGATTTCAGCTCAATATCACAAAGAACATTTTGACAGTAAGAGCTGCTCCACAGTGGAACAGCCTCCCTCAGGAAGTTGTGGACTCTCCTTCCTTGGAGGTTTCTAAGCAGCGCTTAATGGCCATCTGTCCTGGATGCTTTAGTTGAGATTCCTGCATTGCAGGGGGTTGGACTAGATGACCCTGGGGGGTCCCTTCCAACTCCACCATTCTACGATTCTAGGATATATCCTGAAGCACAAAAGCCCTCTTGCTGAGGAGGCTCAGTAGCAGGTACTTTCTGGACTGGCTTAAATAAGAAACTAGAAAAAAAGGCTTCCTGGTTCTCCCTGACCTTCACAAAGTTACTTACATAGATGTTCGGTATTTTATGTCATCCTTCTCAGCCAGCTGTTCACAGGTGAGGTTCATATGCTCCTTCCAGAGGCCCTGGCATTTCCTGCAGGTTTCCTGGAGAGTGAGATCACCACATTAAGCAGCAGGAAGACACCAGTGATAATGACAATTTTTTTAAAAAAGGCAACCGGACAAACAAGCAGCGCTGAAGGCATTTTGCGGGCAGCACAGATATACAAAACACAAAAGGAACACTTGGGGAGGGGGAATGGCACTGGATACAGAGGCCGGCAGCATGAAATGGATTGAAAACGCTGATAAACACGCCTGTCTTCCCCCGGGTACTAGGGTGACACTAGACTCAATGCCATAGGAGTCTCTCTAAGGAGATAATTGCACAAAGAGGGTGTCACCACTGAGAAGGCTCAATCCTTGGTCAAGACCCACTTTCCCTCCAAAGGCAGGGGCACCAGCAAGGACATCTGAAGACAGAATCGGTTCACAGGGCAGCCCTTTAGATGATGGGCATCAGCCGCAATTGGAGAAAGCATGAAGTCACTCAATCTTCATTTAAGCTCCACCCGTGTATTTCTCCACCCCACCCCACCCGTGCCTTGGAAAGGTTTTGCCTGTACGGCAGGGATGGAGAACCTCCAGCCCATAAGGTGAATTTGGCCGTCCAGGCCTCCCCAGGCAGTTTCCCCAAATCCACAGCCAGGCCCCCGTTTCTCGTGCACCCGATCCCTGCAGAAAGCATGGCTGAGCTCCCCAACAGCAGCAGCTGGTGGTGCTTAGTCCCTGTCTGCCTTGCCCCCACGGCAGGTCGGTGGGGGGAAGTGAAAGATCTGGCCTGCTGGGCCAAAAAGCCTCCCCCCATCCCTGGTGTGTGTCTGTGGATGGGGGGGGGGTTCCTGCCACACACAGCCAGCCCAGCGGGCCCCGCCTTTTCCACCTGTGGGCTCCTTGTGCAGAATCAAGTCCGCCCACCCAGAGGTTTGCATCGGTTTGGTGAGCGATGGGAAAGGGCTGCTTGCTGTTCCAGAGCAGGGGGGCAGGCGGGGAGGCAGCCTTAATGAGCAAACCCACATGGAAACGAGAGGCTGGTTTCCCAACCAACGCGCTAACTTGAACCACCAGGCCTCCCCAGGCGGCTGCGGGAGAGAGACAATGGCCGGACTCAGCACCGCAAGACGGTTTTGGGATTTGTGATGGGGGGGCCTGCGAGAGCCATGCTGTGGGGTTTTGGGGGCTGCTGGCACTCGCTGCTCTAGGACTGAATGCCCCAGAGCCCGGGAGGCTGAGCTCCGCGGGGTGCTGAAGAACTCTCCTGCAAAACCTTGTAGAAACGGACAAAGGCAGTGCAAGGGGCAGCGTGGTGCAGCGGTTAGAGGGCTGGGCCAGGACCTGAGCAGCCAGGGCTCAAATCTCCACTCAGCCATGAAGCCGGGCTAGTCGTTCTTTCCCTCAAAGGGTTGTGGTGAGGCTGGGGAGGGGAGAACCCTGAGCTCTTTGCAGGAAAGAGTAGGATAGCAACGAAACATTTGATGAGCCCCAGGTGGGGGACTCTTTATCAGTCAGCGCCACTGAGCTGTGAGGGGCTTCAAAGCATAGGAACAGCTGTAGGGCACCAAGCACAGCATGCCCTAATTTTTTACAACTTTTGAAAACATCATGCTTTCCCTCATGAGGAAGCCAACATCAATTTTTGGAGGAGGAGGAGGAGGAGGAGGAGAAGGAGGAGGAGGAGGAGGAGGAGAAGAAGAAGAAGAAGAAGAAGAAGAAGAAGAAGAAGAAGGAGAAGGAGAAGGAGAAGGAGAAGGAGAAGAAGAAGAAGAAGAAGAAGAAGAAGAAGAAGAAGAAGAAGAAGAAGAACAACAACAACAACAACAACAACAACAACAACAACAACAACTCCACACAGATAAGGCCTTGGTAGGGTTGCAGGGCAGATGAAATTGCTTTGGGAACCCCATGTTTGACCTGTGTCTGGAAGGGGACAACTTGGATTTTTCCACCACAAGCACCCCAAAACACATTGGATCAGCCTCAAGGACTGTGTGTGTGCGCACTTTTATGAAACTGAACATGATTCTGTTCTGAGATTTTTACAGGAAGCACAAGACGTCTTCTTCTTCTCATTCCCCCGCTTTGCTTCCAGCCCATCCCCCTAAACGTACTTCTTCCTGGCATGCTGGATATCTAATATGGCTTCCACAGCTATGGTGCAGAAGCAGAATGCCAGCTAAGCGTTCCTTTAAAAATGCATTTTGATCCCCTCACTGTCGGAGGAAGGGAGAGGGAGCCCTCACACATCATTCTCCCTAATTTTCCAATTTTCTCTAAAGGCGGAGGGGAGCTATTTGCATTCAAAGTTCCTTGCAAAAATGCAAAGCTGCCTCCTCCTTTTTAATAAAGTGCAGCTGTTCCAAGCAGGAGCTCATCCATCAGCAGACAGTGCCGCCTAGTGGTTGGAAGCAGCGCCCGCCAGGGCCTTTGCCAGAGCACAGGAGGAGCAGCAAGTCTGCCACAGCCATCAAGGTGCTCAGACTCTAAAGAGGAGGAGACCTGCTGTCAACAGCTGCTGAGCCAAGGAACATGGCAGCCAGGCCTCCTTAGCACTGCTAAGTGCTTTGGGAAACTGTAGCTGGTTGATAGGAATCAGGAAGCAGCCTGGCTTCCACCTCCTGGTAATCCATGGGGATTATGCAAAAACGCAGCTCAGAGCAAGCCAAGGATACTGGGAGATTATTGCAAATCTCACAGCATTTGGAAGAGAGACAAGAGCTTTTATTGGGCCAGCTAGTCACTTAAAACACAGTGAGATCTCAAGGTATGTATGTATTTGCCCTGCAAAGGAACAGCAATGCTAGAGTGACAGAATCACACACGGCTGTCAGCCTTGCTCTGTGAAAAGTGAAGCTGCTGGCAAGATTTGCGTTGCTTCAAGTCCTGTATCTCTGCTCTCCTTGCACAAGAATAAGGCAAGGCTTTCTGGCACTGTCACAAACCCTGAAAAGGGAAGGCAGTCGAAGCACATGGAAATAAATCTCTATGGAACCTACTTATTTCAGTATGGGGGTGGGACTGTGCTGCTGCTTGTGCAAATCTGTCTTTAAAAGGCAAGCTGCTGAACAGATAAGGGAGTACTAGAAATATCAGGGAAAGAAAACCAGGTATAATCCAGTCCCAGAACTCAGGGCCCCCACGGGCACTGAAACCCTAATCCCACTCACCTGGCAGGAAACCCCGCTGAACTCAACTTCTGAGCAGACATGGTCAGGGTTAGGCTGAAGTAAGTTAACACAAAAGGAGTATCTCACCAAGCTAGTAAGAGTTCCTAGGGCTGATCTCGTTGGGGGCCCTTGCAAGCGGTGACTGCAGCGACTGCCATCCCATAACGGTTGGCTTTTGCTTAGCCACTGGCAATCCCCACCCCAAACACACCTTGTTGTTGCCGCCACCTTTCTACCCAAACTGGCTCACAAAGGGCAAAGCAGGCAGACCTCCTGGGAGGCTTTCCCCACCTGGCATTCTGCTCTGGAGGTCGGCTTTGATAATATTTCAGTAATTTTGGGCGAGCGGCTCACTTTATTAGTAGCTGGCCTCCTCCTTGTTGTTTTAAATGTACAGGTATTTTTCACTGCATTCTGTGTTCTATAGTAAGCTGCCTTTAAAAGGTTTACTGCCAAAGGCAGCAGATAAATATTTGAAAAAACTGCATTTGAGTTTCGCTCCTGGGCACCCAGGAGATCTCTTTGGCATCTCCCTAGGTTGGCAAGTCTTAGAATTATAGAATTGAAGTTGGGAGGGACCCTGAGGATCCTCTAATCCAGCCTTTCTCAACCTGTGGGTCCCCAGTTGTTGTTGAACTACAACTCCCATCACCCCTAGCTAGCAAGGCCAGAGCTCAGGGATGATGGGAGTTGTAGGCCAACAACACCTGGGGACCCACAGGTGGAGAACCTCTGCGCCTAGTCCAACCCCCTGCAAGGCAGGAATATGCAGCTGTCCCGTACAGAGATCGAACCTGCAACCGTGGCGTTATCAGCACCAGGCTCTCACCAGGTGAGCTATCCAGGCTGACCATTATTCCTGCCACCAGCCCTACGCTGGCACAAGCCCTTGTGAGAATAGTGTCCTCCCTAGCACTGGTGAGCACACCAAACGCCAGTGATCTTCAAGCAGTTTATGCCAGTAACATGCAACACAACAGACGAGTTTCAATTATCATCTCTTGGCTCAGCAGAGATACAGACGAGCCTTTTGGCTGCACAAACAAAGGCACATTTTGCAAGGGTTTTGCATAAACTACGGTTCCCTGCTTTATCCAAACCAGGAAACCATGGTTAACAGCTCTGGAATAAAGCCAGGGTGCCAATTCAACCGGTGCGATAGGATCACAGTTGCTGGGCCATATTCTGGACAAGCTACAAGTTTCCAAGCAGGCTCAGCGAGCAGCATGTAATGCAGTAACCTAAGCTGGATGTCACCCAGACACAGAGAACTACGACAATATTATTTTAGTCAACAAGCCACAAAAGGTCGCAGCCTGCTTGGTTTTGCTCGGTATATACCCGGGGCTCAGTTTGTGACTCTTCAGGCACTTCAGGTTATTTGGTTAGACTTATATAGCCGAGATAAATATAGCTGTGACCTCACACTGCTAAATTAGCATACACAGGGCAGGAAGCCCGAGTTGCGATTCCAGTCACTTGATACTGGGAGCACACGGGTGCTGCGACTATCGCCAGAGGACATCTCAAGCTTGCAGCAGCTCAGAGCCTCCCTCAGCCAAAGTAAATAACGCTAATCAGACACAAATGTTGGCTCATGCAAAGTCTTCGAAGTCTAGACCTCCTGCAGTTATGCCAACGGCGCAAGGCTAAGAGCCACAGCAGAGAGTTCTGGGAAACTGGCACCCAGCAGATGCTGGGGACTTGCAGGGAAGGAAGCAATGTTCCCCTTGCATAAACTCCCAAATAGATTTCAGGAAACCCAACAGGTTCTGATGGGAAGTGTGGTCCAAAACATGCAGAGAAAACCAAGTTGGGGAAGGCTGATCTACTCCATGTGGATGGTCTCCTCTCTATCTGCCCCTACTGTGTTTCAGACTGCAGCACACACGACAAGGTGCATCTCCTCAGAACTGAACCAGCAGAGCTAAAGTGGTCTCTTCCACTGACTAGAAGGCCAAGGGGCAACGGCACGCACACACAACCATCACAGCACTGGAGTCCGAATCCTGGCTCCATCCATCAGCCAGTGCAAGAACAGCTGCTCCAATGCTTGCCTTCCTCTTCCCTCCCCATTCCTTTTTCCTTCTCTGCTGTGCCTATTTGACTGTGAGCGGGCAGCCATGAGCTGGCTTGTCTTTTAATATACAGTCGTACCTTGGAAGTCGAACGGAATCCGGTCCAGAAGTCTGTTCAACTTTCAAAATGTTCAGAAACAAAAGTGCAGCTTCTGATTGGCTGCATGAAGCCCCGTCGGACGTTCGGGTTCCAAAGAACGTTTGCAAATCGGAACACTCACTTCCGGGTTTGCGGCGTTCGGGAGCCAAAACGTCCAAGTACCAAGGCGTTCAGGATCCAAGGTACGACTGTATATGAAAAGTGCTTGGAAAATGTGTGCGTTTTAAGTGTTTAAGCCTCAGGAGAGGCTGGCAAGGATACAGTGGTTCACAAACCATTTTTAATTTTGAGATGGGCAGGAGGATCCACAAAGTCACAAGCTCATGCAGTGCTTGACACTCCCAATGTCCCAGGCGCATTTTGCAACAGGGAATTTCATTAGCACAAGCAGTTTCTGAGCTCTGGGTGCAGCGCTGCACCTAAGATTTCATACCAAAACTTCAGAGTGGAAGGAAAGGAGGACCATTTTCTGCCTCCCCACTCTCTAAAGACTGGAGAAGAGACCCTCTTCAGAATATTAGGGGGGCAGGCAGGGGGAGGACTAGACCATGTGAAAAATGAACACAATATTTTAGCTGCAGATCATTCATTTTCAGCTTTGTATTCTTGTGATAAAAAAGTGCGCAGAGACATTCCATTGTTGCTCCTATAACCCACAATTAAGGTGCCATTTAGCTCCTAGCTTTCATATCTCAGTTTCTAACATTGAGCTCATGGCGGGGACCCGAGGCAACAGTGGGCATCATCTCATGCAGCGTTCAAGGGTCTTCTGTGGGGGGAGAGAGCACAGCAAGGCTCAAGGGCTGGGCTGCAAAACAGGAAGCTTCCCACTGCAAATGTCACTCTCGCCACAAACTCACCAGATGACCAGCTATGAACTCTTCAGCCCCCTCCACCTCCGATAGGAAGCATGCGGATGGAGGAAGCAAGACAGCCTCAACCTTTCCAGCATGCTCTGTGAAAAGTACCACCTAGAACCGCAGAGTTGAAACTTACCCCCTGGGGTCATCTAGTCCCGTCCCGTCCCCCGTCCCCCCGCAATGCAGGAATCTCAACTGAGACATCCATGACAAGTGGCCATCCAACGTCTGCTTCAAAACCTCCAAGGAAAGAGGTTTTTGTTCTTCTAGGGTGCATGCCCTTCATTTCCCCAACTTTGTTGCCACCCCAGAAGTCCACTTCTACACTTCACCATATAAGGGGATTTTTCCAGGGACCAGAAAGCTGGTATGACTGGCAGACCAAGACCTATGAACCCGTATTTGCTTTTGCCCCCCACCCCCTTTCACAGGGCAGAGGGAAAGATCGCACATACACACCATTGTTCAAACGCTGCAATAAAAGTTCCATGTTTATCCGCAACTCACTTTTATGGCCCTGTTGCGGGAAAGCAGGTTGTGCAAGGAGGCCTCTGCCTCCTGCCCCACACTTTTGGTTTCCACAGCTGACTGGTGCAGCAGAAGAAGTTACCTCCTGACGATCAACCCCTCTGTGGATATTGCTCACAAATGACCTGGGCTGAAGGCAGCAGACTCTGCCCTGAGAGTCAGATTTAAAGGCAGGGGGCTCGGTGGGTCCCCTTAACCATCCACTCAACCACCAAGAGAACAACAGAAGAGTTGGTCTTGATTTGTACACCTGGCAAATCAACCTGGCAGTGCTGCAATAAACTGCTATCATCCACAAAAGAAATGACAACCCCAGAGCTTAGTCAGCAAATTGTGTGTGCAGCAAGATTGAATCCGTGCCTGAAAACTTGCTGTCTGATATGAGAGAGGGAAGTCGTGCATGGAAATCATACATCAGCACTGTGAAATGGGCTACAGAGGCAATGAAATATGAAGCACTCCAAAGATGAACTATCAGAACGTGGCTGGTCCAAAGATGCCACCTGGTCAGATGTGTGGGGTGCAAACAATAAAATGATTATTATTATGCCTCTCACTTAGGATCCCATTTGCTTTATGTCCAACCCTGCTCTGAGTCTCGCAGCCCCTGGCCTCCCGTCTTTGCTACGGGAAGCCTTCCTGTGTGGACTGAAAGGGGAAAGGTCGGTTCAGATTCCCCAGCACAAAGCCAGGCTTGCTTCACTACAGTGGGGGGTTTTCAGGGAAATCAAGACCAGCATTGCTACCACTGCTGTGCCCCCAAAGGGCAGTCGACAGTGTGCCAAAGACTTGCTGAAGTCTAAGCTGAAGGAACTTTTCAGCTGAGCTGCCAAATCTTATCTTTCCACCCTTGTCCTTGGTTTGGCTCAAGGCTAAGACAGGAAGAGTGGGGAAATTTCACGGAACTAGACGAAATCTTATTCTCTTGTTTGCTTCCGCAATTGACCCTGAGCCTTGGAGACGGTGTAGATGAAAGTCTAAATAAATCTACTATCTGCTATACTGTTTCGTGAAGCATGCCACGGTGATGGGGACTGAGTACCTTGTTTATGTGCTCAGATTTATAATCGCCCCTGTCCCATTGCAAGGGGTTGCATCAGTTGACCCTCAAGCTCCCTTCCAACTCTACAGTTCTGTGAATCCTGAGCGATGTTTGAAATGCAAAATCCTGCACCTTGTTTCCATTCTTTCAGCCATGCTGAAGAGATCAGGAGGCAACAGAATGTGAGAAACAAGTCTCAGCTCTGGAGCCAGAGCGCGCTTGATCCTGGCCCTCTCCACTGACCCTCCACCCTTTGCTCTACCTGCCCAGAGAATGTGGTTCTGGTTGCTGTGCTGGGGCAGAGGGGAAGCAGAAGGCAGAGGAGGTGGCCAGAAAGCACCAAATCAGGCTGTACTTCAAGCCCCATGAATCTGCTGACAGAGAACAGAAGATGCAAATCGAATCATTTATGGATGGCTCTGAAGCTGCCTCCACGGGCCGTTCTGGCAGAATCATGAGCTGGGTGCAGCCTGTTGGATCCCAGGCGTCAGGTTGGTCAGGGCACCACAGCATGAAGGTGAACCATGGGCGGTTCAGCTGCCCACGGAGCCGATTAATAAAGAGGAGGGCAGTGAAAGCAAAATCCTGAAGTGCCCCAGGACTAAAAATCGATGTTCACTTTCTGAGAATGAGAACAATAAGCAGCCTCCGGTATAAAATGAGTTCGTCTTCAAGGTGCCACAAGACTACATTTTACCTAGCACACGACCGGAAACTAATCTATCACTTTCATAATATAAAAATTTCCCGGTTTTCTCTGTGCTCCTGATTCTACCTACCAAGAAACCTGTGTGTTTCACCTAAGAAAGGAGACATATCTGGCTAACAGCTGGATTTTACATTTTAAAACTGGGAGATCAGCCGTGGTGAGTTATTCATCCCAGCAGTCCTGGTGCAACCTGAAACTCGCCCAGCACCCAGGAGAGCCTCATCTGCTCCCACCCACATTCCTTCCTGAGACTCAGACCAGATTCAGACCCCAAGGCTTCACCTGAACAACTCCCCTTGAACACAGTTTTATTTGCAAGATCAATCAATATGAAGTGACAGATTGAGAACGGTATGCAGTTAACATCTGTAAATATATAACCAGTATCTATAATTGGTACACACACACCCATCTAAAATCCATCCTTCAGTTTTCAATCTGTATATGGAGCTTTTTCCAAGCTTGGTAAAGGTAAAGGACCCCTGGATGGTTATGTCCACTCAAAGGCAACTATGGGGTGTGGCGCTCATCTCGCTTTTCAGGCCGAGGGAGCCGGCGTTTGTCCACAGAAAGTTTTCCGGGTCAAGTTTGATATACAAGCCCACTGTAGTAAGATAAAACGATCATCTCAAGGGTCCTCTAGGGGCGACACCTCTTTGACATAACCAAACAATATTATAAATTCATAACCAACAATTTCTGCTATTTCTGACAATACCCGTTCTCTGTATATTCTGGTTTTGAGGGCACCACCACAATATGTGAAAAGTGTACAGTAGTACCTTGGGTTAAGTACTTAATTCGTTTGAGGTCCGTTCTTAACCTGAAACTGTTCTTAACCTGAAGCACCACTTTAGCTAATGGGGGCATGATTTCTGTTCTCATCCTGAAGCAAAGTTCTTAACCCGAGGTACTGATATTTAATATTATTTTATATTATTTTACTGAATGTTGAATGTTATTTTATTTGCATATTGTATATTGTATTATGCATATTGTCTTATTTATATGATGTTAGCCGCTCTGAGCCTGGCTTTGGCTGGGGAGAGTGGGATACAAATAAAATTTATTATTATTATTATTATTATTATTATTACTATTTCTGGGTTAGTGGAGTCTGTAACCTGAAGCGTATGTAACCCGAGGTACCACTGTATTTGAAACTTGCCCCCCACCCCAAGCTTACAATCTTATTCCAGGCTCCTGGTGGTCAGAGATTCTTGGTGAGAGAAGAGGCCCTGGGGGATTTTAGCAGGCAGCCAGAACCGATAGCCAGAGACATGGTCTCACTTTAACACCACTGCTCCCCCCCCTCCCCAGTATTGATTTTATTTTGCTTCCGTTTGTGGTTTTCCTGTTGTTTCAAGCCAGCTGATTTTAATGATTTCATCTACATTTCCAATGCTTTCTTATATCCTTGCTCCAAATTGGACTGTGACCTGCTTTGGCAGCTTGTCTTGTTGCTGAAAAGCAGGCAGTGCATTTGCTAAATAAGTAGACAGCAGCTGGTCACATCCAAGCAGATGGAGAGGCCTTGCTGCCTTGCCTCTGCTTCCAGCACAACCACACTGGCTGCCCATGGACTAGGAAGCAAGGTTCTTTGCATTCATCTACAAGGCCCTGAAAAACTTCGGTTTAGGTTACCTTAGGAACCAACTAGACCCTTACAATCCCCAGTTCAGTCACTGAGACCGTCTGTTGGAGCATCCCTGCTTTTGACTCCTGAACTGGTGAGGCTCATTCGACACAGCTGAGTGTCTCTGGCCCACTCCTGGTGCAATGCTCTTCCAGCAGAGATCCAGCAGGAGTCTTCTATAGGAACTTTTAAACGTTTGCTGAAAACTCTTCTGTGCTGCCAAGCTTATACAGACAATTAAGGAATGTAATAGTTAAAACTGCATTGATTTTTTTTAAAAAAAACTGAAACTGCAGTATGCAAGTAGTTTATAGCTAAAAACGCCCACCCTCCTTGATGCAGCCAGATTCAAATGGCCAACGACACTCCCTCCCTCCTTAGCGTCTGGGCCTTCTCAGTGGTGGCACCTGGTTTGTGGAATGCGCCTTCCTCTGCAGGGTGGGTGGCACAAACTCTGCTTGCCTTTTGGCACCAACTGAAAACACATCTCTGCACCTGAGCTTTTGTGGGAGTTAAATAGGATAAGCGTATTAACGCAGCTTTTAATTTTTGAATGGTATGGTTGCCTTAATTACGTTACTGTCTGTTCCCATTCCTTTCATGAATATGCTTTAAGTGTTTTCTCTTTTCAGGATTTCATATCTAACGTGCCGTGTGATTGTGAATCAATGAAGTGTGGACAGGAAATGTAATAATAATCATAATAATTTGCAATAACGACCTATGCAGTGTTTTTCAAGAGCCCAAAGTGCTTTACAGCAAGTTGACGCTCAGCTGAAACCGGAGAGCTAACACTTCTTCAGGTTTCAGGGTCAGGAAAGTCAAGATTAAAGACCCGAACAAAACAGGAGATGGGCTGAGTAAGCAACGCAGCAATTTGCCCAATTTACAAGCCAACAGCACTAGATAAGTTGAATTCCAACAATTCCAATCAAGTTTCAGCCAAAGCTTCCATGGAGAGAAAATTAACGGCTTGTTTATTTAACCCAGCCCCAAAGCAACTCACCCCAACATGCAATTTTCTATGAATCCACAAGACACAACCTGAATTGGGGGGGGGGGCGTCATCCCCTACAGTCAAAGACATTTTCCCACTCCTTTACACAGAAGAGCAGCATTCCACTTCGAACAATCCCACCCTCCCGTAGCAGAAGCACTGAGCGCCAACCTAGTTACGTTGCATATTTAAGTCATTTCGATTTTTAACCAAAGCTATTGTCCCACAAGCTGCTGTGTGTTGTTGTGGTCAAAGGCATTTTGAAGACTCGCAGGGCCACGGGTTCCCGTAAGAGCGATTTAGAGAGATGGGGGTCACTGGCCTGTGCATAAGCCCGGCCCATCACCCAAAACCAGCAGCGCTGCCCCACCAGAAATGGGCAGGAAACCACCAAGATCATTCCCATCGCGAGACGCATGGACGCACGGCGAGGGCTTCATGGGCTCTTCATGCTTCTGTCCAGCCCTCTGCCGCTTGGTTGGCAGCCAGCCAACAGGGCACCAGCACCATCAGGATTTCTGGTACACCTGAAAGTGATCAGGGAGGCCCAGGGCTGCCCAAGCAAGGCAAAGGCGGAAGCCTGGTTCTCAGGGCCATGCCAACCCCTGCCCTAAGAGGCAAAGCTCCTTGCAGGCAGTTCTGCTGCACTTCCTGCTGCAGGCAAATGGTTCAGTGAGCCATTGCAGGCATGCAGGAGAGGCAATTGCACTGATGAGTGCTCCCCAGTGTGTGTGTGGTGTGTGTGTGGGGGGGGGACACACTAAGCCACAGTCCCCTCAAGCAGAAAGCCAGTTAGGCAGGGCGCAGACTGGGCCACACCACCGACAGCCTGAAGCTCTCTCCCACCTCTTTCTGCTGCATGGCCACAAGTCAGATTTGCTCAAAGATTTCATAGAAGTAGGAAGGGAACCCAAGAGTCATCTAGTCCAACCCCCTGCAATGCTTGGAGCCAAGGCCACCCTCTATGTTACATCCAATTCCTGGGATGTGGGGAAGCTTGGACCGAAAAGACCACCCCAAGGCCTACTCCCTGCTTAGGGGATGGCAATTTCCAAACTCCGCCAAGCAGTGGGCAGCTGATGCTCAGTGCCTGGAAGGGTTTTTAAATTATTATTCCACAGGAGGAGCCACACCAGGAGTGTGCGCACCAGCAGCGTGCGGTGTGGGGCGGGGAGCAAAATGCTGCATCTTCCATCGGATCCTGCCCACCCCAAAGTGTCTCAAGTGCCCAGCTGGCTCTGCAAAGGCATTATTGACTCCACAAGCTTAGATTAAATGCATCGCTGATCAACTTTCATCTGGCTCCTTCTCAAGAAATCCATTAAGACGGAATGCTTTGGGGCATTCCAAGCAAGAGGAGTGACAGGAGGAGAATTATCAAAAAGCAAGCAACGGTTTCTCAAAAAATATTATTTGTAGGGTTTCTCAGGCCCTCTTCACCCAGGGCAGGCGGAAACAACAGAATGATAACAATCGAAAACACTGCAACAAGGTCTTGCAGCTGGGATTGCAAGCCACTTTCCCCCAACCTTTCTGGGTGTTCAACACACATGCACACACACAGAAAGAGAGAGAGAGAGAAATCTCCACACCTTGAGCTCACTCTGTTCCATGCATGACCCCCACTTTCACTGGAAAGGAGAAGTCAAGGCAAAAGCCCTCCCTACAAGTAGGAACTACAGGACTTCCGCAAACTCCTTCGTTTCCGTCCTCATTCTCACTTCCATTTCGGGATGCTCGCAGGGGTGGGGGGACAACTTTCACCAAATCCAATGTGTTTTCTTTATATATATAAAAAAGGATGCAGGTCGTCTCATCTTTGCTAATATGAGGGCAAAACAGCAACCACTTTTGTACTGTTTGCCTTTCGGCAAGGAGCTCAGGAGGACAAGGCCATTGCAAGAGACCTGCTGGATCAGGCCCAAGAGTCCATGGTTCTGTTCCCACTGCAGCCAACCAGAAGTCCCATGGGGGAAGCCCAAACGCAGGACACGAGCCCAGAAGCCCCTCTAGCAACTGGGATTCACTGTGGGGGCAGAACACAGCCATCCTGGCTGGTAGTGACCGATCGTCTTCTCCTCTATTATTGGTCCAACTCTCTTTTACAGCACCCAAGATGGTACCCATCACTGCCTCGTGAGAGGGGGTCCCGTAGCTTAATTGCACTGATGAAGAAATACTTCATTTTATCTGACATGACACTCCAACGTTCAGCTTCATTCGAGGCCCACAAATTCTAGAGTTATGAGAGGGGGAGAAAAGCTTTTTTCTGTCTCTTTTCTCCACACAGTGCATAATTTTATGGTGTCACCATTGAGCTGCCCACTCTAGCCCACGAGGCCTTGTGCCACGTCCGTCACTCCCATGTGGGATTCCTTGCTTAAAAATGGTGCTACTTGGGACTCCTTCCAGTCCTCCGTTACAGAGGCTGGAGGTGGCAATTTCAGGTTATCTTTGTGGGGCATGTCAGGATGAGAGCATGACTGAGCTAAACATCAGTGAACTTCACGGCTGAGAAAGAATCTGGGGCATCCCTCAAGAACAAAACTTTCTGCTGCACAACAGGGAATTTTACAAATGATTTTAGGATTGCTGTTCATCTCAAGAGTCCGCACGCTGCGACGGTTGTCTGAGAAGACGCAGCGTGTTTTGCAAGAGTCAACACCCACAATGAAGCTTGAACCGTCAGTCCTTATTTTGACAGCGCCTTACCTAATGGCACAAAGCCCATCCCATATGCTTCTGAGGTGGTGGGGTTTGTACGTGGCAGAGCCCTGCCAGGATTGCAGCAACTCACAATGCAGAGGCGGCCAAGGAGAGGGCATAGCCAGGAGCCAGCAATGGGCTCCTGCAGCAGCTTGCTCTGAGCTAGGGGAATGCCTGGCCCACATGGAGCTGCTGACTTGCCCCACAGGACAAACTCCCCACCCCTTTCAAAAATGGCTGGCCATGCAGCAGCGGAGCGCATGCTTTGTGTGCAAAAACGTCTCCGTTGCAATCCCAGCATCTCCAGACAGGGCTGCGAAGGGCCCCTCTCCAAAATCCTGGAGCGCAGCTGCCAGTCGGTGTTCTGAGCTAAAAGGACCAATGGTCTGGCCTGGTGTATGGAACTCCCAGGTTCCTATTGGGGGTGGGTGCAAGGGGAGAGGAAGTGAAGACGCAGCCAGCCAGGGCATCCCACTGCCTGTCTTCTGCAGTGGAAGAGCCCCTTGGAGTGGAAGTGCTTTTCTTGGAGACTCGATTCTCCTCTGAGTACCATCACAAAAACAAGGGAGGAAACACACCGCTGCTCATAAAAATACAAGAATCGCCCATTGTGCTGAGAGGTTATTCTAAGAGTGGCCTTGAGCATGCTCCCAGCTGCGTTGCCTGAAATACATGGCCAGGTGTTAACAGACACCACTTTTCCAAAAAAGGAGAAAAGAGGGCAGATAGCAAAGCATTTTCCGTCTGTACCTTGAAAGGGCAAGATGCACAGTAACTCCAAGCCCTGCGTTATCCCCATTTGCCCTTGACACTGTGGAAAAGGTGGCAGTTGTGTTTTGCACAATCCCAGGAACAGGAGAGAGAAGCCTTGGCAGTTTTGAGTCTGGGATAAATACTTTTCAAATGAAAAGTAATATCCAGATACACTGATCATAATTAGGTATTCCTCACATCGGCCATGTTTGCAAGCCGCTTTAAGGCACAGCATTTAAACTGTGGCTTCCTGTGCATGAGAGAATGGCCCTTGCTTCACCCACGCAGACCTGAGAACAGGCTGCTAGACTAGGTGGGCCACTGGCCTAATCCAACCAGACTTTTCTTATCTTCTCATATTCTTACCAGCAGGCTGGTGGGATTTGTTTTAGACCATGGCTTACCATTACATTGCAAACGTGGACATTTTTGCTTGTCTATGTATATATGTAATGTCTTTTACGGACATGAACACAGAATTATGAGAGAAGAGTCAACCTTGAAACAATTAGGATGGGATGGAAGCAATTAGGATTCATCAGGATGTGTTTTATAAAAATGGAAGGAACGGTAATGTTTTTTTAAAACCCGATTGCAGCTAATGCAACAGGTCGCAAAGAAAAGCAGTTGAACAGCAGCTTCAAGGTGTGCAGCTATTTAAAGTATGAACAACTGGGCCTGTGTATCCCCCAAACTGGCAATCTCAAGAACTATGGGAGGGAAGAAGCCACGATTCAGCAGCAGGGCACACGCTTAATGCAAGAAGACGCCAGTTTCAATCCCTGGACCCTCTGGCTAAAAGGCTCTCTTCTTGTGACCTTTTGAGAATCATCTAATAAGAGTGCCTTAGAACCAGAGGACTGGTTCAACATAAAAGGCAGCTTCACTCACAATATGTGTTTGTGTGTCTATTTATGGAGGAAGGCACGCTAGGCACACTTGGCAAATCCACACCGTGATCAGCTCCCGCCCGGAAACCAATGTCCCCACTGTGGAAGGACGTGTGGATCCAGAATTGGCCTCCACAGTCACTTACGGACTCATTGTTAAAACAGTGTTTATGGAAGACAATCTTACTCGGCTACGAGGAATCGCCAAAGAAGAAGAAGATATTTATGGAGCGTCATGTCTGCTGCAGAGAAGGATGGCACCTTCACTTTCCACCTGGGACTACGGCCTCTCTAGTCACAGGTGGCATTGACATAGAGGTGGGGAGTGGGGATCCACCCCACAACTCTGCATGACCACCAGGAGCAGTAATAATAATGATAATAATGATAATAATAATAATTGTACCCCACCCAACTGACTCTGGGTGGAACATGGGAGTTGGGGCTCCTAGCAGGGAATTTAAGAGCACAAGAGTGTTTAAAGGGGAGGCAGGTGCAGGAAATCAAGCAACGTAAAAGCAGCTTTTGTGACCTTATTTTTGTACCACCAGCCTGGAAGGCGGCAATCGAGTAGGATTTGCACAAGTCACCTTTCCTTGGGCACCACTCTGCTTGCTGCCACTTTAAAGATAGCTGGCGGTGGGACTGATTTATTACTTTCTTTATTTAATAAATTTATACACTGCTTGATTGGGAAGAAAAAAACCCTCAATGCAGTTTACAACAAAAGCAGAGAGCAGCTTTCCCCACACTTAACACAACTGCACGCCTGTTTTGAGAGCTCAGTCTTACCAGCGTGCCCTTTCTCTGGCAAAGATAATTTGGGGGTAATTTTGATAGAATCATGTTATCATTGAATTGTTTTCTGCAACTAAAAACCTATGATAAGCTTCTGCTGCATACTCTTTGAAACCCTTTTCTGTAGCCCCACACTTCGGGAAGTGTGTAAGTAACAAATGAGGATACACGGACACACACACACACAAATATACATAGACAAATACATACACTCTAAATTCAAGCTTAGGCTGCCCCCTTATGGCCGTCTGTTTCAAGGCCTTTACAGCTGCAGGCCAGCTTTTACGAACCCTCCCAGATCCTGCAGGAAGACCTTGGGCTGACCAGGAAACACAGCTAAAATAAATAGGGCCTGGAAGCCCTACTGTGATCCAGTACTTCAGAGACTGGGTTTACAGTAAGTCTGTGCTAGTTTTAGTGCGTAGCAGCTCACCTTCTGGAAGGAAAGAATATTAGCTCCATCTCCCACTACAGGTATACTGAGGACCTAGAGAGGTAACTCTCAAAGGGTGGCAGGAGAGGAAGATTCAAGGACAACCAAAGAAACATTTAAACAGTTCATTGTAGTGTAGTGTAGCTGAATGTTTTATACTTTCCCTGTGCCCCACAAACATATTATTGTTACAGGAATTTTTATAATGATGGAGGGGGGGTTGCCCCTCCAGGACGCAGTTGTTCACACGCAATGTCTCCTCAAAGCACCACATAACACACGACACCACACAACTCCCAACGCTGTTCTGCTCAGGGAAAAGATGGCTACTGAAGGGGGGGGGCTTGGGAAACTGGTAAAAGACAGCCGTAATCCCCAAAACCTGGGATCAGCCTCTTGCATAAGAGATCATCGCTGGCATCCTGGCAAATGGGTGCAAAAACAGGCAGTCATCCTGTGGACAGTAGCAAACCATCCAGGAATGGATGAGGTTCTTGGTCAGGACAAAGAGGTGTGATCAACCAGGAACTCGTCAATATTTCTTTTGTCTTACTTGATGGGTGTGAGGTGGAGGGAAGGATGGAGAAAAACCTGATGCTCAGGTTTCTTTCACCAGACCCTCCCAATTTGTGATGTTTATGTGAAGTATGCATGATGTAATTTTAGGGGGTTTGTAAAGCTGATGAAAGTGGGAGCCACCCTTTGTTCTGGGCTCCTTCCTGCTTCTCCCATGCGGTGGGTGGAAGTCCTGTTGCAACAGTCCTTCAAAATAAAGACCAGGCCTGCTGGCTGCTGTTTTGCTCCTATATTCCTGGCTGGTGTCTTTGTCTGGTAATCCAAGTGAGCACAAGGATTTCCCTATAACATTATAAAGGAGTTGTGTTCTATGTTATAAATCAAACACTGCTGGGAGTTGTTTCTTTTTGCTTTCCAATGTATTTCTTATCAATAAAAAATTTGGTGGGGTGTGAACAAATTTCCATTCTGAGAGTGTGGCCCAGAGAAGAAAGTATGAGAACCACAAACCTAGAGAAAAAGGCAGCTGGCAAAATATTGGCATTGCCCCCACCCCAGCCGGCACCCAGTCTAGTTCCCATTTCCTTAACATAGTCTATGGGGTGGTGGGTTCACCTCAACCCCTTCTCCTTTAGGACAAAGTGCCCATTAGCAAACACTTCCTACACACGGACCAGCATTATGGTGCCTTGCAGTTGTGCAGGGAACTGAAAGGGAGCTCCCCAGGGTGGATTTGCCTCTTCGAACAAGCGCACGAACCAGCTGTGTGTGGCCCCATTGAGGGATCACATGGGAAGTGTGTGAACAATTTGTGCTTGGAAAATGCTAACACATGCAAGAAGGAAGGCTCTGCTAAGTTCACAGTCACACATACGCTGGCCATAGCCAAGTCACGGGAAGGGCACATGGTTTGAATGTGGGGGATGCGCAAAACCAGGCGCCTGGCCTTAGCAACAATCTGGAGGAGGGCCAACAAACTGAAGCTCAGTCCAGATACGACAGACAGCCTGGCGGTGGGTGGTTCCTCAATCCTGCGCTGGCGATGTCTAGGTTTGACTACTGCAATGCAACATACCCTGGGCTGCCTTTGAAGACTGTTTGGAAAACCCAGCTGGCCCAGAATGTAGTGGTCGGTGTACTGCCTGGGACCAGGAGGTCTGAACATCTGACTACAGTTTTGGCCCAGCTCCACTGGCTGCAAATTTGTCTCCAAGCCCATTTCAAAGGATTGGTTTTGACCTTCTGGCACCTTGCATGGATCGGGACCTCAGTACCTCAAGGGCTGCCTTTTCCTGAATAAACCTGCCCAAACCCTGAGAACAGCACCTGAGAGGATTTGTTCAGAGTCTTCTCCCCTGGAGAACAAATATATTAGGACGAATATATATATCCTGCCTTCTTCCCTAACAAGGACTTAAGTGCTTGCCATCTGTGCAGGTCAGCTGTGCGCTGGCTCTTGCTCCCTCGGCCTAAGCTACCTCGCAGGGTTGTTGGGAGGATAAAATGAAAGGGGTTTGAGAACATAATTAGGACTGCTGCCCCATGGAGGAAGAAAGTGTGTGCGGGGGTAATCGTAGGAAGAGTGTTATGTACTTACGAGGTTAAAACAAAAACAAAGAACGTTGAATTCGCTTGGCTATATCTAGATGGCCTGGAAATTAATGCGGCACACATGTGAAGAGGCTATTCTGCTCTCACTCTTGCCTCAGCAAATACATCGTGAAACAAATGGCGGATGTGCAGCCCCACAGCTCGCCCCTTTGGTGCTTTGGCTCTGGCTCAGAGCCGGCACGCCTGCGCTCCCCATTCAGTGCCGTCTTCTCAGCTGACTTCTTGGCATTCAAAAGGCATGTCCAGTATTAAACTCCCATCCGCTTTCGAGTGCGTCTGACTTCATTCTGAAAAACTGCAGCCATGCTTGCGCTTGGCCAGGCAGACGCATTCCATTAATGCTCCCCTCTTGGAAACGTCTGCTCCGTCCAAGCGGGGGGTGGGTGGGGTGGAGAAACAGCTACGGGCCTCAGCACCACCCTTGGCTCCCTCACGCATCGCAGGGGTTGGGAGCCGTCTCAGCCATGCACATTGCTAGAAAGGCCGCGTGGTGGGGCCCAGACATCGCTGTGGGACTATGCAGCTAGGGGGGAGGGCACAGGGGCAATACAAGCAACTTCCTATCTGAGCAAGGACTTCTTGGTTAACAGCGACTCAACAAGCCACTTGCAACGACTGAAACGTAACACAAAAGGTACCACATATTCAGGGGGAGTATGTACATAGGCATGTTCTAAATACAGTGGTACCTCCGGTTGCGGACAGGATCCGTTCTGGATGTCCGGTCGGATCCCGAGGTTTCCGCAACCTGAGGACTGCTTCTGCTCATGCACGCGCAGCAAAACCCGGTAAAATACTTCTGGGTTTGCCGTTTTCGCATCCCGAAGTTTACAAGGGGTTATGTAGCTGGAGGTGCTACTGTACACAGTCCCAGCAGTGAGTGAACAAACTGAACCAGAGATTCTCTGCGTGCAAAACATCTCCACTCTCCCTGGGAGGCTCTTCCTTGCAGGAGGAGCTGTGGACTCAGACAAGGGCCTGCTGGTGGCCACAGGAAGCTTCTAAAGAACCATCGGGGAAATTCCATCGGAGAGGAGGCTGTCAGTGGCTGCTAGTCGTTATGGCTACATGCTCCCTTTTGGAGCAGAAGGAGCATGCTGGGAATAGCAGCAGGAGGAGCAGGAGGAGGAGGAAAGGGCTCATGCCCTGAGGCCACCATGGGAAAGGGTGCGTTGGACGGAAAGGCCTTTGGTCTCCTCCTCCACGAGCCAAGCTCTTCTTAGGACTCGGCCACTAAGTGTTGGTAGGCTTTAAAAGGGGGTGAGACAAATGCATGGGAGCAACATTGATCCAAGGCTACTGGGCACGATGGTGTTCCAGGGTCAGAGGCCCCAGCCTCTTCATGCCCGTTGTCAGGGAGCAACAACAGTCTGCTTGGAGAGAGCTGGGGTTTCCTCTGAAGACATCGCTGTGTCACAACCTAGGGCCATATATGAGCAGAGAGGCACGCAACTTTTCGCGTGTGGACTAGTAGCTACCTTGGACCTCTACAGGGTCAAAACAGCCAGGGTGAGGCAAATAGGTACTAAAATAGAAGACACTTTGGTTTTGTATTTTAACATAGGCATCAAAGTACTTAACTTATTGTGAAACAATGACATCTTCTTTTAAAAATGTAATTAACTGTAGTGTCTATTCTCTTGCTGAAGGCTGAGTGGCAGAACACTCTAGAGACACCTGTTCATCCTGGCTTTCGAATTTAATATGTCTATCTATCTATCTATCTATCTATCTATCTATCTATCTAATTTATATACTGCCCTTCATCCAAGGATCACAGGGCAGTTCACAGTATAAAAACACACAAAGACATCACATAATAACAAACAGAACAATAATCCCTACACAGTTTAAAAGGTCACTGATTGCTTAATCAGCCAAAGACCCAAGAGAAGAGGAACATTTTCCTCTAGCGCCTAAAGATATCTGAGGAATACGCCAGGCAAGCCTCCCTGGGGAGAGCATTGCACAAGCAGGGAGCCACCACAGAAAAGGCCTCATTCCTGTGCTGCCACCCTCCAGGCCTCTCCTTTCCATTTTTAGGACTCACCTTAATTTTGTATTTTTAAGTGGCGCTAAACTGTTTTGAATATAGTGCAATGCTGTGTTTTAACATTAATGTTGCGTTTTAATTGTTGTAACCCACCCTAGGAACTTAGCGTGAAGGGTGGGCAACCAACAGCAGCAGCAGCAGCAGCAGCAGCACAGAAGGTTCCTGCCTCCATGCAAAGGTTTAACTCAAACGACAACCCAATACCCCAACCCTCATTGTGTCAGACAACTGTCTGCCTTTCAGCTGTGGTTGCTTCGCTTCCACATTAAAGATTCTCCCCGCACAAGAGCCAGGCAGGAACGAAGAACCTCAATACCACAAAAACTGACACACACTGTTAAGAGAAAGCAGGAACACACAACTGTGGTTGCCCCCCCCCCCCCAATGAAGCTACAGAGCAATTGTTTCGGATTTCTTAAATTAAAATCCAGTGCACTCTAAACACCAAAAGCTAAAAGGATCTTTAAAATAATTTACAATTTGTGCATTATGCCATGAAGCAACTAGTGCGTTATCTAAGCATAGATTTAATTAAGAACATAAAGTCTTCAAAGCTCTCTTAAACTTGGAAGCTATCCCTCCCAGAGGTAGTTTTAACACAGCTGCATTGAGACGAATGTTCCCAGCTGCAGCTGCCCTCTGGTGGTTCAGGAGTAGAAAGGGATCAGCGGAGCTGCGAGGCCCTTTTCAAACATGGTAAAAGTCCCTCAGTCCCACTCCCTTTCTGGGAGCTGAGGGTCATACTGTCATATCTCAGGTTACAGACGCTTCAGGTTGCGTTTTTTTCGGGTTGCAGACCGCCGAAACCCGGAAGTACCGGGTTACTTCCAGGTTTCAGCAGTCGCGCATGCACAGAAGCGCCGAATTGCAACCAGCGTGAGCGCAGACGCGCCACTGCAGGTTGCGAACGCTGCGGGTTGCAAACGTACATCCTGCACGGATCACGTTCGCAACCCAAGCGTCCGCTGTACAGGGGTCTTCCGGGCCCTCTCAGGAAGCGCCGAAAGCATACCGCCACCTGCTGCGCAATATATTTCCGTGATTTTAATAGTCAAAGGACATTCCTTTGATCAGGCTGCCCTAGAAACAACCAATTTTATTCAGAGTTCCCAATGTTCCTCTGGTGCAATGCACACCCCCAGCCCAGACTCCTCCACTTCCCACTCAAATGCCCACGGCACAGTGGGGCCAATCCTGTCTCCTGCAACTCTGCCTCAAACAGGAGAACTTCCCAGCTGTACTCAAGAGACGCCAGGAAGTGAACCCAGCACCTTCTGCACACGAAAACACATGAACCACCGCTGAGCAGCTTCCCTAAGTATTCCATTGTTGACGTTTTCATGGAATCATAGAATTGCAGAGTTGGGAGGGACCCTGAGGATCACGCAGTCCAGCCCCCTGCAAGGCAGGAGTGTGCAGCTGCCCCATACAGGGACTGAACCTGCAGTCTTGGCGTTATCAGCCCCGTGTTCCCCCAACTGAACTATCCATACTACTGTTTGTATAAGGCAACTGTCATCCACTCCAGTGTCTCAGATCAAGAGACCAAATATTCCTCTCTAAGGACAATTTGAACATACGGAAGACATACCGTATTTTTCGCTCCATTGGACGCACCGGACCATAGGACGCACCAGACCATAGGAGGGGGAGAACAGGGAAAAAAAGTTTTTTCTTGTTCTCCCCCTCTAAAACAAGGTGCGTTCAAGGTACATTCACCAGAGCTTGTGGGGCTGGCGGTGGGGGGAAGCGCTGCTTTCCCCCACCGCCAGCCTCAAAGATCCCTGAAGCCTTTGGAGCGCGGCGCCCCGCTGCCCTGCAGAGGTTTGCGCGCAGCCGTCCCCAAACTAGAACAGTGAGACGGAGTGCTCCGCAGTGCTCCGTCTTCCTGTTCTGGCTTTGGGCTTAGCAGCGCAGCCTGCATTCGCTCTATAGGACGCACACACATTTCCCCTTAATTTTTGGAGGGGAAAATGTGCGTCCTATAGAACGAAAAATACGGTACTCATCGCTGACAGACAGCCATCCAAACTCTGCTTAGAAACCTCTAAGGAAGGAGAGTCTGCCACCTCTCACGAGAGTCAAACAGCTCTTACTGTCAGAAAGCTCTTCCTGATGTTTAGTCAGAACCTCCTTTTCACATCTTATGAGGGGGCAGCACGTAAATGCCGCTACAAATAAGCAGACGTTTGCATTGCAGAACCCTGAAGCCAGCTCACACTCCCCAAATGCTAACATGGCCCTCCCCAAAGAGGGAAAGAGAGAGAGAGCAAGAAGAGTGGGCTGCACAGCGCACAAGAATGGCCATGCTCACACGCTGAACGACTTTGAGCAGGCCTGCCCCAAAAGGGCTGGCGCCACAGGGCATGTGGAGGACGCCGCCTCGTAAAAGGCCTGACTCTCTGGCCATTTAGACCAGTTCTGCCTGCTCTGACTCCAGGGTCCCAGGTCCCGATCCCTTTTAAGCGGAGCTGCCAGGAATCGAACCTGGGAACTTCTGCGTAGGAAGGCAAGCGCTCGGCCAAGGAAATAGGAGTCCCAGCCCTAGTCCACCAAGTCTCCGGCAGGGCTTGGCAGACTACCGAAGGATGGCTGCTGTCCTGCAAGGAAGGAATACCTGCTGAGAGTCTGAGGGTCCTGCTCCTGCCTCTCTCCACCAGGCCTAGGGTGGAGGTCAGATACACCTCAAAGGGACTGCTGCTGCCCAGAAGAGAGTCCTGTTTACATTCAATTGAAAAATTCATTTTTAATTGTGTTTTTTATTTGTTTTTATTTGGTTGGGGGGTGTTTCTGTTTATAGTTTGATTATGTATTTTGTGTTTTTATCTTGTGAACTGCCCTGAGACCGGTGGGTATAGAGCGGTATATAATTTTTAATAAATAATAATAAATACTGCAAACACACATTAAAAGTAGACGCATGAGCCGAGGCAGCATTGATTTCAAGCAGCAAATATAAGCTGCTCCCAAAAGCCCCTTTGGGTGCTCTAGTTCCACATTCCCACTGTGCTTCCATCCGGGCTCAGCAGCTGATTCCAGCAGCATTGCTCCCCCAGCTTGGCTGATCCGTCCTCCGATCACAAACAGCAAATCTGAAAAGTCAGCATTACAGCCAGACGGCTACAACTCCATTAATAATGCAATAGCTGTCTTGGCTTGAATGACTAGCAAGGTTGGGGGGCGGAGGGGCTTCAAGGTTAAAAGCTGCCATGGGCAGACTGCTGCGGGGGGGGGGGGGGAGTCTAATGGGCACGGATTTTGGTGCTTCCCTGGGAGGGACAATCTGAAGGAAGGCACATGCTGAAATTTAGCAGAGTTTGGAGAATGTCTCTAGCCCACCCCTCTCTCTGTCGTGCTAGCTTTCTACTTGCAGTTTTGTGGTTTAAAAAATAAATAATTTGAAAAGTTATTACTAATAGGGTCCCCAGCCTGTATTCTGAAGTAATAGTCTAGGCAACTACCGGTAAATCTTCCTGCTGCCTATGTAGAAATAGTCGAATGATTTATTAAACAGCAGGTGAGTGACTTGCCTGAAACCATCTTGCTCCCTAATAAGCCAAGGCCCTGACTCAACTATTCAGACTTTTAAAAGGTCAAAGTCAAGGCTTTTACCTGGTTCCTGGAAATGAAATGGAGGCAGGTGCAGTTCAACTGATGTGCTGTGTGCTTTGTGGGGCAAGCTCCAGTCAACCATCCAATTTTAGAGTTCCAAATGCTCTTCAAATGAACACTGAATGTCTTCCTACTAGTATAAGCTAAATCTGAACCAATTTACCTACCTACAGTGAGTCTTACCCACTACACTCTGGCTGCTGAAAAGCTCCTCTGACCTCCAGAATTGGTCCAGCTGCATCCCCACCCCCTGTCCCCAGGCAACTGCTGTGTTTTTTGCAGAACTGGGGGGGGGGGTGCTGAGCATGAAGATGGCTTTGAGTTGCAAAAAGCACCTCCTAAGAGTTAATTCCACTCAGAACAAGACCGAACCTTGAGGTCCTCTCCCATGAGTAACATTTCCTCTTGTCCTCCACAATGTTAAAGGGAGGCTTTCTCCTCCCTGCTCAAACACACCCACCCGCTGCCCTAAAGGAAGAGGTTAGGCAAGATCGCCTGGCTCATGATGTGACCAAATTAGGAAACAAACTCCAAAAGGCTCCAAGATGGACATCAGACACAGTGGCCTGCACTTAGCCTCTGACCAGCGCTGCTTTGAGGCTGCACATACAAGGCCAAGCGTCCCAAAGCACTACCCCAAAGGCAGACACAGAGGCACTCTCCCAGCTGCTTCACACGTTAGGTTTCTAGGTGTAGACAAAGTGTGTGCCAAAACACTCGTGCCATGCAAGATATGTCCGTTGAGGGCGCGGCAAATAGCTTGGAGCTCCTTGCCAGGCAGATTGTGGTGAACTTGCTCTGCCTCTGTGTGATGTGCATGTGGCGTGGCCCTGACCCTCATGTCTTCCTTGTGGGTTTCCCAGAAGCATGTGGAGGGCCACAGAGGGAAGCAGGATCGGGGACCAGAAGGACTGCTGTCTGGCTATCAAGCCATCACAACCTAAGCTGCCCATTCCACGAAGTCTGTGGAACTTCCTGTGGAAGGTCTGCTAACTTCCTGCCCCCAACGGAAATGGCTTTGCTCTAGGTCAAGCCTGGGCCACCAGATGCTGGACCCCAACCGCCCTGGCCAAAGACAGGGAAGGTGGGAGTTGTTGTCCAGAGACACCTGGAGGGTCATGGGGAGACCATGCCTCTGCCCTAGGTAATACAGGAGCCAGAGCAGAGCGGTTGCTGGCGACTCTGCAGATGCTCCCACTCTGCTCTGGAATAAATCTCTAGGCCGCAGGTTGGGCTCAACATGCCTGTTGCTCTGCTCAAACACAGATTGTACAGACTAGCATGGCAGGCCATGAGGAAATGGAGCACCTGTCAACGAGCTGGAACATAGAATAAGAAGCTGTAGAGTTGGAAGGGACGCCAAGAGTCATCTAGTCCAGCCCCCTGCAATGCAGGAATCTCAACCGAAAAGGCACGTTCCAGCCGCTATAGAAGAGATGGAACTAAGCAGCTTTCCCTGCATCCAACAGACTGAGCGCATCTTCCAGCCAACAGCAATCTGGGGCATTGCAGAAGGTAGTCTCAAAAGCCAGACCCCAACACTTAACCCATTGCCCAGCCAATAAAAAGGCTAGAGAGGTTGGAAAGGGTCAGACTTGAGAAGCCCACCTCTTTCCAACACCCCCCCCATCTGGGAATCTGGTTTTATGTAAACCCAAAGCCTCATGATGAACAGAGGCCTTGTGACCAGGGGTGGGGGACCTGTACGTCAAGGGCAGCCTAGACGGGCCATAGGTGGGGCCAAAGCATTACCCTCCCCTCCCACTCACCCACATCCACCCCCACCCCCACTCCATTCACAGCCTCTGACTGATTAGACTGCAACAAAAGAATTTCCGCCCGATTTCTGTTCTAACTTGCCTGGGGGGGGGGGTTCAAGCTGGAAAGACAGACATGGCCTCTTATGGATATATTTCCAAGCTGACAGGCATAACGCAGCAGCATCTTCTGACTGAAGGGTATGGCTATATATGGCAGGGGCACAAGGCCAGGAGGGGGGGGGGGAGAGAACAGGGAGCTGGATTCCCAAACTTGCATCGTCTATTTTTACACCAGTGGTTTGAGAATTCCTGCTTTTGGAAGCTGTGGGTAAACAAAGACCCACAGATAATTGGGGGCGGGGGGGGGGGCGAGGAGAGAGGAAAAAAGACAAGAGTCAAAGGAGACATCTGCCTTTTTGCAGAGAAGCCAGTTCCCAAATCTGTTTTACTTTATTACTGCACATTTTGGAAGGAGCCCATTTATCAAACATTTCTGGGCTTCCAATGCAACCTGGATTCAAAAGCATTGTGGGAGAATCCAAACAGACCTTTTCCTTGTCCTTAAAGTGAGTCGGAAGAGGAGAACGGCATGATGCAGCCTGCAGAGACTGTACCATATCAGAAGGAAGCGGAATGGGATGCAGGGGGGAAAGGAGGGAAGAGCATCATTAAACGCTCCTTTAAGTGAAGCGTTCAGTCACCGCGTTTGGGCTAGAAAGGAGTGGATTCCAAGGAAGGTGGCACCAGGTAATTGCTCTGAGCAGGTAGCTCAGTTCTTGGAAGCCGGTGAAGGGTGAGAGAGCCTGCCTTTCAACTCAAGCCTTCCACTCGCAAAACACTCAGTGAAGGTCTCCCTCTACAAACACTTCCCCTCCCACTTCATGAACTCCTTTGTGCTGATTCAGCACCTCCAATTCCCTGCGGACGGGATTGATCTGGTTCCCCAGAAGCTGACAGGAGCCACAAGATGAACCCAAGAGACACATTTCAGAGAGGAAACCCGGTTTTAGGGGACCGCGTTTTCCGCAGGCACAGCAAACAACCACTGCTCACTGCCTGACAACCTTGCAAGGCAGAGAAGTATCATCACCGCTTATGGGGGTGGCCTGAAGCAGAGCGGGAGAATGTGGCTTGCCTAGGACTACATAATGAGTTCATAGCAAAGGCCAGAAGCAAACTTGGGACTTCCTGTAGACCTGGGCGCTATGCTCACCAACTCTGCACGTATGGGAAACGTTAAGATGCCTTCAGAAGTCGGAGGGGAGCTCCACAGGTCTTCCAGGGGCTTAACACCGAGTCCTCAAAAACTGAACCTGGTGCCCATCTGCCTCTTCCCACCCTTTCCTCCTCCATACTCTTTGAAACCCGGATCTTAGAAGCAGAACAAGCTCTGCTACCCAAACAGGAACTGCACCTCATTTGCCAGGGTTATCCTGCCTGCAGAACCCATTTCCTTGGGGCAGGCCTGGGACTTTCCCTGCTTCAGGAAACCCACGGATTTCAATGCAGCGTCTCTCCGGAGAAGCTCAGCACTCCTCTCATGCCATCCTTGGCAAGCCACGTGCAGAGGGGCACAGGCCTGCACCAGCCCCAGCGGCACAGTTGCCCCCCTCTGCCCAGTCTCCTCTCTGCCTTCGTTTCCTCACCCGCCATGCTGAAAAATACCGAGGCAGCAGCAGCTGAGTTTTCACTGCCCTTTTATGGTAGAAAAATGAAAACTGCCTACACAGCAGCAGCAACAGCAGCAGCAGCAGCAGCAGCAAGAGCAAAGAGACACGGCAGCGGAAACTTGCCATTTGTTGTGGTTTTGGCAAGGAGTCAATGGAGCATGTTCCTCGCTACCCGATTCAGAAGGGCGACCACCACTTAGGCGTTGAAAGAGGAAGGAAGTCAGAGGGGGCAGAAGAGAGAGGAGGCATTGCACGCTGGACACCCCTGGCTTGCATCTGAAAATGCCTAGTAAGCTACTGGCGGGAGCTGAATAAACACCGCAAGCAGCACATGGATTGAAGCCCATTTCCAATGCTGCCGGCGTGATGCCCACAGCCCTGCCCCCGCCCCAAGGCTGTGTCACACTCTCGTGTGACCAAGGGAGAGAATCGAGGGAGCAGCTATCTGCAAATGGTTTCCATTGAGCTCTTTAGAACAAGATGAATGGGCTGCCGTAAGGGACGCAGAAAAGGGGGAGAGAAAAGCCTGCTCCTGCTGGATCGGCTCAGTGTCCCTCCCGGCCAAGCAGACGCCTCAATGGGAAAACCCACAAGGAGGACCAGAGTGCAAGAGAACTCTCCTCTCCTGGCGTTCAGAAGCATTACAGCCTCCGACTTCACCCCGTTTGTTAGGCTGGGGGCAGCATCAGCACACACACACACACACACACATGCACACACACAACCCAAATGGCTGCCTACATGCCCATGCAAGAAGGGAAAACAAGGCAGGGCATCCAGGGACCCTGATGCACTGCAGGAAGAACTTGTCCTCTTCCCCCCAGCGAAAGGGTCTGCGGACAGACCCAAGAGACTCTCCTGGGGGTCCCTGCTAGGTGCCACTGAAGAGAAGTCCACCTGCTTGTCAGAACAACTTCCCCCCTCCCAACCTCAGGATGTTCATTTTCCTCCGAAAAGCCAGAGACGGGGAAATGTCATGGACCAGGCCTGCATGCGAAGCTGCACAGAGCCATGAAGGAGGAAATGAAGGCAACGTCAAGGGTCTACCGGACTCCTCACCCCCGGAGGATGGCCAGAATGCAAGCGGCAGCCAAGCGCCATGAACAACACACAGCTCTTACTGGAAATCAGCTGGCGACAGAGCATGTCCATTCTTGCCCCATCAGCAAGGCTTTCGGGGAAGAGGGCAAGCCGGACCGGGGGGGAGGGTGTTCATAAATGTGTCGCCAGAAAGCAGGAGGGGAAGTGGAGAGCAAGAATGGGCAGATGCCTCTAAGGCCATGGGAGGAAGAGGGGAATTGCAAAACGGGTATTGAGCAATGGTCCCTGTGCTCAGAACTGGGAGGGGATGATCTGGCCAAGGAAGACCGCTGAGTAATGCTTGTAATGTACGAAAAACTATGGGGAAATGGACTATTATTTTTAATGAATTAAGAGAAAATAAGATAAGCAGATGAAAAAAAAAAGAATGACAATGATAACCATGGAAGGGCGGAGGGAAGTCAAGGGATTCATAGAATCCTAAATGAGGAGGTGAATGACGTGTTTGAATTTAAATATGTTATGCAAAAATTAATAAAAATATATATATTTTTTTTTAAAAAGACTGCTGACAGGAAGGTATGGGCCAGCCCTGTTTGAGACTCCACTGCTGCCTTCACTAACCTCCCGCTGTTCTGGAATACAGCTCCCATCAATGCCAACTCATGGGAACTGCAGGACAAAACCTCTGAAGGGTAGCAGAGGCTGTCACACGGGCTGGCCTGCCCTTGTTAGAAGAAAGAGAGAGAAATATCCACCCTTGAGGACATCTCCAAAGTGGTGTTTTGCTTTGCCCTTTGCTCCATGCCAGTTATCTGCTACAGTATGTAGGTGTCTATCTCAGGGAGCTGGGCAGCAGCCCCAGGTCAGGGGCAGAGCGGGCAATTTGCCCAGAGATGGCCCCGGGTTCAGTTCCCTGGCATCTTCCCAGCTACAAGGAACATGGGGCAGGAGGATCTTGCTGAAAGGCCCGCCGGAGACCCCAAGGGAGGCGGACCCCCAGCCCGACTGAGCAAGAGGCAGCTTCATGCGCTCATGCTTCCGGGCAGCAAGCGAAGGTCACGCTGTCCTGCCAAGCTTTTCCCTTTGTGAGCCGTTAATCTGAGAATTCTGGCTGCGAGTTGCTCCTCCCAGGGGCTCTGCGTGTTTCAGTAACGTTATCATTTACAGAGACAATTCAGACATTTACAGCTGGAAGGGCAGCTGCTTTCTGCTTTCAGCGCTGTGGCCACCTTGAGCCCTGGTCAGGAGCTGGAGTCAAGCCTAGGTCAGCAATAAAACAAAGCACCCAGTGCCAGTGATGTTAACCCTTTATTCAAAGAAACAAAACAGTGCAGGCCTAGTGATCATAGCAACCAATGCGAGGACTTCCCACTGCTCCCTAAGACTTCTCCCCCAGCAGCCTAAGGCTCTGTCATCTTGTCTCTCATTGCTTCTCCCTTTTCAGACCTCTTCTGGTTCTGGGAGACTGGGGGATGGAGGGAGCAGGTAGTAGCAGTAGGGAGATCTCCCTGGCTTCTTCAGCAACCTGTCTCATCTCTGCCTCAGCCCTTCTGCTTCTGTCTTTGATTCTGGACTTCTCTCTGCCCCAGCCTCTCCCAGCTCACTAAGCCCTGCTGCCTCTTCAGCTTCCGACACCTCCTTCTCCCAGTCTGCTCCCTCTTCTCCCTCTGGCCACTCAACATCATCATTTCATTTACTGAATTTATATACAGTGGTACCTCTGATTACGAACTTAATTCATTCCAGAGGTCCGTTCTTAAGCTGAAACCGTTCTTATCTTGAGGCACACTTTCGCTAATGGGGCCTCTGGCGTGCAATTTCCATTCGCGTCCTGGGGCAAAGTTTGCAACCAGGAGCTGCTACTTCCGGGTTAGACGAGTCCCTACCCAAAGCGTTCGTAACCAGAAGAGTTCGTAACCGGAGGTACCACTCTACCGCCCTATACCCAGAGGTCTCAGGGCGGTTCACAGTAAAAATCACAACAACAAAAATTAAAATAATCCAATACACACACAACCCAAAAAGAGCCACCTTTTAAAGGGTATAGGATGTTGATTGGTTAAGCAAAGGCCTGGTTAAAGTGGAACATCTTCGCCTGGCGCCTAAAGGTGTATAACGAAGGTGCCAGGCGAACTTCCCTTGGGAGAGCATTTCACAGACAGGGAGTCACTGCAGAGAAGGCCCCGTTCATCCCACCACCACCACCCCCAGGCTCTGAGGTTCTCTTGGGGGTTCCCCAGCTGGTGCCTCCCATCACTTTTCTGCATCCAACCAGTCCATGACAGTTAACATAGAAACCTCTCAAGCAAATCAATCATGGATGATACCAGCCATCTTTTCTTTTACTGAAATGGAGAACTGGGGGGCTGCTGGGCACCCCAACTCCCATCATCCCCAACAAGTGTCCAGCCTGCCTATTCTAAGCAAGGAGGACATTCAGACTCCCTTCCTGGCAGGACACAACTGCGGCATCACAAGCATCAGAAAGCAGAGGGAGCAGAAGAGGCACAAACATGGCACTCGTTCCTTGTTGCTCCGAATGGACGGGAAGGGCCCGAAACAACTGGTTCAAATGGCAATAACGGGGTTTTGAGAAACTTTAGGAAGAGCTTCCTGATGGCATGAGCTAATCAGCCTTGGGAAGGCGTGCCTAAGAAGCAGGGGGTGGAAGGACCTTTCGTCCAGAGGTTTCTCAACAGAAGCTGGGTGGTCACCCGCCGGAGTGCCTAGCGCAGCCGATTTCTTGCAATGACAAGGGATTGGGCTAGAGGTCCCTTCCAACACTCGCATCCTGAGAAGCCGTGCAGCTTAGAGGCTGGCATGATGACACTGTGGAGGAGCAGAGAAGTGTTTCTCCACCTCTTAGGAAGCATCTACCACCCACCTAGGTGATTGTATGTAGAATGTCTATTCCCCCCGCTCATTTTTTATTTTGGTTCATATAGAGGGAATGCAAGGAGGCAGGATTGAGAGTGGGAGAGAGATTGTGCAGGTAGGTGGAAATAGCATCAAGATTTCAGAGATGAAAACAGGGAAAGTATTAATCTCTGAGGATCTCTGTTCTGGTTAAGGGGCCAACAGGAAAGGAGAGCTCATTGCGCTCGGCTGCCTAAAAGGGAGCTGGCAGAAGCAGGCAGCCAAGCCGCTCACCCTTCTGACCTGCCTCTGTTCCCCGTGCACCCAAAGGGATGCTGTGCACTCCTTCAAGGATGGGTTGTTACCATGGCAACAGGATCTTTCACCTCCCGACCATCCAGCTCGCTGGAATCGCTGCAGCGTCCTGTGCTGAGACTGCAAAGGAGAGCAGACAGCTGCCTCTGCCCATAATATGCAAGGGGATAGACAATCCTGGCAAAGAAACCGCCACCGTCAGCAAGTTACGCCGCCTGCTTAAGAAACAAGCAGGCGTGTGTGTGCCCTGTGTCCAAGCCAATCATCTGGGGCAGCAAATGGCGGGGGCGGTAGCCAAGCTGCTTAACCGCCAGCATCCATAGGGGGCGAGAACTAAGAGGTTAAACGGCTTCTAAATTTACCAGGGGGTTGGAAGAGGGTTGCAGCTGTCAAGCAAGGAAGTGGGTGGGGAGAAAAACAGTATCTAGAAATTCCCTTGAAAGCCAAGTTCTGACTTCAGCTTTGAAGAGTGGACAACCAGAAGGCGCTCTTTCTTTCTGGCAAATACGTAAGGCACGAAGGCAACTGACTTAAGAGAGTAAGAACACAGGGCGAGCCCTGCTGGATCAGGCCCATGGCCCTTCTAGTCTAGCATTTTGCAAAGCAGGAGCCAAGCAGGAGCCCTTCCTGCACTTTCCAGCAAGTGGTACTCAGAAGTAAAACTGCCTTCTCCCATGGAGGCAGAGAAAAGCCATTGTGGCTAGTAGCCATCGATAGCCGTCTCCTCTTCCGTGAATTTGACTCTTTTAAAGCCATCCAAGTTGGTGGCCATCCCTGTCTCCTGTGGGAGAGAGTTCCACAGTTTAACAATGTGCTGCATGAAGAAGTCCTTCCTTTTGTTTGTCCTGACTCTTCCAAGGATGTCCACGAGTTCTAGTGTTAGCAGAGAGGGAGAAAAACTTTTCTCTATCCCCTTTCTCCACACCAGGCATCGTTTTATCATGCCAACTCTTCGCTAATCTAAGAAATCCCAGATATTGGAGCCTTCCTGTTTTCCTGAAATAGGCATTTAAGCCTATAGGCCTGCGATTTCCAATCCTCTCTTGATCCCATTTCAAAAAATTGGTGTTGTATCATCCACTTTCCAGTCCTCAGGCTTATCAGAACCTCAGAGAAGGTTCTATTTAACAACCGTGGCTGATAGTGTTGCAGGAAACACCCCCCCCCCAAATCACTCAGTTTGTACAAACTTGAGACACACACACACACACTCACTCACTCACACACTACATATGCTACGCTTCTGTTATAAATTCATAGAAAATCAACCATACATCGGATCTGCACTGTTCCACTTTTATTTTACTCCATGAAGGAAGGACTACAAAATGGGGAAGGTTTGATACAGGGCAGCCATAATCCCTTGAGCATACCAGCACATACACAGGAGCCCTGCCCAGTTGCTATGCCAACCCTGATGGTCCTAGACAGAAGACCATCAAGGTCACAAAAGAACTTGCATATGGGAGTGGATTCAGCACAGACTGGAACAAAGGACAGTGATCAGCTCTTCCCTCCGGGGGCAGGAAACTGCAAACTCCCCTTTGTCACCTGGAAAGTACACATGGGGAGGGGGGAAAGGGGGAACCAGCCAGGTGACAAGATACTCAGGTTACCTCCACAACTCCTCCCTCAACCCCTCCTTTTTGTGATGTAGTTGTGATGTAGTCTTAGGGGTGTAGTTTGGGGGATTAGTAACTAATAAACGTTGGGGTCTTCTTTTGTTCTGGGCTTCCATTTTGCTTCATCTTGTTGTGGGTGGGAGTCCTGTCGCGACAGTTTCCAATAAAGGCCAAGCCTACTGGCTGCTGTTTTGCTCCAAATTGTCCTGGTTGGTGTCTTTGATTTTGCCCAAGGGAGCCCTCGGATTCCTCCATTAACAATAGGACTTGGTGGAATTTGATTTGAACACGTCGCAAATCAAACCACAAGCCACTGGTGCCAGACGGAGCCACTCCTGCCTAGAAAGTTCTGACATGGCTGCGACCACTGGTACAATTGCCACTCCTGCCCACGGCCACAGCATTTTTGCCTTTTGTGGGGCTGGCAACCACCAGCTCTTCTGAGCAGCCAGGCTCCTCCCTCCTGGAAACAGTCACGCACAGCTTCAAGCAGCAGGGGAGGAGAGGAGACCAACCACATTTTGGTGCCACCTCGCCTTGAACTTTTCCACTCCACCTGGTTATTAGAACTTGTACTCTATTTTCCTTCTCCCTCCCAATCTGTTTTCCTTTTGTGACATGCCTAATGGCAGGGATTGTCTCTCCTCTCTCTCTCTCTCTCTCTCTCTCTCTCTTTGGGACCTGTAAACTGCTGCAGGATTCTTCTTTGGCAGAAGAGAGGGACAAAATTAAACAAGCAAGCATCTACTACCCAAGGAGCAGGGAGGGGGAGTTCCAATATTCAGCTACCAGTCATTAGATCTGTTATTATTGATGCAATACGGTAAATGCATTTGAAGAATGCAAGCCGGCAGGAGGCAATTCTTTTGGAGTCTAAAGACGTCCACGTACAGCACGAGACATTAAGTAGCATGTGCATGACTGTTGGTGTTTGATGAATGAAGCTTTTAACCACCACTCCCCCCACCCACCCACTCCAGCGACCAACAGCATTATACAGTGGTACCTCGGGTTACATACGCTTCAGGTTACATACGCTTCAGGTTACAGACTCCGCTAACCCAGAAATAGTGTTTCAGGCTAAGAACTTTGCTTCAGGATGAGAACAGAAATCGTGCTCTGGCGGCGCAGCGGCAGCAGCAGGAGGCCCCATTAGCTAAAGTGGTGCTTCACGTTAAGAACAGTTTCAGGTTAAGTACGGACCTCCAGAACGAATTAAGTACTTAATCCGAGGTACCACTGTAATGGAAGTCCCGGCTGAATATCTAGGGGTCCATTCAGACATACAACATGAGCCCCAGGTAGACAACCCAGGATGTAACCGCAACACGGCTTTTGCCGCTTGCTAAGAGGGGAGTGAGTGGTAGACAGCCTCTGGCTCCACCTTCTTCCAGGAAGTCCCCTGCAAAGGCAGCTTCTTCTGCAAAGACTTGCTTGCCTTGCACTGCTGCATCAGGGCTTTTCAGCTGCCCACTACCCCCCCCCCACTGCATGTCCTCTTGTCATGGGTCATGCTACACAGCAGCCACGTGGGTTTTCTGGAGAATTCTGAATGGGATTTCTTCCCCCTACTTAATTTTCAGATGCCCTAAATATCAACTGGTAGAAGGCAATGCTTCCTCCCGCTCTGCCAGGGCAGGAGGATATTGGAAGCATTTACTTCCCGGTTTAATCCGAGTTTGCTATGTCCAAACTGTGCCAAAAATCATGTTTCAATCCTCGCTCATTACAGTAGCTTTGGATGTAAAAGCAAACCGTTATTACAAATTCTGTAACATAATGCATTTTTAGAAACTGAATTTTCCACACCAAATAAGAAAGTAATTGCAATAGTTCACAGCCATTTCCTCACCTTTTTGGCCAAAGAAATTAAAGAACACAGACACTATGCGAGAGACAGGTAAGCCAAAGAAAAAGTGGTCACCACAACGAATCTCTAGCAAGGCCGCCAAGCCCACTCTGCACGTGAAACTCCACATTGCTGAAATTACAGTTCCTCATGTGGTAACAGGTATGCCCAAGATCATGAGCCCTGGGGCATTCCAGGAACTGAGAGACCTCAGCAGACACCCATACATTTAGGAGTTCAACGGACGATCTCTTGCACACTGCGCTCTCTCCAGGGCTGCAAGGGGAACTCCTTGGATGAAGGCTTGCAGCAGTAATGCCTGAATGTGACAGGCATCTAAACAAAAGGCTCTGAAGGTCTCGGGCTCAGCAGAGCCCCATGGATTCTGTCTCGCTTTTAGGGAGAGTATCCCAGCTACCGGAAAAGAGAGACTTACATAGGATTAACTCTGGCCTTGCACAGACCAATGGCACCACCTAGTGGTTCTCACCCTCCAATATTCCAATTCTCATATTTTCTCGGTTTCAAGCAAATCTCTGTTGCTGTTCATTGAGATGGGTTCCTCCTATGCCAGTGGCTGCAGCTATCAGTCAGGTCCGCACACGCAGACCCACATCGTCCAGTATGCTGCCTGCTCGGCACTCTGTGCCTCTGCAGAGAAGCAGCATTGAGCCAGAAAACAAGAGCAGCACCAGGCTGGCTCAAAATCTAGCCTCGTGGGAAGAGGCCAGGGTGCACTGCGTAGCACACGGACTGCACCCACCAGTTAAGAGCACCTGAAGGGCTATTTCTGCAAAATAGACAGAAGACACTGCACACGAAGCTGCCCCTTGGGTTATTGGGACTTCTGCCACGCCAAGAACCCCCAATCCCTCTTCCAACAGTTTGCTTCCTCAGGCAGCTGTTGCCACCTCAAAAGCTCAGCTTGGCACGCACTCTTCTTGGCCAAGACCCCTCGCAAGAGACCTTGTGGCCTGAAACAAGGCCCCTGCAAGGAACTCCATCCCAAGCTCCCCTTCCCACTCAATACACTGCTGAACCAGGCAGCAGCGGACAGAGCCTTGTTTCTTCAAATACTGCCTGCCTTGTTGCATCGCCAGCCAATCGCAAAATAAAAAATCGACCTCTTACCTTCCGGCATCGAGGGTTGGGGCAGCTGAACCGCTTCACATCCTTGTCCAGCAGAGCTGGGAAGCTGCAGAAGGGACACCTGTGGGCCAAGGAAGAGCGGAGTTGAGGGTTTTGTACTAACTTCTCGCTGAATAGTCCACGAAGGTCTGCTGCCAGTCTCCCTCACTCTCCTGATCTTCTGTTTCCTTTCCAGCAGAACTTCAAAGGAGATTAGACCACACACACACACCTTTTACCGTGAGGCAGACATGGGATCAACCTGGTTTTCCACAGGGCTGCAGCAGGGAGCCAGGACTGTGTGCGCACGTGATCCTAAGCTAGCATCTGCTGCTGGTGAGTAATGTGTGAATTGGCCAAAGGGGGCTGGGAACCTCAGAATGCCCCAGGAGGCTCAGACAAAAGGAGCTAGACTCACCTGACTAACTCATCTGCACAGGCAGCAGCCACCTCCTCCTCTGCTTTCCGCTCGTAGTATTTACACAGGATGTTTTCAGGAAGGACTTTCTCCAGTTCACTGGTTGGAAATGAGCACGTACAACTCCCTTCCATGCAGCTGAGCTCCGACTACGCACCAGAGAAAGACAGAGAAAGGCTAAGATTACAGGAAGTTCAGCAATGTTTAATTGTCAGTCGTTTATACAGCACCATTCCAACATGCAGAGCTGCTTTGCAACATTTAGGATATAGAACTGGGACAGGCGGTTATTTTGCAATCATTTTCTTATGGGAGGCTGCACATGCATCACGGTGGAACTTTCTGCTAAGCCACAACAAAATGTTTTCATCCTCCAGGCATCATCATCGGCCGGAGGATGTCACCCAGCCAGGGCTGTCCAACTCACACCAACACAAGACACTTGACCAAAAAAAGTAGCAGCAGTTGAAACAGCTCGCAATGAACAATGTCATGTGGACAGAGCTGAAAACCAGGAGTGGGATGAGACAAGAGTAAACCGGCAGTGGATGACATGAAGGAAGACAAAGTCAGAAGGCCTGAAAATCTCAACCGTTTCATGCAACCAGGAGATCTCTTTCCTTACCTTGCCAGAGCCAAAGACTGCTTCCTGAGCATACTTGATTAGGCACTCCTTGCAAAACAAATGTCCATCTGCGCACTGAGTCAGCTCCTCAAACGCAAAGTCCCCGTAGCAACAGCAACACACGATCATCTGGCCATTCTGCAAGTCAATGCCTCAAGGTTAATTGCCACTTCCAAGCTGTCAATGATGGCGTCCTGCACATGAAGGCCACTTTTCCATAATATGATCCTGCATGGAAAACCCTGCAGGCCAGGCAAATGGCTTGGGTCTTGATGTGAAGAAGGGAGGGAAGACACACAAGCGGGCCCACCTCCGGGCTGCACTGCTCACTCGCCCCCTGCATGGAAGTGCATCACGGAAAAGCACTTTGCGCTTGGTGGTATGAGAAACATACCAATGGCTTCAAACCAATAGCTCAGGCACTATTTTGCACCCCAGATGCTTCTAGGAGAAAGCCGCACACAGGCTTTATACATGAGGTATGAAATCTGATCGGATCAAGGAGCTCTGTGCAGCAAAACAAGGTTAAGAAAATTACAACCTCACAGCTGATTGATGTAAGAATAGCTTGCTGAGTCAGACCAGTGGCTTTTACAGTCCAGTATCCTGTTCTCACAGTGTAAAACTCAAGCAGTCAGATTCAGCAGATTTCCTCAACTGAAAATCAAATTGTAGCACATAGCACTATCGTTACACAGAAAGCAGACTGACATGTATTCCAGATGCCAAACATCAGTTTCACACAGGCACCTGTACCACCTGAGGGCCCCACACTCTCAAGACAGCCTTCCTCAACCTGGCACCTTCCATGTGTGGAACTACAGTTTCCATATGATCTAGAAGATCTGGAGAGCATCTCCCTGGGGGAAACCCCTCAAAGGCATATCTGATTGCGTGAGCATGTGCCCAACTCAGCTGCCTTGATCGGTAGGAGTGGCACTTCAACAGGGGCCACGTAATCCCCATTCTGCCTTTGTAAGAAGTGAATAATAATAATAATAATAATAATAATAATTTATTATTTATACCCCGCCCATCTGGCTGGGCTTTCCCAGCCACTCTGGGCGGCTTTCAACAAAATATTAAAATACAGTAATGCATCAAACATTAAAAGCTCCCCTAAACAGGGCTGCCTTCAGATGTCTTCTAAAAGTCTGGTAGACACTCAATCACTTAAGAGTGGCAGTGCCTACACTTTGGAACTCCCTGCCTTTTGAGATCAAGCAGGCCCCTTCCCCACATTCCTTTGGGCGCCTAATAAAAACATTCATTTTAGACAAGCCTACCCGGATGCTTAGAAAGTTAAGGCAATTTCATTCTGTTTTAGTGTTTTAACTTTGTATGTTTTAAAATAGAGTTGCATTTTTTTCTTCATCTTACTGTTTTGTATTTGCAAACCGCTTTTGAGGTTGTTGGGTTGTTGCTTTGGGTGGTGGGTTTGCAATCAAGCCGTGAATAAATTCTATGAAATAAAATTAATAAATAGGACTAAAATTAACAGTACAAGTTTGGCATGACATTACTCTCTGTGTCTGTGTGTGTTAACGGAGCTACTTACTTTTTGATACTGCTCCTCGTTTACCTGCAGGGCGAGCAGAAAATCTGCATGCTGGCAAGAGAAAAAGGAAACACACTCAGGGCTATGAACACAGAACCTCCAGAATGGATGAGCCGCTCACCATTTTCTAATGCGATGGGACGACTACCACTACTGAACCTTCTCACTGGGAAATCCCTGATAAAAGTTTCAGAGGACTCTCAGGGCTACTCTCCATTTTCAAGCAGTGTGATGAGACTATTAAGGATGGCTCCGTGTCAGACACAGCCAAGGTAATTCCCAGGTGTATTCTCATGAGCATTTAAAGAGGGTTGTCCACACCTGGTGGCTTTTGTGTTAGGTGACCCTCCTGGCACCCCCAGAGCACATTCAGCAAGCTTGCTTGCTAGATGAAGCATGGGGCCACCACAACACGTTCTTTGTTAGATTTACAAAGCTGTCCACCAATAAACTCCTCCTGGGCAGCTTACAACAAAATATTTAAGAAGCAACTCAATAATTTTAAAAAATAAGACGACAAGGAGAAGCTTCTTTGCATACAGGCAGCATAAAATAGTTTTGTAGCTTCGATTCCAAAAAGCTTGAGTGAACAGGAAGGTATTCCCCTGGCACTGGAAAGCTCCTAAAGAATCCCCTCTGGGGAGGATATACCTTAGCTGAGGTGCCACTACCAAAAAGGCCCTCTCTCCATGGCAGCCACCCACTCAACTTGGTAGGGGCACCTGGAACAGGGCCTCCTTAAGGTTCAGGGAGGCATATGCAAAAGGTGGAGATATTTCAGGCAGCCCAAGCTATTGATGGCTTTGTAGGTTAAATCCACCACTTTAAAAATTGGGCCCAGGTCCAGTTGGAAGCACAACCAGGGCGTAACTCAATAACTTGCAGCTCTGTTTCAAACCTACTACAGTGTCCGGGTTAGTTTTAAAGGCAGCCCTACATACAACACATTGCAGCAGTCTAAGTGGGAAATTGCCAGAGCATGGTTAACTGTGGCTGTACTATTTCCATACAAGTAAGGCTGCAGCAGATGTTATTAACAGAAACTGATAAAAGATGCTTTAAATCAGGCATCCCCAAATTTGGCCCTCCAGATGTTTTGGGACTACAACTCCCATCATCCCTAGCTAACAGGACCAATGGTCAGGGATGATGGGAATTGTAGTCCCAAATCATCTGGAGGACTGAGTTTGGGGATGCCTGCTTTAAATTACAGAAGCTATATAGCTTTGAATGAAAATGTTGGACCTGAGGGCACTTACCATACTTCAAACCTAATCCTTCACAGGGAGAGCAGCCCTCTCCAGGACAGGCTGAATACCATTCACCCATGTGGATGAGCAGCCCACCCACAGCACCTCTGTCTTGTCTGGACTGAGCCCCATCCAGGCCATCGCCATGCCCAAATCCCCAGGCTAAATATTAGTGGTTGGTGCCCAAGAAGGAAGAACTCGTCTTAGCATTGTTTCTCAAACCTGGGTCCCCAGCTTTTGTCAGACTACAACTCCCATCATCCCTAGCTAGCAGGACCAGTGGTCAGGGATGACGGGAGTTGTAGTCTAACAAACAACAGAGTGTCCAAATTTGAGAAACACTGTTTGGTGTCTTGGCCGCCAAAAGAGCCCCGAGTCCCTTGCACGGGACACACTGCTCACCTCTGCCATTTCCTTGATCTTCTGCTCATAGAACTCCTGCTCCAGCTGCACGGCTGGGAGGAGAGCGCATGGGTCGTAGCTCCTGTAGTGCCTCCTCTTGTTCTCCAAGAAGAACATGCGCTTCTCTATTTTCATGTCGCCTGAAGTGCCATTGGAAAAACCGAACAAAGAAACAAATGGCCCTTAATGAGGAGGAAACAGGAGAGCAAGGGGCCCACCCACGAAAACAGGGCCCTCTGCAATGCACCATCCCCTTATAAACCAACCTTCATCTGTTTCTTATCTCATCCCCTCCGACTAAACTCCAGCAGGGTGTGGGAAATGGTCATGGCCTGACAACACGGGTTGCAACATGCTGCGGATATGACCAGAATTCACAGTTGCCCAGGAATCTGCCTCTTCCAACAACTGTGCCCCAGCTCCATAAAAATATTTTTTGGTTAAAAAAAAACAACAACCACCCCAACAACTTTGCCTCAGCCAACGAGGATGCAACTGTGGCTCATCCCAACCCCGTTCCCTCCCTGTGACTGGAAAATAGGGCTGCCCCAGGCAGAGGAGCAAAGGCACAGGATCACAGAGAGGAGCAGGAGGAGAGGCACCGTGGAAGCAGCATCCCACTCTTGCAATTACCACGTCACAATCCAGCCACCCTCAAGATTAAAAGAGGTTTCCATGACACCAATGGAGCCATGAACTAGGCTGCCAGCCATGTTCTTTTCAGGCAGTTGATTGGTGTGATCACTGAACCCAATAATGTGAAAAGCAGAGGAATTAAGCTCCTGGGGGCTTAATTCTGCAACCCACCCAGGGGAAGTTCACAGGGATGGGGCACACTTTGCCTTTTCTGACTTGCAAGGAATTTCAGAGGTGCCTTTTCATGGAAAGGACCTGTCCCCGAATTCTGGGTGCACCGGCACCTCCCAATCCTCCATGTGCAGCTTAAAATCTGCCTCCAAGCACAATTCACAGAGCCCAGCCGACCTGAAGGACTGCTGTCCTCTGAATGGAGGCAATCATCAGAGACTGTGGGCAGATATCATGTACCAGAGGCCCTCATCACAGGAACGTCAGTGGCTGGCTACCAGGGACAGGGCCTTCTCTGTTGTGGCACCCGGACTGTGGAATGCTCTCCCAAGCACATATACCTGGCACTATCTCTAAAGCAGCAGGTAAGGACTATTTTACATAGCAAAGCTTTTGCTGAGTTGACAGCTTCTGGGTGCTCTACTGCTGCTGTTTGTATGTCTTTCTTTAAGTCTTGTCTATTCATATGCCTTTTTTATTGTGATCATCTCCACAAAGAAAAATGATTTAGTCCTCTGAAAGTTCTTTTCAACCTTGCGCCTGGCAGGCAAAAGTCACGTTCGTTTGCAAATGAAATAAACCCAACCAAATTACATAAGTGTGCTCATTACGTCTGCCGTGAGGTTTTCCATTTTGTGAGATGGCTTGAGCATCAGCCGAGGCGGAGGGGTAAAGGCCATCCCTTTGCGAAAGAACAGAGACACATTCCCGGCACTCAGTGCTCCTGTTTCATGGGAGCTGGGGGGCTGCAGAAAGGGGCAGGGGGCTGACAGGCCTGCCAAGACGGGAGGCTCCCTGGGTGAAGGAGCAGGAAGAGGCGGCAGCAGCAGCAAGGAGAAATAGTAGTCAAATGGAGCCAACCTGAACACAGTAGACAGAGCTGCCTCCTGGTCTCCTGCTCCTCCCTCCCTCCTTCCCACTTGTTGTCCCCAGAGTGGGTGTGCATCAGCACAACCCGATTCCTCTCCCAGCCATCTTGGTGCTGCTGCTCATTTCTTCCCACACACCTTTACTTTTGACACACAGTGATGGCAGCAAGAAGCACCTTGAATGGAGCCTGGGCGGCCACTGAGAGCCAGCGCAGACAGCAGCTACCAACCTTGCTCAAATTTGAAGTCTATGTAGGAATACTGGTTCATTTCCTTCCTCCTTTTCCGCTTCCCACTGGTTTCAGGAGACAGTTCTTGCCATTTTTTGATGGCATCCGAAAAGGCCTGAAGGAAAAGGCAGCGAGTCAAGATGGATACACAAATATGCAGGTAGAATGATGATGGTGGTGGTGGTGGCGGTTGTTACTACTAATAATGATGATGCCTTGGTGCCTCAGGGGGCTTGACTTCTTGTACGCTCAGGCTGTACATCTCCCTTCCAACACTGAGTCAAGTAAATTGTTGTAGCAGTTTGGGGTAGGGGAAAAGAGAGAGAAGAAATGAAGGGAAGGAACCTTTCGCGTGATTGCATAGTGTCCCTTGAGCTCATGCAGCGCCCACTTGATGTCCTGGCTACTCAACATTTTGAAGTCAGCCATGAGGAGATCAGCCGCTTGGATAAAGCAGCGCTGATCAAGTGGTTCAAGTTTGGAGAAGTCAAAGTAGTCCACTTTAGGCACCTAAGAAAGAAGAAAAAAGGAAACGGGGAGGGAGGGAAGGGGAAAGAGTCAGCGCACACTCGTCTGGCCTTGGAAGTTTACCGTGATTATTATTCAAGCTTCACTCCATTTTTCCTCCAGCAAGCTCAAGATTCTCCCCCAGCCACATTTATTCTCAAAACAACCTTGCAACGGAGGTGAGGTTAAAAGGTAGTGAACTGGGCATTTTCTATTCTTGACCTATGAGCCCTTCGGATCCAAGGCTGAAGTGGATGAGTATGCCAATAATCTGCTACCTTCCAATGAAATGATCTCAGAGAAAGGGAATTGTGGTCTGGAAAAGGCAACTTGAGAGGAAGGAGTAGGAAACTCTTGAGCCATAAGACTCCTGCCCCTAACCTATCCTCATAATATATATCTAGATAAGCTGCAATAGGCTAGAAGGGAAGATTCATTATACTGGCCCAAATGCAGGGACTGGAAGATATATGTCCAGGTTAGAGGCCCAAAACTCCTACCCTGCCAGCAATCTGGTTCTGGGCCAGAGGAGCAAGAGCAGCAGTTGCAGACCTTAGAACACTCCCAAGGTGGCTTTGGAAGGGACGGCGTACAGAACAATTCCTGCCACTTCCCAGAGAAGGGAGAGATGTGTGGGGCTGGTAGGGGACTCCCTACTGAGGGGGACAGAGGCAGGAGTGAGGAGGTAACAGGATGTCACAGGAGGTGTGCTGTCTTCCAGGTGCAAAGATTCACGATGTGACAAAGAAGTTGCCAAGCCTTATGAAGCCCACTGACCACAGTCCCTTCCTTCTGATTCATGTTGGGTACACATGATACAGCCACACACAGCCTTCAACATACAGTGGTACCTCTGGTTACACACTTAATTTGTTCCGGAGGTCCGTTCTTAACCTGAAACTGTTCTTAACCTGAAGCACCACTTTAGCTAATGGGGCCTCTTCCTGCCACCACACCGCCGGAGCACAATTTCTGTTCTCATCCTGAAGCAAAATTCTTAATCCAAGGTAATATTTCTGGGTTAGCGGAGTCTGTAACCTGAAGCGTCTGTAACCCGAGGTACCACTGTATAGAAAGGGACTATGAGACGCTGGGCAGGAAGCTGAAGAGGCTTGGGGCACAGGTGGTTTATTCATCCCTCCTTCCTGTTGAAAGCCAGAAGAGAGAGGAAAGTATTGGAAGTACAGCACTGGCTGCACAGGTGGTGCCGTCAGGAAGGGTTAGGCTTCTTGGACCATGGTCTCCGCTCCCTTGAGGAAGGACTTCTGGCAAGAGATGGGTTGCACCTCACAGCAGCTGGCAAGAATGTGTGTGCTAAGAGTTCAACCTTTTAACCTCCTCTGCCCCTTCCCTGAAGTCCCTTGAGTCCTGCCTAACGTACATCAAATAGCCTCCTTGCAGGGACTTCATAATTTCTGATTAACCTTACAACTTGCCACTTACCTTTGTCTCATCTGGGCTGGAGAGGAGGCTGCTATTTGGATTTAAAACCACTCTGCCTTCCTTCTTTGGATAATCTGGATTTTCCAGAAGAAAATTACAAAGTCTGCAAAAGCAAGAGGAGACCATTGCTTGGCCAGGGCTGTCAACTTACTTGACCCAGCTTTTCCCAACACACTCGTGCTTCCTTCCCCAGCCTGACACCCTCCAGATGCTTTGAGCTACACTGCCACCATTCCTGGCAGTGCTGGCTCAGGGGGTTGGTGGGAGTTAGAATCCAACAACATCTAGATGGCACCAGGATGGGGAAAGCTGGCCTGGGGGCTTGGCAGGCGGATATAGCCCTCCCCACCAGCCCTCAGAACAGCAGCAGCAGCAGCAAATGAAAGAAACAGAGAGCTGGATGCAACAGGGTGCAGGCAAGAGTCAGACCAGGGGCAAGAAAGATCCAGCAGCAGCAGGGGGAAAGGAATTCAAAAGGAGGCAAGCATTTTTATGTACTCAAGAGTTTTTCCAAACGGGGAAGGAGTACCCAGCTGTACATCAGAAGAACAACTTGCGAGTTTAAGCCCATTCTCACAGATGTAAAACACAAAAGAGTAAATCCTGGCTTCCTCTGCTGCCACATCTAACTTGGCCCCATGGTAACCAAGAAGCAAAATAAGCCTGGAATACAGAGGAGGCTATCAAGAAGCAGGACCTGTTTTGCTGCTGACTCTTTTCGCAAAAGATAGCTGAATAAGGACGGGATTGGCAAGGGGCCATGTGCCATGCTGACCCATAGAGCCCGGGTAGGCTAAGCCATAATGGTTGCTCCAGATCGTGACCAGTTAATGAGAGCAGGACGCACCCACAAGTTTTTGGGTATCGCTACTAACTGGTTTGTAAGTGTGCCGCAAAAGCTTCCATACTTACATGTTTAAGTCACAGCAGTTTTTATTCTGTATTAGATCCTCAATGTACTCTCTGGTTGCATCTGGGAACCTTGCTTCCTGGATTTGGGGGGGGGGGGGAGAGACAAAACCACACACATTTTGGTTGATAAGCAGTTCAGGAAAAGCTTCACCTTTATGGTGACGAGAGCTGGAAATAATATTTCCATGCAAACAGAGTGGCGGTTTTAGACTGAAATGTTCCCACTGTGTTACCTGTACACCAGCAAAGGACACTCAGTTGTGGGAAGATGCCGAGAAAGCAGCATTACTGTAAAAATGTAATTTATCAGAAACCTTTAGACTAGATGCAATGAAATGCAGAGCAAATTATTATTATTTATTAAATCTGTATACCACCCTTCACCCGAAGATCACAGGGTGGTTTACAACATAGAAGTACAAAACGAAAACACAAAATGCATGATAAAACAAAAGCAAAACAAACCTATAACCCTCCTCCCACAGATGTATTTAAAAATCCATAGAATGTTAATCGGCCAAATGCCTCATTGAAGAGAAACCTTTTTGCCTGGTGCCTAAAGATATGCCATAAATGTTGTGCATGAAGCTACAAGTTTTAGTTGATCCGTTAGTTTAATGCATTAAAGGCCCAATTAGGCAGCTACATCATCAATTAGCCAAAAAAGAAGAAAGTACCAATCAACCAGAACCAGGAAGCAGCACCAGTTTCACTTCACAAAATTGATGTTTTTAAGTAAAAAAAAAGTGTGTCGCAAGGAAGCATCCTTCTTAAGGAGTCGCTTTAGGAGTGCCTGCCCTGTGGTGCTGGGTTCGTTCCCAACACCTCCCAGACATCAGAGATGCTCTCCAACATCATCTGGAGGGGCCACAGGCCCCAACTCCTGGCCTACACTCTGGCAAAATGTGTTGCAACACACAAGAGTTATTACTCCAGACTTTTTTATTTTTTTATTAATTAGTGTGCCTACCACTGTGTGACTCTACGATTCTGTAAGCCGGAGGATGCAAAACCCTCTGCACCACAAACAAGGATCTTGTGGCAAAAACTCAAAGGATTCACTGAAGGAAGGAAGCTTGAACACTGCCCAATTGAGGCAAGATTTATACAAGATGTGGCCCACAAAGGCTTTCCATGTGCACCTGGTCACGCGCATTTGCTCACATCTGTTGCCCATCTGCTAGGCACACCAATCCCTGACACACAAACAAGGGCAGCACATGGAAAGCTGACGTGGGCAAGAGCTTTCCACATGGAAGATGAAGAAGTAGAATCAGTTATGATACATTGGGCTAAAGATATAGGACACAATATACCAATAGATGATTGGGGGAGAGTATGGAAAGAAGGAATAAATTTTACTGCCTGCAGTGCTTTAAATGAAAATATAATGAAAATGATGTACAGGTGGTATATAACACCGGTAAAACTAACCGAAATGGATAAAACAAATAACAAATGTTAGAAATGTAAAGAAAAGGAGGGCACATTTTACCGTATGTGGTGGGAATGTAAAAAAGTAAAAGACTTATGGGAAATGGTTTATAATGACATTTTAAAAAGTTGAAATATACATTTTCAAAAAAACCAGAAGCGCTTTTACTTGGAATGGTAGGTACAGAAATTCACAAGAATGATAAAAAAATGTTTTTATATGCGACCGCTGCAGCAAGAATACTATTAGCCCAACGATGGAAGCAGGAGGAAATGCCAACAAAAGAAGAGGGACAAATGAAAGTGATGGACCATGCTGAGCTGGCGAAACTAACAGGGGAAATTTGAAACCAGCAGGACCACATTTTCCTAAAGGGCTAGAAAAAAATTATGTCATATTTGAAAGACAATTGTAATTATTTAATATTGCTTGCAGGGTTACAAGAAGTTTTGTAGGAAGATTTTACAAATTATTGTGAAAAGGATTAAGTTTAATTGATGTAAGATTTGATTTATAACAATAAGTATAGTAACAAAATGCAAAACCAGAAAAGGATTTAGAAAACCGTTAGAAGGGGCTGAGGGAAGTCAAAGGCTGTGACAGCCAAAGATTTGTCATGTTTTTTTCTCTTTTTTTGGAGTTGTTATGCTGGAAAATATGTGTAAAAACCAATAAAAAAAGAGCGCTTTCCACATGATGTGCATCCCATTCAGTGAAGCCAAAGTGATCACAGTGGGGGAAAATGATTGCGCTGTCATTACCTCTTCTTGACGAGTGCCACACTTATGAAGGAGACCCGACAACGACACTCACCGTTTCCCTGATGAGAAGAGCAAAGAGGTCTTTGTCGAGCTGAGGAGCAGTGCCTTGCTTGGGAACGTCGCTGGAACCAGGATCGGGGGGCCCTCGGGCTGGCGAAGAGGGGCCCGCCTGCTCATTGACCGTTGCCTGCTGCCCACCTCCCTCTTCTTCCGGTGGGTGAGCCAGCTGGGGGGAGGCGGGGCCTGGGATCCCGTCCTGCGGAGGCTCCGGCCTGGGAAAGGCAGGCCCAGGGATCTCCTCCTGGTACGCCCTGGGCAGCGGGCCCAGGTCCATGTCCCTCTGCCCTTGCTGGGGAGAAATGAGGTTGACCACGGGGCCTGCGTCCTTCTCAGCCGGCTGGAAATACGGGTGGTCCAGCCGCATGTTCTCCTGGATGCACCGGACAGTCCCTCCGAGGGGCGGTGCTAGCCTCGGTTGCAGCTCTCGCTCCCTCTGCTCCTGCCCTTCCTCATCAGCGGGCAAGACCTCCTCCAAGTTGATGACCTCCTTCTCGCCGCCGGGTCTCGCCTCTCTCGTCCGAGCCACGCTGGGACCAGGCTCCGGAACAGCCCCATCGCCGTCCCCCCTCGGCCCAACGGGCTCCGGGGTTTCTGGCAGTTCCAAGACCTCGTTCTCGCTTTCCTGCCGTCCCAGCGCCACGCCAGCGGCCTTCGCGCAGTTCCGCCAAGCGCCAGGCGGCCTCGGGGAAGGAGGGGTCCTCGCCTTCTGTCCATCGTGGGGCCCTGGCAACACGTCGCCCTTGGACCCTCCTTCCCCCGACTTGCTCGCACTCTGCCAGGGAGCCGCTGGTCTGATCACATTGGAGCGCAGAAGCTTCTTCGCTCCTGTCTTTAAAAGGATATTAAGCCGTAGTTAGGCTAGCCGTTTCTTTGGAAGGTTACTTCAGGTTGCAAGTACAGTGGTACCTCAGTTTACAAACTTAATCCGTTCCGGAAGTCTGTTCTTAAGCTGAGGCACGCTTTCCCTAATGAGGCCTCCTGCCGGCGGTGCCCTTCCACCATTCGACTTCTGTTCTTAGACCGAGGTAAAGTTCACAAACCAGAACATTACTTCTGGTTTTGTGGAGTTCGTAAACTGAATCATTCGTAAACAGGGATGTTCTTAAACCGAGGTACCACTGTATATAGCAGCGATGGCCAAACTTGGCCCTCCAGCTGTTTTGGGACTACAGTTCCCATCATCCCTGACCACTAGTCCTGTTAGCTAGGGATGATGGGAGTTGTAGTCCCAAAATAGCTGAAGGGCCAAGTGTGGCCATCACTGCTATATAGGATTTAGAGTAAGCATTTCCTCGTTTTGCTCCTGCTAAGGTGGGCTCACATTGAAAGAAAATTAACAAGCAGGATTTTAAGAAGTGGATTTTCTCCCTTTCAGGGAGGCATTTGGCAGCTGGTGTTAAGGGGTATTTAAAAGCATGTTTTGCTGCTCAAAAAATGTTGTGCTTCCTCAAGGTAGTAGCAGAACAGAGCCGCTACCTGAAATAGCTGAAAAATTCTAGGATGAGCTGTCAGGGGGCAGCCCACCATCCTCACATTTTAAGATGCCCTGCTAAGCTCACTTGGGCAAAGTTTTGGAAGCCAAGTGAGAACAACTCCAGAATATTAGACGGGGGCTCGATTTGTGTCTTACAGCGGGGGAGGATTCATGCATCTGTTACAATGAGAGTCAAGCTAACTAAATCAATGCCAGATTTTAAAAAGTTTCAAATAATAAATAACATATAACTATTCCGTTTTAAACATACATCTGGGATGGGGAGACCATACTGGTTGTATACTAAGCCTAACACAAATTTCAATTTTTGCTACACTGGAGGATGGCCAGGGCCAAAGAGTTACCTCCATCAGAATGACTACATCGTCGTCTTCCTCATCCTCCCACTGCCGGCGAACAGGAATGTCCAGCATCACAGGCAATTCTTCATCCGAGGAGTCGGATATGGTGATAAGCCCCTCGTCTCTGTGGTTTATTCTATCTGAAAGAAGGAAGGAGAGAAAGGAGAGACAACTTACCTATCAGCTGAAGGTTCACAACAGAACACTAATACAGTCATACTTGGTTCTCAAATTTAATCCATTCCGGGAGTCCATTTGACTCCCAAAATGGTTCGAAAACCAAGGCACAGCTTCCAATTGGCTGCAGGAACTTCCTGCAGCCAATCAGAAGCCACGGAAGCTGCATCGGATGTTTGGCTTCCAAAAATCGTACACAAACGGAAGAGGAGCACTGGAAATAGCTTGTGTACATGCACAAGCATTATTTCTGGTGCACATCCAGGTCGGAGGAGGCCCGTGCACATGCGCACAAGCTATTTCTGGTGCTCCGGAAGTGCGCCGGAAATAGCGTGTGTGCATGCGTATGGGCACGAGCTCCCCCGCCCTCTGGCCCGCCGCACGATCGGCGCTGGAGACACCGGCTCGAGGCGCAGTAAGTTTGCTGACCCCTGCAGCAGCCTCATGCGCTGCACCTGGAAGAACCAGGAATGTTTTCCTTACCTTTCCCTCGGTGGCTCCGGAAACTGTTCAAGTCAATCACTTCTTCGTTTCCACCTCCCTCTGCCATGTTAGAAAGCTAAGAGCTCCAGAGCATGGCACTCACTCTGCCAACAGCACCTGCAAAGGACAAGGTGAGCAGTTGGTTCACACCTCTGGTTTCACCACGTGGTAGAGGTTGCTCCAGACAGAGTTTACACAAGGTTCATTTTCTTATTAATCTGAGCAGCTGGGTTTTAATTGAGAGGTAGGCAACTGCTGGGAGAAATCCAGGAAATCCTTGTACAAATATGCAGAAATCCCACCTGCAGTTGCTAATCCATCCACAAACAGGACTTCCGTTTACCTGAAGATCCACCAGGCAAGCACAGAATCTATTACTGGCTACAGAATTTGCCCAGGGGTAAGCCATGGAAGGCTGACTGCCAAGTAAGCATGTGCAGGACTAGGCTGTAAATCGCACCTCTGGCTGTAAATCAGAAACAAATTTCTAGTCCTCATGCTGCAAAAAACACAAACTGAAAGCCCATCTTATAATCACATTTGCAAACCTAGGAGAGCTGCCTGCTGCCAGCCTCCCACACACAGGCATACCAGGATCGCCAAGTATGATTATCTCCTGTTTTCCACCTGGCAGCAGCTAAGTTAGAAAAGCTCAGGGTTAGAGCGACAAAAGTGCTAATTAATGGTCCAAAATCAAATTATGATTGATTGTAACAAAAATTCCAGAGAAAACATTTGGCCAGATTGCATGTTTCAACCCCTTAACCAATGACCACCCAAAAAGCATCATACATGCTTCACAGAAGGAGGGCAGTCTCCTATAGAAATGTTGATTCTGGCTTCTCTCCTGTCTGCCAAGGTACCTGATAATGCTTTACTGATTGCATTACCTGGGCAGTCTGGCCACTGAGATGGTAAATACTTTATCCTGGATCCAGGTCACAGGCCCACCCTATTCATACCCAAATATGCCCTTAAGGCAGGATTTGTAAGTAACTGCTGGGAAAGGTTTCTCCAAGATATCTCCTTCTGTAGAAGAAATATTCAGAGTAATTAAGAGAGCCAAGAGGGCTTTTGGGGGACTGTTCTGTGTGCTAAAATAATGTCTATTTTTCTCAGGGAATATTTCCTAAATTTTAAAGGATGAAGGATAGGTTTTCTGTGGAGTGTGTGTCTGCTATGTGTGTGTACCCTAAAATTTTAAAACAGGAGCATCTGAAGGACCATCCTTTTATAACTTTTAGAAAATTGGATGCTTGGTGTTATATTAATAATATGCAACTGCTTTTTGAGCTCCACCTGAGAAGCGGAATATAAATACAATTAAAAAATGAATAAAATAGCTGTTCTTCATTTAAAAAGTGTATTTGATCAATAAGTTAGAACTAAATATCACAGTCCACCAACAGTCCCCTGTGCTAATGTGACTGGGCTTTCCTGTTCTAGATACAGTGGTACATCCGGTTACGAATTTAATCCATTCTGGAGGTCCGTTCTCAATCCTAAACCACTTATAACGCGGGCACGCTTTCGCTAATGGCACCTCCCGCTACCGCCACATCCCAGGGCAAAGATCGCAACGAGGAGCATCTACTTCCAGGTTAGCGGAGCTCGTAACCTGCAACGTTCGCAAGGGCGATGGTAGGTAACACGAGGTTCCACTGTACTGCTGTGCATTCTCCTTATGCCAGAGGCAACACTGCAATCTCCTGTTTTCTGGCACAAGAAAAGCCCACCCTCCAGTTAGGATAGAGCAGGGGTTGGCAACCTAAGGCCCATGGGCCACAAGCAGACCATGGGGTTGTTTAACCGGCCCGTGGACCCCCGCCACCGGCTTGGGGACCTCCACCACCCGCTCAGCTCCCGTGCGCCACACTAAACCAGCACAGAGCAGAGCAGGGACCGCCTTCCGTGACGCTGGAAGCTCCTGCAGCCAGTGGGAAGCTGCGCACGCCTCCTCTGCGCTGGAAGGAGCGCCGGAAATAGCATTTGCGCATGCATGTGCGCATGTGCACTCCAGCCCACCGCAGTGTCTGCGGGACCATGAACGAGCCCAAGCCACAACAACTTTGCCAACCCCTGGACTAGAGGTTGGATGGCAATCTGCCATGGATGCTTTAGCTAAGATTTGTGCATTGCAGGGGGGGTTGTACTAGATGACCCCGGGGGTCCCTTCCAACTCTACAACTTCTGTAATTCTATGACCAGCACTTGTCAAAATCTCCCTCCTTGCAAATCCAGCTCCACCTTGGAATGGCTGGCAAGCCAAATCACAGACCGGGCAAAGCACTGGGTTGCGGAAGTTCTGCTGCCTCCTCAGAGCAAGGAAGAAATTGTTCTGAGCAGCAGCCAGGAACACAAGCCTGAACAGCCAAACAGGTTCATTAGCTTTCCCAATGGATGTGGGGGCCTGGGATCAGCGGCAGCCAGGAACAAGAGCAACCTGCTCTTCACCAGAAAGGCCGCAGTGTGATAGGAATTTTGAGGTCTTGGATATATAGTAATGTTCATAAGCGTACCAACCAAGCATGTACATAGATCAGCACAGGAAGACCGACCTGGAACCATTTGATTCCCAAACTGTCCCAAACTGACCAAATGTTTTCTCTGCAAGGTCAAAGGAAAATGGAAAAGCCTCCCCATTGTCTTTTCCTTCACAAATCCTGTCTTAAGGGTATGTCTGTGTTTGAATAGGGTGTGAGCCTGTGACCTGGCCCAGGAACTAAGTATTTATCACTACAAAAGACTAGCCAGGCTCCCCAGGAAATCCAATCAAGTAACCTGCCAGACAGGAGATAAACAACATTCAAAATTTCTGTTTTAGACTGCCTTTTTATGATTTTGGTGTGATGTATCTGAGGGGTGGTCTTAGGTTACACCTCTTCTGTGATGTATGTTTGATATTTCTGGGGGTGGTCGTGATCTACAGGGTGGCAATTTCAAAAGTCTTTATAAGGCTTTGCACGCCATTTTTCTGGGTTCCTCCTCTCTCCTGCGGGTGAGGAGAGCACCCTGTTGCAACAGATCAATAAAGATCAAGTTTACTAGCTACTTTGCTTTTCAATATTCTCTGGTTAAAGGTAAAGGTAAAGGGACCCCTGACCACTAGGTCCAGTCGTGACCGACTCTGGGGTTGCGGCACTCATCTCGCTTTATTGGCCAAGGGAGCCGGCATACAGCTTCCGGGTCATGTGGCCAGCATGACTAAGCCGCTTCTGGTTGGCCGCTTCTCTGGTTGGCCTCTGTTAATTCTCTCCTACCAATAGGGAACCTATGTAAGGACTCTATATGGGCTCTTGGATACCCCATAAGGGAAAAGGGCAATTTTTGTTTACAACAGCAGAAACGTTTAACCAGCTATGGCAAGGGCAGCCAATGGGGGGGGGGCAATCCCATCATCCCTGACCCCTGGCATGCTGGTTGGGACTGGCAGAAGTTGGAAGTCCAGCAACACCTGGCGGGCAGCAGGTCTGCCCCCCCTGAGTTATTGATTAAATGCCTTTGGATTATCCTCCCCCTAGAAGCACTGTATTAAAAGAACAAGAACATAAGATGTGTCTGTGAGGAGTCCGGAGGTTGGCAACACCAGAACGGGGCTTTTCCGCAGTGGAATGCTCCCCCCCAGGGAAGTTCGCTTGGCATTTTCGTTGCATCTCTTTAGGCACCAGGCAAAAACATTCCTCTTCTCCCAGGCCTTTGGTTAATTAAATAATCTATGCCTATGGCCTTTTAAACTGGGCGTGGGGTACTGTTCTTGTCTGTTACTAGGTTATATATTTTTGTGCTTTTATATTGTCCACAGCCCTGTGATCCTAAGATGAAGGGCAGCATAGAAATTTAACAACAACGACCACCACCAGATGCCCATGGAGAGCTCAAAAGCAGGAATCCGAAAAGTGGGAGAGTCACCTCAGCTCCCTGGAAATGGGAAGCGAACAATAAGTGTTGATTCCATGGGGAGTTAAATGGGGATTAACATCCAAATGAAAAGGCCTCCCTTCCTATTTAATAACATTTAATAATAACAGTTGTAGTAAACTAAGTTAATTTTTATTTGCTTCATTTTCTCACAGGCTGGAAGGAACGTCTCTGAGATGAGGAATGTCACAGCACACATTCATCTTAACAGAAGCCTCTCTCTTTTCGCATGTTTCAGAAACACTATTCTTACTCATATGCAAGCATAATCAATCACAATAGGCTACGACTCAAATGATTAAATAGACTAAGGGCTTTTTAATGCAGCCTACAGCTTCATTTGCTAGTATGACCTTCAAGGGCCTAAAGCCAGGCTGGCTCACCTCGCCAGGTGTTCTGCATTACGTCTCTTCCACCCACCCACACCTCAAGGCCTCAAGGACAGCTGGGGGCCCAGCAGCATCTCTCCCCGCCCCCCCCCCGCCCCAGGTTACCCACTCCTGGTCTAAATCCACTACAGTCGTAGCTTGGAAGTCGAACAGAATCCATTCCTGAAGTCCGTTCAACTTCCAAAACGTTCAGAAACCAAAGCGCAGCTTCTGATTGGCTGCAAGAAGCTCCTGTAGCCAATCAGAAGCCGCGGAAGCTCCGTTGGATGTTTAGGGTTCCAAAGAACATTCGCAAACCAGAACACTCACTTCCAGGTTTGCGGCATTCGGGAGTCCAAGTCCCAAGGGTCAAAGGTATGACTGTAAATTATCTCCTTAACAGACAACCCTTAGCAGCCTCAGCACTGTCCTGGGTGCCAAAATTGCCAGATAAGGCTAAAGCCAAATGCCTGGAGGTAAAAATGAGGAGTCAAGTTTTTCAAAAAGCGAAAGTGGTCAAGTTTTTTAAAAAGCGAAACTAATAATCTAACGGGAGCCAGAAGCCGTATCTTCCACAACACCCTAATTAATTGGCTCACCGTTACCCCTTGCTACTTCCAGAAAATGGAAAACAGGAAAACGCTGTTGTGACAAGTTTTCAATAACTGAGGAATGCTTCTTCTCTTAATTAAAACTGAAGGTGTGACTTCACTCTGCTACCTGAAAGAGTCAGTTTTAACGGCGTGAAGGAGTAATGATACCCCTCCTCCACGTGTCCCTGAGCAAATTACTGTTCCGAGCCTCTCTCCTGGGATCTCATCCAAAGATGCGCTGTGCAGCAGCCACCAAGGACAATTCTATATTGAGATACAGTCAAATGATGCTATCACACCCCTGACACAAAGATGTAACAGAATTCGCAACCCCCAAAAGGGGAGAATGTAGCACGAAAGCCTCCTCTGCCTCCCAGCTTTCTGTCTCCTGCCAAAGGTTCAGGAAAGGCTGAATATGCTCAATAAAGTCCCAAGCAGCCTGCCCAGGTGCTGCTGCCTTTTCTCCAACCCAGGCCCACCTAGACAAGCCCCGGGGGTTTGGGGAACAAATATCACAACTGGAGAGAGATCTGTTGGAATGTAAAAGAGCTGCCAAAAATGTATAAGATATTATTGGATTGGGAGACAAAGGATGAGCAGGTAAAGTCTTCAATGATACGCTGGGCAATAGATATTGGTTATAATATAGTTATGGAAGTGTGGGAACGATTGTGGAATACGGATATAAAATTTACAGCATGCTATGGTTTAAGAGAAAACTATATGAAAATGTTATATACATGGTATCTAACACTGAGTAAACTGGCAAAAAATGTATAAATCAAAATCGAATAAGTGTTGGAAATGCAAAGAGAAAAAAGGTACTTTCTGTCTCCTGAGAAATCTCTACGTGGGACAAGAAGCTACAGTTAGAACTGGATATGGAACAACTGATTGGTTCAAAATTGGGAAAGGAGTACAACAAGGCTGTATATTGTCTCCCTGCTTATTTAACTTATATGCAGAATTCATCATGCGAAAGGCTGGGCTGGATGAATCCCTAGCCGGAATTAAGATTGCCGGAAGAAATATCAACAACCTCAGATATGCAGATGACACAACCTTGATGGCAGAAAGTGAGGAGGAATTAAAGAACCTTTTATTGAGGGTGAAAGAGAAGAGCGCAAAATATGGTCCGAAGCTCAACATCAAAAAAACGAAGATCATGACCACTGGTCCCATCACCTCCTGGCAAATAGAAGGGGAAGAAATGGAGGCAGTGAGAGATTTTACTTTCTTGGGCTCCATGATCACTGCAGATGGTGACAGCAGCCACGAAATTAAAAGACGCCTGCTTCTTGGGAGAAAAGCAATGACAAACCTAGACAGCATCTTAAAAAGTAGAGACATCACCTTGCCAACAAAGGTCCGTATAGTCAAAGCTATGGTTTTCCCAGTAGTGATGTATGGAAGTGAGAGCTGGACCATAAAGAAGGCTGATCGCCAAAGAATTGATGCTTTTGAATTCTGGTGCTGGAGGAGACTCTTGAGAGTCCCATGGACTGCAAGAAGAACAAACCTCTCCATTCTGAAGGAAATCAGCCCTGGGTGCTCACTGGAAGGACAGATCCTGAAGCTGAGGCTCCAATACTTTGGCCACCTCATGAGAAGAGAAGACTCCCTGGAAAAGACCCTGATGCTGGGAAAGATGGAGGGCACAAGGAGAAGGGGACGACAGAGGAGGAGATGGTTGGATGGTGTTCTCGAAGCTACCATCATGAGTTTGACCAAACTGCGGGAGGTAGTGGAAGACAGAAGTGCCTGGCGTGCTCTGGTCCAGGGGGTCACAAGGAATCGGACACGACTGAACGACTAAACAACAACATCATATGTGGTCCCGCAGTATGTTTAAAGCTTACTGATACATAATGAATTGAGAAAGATGTTTAAAATAACATTTGTTTAAAAATCAGCATTTTTAAACAAATTTTCTTTTTGGAATTACAGGGGCAGAATTACCTAAACAGTACAGAAATTTATTCATGTATGCTACTACAGCGCCAAGAATGTTATTTACCCAAAAATAGAAAGAAGAAGTCCCGATGAAAGAAGAATGGATACAAAAACTTATGGACTACGCAGAAATGGCAAAACTTACTGTGGGGCGGGGGAAGAGAGAAATCAAGATAACATTAAAAAATGGAAATGGTTTATTGAATATTTACAAACAAATTGTAAACAAATTGGCAGGGTTATTGTAATAACCTGCAGTTTCATAAGAGTAAACAATTAAAGTAGATGAATGAAAAAATAAGTTAATTTAGAATATGCAGGAAATGGGGGGAAAAAATAATGTAAGGAACCGCAGAAAGAGGAGGAAGTCAAGTTTTGATATGTTTAAGTTACTGTAAAACTATTGAAATGTATATAACTGAAAACCACAAATCTTTTTTCAAAAAAGCCTTTTGCAACCAGAAGATGCTGAAGATGATGAAGGGAAAGTGCTGCTGCTGCTGCAAGAGTTAAGGACCAGTGAAAGCAGGGGAAGAACTGAGCACCCGAACCATTTCTTCTTTATCAGCAACACACAGGACTGGGCAAGAGCCACTGGCTAGCACTCGGTTGTCCATGTGTCTAAGAATCTGACTACTGCATGTAGGAATTTGGATTCCCCCCCCCCCCCGGTCCAAGAATGTTGAAGCATTGGATTTTATTAAGCCTCTTGTCTTTCTAAATGCTTCCTACAACTAAACCATTTCCTGGCAATTTCAGAATGAGAGAGAAATCTCTCTAATACGGTACAAAGGGGGGGAAATCTCCAGGTTATACAGTTGAGGACACCACCAACTGCCTCCAATCGATGCTGAATTAAAGTTTCCAAAGTCCTCTCCCTGATGCAGCAAGGCGATGTCTACAGCGGGGCAGGGAGGAGACCTCTTCTGGCCTTCCAATCCCTGATGGACTGCATTTATCAGCAAGACCCTGTCAATCACCTGACACCACTATGACACCAGGTGATGCTGTGCTTAGAAGCCCCGATTGTTGGGACTCCAAAGCACAGCACAGGGCTGTTTGAAAGCCCTTTTACAAGCAGCCTCACACTGCTCTTTGTGCACCCAGTTTTCAGAAGTTCAAGGAGCAGCACTGGGTGGGAGAAGCAGTTTCTGTTCAATTGTTTCCTGCTCCCGGAGCAAGGCCCACTCTCATTGTCCATCAGCAGAAGGGCAGTGGGAGCATGCCTGGCTCCAGCAAAAGGAATGTTGGGAGCTCACTCTAATCTCCCGATTCTTCCTTTGAAGCCCTAGCAATGTATGACATCAGGTGTAACAATGGAAGTGTCTGGCTTGCCCAAAATGGCCTTGCAGGCTAGATGGGGAGGGTTGGCGGGAGAAGTTTGGTTCGTGGACCAGCGGTTCCCCACCACTGTCTTACAACAAATATCTGGAGGGCACTGAGTTGGCAAACACACATTCCATAAGGGAAAGACTTTTTACAAGCTGGTAAACAGACACACCCCCTTCAGAAACAGATCTCCACAGCTGCATGTACTAAACTTCCACAACCATCTCCTTTATGAAAGCGATTTCTGCAGCTTAATAGACCACCTCTTCCTTCTTGCATGCCCTCATTCCAAAGATTTGGCTTGGGGAAACTGCAACAGCAAGAGGACCATAGGTTACCTAGCCCTGCTGCAAAAGTGTTAAAATAGTTTTAAAACAAAAACAAAAACTGGAAGAGGTGGCTGTGAATAACACAGCACCCAAGTGTTCAAAGCACATCATACTAGTCATTTTGGTGCAACTCTTACCCTGCGTAAAGAGCTCTCAACTACCCAGCACTCCTCATGAAACAAACCCTCACGTCACATTTCAGGGAGGATTCCACATGTGCTTTTTCCTCCTGCAGCAAGAGGGGATCTCAATACAGTATAAGAAAAGGCTCCAACAGTCTAAAAAGAGCCTGGCTGCTGAAGCAGAACCCAGAACATCTCATAAGGGGTCCCAATTCCCACTGTGGCCATTCACACAGCTCCAGTCAACCCACAGGATGAAAACATGCCGTGGTAAAAACCGAGCATGAAAAAGGCCAGCAGCCCTTCCTCCTTGTCCCACTGCATTCACCAGACTGCTGCCCCTGAACATGAAGGCCCCGTTCCGATATTGTGGCTCTGGGGAGCAATGTCATGCACGGAACAGCCCCAAGACTCAGAAGCTGTCTGCCATGACACACACAATGCTCCCTGCATGCTGGGCATGGCAGTTAGAATCTTATCTGTACATCTCAAATGGGGGAAAAGCAATTGCTGAAATGTAGGGTAAAGAAGGGAGTTGGGCTGCTCAGCAACCACGCCTCTTTTAAAACTCAGTACACATTGCAACACGATTAAGCAACATCAAACACACAGTACCAAATCAATACAACAGCATGATCCTATGCATGTCTACTCAGGACAAGCACAATTGAGTTCACACTGAATTTAACCGGAAGTCAGGTGGGTTTAGGCCAGGGGTAGGCAACCTAAGGCCCGGGGGCCGGATGCAGCCCAATCGCCTTCTCAATCTGGCCTGCAGACAGTCAAGGAATCAGCGTGTTTTTACATGAGTAGAATGTGTCCTTTTATTTAAAATGCATCTCTGGCTTATTTGTGGGCATAGAAATTCGTTCTTTTCTCCCCCCAAATATAGTTCGGCCCACCGCATGGTCTGAGGGATGGTGGACTGACCCCCTGCTGAAATGGTTTGCTGATCCCTGGCTTAGGCACACAACCCAACCACTCCTCTCAGATTTGTGCACTTTGGGGGGGGGGTGAGTGTGACCCGGCACCACCACACATGCGCCTGGAAATAAACGTTCAAAGCTGGCAATAAGAGGCTCCCACACGCAACAGAGAGCAGGACATAAGGAGAGTCTGGGGGATTAGGCCAAGGACCCATCTAGTCCAGCATCCTGTTTTCACAGCGGCCAACCAGGTGCCCCCAAGCAGGAGCAGAGGACGGCAGCAGCAGCAGCAGCAACTCTCCCCTCCCTGGACCACGGTAGACCTCCACATCCACAATGGCATCCCCTCTCCCCCCAAAAGTTCAGGTGAGGCTGCTGCTGCCTTTGCTTTTCCTTTATTAACCCTTGCAGGTGGGTGGACTTTGGAAAGCAGGGAGGGGACGCCATCCCAGCCGCGATAAGGAAACGAGACCTCCTTGGAGAGGGGAGAATGTGCAGAGGAGCCGGGAGACTGGCGAGGCCGGGGGAGCAGATGGCCCTAGCGAGGGAGGATTAGGGGAGCAGGTGGAGGAGAAGGCAGCTGCTGCCAGAGGGGCAAGCGGGAGCCCGGGGGCCCGGGGGGAGGGAGACCCGGGGCGGGGAAGGGAGCCCGAAGCGAGAGCTCAGTCGCCCCTCCGAGGCGGAGTCGCCCCGCCAAGCGGAGGAGCCAAACTTCCAGCTCGCCGAAGTTTGGGCTGGGGGGGAGGAGAAGGGGGAGCCGCGTCCTCCTCTCTCCGGCGTGAAAGCGAAAGGAAGCCCGCCGGGGAAGGAGGAGGAGAAGCCCGAGGGGCTGCCTCGGGGACGCCCACACGGGCTGGCAGCAGCAGCAGCCGCCGCCCTCGGCGTCCCGCGCAGGGGGGAGCAGGCCCGGCAGGTGCCTGGGGGGGGGGCGGTTGCCAGGCAACCGAGGCAGGTGCGGGCGGGGCTGCCCCTGGGGGAGCGGGCGGGGAGACCCCGGAGGCCCCCCGGCCGGCCGGCCGCTCTCTCGCTCGTTCCCTCGCGCGCTCCCTCCCTCACCTGGCTCCGTCTCCCGCTCGCTCGTCCCTCCCGGCGGCGCTTCCTGCTTCCTCGCCGCGCTCGGCCTCCGCCTTCTCCTCCTCTTCCTCGCGGCCGCCAACGGCGGGGGGCCGGCCTGTCAGGCCTCCTTCCGGCCTGCGCGAGGGCGCCACGTGACCGCGAGGGGCGGGCCGGGGGCGAAGAGACCATGGAGACGAGGGGAGGGCTCGGGGCAGAGCGGCTCGCTCCCGGCGCGGATCAGGGAGTTTCTCGAAAGGAAAAGGGCGGGGGGAGGAATCCCGCAACCGCCAACCGGCTGCTTTCAGCGTCACGTGACGGCCGGCTCTCCGGACGGGAGGGGGCGGAGAGGAGGGGCCGGTGCCCGAGAGTGCGCATGCGCGTTTGCGAAAAAGGGAAAAGAGACGCGGATTCCGCGTGTTTGCTGGGGATCGCGAGAGATGCGCGGGTTTTATGGGGGAGGAAGGGGAGTCCTGCCTTTGGCCGGGGAAGGGTGTTGCTCACGGCGACTTCGGCTCTGTTTCCAGGCTCTTATTTATTATTTTTATTACTATGATTATTATTACAATTATTATTGATCTTTATTGCATTTTTAAAATTTATAAAAAAATGAAAATAAATTGATCCTTACACCAGCATATACTGAAAAAGAAATACGGGACCTAAAAGAAAATATGAAAATAAAAATATATTTGTCAAATATGAAATAAGAAAAAGATATTTGTCAAACGTGTTTCCAGGCTCTTAATCCGCCTCTAACGGTGGAAAGGCGGCAGGCAAGGAAAACGGTGGCGCTGGTCTTGCAACCGGCGTCGCTTCTCCTCCAGTTTTGGTTCTTATTATTGCCGTTAATTACCTTTAGATACCGCCCTCCACCCGAGGATCGCGGGGCGGCCGCGGACGCACCCGACGGATTTCTGCCTGGCGCCATTGCCCTCTTCTGCCCCGGCCCGCAGAAAAGTGCTCCAAGTGGCCCGCACTTTCCCCGGACTGCCTCTTTCCACCGCATTGTGCGCGCATCCCTCCGCTGGGACCCGATCCTGCCCGCTGGACTGAAGCAGCCGCGCAACACCCCCCCCCACCCGCAGGATCACACCAGCTCTCCTCCGGAGAAGCGGATCCCACGGAATCCAAGCAGAGCTGGCTGGCTTCCAAGTAAACGAGCATAGGATCAGCAGCCGGGGCGCGCCAGGATCGCGTGCAAGCGCCCGGACTGTCGTCTGCCTGTCTTACTTTCCCCCTACTAATAATTAGACGCGTGGCCACCAGGTGGGGCTATGAGATCAAACCAACCGTATTTGCTTTGCGTTGGATTTTGGGAGGCAGAGGCAGCGATCCTCTTTCACTGGAGAGCTGTGAAAAACACTCTACTGTAAATGCCCTGATGGTTTCAACTACAGGATTATTAGTAATAACAACTACTTGTTTATTTATACCCCGCCTTTGCTGCTGACACGGACTCAAGACAGCTTGGAGCTAAAACAAAAAACAGCTAAAAGAAACCATTAAAATTGGAATAACCTTTTTAAAAAGACCAGACGCATTTCTGTTAAGCATTGTTGGAAGGGTCATCCCGAAGGCCTTTAGGGAGGTATTCTTATATGCAACGGCTGCAGCCCGGACTTTGGTGGCAAAGGGGTGGAAGGAAGAAGAAGTCCTGGCAATATAAGCTACAAGAATTCACTGAGATGGCGCAGCTGACAAATAGCCTGAGAGGCAATTCAAATAAAAAAATTATGGAAAAATGGGATAGATATAAAACATATGTTCAAAAATACAGTAAAGGTTCATTATCTATGCTAGCATTTGATTGATGTTGGAGAGAGACTGAGTTGAGAAATAAGAACAAGAGCACATATTGTTATAGGAATGTATTAGATAAAATGTAAAAGAAATATACAATAATATGAGTACATTCATTTGTTAAAAATGGAATATACAATGGGATAGACAGGAAGCTGAATGTGCTGGTACATATATGATTTATGGGGGGGATTTCTTTTTGTTTTTTCTCTTTCTTTTTAGGTATATAAAGTGTGTATATAATCTTGGTATACATGTTGGAAAATATAATAAGCTATGTAATGTAATATGATGATGTTTACCAATGTAATATAAGAATGCAAAAAAATATAAACCATTAAAAAAAACAATTAAACATTAATTGAATTAAAACCAGCTACACAAGCACCAGTATGTGCAGCTTCCCTCACAGGGTTAGGGTTTTGTTAGTGCACATCCGTGTGGATGCGGAAGCACACTGCCAGCACTTTCCAGCATCACCTTCGAAAGGCGACTGAGAGTCATCCTGTTTGTGGGTTGCGGGGCAACCTCAGCGCCTTTGCACAGCCCTGTAGGCAGGGAAGGAGGCAGCTGGAAAGAAAATCCACCCTGTTGCTCCAAGATACAAAAGCCTGCTGCTGACTGTTCCTACTCCTTCCTGAGCAGCACAGGATGAAACCCCCCTCAAGGGGACTGTCAGAAAGAATCCCAGGCCCTTCCCACCTCTTGCAGCAGTGAATAGACTTCCCAGCCCAGAGAGAGAAAGCATAAGCATCTGTCACAATAGATCCAATTATTTGCAAGGTCCGGCCCTGGCAGCCAGCACAGAATCCGCCCACACAACCGTGTCCTGCTCAGGGATTCTTTGCCATTTGCATTCTTGCATCGACAAGGCAAGCAGCCTGTTCTCTCCCTCCGAAAGAAGCATCTCTTGCACAGCTCACCTGTGGCCAAACATCCTGCCTGGAAAGCGACTTCTGGGAGATCTGCACAGGCAGGGCCACCGCTGGCAGCGCAAAACCTTCAAAGCAAAGAACCTGGATGCTGATAAAGTTGATGTGGAGAACCAGCCCTGCACTCTGAAAGGGTGGCTGGCTGGATGTTTGCCCAGAAGGATTAAAGGCAGGAAGGCAGGCAGTCACAAGGAGGTTGCTTTGAACCAAGCCACTCTCGTCTCCCTTCACCTGCCTGCTGGAACGTGGTAAGATTTGGACCTGGGAGCTCTGGAACTTTAACCTGCAGCCTTTCATTCCTGTCCTCTTGCAGCTGCCTCATTGGTGGGTTCCTTTCCTGCTCAGCAAAATTATGCGCGGAATCTGATCGCACCAAACTGTTCTAAAGGCTGTCGAGTAAAGGCAGCAAAAGCAGAGTGGCGGCAGCTGGTTGGCAAATATATTAGAGCAGAGCCGCCGCGCTCGAGGAGGGGGATTATTTGCACTGTGCATTGGGCAAGAATCCGGCATGCCATTTGGGTGGAACATGTTGACCCAGTGCAAGGGTCAGATATAATGGAACTGGGCCCATGCGCCAACCTGTCCTGCCTGCTTGGGAATGGCAGCGGTCCCTCCAACACCACTGGCAGCGCCAGTGACGTCTTGGCCACCTCCTTCCTGGGATGCGCTCTGTCCGTCATGTGCGTCGTCGGGGTGGTTGGAAACATCTACACGTTGGTGGTTGTCAACCTCTCCGTACGGCTGTCTGCCTCCATGTACGTTTACGTGGTCAACTTGGCCTTGGCTGATCTCCTCTACCTGGCCACCATCCCCTTCGTTGTCTGCACCTACTTCGTGAAGGACTGGTACTTTGGGGACGTGGGCTGCAGGGTCCTCTTCAGCCTGGACCTGCTCACCATGCATGCCAGCATCTTCACTCTCACCATCATGAGCACAGAGAGGTACCTGGCAGTCGTCAAGCCCTTGGACTCGCTCCGGAGGCCTGGAGATTACCGGAGGACCATCACCTGCTCGGTCTGGCTCCTGTCCTTCCTCCTTGCCTTGCCCACCATGGTTCTCATCGACCTCCGGACGAGCAGCCAAGGAGGAGTGACCAAGCGCATGTGCCACCCTACTTGGCAGATGGGAGCCTACAAAGTCTACCTCACTGTCCTCTTCATCACCAGCATCTTGGCCCCTGGCCTAGTCATCTGCTACTTGTACATCAAGTTGGCCAGGACCTACTGGAGGTCTCAGGCAGCCGTCTTCAGTGCCAAGGCGATGAAGAGGTGCTCTCGGCAGAAGGTCCTGTACATGATATTTAGCATCATCCTTGCCTACTGGGCTTGCTTCATTCCCTTTTGGCTCTGGCAGCTGCTCAGCGTCTATCGCCGCCAGCCAGGCAGCCTTGCAAACACCACAGTGGCCTGCATCAATTTTTTCGTGACCTGCCTAGCTTACAGCAACAGCTGCATCAACCCTTTCCTCTACACGCTGCTCTCCAAGAACTACAAGGAGTACTTAAGGGGTCAGCAGAGGAACGCCCTTGTCCTCATCAAGGTCAAGCCCAAGAGGGGTTCCTCGGGGGAATCAGTGTGGTCTGGAAGCCACACGTACACAGAGAGCTTGGCCGTGGCTCAGATGCAGGGAATCGGCAACAAGGAAGTCTTCTTGTGAAAAAGTGAGTAGGAGACAGGCCAGGCAGGGGGACAAGTGTTCAGCCACTCGACCAGCCTTGAGGGAAGAAGCCCTGTCCTGTGCCAAATTTCCCTACTTGATTGGCTGCTGGGAGCTACAGAAACCCACACAAAATACCCGTCCAGATCAGGCAACCCCCCGTTCTGGAACGTTTGGACAGTGATGTGTGGACAGTTGTTTGTGCAAAAGGCCTTCATACGCATAGAATTTGACAATGTGTGCCTAGGAAAATCTAAGGGGAGAATGGGATGTCTGTGTGCGTGTGACCGAATAATCATGGGTCAAAACCTCAGCCCCACCATGGTCTATTATGGGATTTACCTCCAAATAAGATAGCACAAGGCCACATCCTTTACAGGCAGAAGCAAATTGAGCGCCTGTGTGCAAGCCCAAATACATGCAAGTTTCCATGATCTGAAGTTGCTGAATTGTGTTTTCCTTGGTGCATCAGATTTTCATCCCATACTTCATCCAAGAAGCGGTGTCGTCATGGTCCTCCCCTTGCCCATTTAAGCTTTGCAACCACCCTGTGAGGTAGGCTCAGAAATAGGGACTGGCACCACACTGCAGCCAGTCCACATGCATTCCTCTATGACCCACACACTGCATGGGGCTACAGGAGCGCATTATAACTCAAGACAGGGATGGGGAGTCTGTGCTGCCCCTCCACCAGCTGCTGTCAGGCTACAAACTCCCATCAGCACCAGCCAATGATCAGGACTAATGGGAGCTGTAGTCCAACAGCAGCTGGAGTGGGAGCCCAGCATCCCCTCATCTCCGAGGCTTCAGGTGGGCGATCAGTTCAGTCAGGGAAACGATGCACGTTCAGCAGCAATGTGCACTGTTTGATGGAAAGGGATCCCTTACAGGTTTGGTGACACGTGGCAGAATACGATCAGAAGCTGCTGCTCTTTCTCCTTCGCTGTCTGGTACTGTCTCCCTCCCAGTCCCTGAGATGCCACCATGCAGGTCCTTCAAAACCATGTAGTTCAGTGAAGTCTCTGGCTCAGTGCCCAAGTTCCCGTGGCCTATTGTGCCTTGGCTATACAGGCAGAGTCTAAGCACGTGTAACTGAAACAATTGCACTGTGTTTACATGCCCTGGGGAAACTCCGCTTGCCTGAGAACGTGCAGTGCAAAGCCTTCGCCTATTCTTTCCTGCTTCCATTTCCCCATGGCTGATTTCAGATGGTTAAGGCTCCTCAGGACTCATGGCCTGACCCCTTGCACTCTGAAAATCACCATGTCCAACGACAGCTTCGTGTCAATACAAAAGCCAAGATGCACCTTGCCCCATATAAAAAGCAGTTGTTTTGCATACCCGCTATAAAGAAAGGTTGCTGCGTTTGGGATTTTCTCGCTTAGAGAAAAGGCAAGAGGCAGTAAAGACTCTTAATGTCAGGGTTGTGGATTCATGTCCCTTGCTGTGCAAAAAGATTCCTGCATTGCAGGGGGTTGGACTAGATGACCCCATGGTCCCTTCCAACTCTACAATTCTATGATCCTAAGTTCAAAAAATTATACATGCCATGGAGAGAGTAGAGAGAAAAGACAGGCCCAGGGTGGGGAAAAGAATCATATCTGCTGCCTTGAGCTCCTTGGGGGAAGGTGGGGGTACAAATGAAATGAAAGAAAATGGAATCCAGCTTATGTGTTTTGGGTTTGCATGGCCAGCATGCACTTTCCTCTTTCCTGGAAAGGATGACCGGTTCTTATTCTTTCCATGCACCAATTCCTTATCTGAGAAAAGCAGAATTTCCCTAGCACCCACAAGTGCTTTTCCTTGTACTGATGGATGGCTGCTGGGAAAGCAGAAGTTCTTGCTGATTGAAATTACATGCAATGTCATTTGCCTTTTTCTTTCTCTGCCAAGTCTTCACCTGCTGTGGTCTCCTGCAGAGTCAAATGTTTTTCTGAATCAGCTCAGCCGGGTGACGCAGATGCCCACTGCGCACATGGATTTAATAATTTATTGTTTTGTTGTTCCTATTTATTTCTGTTCTTCTCTTTCTGCTGAAAACTTCAATAAAACTTTTAAAAATTAAATTATTATTATCATTGGGAGGTTTTTTAAAGAAAAAAAGGTGCAGGTACCTAGAATGAAGTGGTAACAGTAAGTGCCACACTTTTAACATGGGGGGGGGAAAGGTTTTGATACTACGTACCCTTGAGTACCCCCCAAAAGAACTGATTATTAATAATATCCCACCTTTCCTCCAACACATGGAAGCTAACACAGATAAAATATAGCAAGCTAAAAACGTAAGAGAAGACAATCATTAAAGTGTAATTAAAGCACTAATAGAATTAAAGCACAGCACCAGCCCTTTCCTCAAAAGCAGTCAGTTCCCAAAGGCCTGTTGGAATAGAAAAATATTCACCTGCCGGCAGGAGGAAAGCAAGGAGATTGCTAGTGAAGCCCAACCTCCAGGCCTGGTGTCAGTAACCAGCAGGAATTAGCTGCTGGGGTCCCAGTAAGGCCCACCAACACTGATGCATGCAGTGACTTCCCTGGTGATGGGAGCAGCGTGTGGCCGTTCTACTGTCCTGAAATGGCCCCAATATCACATTGCAACAGGCCACTGTAAGAAATTTAAAACAGCCACACTCCACTACAGACCCACCAAGGGTCCCTGTTTTCCAGGGACAGTCCCAGATTTACAGAAGCCAATTTCTGATTTGATCTTGGAAAGTCCCACTTTTCCTTAGGGCATCCCTGTTTTCATCGGAGATATGTTGGAGTGTATGACTAGTTAAACCTGTGGCTGGGCACCATCACAGCAAGAGGGGTCCCTGCTAAGGTCACTTGCTAAGCTCCCCACCCGCCTTGAGCCACCCTGCCAACGAGCTGAGCTGATGCCCTCAGCAAGCATCTCTGTAATCTCCCCAGGATCCTCTGCAATTCACAGGGGTTATGGGACCAACACAAAGGCAAGTCAACATGAGGAAAATTGCCGGAGCTGGCAGGTTGGAGACTGTGCTCTTAGGAAAAGACACGTGCAACCCATCCAGCTCACGTGTCCAGTGTGCAAGCACAAACCTTCCAGGAGAGCACATGTGGAGTCGGGGAAGGGAAAGTAATGGTTACAGGCAAGCAGGCGGACAGGCGAGCTTTGTCCAAGTCGATCCATCAGCACGTCACTGTCATGCAAGTGCTTCTGCTCAGGACAAGCTTTGCCAGGGCCTGCAGTCTCAACCTGGGCACAATGACACTCTTTGTTCTATCCAAGGAAGGAGAAGAACCAGCGAGAAGGCAGGCCAAGACCTTCTGTTCCTCCAAGCCCGAAAGAAAAAGAGAACATCCATCAGGAGTATTAATGACTCTGCCGCCCAGGAAGGAGCACCATCATTACTCTGCATGTGCCCGTAAGTCAGAGCACGTGGCTCTGGCGCATCTCAATTATAAGTCCACATACCCCTTTGCTTCCAAGCAGGGAGGAAATGTTCAGGGCAGCCATCATGTGGCAGGATGCTTTTGGGAAGGAGAGCATGGGAGCCAGATTGCAAATCTATCCGCAGTTTCTTTTTTAAAAAACGAAACAAAACTGGCTTTCCTGACCCCACACACTTCTTATTGTGGCTCAACACCATCATTTTACAAGGATGTTTCTGCCAGGGTAGAAGGCTGTTCCTTCTCATGGGTGAGCAGGCAAGATGCTATATAAAAAGGGGCCAGACTTAAATGACAAAGAAAAATGCTTTGCATGCTAGAGGTAGCGTATTCAGTGCCAGGCACCTCTAGTTAAAAGGATCTGCAGGGCAGGTGGTGGGAAAGAGTGGACAATACTATCCTAGATCAGGGAAAGCCATTATGGTATCTTCCAGGTGTTGTGGGGATCCAGTTCCCACCAGCCCCAGTCACCACACCCAATGACAAAGGACGATGCAGGTGAGCAACAGCTGGAGAGCTCTACGTGAGTTGCCCTGGTCAAAAGGAACAAATAATCTTACCTGGCCTAAGGTAGCTTCCTAGTCACAATGAAAGCTAAAATGATTAGTATTACATTTCTGGTGCATCTAACACACTAGTGGAAACATTTTAAAAGATTTTACACAAATTTAAAGTTGTGAGAGTTTATTGCATATGTAACAAAAATGAACATGACCTCCTGGGCCCAGCCTGCTATACAATCACGGTTTATTCCAGCTGGCTCCATAACCACGTTAAATAGAACTAGTATTTCTTTAAATACTTTGATTTAGACATAAAATGAAGAACATTAGTGTACAACTTTTTCACAAAATAAAATTCGCAATAAAAATGGTGAGAAGAGTAACAAGGAGTAGCAGCAATACTTAAAAACAAGACGTTACAAAATAATAAGTTAAAAAATACATTATAAAGTGGTTGAGGAACAAAAAAAAAAGTTAACTGAGTAAGAACAAATATGTACTGCATTTCTGGAAAACTTTCTGTGCTCTACAGTGTAGTATACTGGGCAATGGACTAAGGAAGTGGGGGAAAGAGGCGTCTGAATGATAGCTGAGGTTTCATAAACCACACCCCATGCTGAACAAGCAGCCTCTTCAGAAACAAAAAGTTGCTCCAATATGTCAAGGTTAGACCTTGGGCTACTCACTCATACCTTTCCAATTCGTAACACAAAAGGAGTGGCAATTTCCTACATCCCTGAGTGCATAAACGAAGGATGATGCATTTCAGGGCAACTAAACAAAAGAGCAAACAAACAAACAAACAACCAGATTTGCATCACTGGCCTACACTGCTAGACATACTGGAGATTTTAGATTAAAGGAGACTTTGGATGTGATAAGCTGCTTGGGGGAAGAGGAAGCACATAGCCCTGCTCTTGTTCCTCTGTCTCAACTGAAATAGCCCTTTCACCACCTCCTGCATGGGGGAGAGGTGAAAGGTATACTGGCGGCAAGTCAGTTATGTAAGAGCAGGAAACTTCCTGTTCCCTTCACCACCTCCATCTGCCTTAGGTAGACTTCCACGGACTTGCTGCAAGCCTGGAGGGCCTGAATCTAGCAAGAGACCACTGCAGGGAAAATATAAAACCATCAAGTCTGTTGTGTGTCCTTTGGATGGTTTGACTGCTAAAAAGCTTTCAGCAAAGACTGTGCTGAAGCTCAGCAGATTGTAGCAGCAAGAATCCCACTTTCCCACTTATATTTTATACCCTCTCTTGTTCAGGGAGGAGATGTGGAAATTTCAGCCTGAGCAGAAGCAAGTGGTCTGTGCCGCTCTAGCCAGCACCCTGGGGAAAAAAACCTTTGGTCTACTTTTTTCTTTTGATCCCTGCTGCTGCTGCTGCTGCTGCTGCCTCAAGTTAAGATGCAGCAAACAGTCTGTTTGGGCTCTTGGGTGTTGGAACAGTGACACAAAATGGGAAATGTAAAGAATATCCTGGAGATAGAAGTCCCCCAATCTTCTGCACAATTATCACAGAGGTGCCATGTGCTCAGGGCCTGAACACGGACTCGGGGCCAATGCTCATGCTGCCCTCGGAGCATGCCTGCCACATCTGTGGCCACCTGCTCGCTTACTTCTCCATCTCAAATGTTGTTGGCATGGTGTGGGTTCCAACCGCACAGAAGCTGAAACCACATGGCAAGAGTCACATTAAGATTCACCTCCAGGTGAACAGTCGCCATTGCTAACTGTTGCTAATCTCACATGGGCAACCTGTTCAGCCTCTGTGCTCAGGGAAGACCTTTCACTTCCACCACCTCAGATTTGCATGGAAATGACTTGTGAAAACCTTTTCGTGTGACGTTCCTATCTCTACGAAACCTTGTGCATTCAAATTCCACTGACAGGGCTAATGGGTCCAATAACAACATCTGATCTCCACAGACATTTGGCAAGATCATGAGATTTCTATTATCCAGAGTACTACAAAGATGCTTAACCAAATATGTGAATCCAAAATCCCTCAAACCTCCTTGATACACTTCCCTTCCTAAATAACTTAGCTGTAGCTAACTGGTCCCTTAAGTGCGCCTGGATTCAAAAGGCAATTTCAAGTTAAACCTTAGCTCACCTAAAAAATCCAACACTTAGCCACATGGTGCAAAAAACACAAAATAAAAAGAATTCCTTTCTCAAATATAATCCTCATGTGTCCATCACAAAAAAAAAAATACGGTTAACAACAGGAAAGAAAGATTTTAGGACTCTGACAGATATCTAACTTAAATCTGTCATATCACAGTTTAAAGCTATTATCAAATTCAATGTTTTAAAAATAAAAATGAACAACAGAAATATCCTTGTAGGTAAAAGAACCATTTGACCCATGGCTGAACCCCAATGTCCTTACTTGTCCAAAGTAACAGTTAATATGCATCTTTGCTTAAAACAATTTTAATATACATATTGGGGGGGGGAGTCTTATGAACTGAATCACAACTGATTACTAGTTGACCTTTTTGCCAAGAAAATGTTATGTTGTTAAAAACACTGCCTTGTTTCTTGTTGTGGAAACTGAAAAACCTGTTTGATTTGGTTAACCCAACAGGGTTGATTCTCCTGCATCTGAGAAGCTGTGTGAAACCAATCACTTGACACCAACCTTGAACATTAGCTTCAGATATATGAAAGTCAGGGTGGAGAAGAGTTTGAAAGCAGCACTCTGGGTTACTCAGTATCTGTAGGCTTAAAACCCCTGTGTTAGATCTTTATTATATATTCATCTTTCAACAGAGCCATTTTCCACTCCCAGTGGCTCAACGACGGAACTTGGTTCCATTAGTTTTGCTTTTAGCTATTTCCTCTTAAAAGAATTTATGCAGTTTCAAGTAAAAAAAAAAAAAGAATCTGAAAAAACAATGTCAGGAGAAAACTTTTTCAGGCTGCTGACAATGTGGCCCATTCCCCACTGCCACATTCTCTAACACAAGCCTTCAATCACACACAGAAGGGGAAGCAAGTCCACAGAACAAATCTGTCTCATGTACAAAGCATCCAGAATGAAAACTTACCTCCCAATTCAAGATGGCTTGGACTCCTCTGGGTTCCTCTCTCTTAAGAGCCAAGCCACCACATTTGGACAAAAAGCTCCCTCTCAAGGAATAACCTTCAGCTGTCTGCACCTACGGAGCCGTTTCCTGCTAACTGTTCTTTAATGGGTATTCTGAAATGTGCAATTTGGAATCCCGGTGCCAGTCTCATTTCCATAGGATGCTTCTGGATGCTACAAGGGCTCAGGACTGCATTAAGACAAAACATCCAGATACACCTACCAGTTGAAAAGTCCTCAGCAAACCAATCTCAAGATACTCAACTACAGTTTGATACTCCTATAAAAAAAGACCACAGGTCATTGACCTTATCACAATATGTGTTACGAGTCTAGCAGAATATCTTGGGTAACCAAAACCAAATGCTGAACCTGGCTGCCTTTTGTTTCATGGGACATGGGGAAAAAAATGGGGAGGGGGAATTTTTGTAACAAAGGGGAGAAAAGTATGGTTGGGAACCCCCAACAAAAGCCCCCCCCCCCAACACCACCACAGGAAGGAAGGAGAGGAAGCAGCCTCCACTCCCCCAGTTGTCAAGCGTCGCAATGCTTTGGACAAAAGAAGTTCACAGCAAGCTTCTTCTTACAGCTTTTTGATTTGGTGGTCCATGAGCTAGTAGTATCTGTTTCCTTTGGTTGCCCAATCACTCCACTGCAAACCCACATGTCTCTTCCACAGCTGTCAGCAGCTTCTCATAAAGCTTCTCGTAGGACTCATAAGGCGGAATGTCAATTCGGTTAAAGCTGCAGAAGGCAAGAGATTGGCGTTAGGGCCCTGCTGACACCAGCTCAAAATGCAACTCTTCAGGCTGGTGTTTTGGTTTGGCCATTTGTATCTGCTGTATTGCTACGAGGAACTGTAACAGAATTCTGGCTTTTTCTAATGTTTAGCAGTTAATAGTTTGCCAGGAAAGATGACAACCTTCACTAATACATTATTTCAAAGCATTTCCGGGATCACATAAATTGAAACAGCTGATGGCCCAATGAGAAGCCAGCCAGCAGTAAACAGGGCAGCATGTTTGCTTCCAATGGGAGCTTGCTGTTTTCTCTACAGTGTGGCTGCCTCCCCCAACCTGGTGCCAATGGGAAGTTTGGGACTACAAGTCCCATGGGTGCAAAGCAGTGGGGGTGGGAGGGAGAGGAGAGGTGGCTTTGGAGCAGAAAGGCGGACAGTGAGGAGAAAGCGAGGCACCCTTTCTAGCACGTGGCTGCTTCTCCATTCTAAATTGGGCTTGTTCAAAGCAGCCTATTTTTATTAAAAAACAGAGGATTAGCTGCCACAAGCATTAACATGCATCATTTACTTCGGCCCTTACATCTGCAAACAGTCAAAACATGGGTGTAATTAGCTGATTGGGGTCTTTGCTCATACAGCTTCCAACATTAATTGATTCTTTTTTCTACTGTGCCATATAAAACATGGAATTAAAAACATTTAGAATCCATAGACTGCTGCCTCCACCATTCATGAATGTTTTAACAGTACTTTGCTGTATGTGAGTATGATTTAACTTTGACCAAAATAGCTCTAATCACTCTTTAACTTTCATTCCAACCACCTAATAACAAGGGAAGGTTTTCCCTTAAGTTTCTAGATGTACACCAAACATCACTACAACACAATTTACTTTTGGTAAAGCTTTGCTGTTTCATCTGGGCAGACTTGAGGGCACATTCGCACAGGCACACTTCACCACAGCTGGGTGGGCAGAAAAGCAGCCTTACCAAGTATGAGCTTTTGGAAGGTTGTCTGTATTTGCATCTATCAGGTGGATAGTGAAGAGCCTGGGTCCTGCGGCGCCTGTAGAACCTTGCAAACAGACATTCTAGTTAAGGCCCTTCAAAAACACAACTATGAGCACACTAGTCATTTCTGACACGTATAAACCCTGACAGCAGCGAGGCAGAGATTGGGAAGTCACAGATCCTAAGCACAGAGGTGTGCATGTGCACACATACACACAGGCCACCGAGTCTAGAGAGAAAGGAAATGGGAGTGAGCACACACACCCTTTGCCCAAGACACTGGAAAGTTGCTGCCTGTTATGAGCAGAATGTACCGGACTAGAGGTACCAACGGACTGAATCCAATATAAGGCAATTCCATGTGTTACAGATGGAACAATTCATAGTATAGCTAACAAAGGGCAGAATCATCAAGGAGGAACTGGTGGCAGGTTAACTGGGCGCGCCATGGGCAGCGCTCTGCACAAGCGTGCTAACTCAGCACCCCTATCAGTCACCTTGCAAAGCCTTGAAACCCTGGAGGGGAACCCGCGTGGAGCCCGTCACAAACTGCAGCAGCCTGGCCCTTCTCTCCTCATCAAAGGCTTCCACCGCTTGCCAGAACCACTTGACAATATTGCTGTCTCCCATGCAGTGCTTCAGGCGTGTGTTGGACTTCCAGTCATTCAAGTCAATCTTATCCAAGCCACCTATGATGAGCTGATGGATCAGAAATACACAATGTAAGGGGCAGAACGTTTATAGATTTGAAATATGGGTGGGTGGGCGAGCTGTATGCTGTTTTACTGGCTACTGTGTTGCTCTTTTATTATTTCTGCTTTGTGAAATTGTCATGCGACTGTTGATTCTGTGATATACTGTTCTCTCTGTGTGTGGAAAGGCACCGTACAAATCAGGAGTCACACATTCACACCTTCTGCCGCAGAGTGCACAAGTATTTACAACTTGGACGCGGGTGGTGCTGTGGGTTAAACCACAGAGCCTAGGACTTGCCGATCAGAAGGTTGGCGGTTCGAATCCCCGCGACAGAGTGAGCTCCCGTTGCTCGGTCCCAGCTCCTGCCAACCTAGCAGTTTAAAAGCATGTCAAAGTGCAAGTAGATAAATAGGTACCACTCCGGAGGGAGGGTAAATGCCGTTTCCGTGTGCTGCTCTGGTTTGCCAGAAGCGGCTGAGTCATGCTGGCCACATGACCCGGAAAAACTTTCTGCGGACAAATGCTGGCTCCTCGGCCTGTAGAGCGAGATGAGCGCCGCAACCCCAGAGTCGTTTGCGACTGGATCTAACGGTCAGAGGTACCTTTACCTTTACCTTTTACACACAAACAGAAATCTCTGTATCCACTATGCACACCATTTAATTCCACAGTTAAGTGTCTTTCCTAGGTTTTTGAATTTCATTTCCTCCTGGATATAGGACTGGCCAAACCTTTTATGTGCTGATTACTTGTTGTTGTATTGTTGTTGACATCCATTTATCTCAAGAGAGAATAGGGGGCGCTTTGGGGGGTGAAGTCAAACCACTGTATTAGCAGCACCTAAGCAACTTTCCCAGGGCACAAGCTTGGGCAGTGTGTCTGGGGATTCTGGGCTGGCCAAACAAGAAGACTCCGCTCTTGGCCTCACTGATGTGGTCCAAAGGAAAGCAGAGCAATACATTTGGCACCAGCTTGGCTGCAGGAGTTGCTGGAAGAAGGCGTACATGGCACCATCCAACTATTACTAAAATACAAGTAATACCACCAATCTACAATAATAACTGAACATCAAACTGCTGTGATAAATGAAAAATAGATACTGCCTTGAGATCAGAAACGTTTTGACCCAGTGGATCTTCCTAAGTGATCAATAATTTTTAAATAAAGAATAGGTCACAAAAAATAGCTGTTTGGTTAATCTGTATTGACAATGAGGTGAGTCGACCACTCAAAGCCATCAAATTGCTATGCACACCTGGAGATCATGAAGGTATGTCAGCCAATACAAAAAGGTTCCACTTTCCTAATAGTGCCCCAACATCTGGTTTTGGGGGCATTTTCTTATCCCGGGGAGATAGTTTTGTCCTCACCCAGCTCAGTCTAGCTTTGGAGGTTGGAGTTTGCATATCCTTTTCCTGCATTTTGTTGATGTGCAAAAGCAGCCACTGAACTATCTTTTCCGATGGGTGTACGTAGAACATCAGTGTTCTTTAAGCAGTAGTGAGGAGCAAAGAGCAGGCTTAGCTTGTCTAGCAGCTTCAGGCAAAACTGTCCCATTCAATATGAAAAGGGGGATTCCCCCCCCCCAGGGCACTTAACGGAACACACGAACCACACCGTAATTTGAATGGAGAAAAGGATGCAATACCTCAAGCTCCTTCTGGTCAAAAGGCTTCAGTAGGTGTTGAGGAATAAGTTCATTGAAGCCTTTCTGAAGAGCCAGGAACTGGGCCTCAATTCCTCTCATGAACCGCCAGTTAACGTACAACCTGGGGACAGGGAGCGAATCCAAAGTGAGAACTGAGGGCAGAAGCCTTCAAGTGAAATATAACTTGCAGCAAAATAGGTACACTCAAGAAGTTGCAATTTTTTTCCCAGGAACTCCCAAACGAGGAATACTTTGGGAGGAGCAAACAATATTTTTTGCAGGGATCTCATCCATGTGCATGGTGGGCAGCATGCCTGCCCAATCTCAGCACCACTGGGGTCCATGTGTCAGTGCAGCTTTCTTAAAACATGTAAATGGGGAAGATGCATGGCACTGCAGGCCCCAATTATGCTGCCAATTCCCACCGCCTAAAGGAGGCAGATCTGAGTAAAGTCATCATCCAATTTGGACACCCGTGACCAGTTACAAATACTGTGTTGATTCTAGTAACAAGCTGCATACAACTATAGGGAGAAAGAGGCAGAGCAGATGAAAGGCACAGCCACAAAGAAGAACACCGAGTGGTACAAGATGAGAAATGTATTCTGCAAAATACACTGCAAGACCCATCAAGACCACCTCTGGCCTACAGCTTCAGCAGCAACTGTGTGGCATTAGTCAAGGCTATCGTAAGAATGAGATTCCGAAGCCAAATAGAAGACACTAGGTGGCAAAAATTGAGGTGTCTCCAGCAGCAACTAGTAGCGCACAAGCACACATATTACAGAGATCACTGGATAACTTTGACCCACAGTTGCACTACAGAACTGAAATGTTCTGAACACACAAACTGGTGCAAGTCAAGGAGTGGGGAGAGAGACAGAGAAACTGAGACTGACCACCACCACCTCTGCATTATGAGAAGATAACATTTAACCTCCTCTGGTGGTACCTCACATATTCTTTCTTGTTCTCCTCTGTAACAGAAACATTTCTTCCATTTGGTTTGAGCTCATGTTGCAGAATCCTGCCAAAAGCGTTGTGCTCCACGCAGAAAGTATGGTCCAGAACCGGAGTGATGTCATTCTCTCTGTCAACAAGGCAAAGACTGCAAGTCATTTCTGTACTCTCCAGAGCGCACAAAACATTCTTCTTAAGTAAACATTATGGCAGGAAGAATCCAAACTATTTATTAGGAGTTGATCTAGCGTATTTTACAATCAAACTCTACCTTTGTTTTGCTGGACAACACTAGAGATTCTGATGGGTCTACACACCCAAGCGATGGTAGAGGACTATGCAGACGAACAGTGACTTTGAGGGGCTGCAAAGTCCTACTATGTGGAGCTGCTTCCCCTCACCCTAGTCTTTTTAAAAAGCTTTCAACTGCATATGCAATACTTACAGAATCCAAACTAAACTCTTGTGTAGTTCTGGGTCGACTGATTCCAGATCAGATAACTGGATGGGTTTGCCCAGCAGCTGTTTGTAGAAAGGAACGGTGAAACCTCCGTTGATGTAGTGTCCATGGAACACAGCCAGACCCATTATCCGACCAACAAAGTGGAAGTAAGACAGATGATCCTACGAGAAACATCGAAGAGACTCATTATCTGGAAGAGAAGCCCAATGCTGACATCTTGTGGCTAGACTTATGCCTTCAGCCATTTCCTAGTTCAATGAAAGTTTCGCTTAATGATCTCAGGCCCTCTGGATGAGAAATTAATCAATTTGCACAGAATTCAATGTTACATATACTTAACACAGCTGACTAAATGCATTCAGTCTCGAGACCACAGTCCTACCATACTGCACTACAGGCTTGTGACCATCAGATCATTAGCCACAAACATGGCGATTCATGTTAAAAGCCAATCTACTTGAGCCAATGCAATTAAAAGCAGGCACTTAGGCCCAATCAACGTTTGCTTGGGAAGGCTATTGTACAATCTCTCTCCATGCAAAACAACAGAGACCTGAAACAAAATGTTGCAGCACAGCATATGCTTGTGCCATTCAAGGTTCAACAAAACCAACTATGCCCTTTTCTAAGATACTCCATGTCACTCTCCTTCCCAAGCTTTCCATTCTCCCTACAACAGATATGGAGCCTTCTGCAGCCACTGAGATGACTCACTTCTCTGTATGGGCGTTCTCATCCCCCTTCAAAGGTTTTCTTAAAGTTTTTGTACATATGCTAATCTTGCTAACCCCAAGGCTTTCAATACACATGTGCTGCTTGGGCTAGAGGAAGACAGACAGTTTGTCATGAGTATATATGAGGTCATTTCTATCAGTGCCATTAACACATGATGCATTCATAATGCATAATGTTGTATTTTAAATTGTTGCAACCTACCCTGGGACCTTAGGGTGTACAAGGGAATAATAATAATAATAATAATAATAATAATAATAATAATAAATAATCATCATCATCATCATCATCATCAAGCTACAACTACCCTCCTTTAGTTTGAAATCAAATATGGGTAAAACTGTTGTAATTTGCCAAATTCTTTCCAGGCAACCAACTGTTTACCTGGGCAACCAATCTGCACCAAATACCACCCTGAACTTTGTGAGGCTGAAAAATAATATGGGTTTTGGACAGAATGGAGATGTAATCAGTTCTGCAAGGCATGTGTGGGTATGTGTGTTTGAAGTTGTTAACATGCAGTGGATCTTCTAAGGGGCAAAACTATGCAATGAGGGTTTAGTGTGGAACTGACAAGGTAATTAACAAACAAAGTTTTAATTATTCCTTTAATGGGTAAGTTGAGGTTCTACAAAATTAGTCCATTACAAGCCACCAGTGCTTCTCCTCGGTTATGATAGGCACACTTACCTTCACTTGTCTATTTGGTGTTAACTGAAAAAGTAACAGAGATAGGTAGACTCACATATTACCACAAGCAAGGGAAATCTCAGGACTGTGCAAAGGTGGTTCAAACTGCATGTGCACTGGGAAATTAGAATCAAGCCAGCCCACCCTACTGTTTGCACATTCAACTTGATGCATAAAGGCTCCTATTTAAACACTGAGCAAAGTGCATTTTGTATATCACAAAACCAAGCGTGCAGCATGCAAAGGGTGGACCTATGTGCTCTAAACATGAAATCGAAAGTGCAAACAGCAGGTGAGGGTGTGAGGGATAGTGAGAGGCTGGATCCCTCTGTGAATATATAGTGAACATCTGCAAAGGGCTTACGGTTGAGATCCAAAGAGCTACTTGAATATACCCAAGAGTCTGCATGCTGCAGCGGTGAACATTTTCATCTCCCTTCCTGAATGGGAGAGTCGACGCCACATCAAAATACTTCTGAAACTCCCACATTACAAAAGTGATTTGCCACATGGCATGGGAGTGGCTGTTTTAATCTAAAGCCACACTGGTCTCATGGAACCAGATTAGCTGCTGTTTGGACCCTATACCACAACCAGGGTTTCAGAGAATTAGCCTGTATTTAAGCCGCATACACACACCTGCTTTGCTTCTAGAATACTTACAGGATTGATAGAGGAGTCTGGATTTATTTGCAGCATATAAATGTTATCCGTGGAGTACTGGAAGAGTCCATAATAAGGGTTCAGCATTTCATGGCACAGAAGGTACAACCACTCCCTGCCAGACAAGAGACATATGTTAGGGAAGAGGCTGGATGGTGGAGTTAAAGCTTACCCCACCCAGTAACGTGTGGATCCATTACTCATTTGATACAGATTGTGACTTCTACAAAAAAGAGGGTCGGGGGTGGGAGAGAATCTAGACTTGGTGCAATGTAAGGAGGCAAATTTGCCTCCTTGAGTCTGACCAAACTGGTCATGAGTCTGACCAAACTGCGGGAGGCAGTGGAAGACAGGAGTGCCTGGAGTGCTCTGGTCCATGGGGTCACGAAGAGTCGGACACGACTAAACGACTAAACAAGGAGGCAAATTAGGACAAGCCTGTTCCTTTGATCAACTTCTACTGGGAAAGAAAAGAGTACAAGCACTCATTTGTTTCACAGAACTCTTTGGTTAACACTCAATGTGACTATAGTGGACAGAAAATTGGGTCACTTTCCATAACCAAGTATCCTTTTATTAATGCACCATTAGACACAACCAGGCATTCTTTTAAAGCTGGCTTCATTGGCTCTGTCAAGCTGTGTCGTTTGCTTAAACCATAATGACCGTGAGCTGCATGCTGGTGCAGACAGCTTGCGAGACCTTGCTGTGTACTTCTGCTAGTCTGTGGGGAAACAACCATGGACCAGCTAGCTCAGTGTTATGCTCAAAGTAGCACTCACGGTTTCTTTCCAAATGAGTCATGACCGGAAAGCCAAGAACAAACCTTGGCTCCAGATAATGATAGTGATTTGTTTTGGATTGAAACCACAAGTGCTGGTTTGGACGTAAGACTGTCAAGGATGCTTTAGTTGAGATTCCTGCATTGCAGGGGGTTGGACTACATGACCCTCGAGATCCCTTCCAACTCTAAAATCTCACATAAGTTTATATAGGAAGTCAGGTAAGAGTTTGTTTTCTATTCTGTAAATTAACACGTTTCTAAAATATTGTTTTGGCAGCAAAATGAGAGCAAGCTCCTAAAAATCAATAGAAGGATGGTTACCTAATATGATTAAGCAAAATAATCTTGATTAGAGCTGAAGACAGCAATATAATGGTACTGCATATCTTTTTGTACTTTTGTGTGTCTGTCTCTAGATTTTTTAATTGTCTGTAGCCAGCGACTGCTACAAAGCAACTTGCAAACAACACCTCCAAGATAATCCAAATGTAAGTTCTGTTTAACATGTAATTTTCAGAAATGCAAGTTATCAAAACTTAACAATGTAAACATTACCAAATCATTGTATCTCTCTCTCTCTCTCTCTCCACACACAAAATAAAATCTTATTCCCCATAAGGCACATCTACAATTTTCTTCAATATGACTTTTATCCAGGGGTGCGTATTTGTTCTTGTAAACACAACTAAAAGGATACAAAAGGACACTCCAGATAGTTTTGATCATGTGACTGGTGAAGAGGAAGCTGCTAAACAAAGGGAATTCTACAGGAACTTAGTTTCTGGAAATACTTTGGTGACTGCCTGGTTTCTGTGATGATATGTTGAGAGTTTCTACCTGGGGTAACACTGTATGTGGGTTTATTGCACAACATGGGTCCCCCTGAAGCTAAATGGAGGCATTTGAATAGGCTGTGCTAGAGCATTCAGCAACTGTCTAGACAGATATAAAGCACAGACAAGATAAACTCTTGCAACACGCCAGTGATGACAAGGGAGAGGTCAAACGGGAAGCGCTCCAGACAACAAGAATTTTGTCTAGAGAATTTAAGATCAGAGAATGTATCACTGGAGTTAGACAAAAGAAAAGTCTTACTCAGGGCAATTTTAGTCACTGGCACACTCAGCCCTTGGAAGAGCTTCCCAACTCAGTTGCAAGAGAGGAATCAGCATTACAATCAGATCCCTGGATTAGACACAGACCTATCACCAGGAGCAGTGCAATGCAAAAGATTGTGTCCAAGCTCTACTCACAGTAGCTCCATTGAAATTAATGGACCTACATTAATTATGTCCATTTCACTGGGTCTACTCTAAGTAAAACTAACATTGACTGCAACCCTCAGATGAGATGCCAGAGGGTTATATCCAAGTTAGATAAAGAGGATGCAAAAATCTTCAAAAACTATTACAGCAATTTAGAGAAGCAGATATATTATGTTGTCCTTTCTCAACTTGGGGTTCCCAGATGTTGTTGGGCTACCACTCCCCTCATCCTTAACTGCTGCCCCTGCTGGCTATGGATGATAGGAGTTGTAATTCAACATCTGGGGACAGAGATTGAGAAAGTCTCCCTTAAAGGCTAACATTGTGGCATATACTTTTATAGGAACACATAGGACTCTTGATTTCTGGCATCTTTCCGAAAATTATTTTTAATTTAGAAGGAAGGAAATGATTGTTGTGTGTCTAGTTATTCAGGAGACAGTTTCATAAAGCACTGGATTCTAGAGCCACCGAGTATTTCATAAAAAACATACCATTAAAAAGCGCAACTTCCAAATGTGAGGGCAAAATCAAGAAGTACTAAATTTTAAAACCTTTAATTCTGTGTTGATCTGAAGAGCAATGGCATTAAAATATGACATACGGAGGAGAGCAAGAACGTACAAGCTTTCAAACACCACAGAACCTGTCTTAAAGGCAGAAGCTGTCAATGTTCACATCTCCATGGCTTTTAATGTTTCTGAATCCCTGGAAATTCAAAAACTTGATTTGTTACTATTTCAATATTTTTAAAAACAATGCTTACATTTATTAACACCCCACCTTTCTGTCTCAGTAGGCTTCCTCTTCTGCCAGACATTGCACATTAGCTATTAAGAGGCCATCTCTCCTGGGTGGAACGAGGCAACCATTATTTTAAGCAGGGCAGGGGGCAGAAGGGGTCACTTGCTGCTCCAGCCTGTTGAGGGGACAAGGTGCAGAGGCGCAGCCCCCTGCCCAGCTTGGGGAAAGGGGGCAAATAGGACCATGCTGCTGGATCAAGCCCAAGGCTTGTAAAGGCTGGCCCTTGTAATGCCAAACCTTGGTAAATTGTAGCATTACATGCTAAGGCTGCCATCATTCGTGGGTTTGATAAAATGTTCCTTTGATTTTTTTATCTGCAATATTTGGAGGTCTCTGCAAAGGGCTTCCTTTGCCCAGTACATGTCATTTTAAGAACCTGTCTTTCACCTTGCCACTCCACCATAATCCAAGCCTTCTTCTCCTCGAAATTTCACCATCAGTCTCTTCTTTAGATCTTTTGGCCTCATCTTCATTATCTGCCGGTATGATTCCTGTAGTAAGAAACAGAAGTATACTCTCAGGAAATGAACACTTTTTCAACAGTAGCTACTCTTCACATATCTAGGGAATATCTAGAGGTGCCCTTCTTGCACCACTGCTTAAGTCATAGCCCTCAGGAAATTTTAGCTGTGTTTAGAATGGCAAACCTTCCTCATAGATGCTGAACAGTGATTTTTTATCTCAAATTAACATTATTTGACATTAGGTTCACTTTGTGATTCATTCTAATGGCTTTCATTATATCTTTAGTCCTCACAGGGGCAGCATTTATGATAAGCTGCATCTGCAGAAATCCATAGCCATTTCCTAGATGCACTGGAAAGGCTAAACCTCCCACTATCTTAGAGACAGATCGACGTACCTCAAATATTTCTTCCCTCGATACTTCGATGCGGCAGTGGCCAGCTTGGGGTTGCTGGAGGGAGAGCTCGTGCCTGAGGAGCTTGAGCTTCTGCACCAAGTCTCGCTCGTATCTCTGGGCAGGCAACTCCTCGCTGTCTTCCAATGATCCCTCACTCGGCACTGGCAAAGGCTGGTTGGGTTCTTTTAGTTGGCATTGGTGACTGGAGGGAAAGGTGAGAAGATTACTCTCAAAAGGGAATGAAGAAGGAAGGATTGCCACTACAGTGGGAAGCCACATAGTCTCTTAACATCAGTATCTAGAACGTTGGTGCGGGTTTTGATCTGTTTTTAGTTACTGCTGGCTTTAATTCTTTGAATTATTGTTTATTAACTTTTTTTACTGTTTTATTCTTTTTGTAAGCCATTTTGAAGAGAGGTCTTTGGGGGTTAGTATGACCGCCAAAAATGTGAAACTGCTCAAGGACAACTGTGAAGGATGTTGGATTGAAGAGAAGGGGGATTTGGAAATATGGACAAATCAGAAGTTGTTACTGTTGGGCCGAGTTATTGTGGTGGGGATGAGGGCTGCTGTGTTGCTGGGGATGTTGCTTTTGTTTCAAACATTGCAAGCTCTGGATGGGATGGAGGGTTTCAGGAGGTGGCAGAGGGATGCTCCTAGAGTTGTTTGGCAGGGCAGGAAGCCTCGAGTCAAACTTAAGATATTGATGGATGCTAAAGAAGGAGGTGGACCTGCCCTGCCAGACCTTTAAACTTCGTTGTGAACCATCTGCTTTTTGCTGGTTGAGAGAATGGTTGCTTCTTGAAAACACTGAAGTGTTGGACAATGGCAGATGAAGTTGATGGACTATAGGGAATTGGTGGAAATGACTGGCAAGATCCGAGACCAGGGTGAAGAGTTGGTGGAAGAAGATTGGAAAAAGTTTAAAGACTATTTATAGAAATATTGAAAAATTAAGGAATGTTAGAAAAATGTTGGAATGAAATTACATGGCTTTAGTAGAAATGTCATAAGGAATTAAGTATAAATAGATTAATAGAAAATTAAAGGAAAAGTATGGTAAGAATGTGTTAAGATAATTATAGAACAGAAAACAGAGTAAGATGGAAAGGAATTGCTGAAACAAATAATAGAAGTGGAATACAAAAAGGGAGGTGTGAGGAAGTCGCTGGAAATAAGAGAATGAAATATAAGATATTGTATGAAATTTGATTTATTTTATTGTTGTTGCATTGTTTTGTTTTGTTAGTTTAATGTATTGTATTGTATGTGTTTTTCTTTTCTTTTAGTGTTTAAATTTTTTGGAAAAGTAATAAATATTATTTTTTAAAAAATGAAGGTTTTTTTTACAATAAGCGATGTATAAATTTTATGAAATAAAAGAAATCAGTATCAGGAAACAAGATTAGACAAACTTTTCATAGCTTATAAAGAACTAGATAAGGAAATTGATTACACAAAGGTATAGTCTGTTGCAGCAAATAAAACTGTGTCTCCTGTGGTAGCTTTAACTCATTTATGCTACCATATATTGGCTTTCAAGACAACAGCAACATGCATCAAATATTTTTATATTTCCATAATATTAGCATTCGTACTTCTTTACTTGTAGTAGTGGAACTGCTTCTCCAGGTCCATTTTTAGAGCTATAGTTCCACTACAAAAACCCTCATGTAACATGATGAACAACTGGAGCCAACAAACTCAACAAATCTTACTTCATTATGTGACATGCAGTTTTGTACTTATTTCAAAAAGCACAAATACTCCTGGGTCCACTATGGAACACAGAAGCAGGCAGTTAAATGAAACTTCAGATCAGCTATTCAGAAATCAAAAACTAAAATGAAAATGAAGCAATGGTTTTCATCAGACCAATATATGTCTGAGACCATGGAAGCAAACGTTTGCATTAAACAAACTTTCCCTTCATCATAGGTGTTCATAATGTAGATCAAATGACCCACCCACCCACGCAGAGCACATTTTTATGTATATAGGAAGATACAGGTGTGTTTATGTGTGTGTAAGGCTGTTGTCATGTAGCAGTTCACGTGAACACCAACAGGCAGCCGCACCGATCCAATTTGAGGCACATTTGGCAGGCAGGTGAGCAAGCAATAAGCATGGGTGGAAGGCGGCCCAGGAGAACTGTTTAATAGAAGCGGGGGAACCTCACTGGCAAAGGGATATATAAGGTTTGAAGGGTTGTTGTTTTTTTACAATTGAGCAGTATATAAATTTTATGAAATAAAGGCCTGGGCCCGGTTGGCTAGCAAAGCCTGGCACCTTCAAATTAAACAGGATGGGAAAGAGACCCAAACAGCCACTGACAGTCAAGGGCAGGCAGCAGACGGCTACATTATTACATATCAGCACATATCAAAGCCCTCTCAGTTTCAAAAGTAAATTGGAATGTAGTGCAGTGGGGGAGGGGCACAGTGAAAACTCATTTGCATGTTGCGTTGTTCTTTGGATTCTACTCTACATTTATCAAGCATTTGGCCTTGCTGGAAGGAATCAGCTTGCAACATCCCTCTCTGGGGAAAAACAAATTATTTTAGTACTGACATTTTCTTTGCCCATGCAGCCCCACTGCGCTTGCTCTGCTTGTGAGCCATAGAAGCACATGGCAACACACTGGTTTCTTACTTCATGATGTGATGCAGTCTTGGGTCTGTGAATTGTGTGGTTCTGTTATTATGATCTACAAAATATATTCTTCCCGACACTGTACTTCTAACTTCCCAACCTGGTGGTAGAGGTCCAAGTTCATCACAATTCACACTGTTAAGGTCTCTATGAAAAGCAAAAGAACAATTAAAACATACGTATTTAAGCTTAACACTAACATTTATCTTAGAAAAAACATGAGGCACTCTGAGGTGCTTGGGGAGGGGGAACGATAAAGGGCATCAATTTTTGGTTAACAAACCCTAACTAACATTTATAGAAAGAACATTTTCCCCCTAAGTATGAGGTTTTATAAGGAACTATCTGAAGTGTATTTTTCCCCCCAAACACAGGTACAGCTACCTGCCCAAACCCAGATGAACTCAAGACTGCCATACATACCTTGGTATCCTGGGGTCGTGCCATGTGCTAACACCAGTTTGTGTATGTAAAAAGTAAACTTGTCCCTGTACTGTTGTCCTTTGTTCTACAAAGATAGGGAAAAGATGCTACAGTGAGCAGTCCAAAGGAAAAACTGCGCATCAACAAAGTATCTGCGAAAGCTCAGCTAACGCTTAAAAGCAGCTGTATATAGCATTACTTAAAATGTACTATTTGCCCTAGTTATGAGTAAAAAGAAACGGCAATACCAAGAACTGCATCAGATACTTGATACAGCTTACATGTTCACAAAAAGAGCTTACCATTTTTGTCACCCACCCAATTCCAGTTCACCTCATCTGTACCATCCCATATCGATCCAGAAAGACACTTCTTTGTTCACGATTATTTCCATAGGCTTTAAGATGAACAATTACTATGAACATGGGATGTTGTGGCTCCCTATGCACAGCTCCCTTTGTAGAAGGTTCTCAAGGAACCATCTCCATTCTGCAAGGCCATTTGCTTTTTCACACAGATCTACTGGGCGATGGGAAGGGGGTGAAGAGACATGAGCCTTTGGAAGACAGCTAATAGTTACCAGTGAATGTGTGTATGCCCTGTGTAAGCATCTGACACTCTGGGGAGCAACTGCTACATCAGCTTTGTACAACCTGGTGCCCTCCAAATGTTGCTGGACTACATCTCCCAGCAACCCCAGCCAGGGTGGCCAACGGAGCAACAACTGGGGGGCACCAGGCTGGGGGGAAACTGCACATCTACTAAAATGATTTCATTTGTCTTTGAACATGCAAAGCATCCGCACTCCCTTTCTGCTTCCCACTAGTTATCCCAGGCCCCTGATCCAAATATATATATACTTGCCAGCAGGCAGTAAATGACAGAATATAACACCAACAGTGCTGTCATAATACCTGTTGACTACAGACCAGTATATAATGAAACCCACTCACTCACCCTGCCACCTCAAAAAGAAAAACCAAGGAAAACAAACCACACCTTCATGAAGAAATCAGAAAATGTGCTTAAAAGGGAAACTTACAACTAGCAAGACAGACCGGGGGAGTTCCAAGAAAAAAACTGAATACAGTGGTACCCCGCAAGACGAGACGCCTCGCAAGACGGAAAACCCGCTAGACGAAAGGGTTTTCCGTTTTGGAGGCGCTCATAAGCAATTTCCCTATGGGCTTGCTTCGCAAGACGACAGCCCATAGGAAATCTCAGGGACAGCGAGGAAGCGCAGCGCGTCTTCCCCACTGTCCTCGGACCTCCTCCGAAGCCTGGCGGCGGGGCGGGGACACCTCCTCCCGCCGCCGCCGGGCTCGGAAGGCTCCTCCGAAGCCGGGCGGGGGAGGGAACACCTGCCGCCGCCGCCCGGCTCGGAGCGGTGCTCCGAGCCGGGCGGTGGGGAGGGAAGACCTCCCCGCCGCCCGGCCCGGAACGGTGCTCCGAGCCGGGCGGGGGAGGGAACACCTGCCGCCGCCGCCTGGCTCGGGACGGTGCTCCGGCCGGGCGGTGGGGAGGGAAGACCTCCCCGCCGCCCGGCTCGGGACGGTGCTCCGAAGCCGGGCGGGGGAGGGAACACCTGCCGCCGCCGCCCGGCCCGGGCGGTGCTCCGAGCCGGGCGGTGGGGAGGGAAGACCTCCCCCGCCGCCCGGCCCGGAACGGTGCTCCGAGCCGGGCGGGGGAGGGAACACCTGCCGCCGCCGCCCGGCTCGGAGCGGTGCTCCGAGCCGGGCGGTGGGGAGGGAAGACCTCCCCGCCGCCCGGCTCGGAGCGGTGCTCCGAAGCCGGGCGGGGGAGGGAACACCTGCCGCCGCCGCCCGGCCGGAGCGGTGCTCCGAGCCGGGGCGGGGGAGGAAGACCTCCCCGCCGCCCGGCCCGGAACGGTGCTCCAGGCCGGGCGGTGGGAGGGAAGACCTCCCCGCCGCCCGGCTCGGAACGGTGCTCCGAGCCGGGCGGGGAGGGAACACCTCCCGCCGCCGCCCGGCCGGAACGGTGCTCCGAGCCGGGCGGGGAGGGAACACCTCCCGCCGCCGCCCGGCCCGGGCGGTGCTCCCGAGCCGGGCGGGGGAGGGAAGACCTCCGCCGCCGCCCGGCCCGGAGCGGTGCTCCGAGCCGGGCGGGGGGAGGAAGACCTTCTGAAGGCGGGCGGGGCGAAAGTCTTTGCTCCCCCTGCCTGCCTGTCCCGGAGGGCTTTTGAAGGCGGGGAGCAAGACTTTGCCCCCGCCCGCCTTCAGAAGAGGTCCAGGACCTCTTCTGAAGGCTGGCGAGGGCAAAAGTCTTTGTCCCCCTGCCTGCCTTCCCTGGGGCTTTTAAATTGCCCTGGACAGCGGAGAAGTCCTCCGCTGTCCCGGGGTGATTTTAAAATGCTGCCCGCCAGCATTTTAAGATCGCCCGGACAGCGGAGAAGTCCTCCGCTGTCCCGGGTTTTAAAATGCTGGGGGTGGGAAGAAAAGCCCTTGCCCCCCAGCCTTCAGAAGAGGTCCGGGGACAGACTGTCCCCGGACCTGGTCTGAAGGCGGTTTCCCTAGGAACGCATTAATTGATTTTCAATGCATTCCTATGGGAAACCGTGCATCGCAAGACGAAAAACTCGCAAGACGAAGAGACTTGCGGAACGAATTAATTTCGTCTTGCGAGGCACCACTGTATAGTTGACAGGGTGGTTTTAAACCTCGGGCAGGCATGGGGAGGCATGAGGCTGTGCCACTTCAGCAATACATACTCCCTGCACCCCTTGGTCTGGCTGGCTAAGCTGGGGAGCAGAAAGCAGCACTGCACAGGAGACAGGCAGGAGTTCAGGTTGCTATGCCCCTGGGACCTTCTGCACTTGTCCAGTGTAAAACTGCTTCGGCCTTTGCTACTTGGGCAACCACATGGCAGGTTGCCCACAGATGCTTGAAGCAGGCAAGATAGATTGCTAATAATACAGCTGCCCAAGCTGGTCAATTAAAAGCTGTTTGCACTTTAGTAACCTAGAACAAGAGTTTTCTCCAGACATAATATTGTAATGTATTTAAGCTAAACCGTGTCACTTGGACAAGTGTCCCAGTTTCACACGGAATGAAAGAGGTACAAAAATAAAGAGTGATGGTTAAGAGTTCACCAGACCCTACTTTCTCTAACTTCCTTTACTGTGTGTATATGTACTTGTGTTTGAGGGTGGGGGTCAGTTACATTGCACAATCAAGGTAGAATTGTGCAAGAAATCTATGTTCTCTCAAATGACTTAATTTGGAATATAATGGCAGCAGATGAGATCCAAAGTGTTGCGCAGAAACTCCTTGCTGCAAATAAGTTATGCAGACTAAGGGCAAGAAGGGAAATTAGATAGGGGGGAAAGGACTGGGAGACAGAGCTCTACAGATACTGAACACCCCAACCCCACAACCACTTGAACTCTCCACTGCATACCAAAGATTTAAATGCAGTCAACAACATTTCAGAGCTACCCTCTCTGCAGACCAGATGAGTTTTCTGAAAACCCAATCTTAACTTTGCTTTCCTGCACTGGATGAAAATGTCTCCTCTGGCCTGAAGAGCATGCAAATGCACGCAAATAGAATTTCTTAGGACACGTATCAGAGATTGCTCCTCTTACCATAGCCTTCAGGCAGGTCAGGCGATGGGGACTGATGACCATGTGGCCTATTTTGGGGGGTTTGTACATGGCCTCTCACATCAGGAGTCCGTAAACGCTGCACCTGGAGTGTCTGGTCCTGACTGGGGGATTCCGCAAATCTACAATTCCCTCCTCCAGCAGCTCCAGTGCTGTCTGTGTATGGCGCTGGCTCCTCCATGTAACAGCTCAGTGGCCTTCCAGGTCCTGAGTCTTCGTAAACCGTTCTGAAATAAGGGAGGCTCATAAAGTTAGAAAATTTCACACAAGCCTAAGAGAATGTTAGGGGAATTTCATTCAGGGAAATAACTGGACTTCAAGCATAGATCATCACTGAAAAAGACAGTCTCAGAAGGCTTATGTCAAGGTAAGAGTGTCTTGAAGGCACTAAGCAGATCTCCTCTAACAAGGGGCTGGAGAAAGTTCCTACACTTGTCTTCCAGCTTTCTGTGCCACAATACTCTTCTGTCAGGAGTCAGCCATGAAACCTCTGTTCTGGATTCAATATTGTGACAAGGGGAGACTGTCACTTGTGAGCAGAGCAGGATGAGTTATACCAGGATGAAGGCAAAGATGCAGCCCTTCCAGAGTGAAGCTTCCCTGCTTTTTACAGTTGACCAAGGTTGACTAGGTTGGCACGATTGCTAGTCCCCATTTTGTGTTTCACTTGCAGACCTTAAGAATGAACTCCTAGCTAACAAAATCAATGAGATTTTGACTCCTTCCATTTTTTTAAAAAAAGTTTACTTAACAATTAACATGCTCCAGAACAAAAATACAGATCTTATTCATTCATTTAACTGAGTAAGATGACTATGAATCAGGAGATCCAGGGGATTCCACTAGGAAATGAAATACCTACCCTTCATTCTCCAGCAGCCCCCTGCAATCTACAACAGACCCTCCTGTGCCTATCCTGTCCCGTGTCTGTAAGCTGACTGGAATGAGAAAAAGAAATGAAAGCCATGATTAAAATCCATAGATGCAAAAACCTATTCAACCCCAGTTAAAATGCAAGGAACACAAATGGAGAGGCTTCATTCAATTTGGCAAGCATTCCTACACCTTTTAATAATCCACGTGCATATTCAAGATTTCACCCCTCCTTACAACAGTAAACACCCCAGGTATTTTGATTGGTGTTTTTAGAGTTATTATGGATAATACACAGACTCAGAGCAGACCCACTGAAATCAGTAGACTTAAATTACATCAGTTGACTTCAGTGAGTCCACCCAGGGTATGACTTAGTTGGCTATTGCCTTATACTTTTATATTGTGATGATACAATGTCATTCATAAATCATAATGTGATACTCCTTAAGAAAACAGCCATTTAAGGCTACAGTCCTTAAATGAGACTAAGTCTCACTGAATTCATTGTGGTTTACTCCTGAGTATACATACATAGGATTGCGCTCTAATTCTGCTATTCAAAATGTGCTAAATGTGCAAATAATTATTTCTACTTCTACAAATTAAAAATAACACATAACCTAGGCTTTGATGTTTTTCTAATAAGAAATACTCTACTTTGGATAAAAATGTGAAGGATTCTGCATAAACAGATATTTGCCTCTCAAAACTGTTGGAAAGCAGAACATTTGCCACTAGGCGGCATTCTAAAATGGAGCATCTTTTTTTTGCCTGTTATGCATTTCTTCTTTCAGAAAAAGACAGTTTCTCACATCCATGGTTTTCCAAACATGCTTTCCAGACAGCAAGACAGAGCAACAGCCTACAGAATGCTGAGCATGCAATCCAAGTCAGAATGCAGCAACTTCACTTGCACATTAAACACCATACTAACATTGGACAAAACAAATCCCACCCAGTGGCAAAGCCAGTTGCCAATCACTGCCCCCCAAAATTTACATGCTTCTCACTGAAAGAAATTTCCTGTCTCAGAGCAGCTGGAGTGAGAGATCTGACAAGCTACTCACCCTGGAATAATTGATAGTCTACTGCAGGCTTCCTCAACCTTGGCCCTCCAGATGTTTTTGGCCTACAACTGCCATGATCCCTAGCTAGCAGGACCAGTGGTCAGGGATGATGGGAATTATAGTCTCAAAATATCTGGAGGGCCGAGGTTGAAGAAGCCTGCAGTAGACTATCAATTATAAAGTCTACCGCTTTATAGCTGCCACTGAACATTCTCACAATACTACAACATTTCATATGTTTAAAAGCCCCAAGGTGACTTTAAAAGTTTTGTTTTCTAAAAACTGCAAGTGAATGGGCTATGCAAGTCTCCTATGGGAGTGAATTCATGAGCGAGGACACTCTCCGTATATTTGATTAGGTTTGAGTCTCCAACAAAGGAGACATTCCAACAAACAGATCTTAAGATGGGAAGTTTCTGTGGGGAAGACACTTTTAAAGTCCCTAGCACTTGAGCTTAGAGTGACACCTACACCTTGAAGCTTGCTCAGAACCCAGAAACCAGCAACTCTTAGGTTTTGCACATGCCAAGGGGCTAACCCCAATCAGCACCAGGCAGACACAGTTAGAACTGGATGAAGCTGCCAATCCTGAAGAGAGCATCACATAAAGTACTTTTGAACTTGAGAACCTCTCTATATCCAAGGCTCTGAAGGAAAGAGATACTATTTTTGTTATCTATGCAGACAGGAATGTTTTCCTCTTACCCACTATCTGGCCTCGTACTGCATCGGTATCTGTGGGGTTTAGTTTGCATAGATCCAAACGCTGGTCTGCAAATGAACAATTGGAAAAAAAAACTTGACCCAAGAGTGTACTCAGCTGGCAATCGACATTCAGTACTCAGACACAAGTCACTGTCAATCACAGCAAACACTGAGTAAGTATTACATGCTTACATCCAGTATCTTTTAGCCTACTGATGGCATTGGAAAGGAGTCGAACACACCCCAGGAAGCCAGCTCCCTGCTTTTTGTGTATTTTCTTGTGGTTCCAGACACTGATGGTGATAGAATCCGATTTCCCAACATATCTAGGATAATCAGTTTGAGAAAGATACTTGGTTGAGGTTTATTCTTTGCTATGGCATAGCATTTATGTCCATGAAAACCGAGCTCATTTTAATAATTCATTGGTCACGTCGCAACTTTATCAAATATAGAAACGTAATTATTCATTAGATGGCTATAATTTTACACAGCGTGCTAAAGTGATAATGCAGCAGCTCTTGTTAATTACAGACAACCTTATTACAAACTGGGGAGCGCCGAGCTCATTAGGGTATGGAGACAGAATTCAAGGAGGGAGGCAGAGTGACTCCATCAATACACTGTGGGTTTAATCTTACTAGACAGGACAAGTGAAGCTATCAGTATATAGATAGGCTCCAAAGAGCCACTCACTCTTTGCACCCAAGAGCAATCTGGTTTCTAAAAATAAAAGTAAAAAACCCTTATGGCAAGCCGTTTCTGAAACAGAAGGGACTTTCAATAATATATTCCAAAATGACATATGGCTCTTTTCCTTCAAGAAGAGTAAAAACAAAAACAAAACAAAAATCCACCAGGCATGTGCAAGCCCTTAGGCACACTTAAAACAGTCCTTTGGGCCCTGGCTGGAGTATTTAGATTTCAATGCATGCCTGGGAGAGTGAAGACTTGCAAGTTATCAACAGAGCCATGACTCCATAGCACTCATGCCTGGGGAGCAGACATGCACTCATCCCCTGCAACAGCTGCTAGGAAAAGCCAGGAGTCATATAGACTATATCCTGCCGGTTCCCAAGAGGAAGTGCTCCAGCACCAGGAACAAAATCTTATGTGGGAGGGGATACTTTCTCATGCAGTCACTGCAGAACCTTGTAAGAGCAGCAGTTGGAGCACCATACCTGTTTCAGTCACCACTGCCTTCTTACTTGCTATTTCAGAAACCTCGTTTATGGCAAGATGGCTAACGACAAAGAAAATTACCTTGAAGCCCAGCCATAAGGCAGAAAGGTGAGGTATAAAATTTCAAAATTAATAAACAGATGAACATAAGGCTGGACATAAGATAGTCTCTCTCTTTTTCAGACTGGACACCCATTCTGTGATTTACCCTTCACAGAACAGATAACTCACAGATCATAGTGTTGGTTCCACTTGGGATCTAGCGTGTTCTTCACAGTGTCAGTTGAGTGGCACTGACCAGAACCGTCCACCACCACCTTTGCAAATGGGTCAGGAAGCCCTGGAAAGAATCGAAAGAAAAAAATCACCATGAAAACCCATTCAGGAGGAACAATGATACCCAACAGCTAGGCTGCTTTCACTGGGCGGTGGGGGAATGAAACTACAGGCACTGGCAGCAGTGTTTAGAACATAAGCTTTCCCCCGCAAAAGATTTTGTCCACTTGGAAGTAGGGGGAAAGAATCCCCCCCAAAGCATGATGTGTAAACAGTTCCATAGAATAGCACTTCATTAGTAAACTGAAATTTCGGGACAGGAGCACAGAGACTGTGGACTACAACTCTCATCATTTCTGATCATTGACTATTTTGGCTGGGACTGATAGAAGATGGAGGGCTGTTAAGCTCCCCATCTCTGTTCCATGAAATGTGAGGGCTTGTTACAGATAAGGCAACATTCCCAAGTCCGCACTGTATGAGTTTCCATCTGTCACACCAAGCTTCTTCAAGGAAAGAGGCTGTTTGACCATGTGCATTTGAAACAGCAAGCCAATTCTCATGTTAATTCACTGTGACTTGATACTGCCATGTCACAAGAGCAGATATTTACCAGGCCTTACACTGCCATTCCTGAGTTAGAGGAATAAGAAGGGAAGAGTGGATGGAAATTAAATTATTTGTCCATGGTTATCGGGGTCAAGATCCAATTTTAGGAAACTAGCTCACCGGAGAAGCGGCAGCACATAGCACACTGCTACATAGTCTGTACAAAATAACTTTCAGACAGTTATGGCTCTGGCTCCAGAGAAACTACCATTAAATGACACCCAAAGAGGAAAAAAAGGGACTACCATCAATATAATAGCTTAAGGTGCATACAAAAAAATGGAAAATTGTATAAGAACTACTTACTGAAGAAATCTTTTTTTGCAAGGTTCTTGGCACAAAGCACTACAAAAAAAGAAGAGGAAAACTTATCAAATTCTACCCATATCTTACTACAAACCACTTAAGCAGGGGAAAAGTGTATACAATGGTACCCCTCAGGTTACAGATGCTTCAGGTTACAGACTCTGCTAATCCAGAAATAGTACCTCGAGTTAAAAACTTTGCTTCAGGATGAGAACAGAAATCGCGTGGCGGCAGTGGGAGGCCCAATTAGCTAAAGTGGTACCTCAGGTTAAGAACAGACCTCCAGAACGAATGAAGTTCTTAACCCGAGGTATCACTGTAGTGTACAACTGAGGAACATATACAATGTGATTAGCCACTAGCAGGATCAAACATGAAGATTATTTTTCACGGACTCTCACAATGCATAGCTTGGGTTCCCATTCCCCCAAACCTTATCTAATTTATTACTATGAAGATACCAGGATAGCTTGTCTTTTGTGTTAGGGTTATTTTTCTTAGTTGGCCACTTCTGGGACATGAGGAATCTGTGCACCACCATCCAACTCTAGGAAATTGGGTTGATATCTTTTAAAGACAGCTTTATCAGCGTTTTCATGATTTCTCATTATGGTGAGGTGTTTGTCAACAAAGGCAATAAATACTGTATACAGACACTTAAAAGGAAACTGATGAAAGGACCTTCCTTAAGATTTGGTGCCGACTATTTTCTTCCTGAGCACAGGTGCACTTTGGGAGGGATATTTCTTACAACTAAAAGAAGCACACACTAAAGATTTGGCTTTAAGCTGCACTAAGTCCAGCATACAGAAAGCTCAACATCTGCTGCTTTCACCAGGAACACAATGTGATTACTGCAAATTCATTAGCAGTAGCATTACCACTGCTATTTTACTATCACATTTATATCACACCTTTTCTCCAAAGAAAGCAAGGTGGTGTACCCACTTCTCCGTCTCTCCATTTTATCCTCACAACTCTGTGAAGTAGGTTAGGCTGAGAGAGCGCAACTGACCCAGTGTCACCCAGAGGGCTTCATGGCCGAGTGGTGATTTGAACCCGGGTCTCCCAGCTCCTAGTCCAGCACCGTCCACTACACAGGGAGGGGAAGCCAACGTGGGATTTGACATTTTTCCACAGGGCCTGCAAGACGGAGCTGTTCTGTCAGGCCTTTGGTCTGGGCCCAGTCTGACCCCCTTCTTTCTATGGGTCCCTGGTAGTAAGTGGTCTCCTTGGTTCTTTCTATCGGCCCATATGGGACCAGCACGAGTGGCTGGGCCTGGTGAACTTTTAATTCCTTACCCCTACGGTTATGATTTGTGGGTTCCCACTTAATTTTATTTTGTTTTTAAATGTGATTTGAATTGTATTTTAAACTAATTGTTTGATTTTTGTGTTTTTAATGTATTATATATTTGGTGTTAGCCACCCTGAATCTGGTTTCAGCCAGGGAGGGCAGGGTATTAAGAAAATTATTATTATTATTATTATTATTATTAAATGTAAGGTTCTACGCTTAGGCAGGAAGAACCAGCTCCACAAATCTAAGATGAGGGACACTAGTCTTGTCAGTAGTGCATGTGAAAAGTGAATCATTTGATGCAGCAGCAGCAAAAAAACAAAACAAAACAAAACAAAAGCAGCTAATGCTATTCTAGGCTGTATCAACAGAAGTCTCGTGTCCAGATCAAGGGGAGACATAGTACCGCTCTATTCCGCTTTGGTCAGATCATACCTGGAGTACCGTATCAAGTTCTGGGCACCACCATTCAAAAAGGATATTGACAAGTTGGGAACGTATGCACGGAAGGGCGGCCAAGAAAATCAAAGATCTGAAAACCAAGCCTTATGTAGAACTGTTGAGGGAATTGGGTATGTTTGGCCTGGTGGAGAGGCTGAGAGGAGATAGGACAGCCATCTTCAAATATCTAAATGTTGTCATATGGAGGATGGAGCAGGTTTGTTTTCCTCTGCTCCAGAGGCTGGGATCCAAACCAATGTGTCCAAGTTACAAGAAATGAGATTCTGAATAAACCTCAGTAAGAACTTTCTGACAGTAAGAGCAGTTCAAAAGTGGAACAGACTCTCACGAGATGTGGTGGATTCTCCTTCCTTGGAGGTTTTTAAGCAGAGGTTGGATGGTCGTCTGTCATGTATGATCTATTTGAGATACCTGCATTGCAGGGAGTTGGGCTTACTTCCAACTCTTTAAATCTATGACCCCAGGTGGAAGACATTCTGCCCATACAAAGCTAGAATGTCAGGAAGGTTTACCTAGTTTCAACAAACAAGGAATTTAACACGGGAGACATGCTTTCAGAACTGTTCCAGAAGAGTCACATGATGTGCTTTCCCCAAAAGTGTAAATTGGCTTTTAGCATGGCACAACACCTCTCCTTTTAGATCAGAACATGTTAATCACATGTAAAGTTGCCCTAGGACTGCATTCATTCAGAGGCTCCCTGTATATATACGCTGAAAGAAACTTCTCTTATAATGCTATTATTTTCCCTCTGTATGCTGACATATCTTAATATTCATATTTCCACTGTTTCTGCTTGACTGATTTAATTAGATTTCCACAACCTCAACAGCTGCTGCTGGAAATGTAACCTCTATGTCAGCAAGCTGAAGACTTAAGAGTAGAGTACTTTCTGTGTAATACACAGGCACAGCCATTCTACTAGTACTAAACAAGTAATCCTAGCATAGACTACTGAGTTAAGGGTCCGAGAAGCAATGCAAGATACATAAAAAGAAACAAATTTAGAAAACACTGCACAAGAGTTCTAAAATAAGTATCCTTGAATACTGGTACATGCAATATGGATTCCAGAATTCCGGACTACATTGAGCAAAATGACATTGTAATATTTATTTCCACAGTTTTCATATGCTTTTCAAAGGTCCAGTGCCGAGGGCCTTCTGGCTGTTCCCTCACTGCGAGAAGCCAAGTTACAGGGAACCAGGCAGACGGCCTTCTCGGTGGTGGCACCTGCCCTGTGGAACACCCTCCCACCAGATGTCAGAGAGAAAAATACAACTACCAGACTTTTAGGAGACATCTGAAGGCAGCCTTGCTTAGGGAAGCTTTTAATGTCTGACAGACTATTGTATTTTAATATTTTGTTAGAAGCCACCCGGAGTGGCTGGGGAAGCCCAGCCAGATGGGCAGGGTATAAATAATATATTTTACTACTACTACTACTATTATTATTATTAATTATTATTATTATTATTAATGAATTCCACAAGTATTTTAAAATTCTAAACAAAAATAATACAAACATGTCAATAACAAATCCCAATATAAAATTCTGAAGCATCAATTCACTCCTAATGCCATTCCCCATTGATAGTAGTTTGATATAGAATTACTGAGAAACGAAAAGGGGATATGAGCATTCAGTAGTCGGCAGCATTGGTTAAAAGTGCAGAAAATCTGTTCATTATATTTCCATCCTGTTGATCATGATCTTAGTGCTCATCCTCATGGCTTCTCCCAACACAGTTTTTATTTGATGGCTCTGGGTTGTTTTCCCTCATCTCTAAAAAAAAACCTGGGCATGCACAATCACCTTCATGAAACAGCCATGAACCAGCATACAGACATTTGCACAAAAGTCAGCTAAAAATATTTTTGTATGAAAATACAATAAAAGGGAGTATAGGATTTTTGTTGGAATAGTTAACTAGATGGTTATGGAAGGTCAGGAACACAATTTCAAAACACAACTTCTTGCATTAATTAGTGTGTATATAAAAAAGAGTGTGCATGTGCAAATGGGAAAGTGTAAGTTTGAGATTAATATGAATATAACAGAAAATTTGAACATATTAGCATGATGAACAGAAAATTGTATACATTGTCCAATACATTTAACTTCCAGTTATTGGAGGGACACAATTATTTTTGCACAGCAACCAGTAAAAATGTGTGCTAACTGGGCAATATACAAAACTATATGATGCCACTTGTACTCTATGATGCCTCGTGAATTGGTACAATGCTTGGTGCCATGCACAGTCTCCATTCAATGCATTATTTTACTTATATATTGCACACGTGTGTTGTGGTTAAAAGAAAGAGTAAGGATGAAGTAGAAGTGGAGGATAATGCTCAGAGAGAGCAAAGTGGCAAGACTTTAATCCAGAAAAAGATTTGCATCCAATTACAAATGAAGTACCAAGAAACAAAGAGCTTGCATGCAGCACTTGGCTTCTGAGACTACTTTCAGTTAACAATACTGTATTAAAACAAAAAGACAGCAATTTAGTAGTAGTCAAGCAGAAGGCAGTGTGAACAGAATTTCTCCTTACAATGGTTGGCCGGATTTTTAAAAATGCAAATGCAAAACATACACCAATCCCTGCAGTACACACACACAAAATACACCACACCCTGTCTCCTGACCCAATAACTTGTACATTATTACATTAGTCTTAATAGTGAAACTTGCATAACTGGACACAAGTTGAGAGAATCTAAAATAGCTTCCAGTTAAGAATTCTCTCTTCACATTTAAAAAGATATGTTAGTAAGACATTGTACAAAACACAGTATTATTAATTCTCTGACCTATGAAGTGTATTATGAACTTTTACATTTTCCTTTCCTTGATAGTTTAGAATTAGATATAATCTTAGTCCTAGTGAGCCTTCAATTAAATGACTTTAGGGGGGTGCATGTACACAGGAGCCTGAACATGAAGGTTTCATACACAAACAATTTTCTCCAGATTAGCCTAGTCAGACAAATATTTTTAAAAGTTGCTGATGTTTTATCAATATTACTGGGTCTCGGGTAACGCACACCATGTCAGCACTCTCATCCACAATCAAGTTGTGGGTCAGTATTGTTTAATTGTGGGTTAATCTGGCATTCAACAACCAAGGCGGACTTGCTTGATGGGGAAAGGTCCAGAATGGGCAAGGGCCTTTAAGTATCTACTGCCTCTTCTCCTTATTAAAAGTGATGACACATTTCTGCTGTCTGGTCCTGCCTCTTTGTGTGCAGAGGAGAGCATTTTAAAGAAATGGGATGCAGGGTTGAGGGGAACTGAAATTCCTCCCTGCTTGTCACTTACTTCCTCATAGATTCCCACAAAATAGTTATCTTCAACTGAGTTCACCAGAGCTTGGCTAAAATGACAAACAGCAAGACTAGCAAACTGAAGAGAGCCAAATTGTGGGCAGGGAAGCATTTAGCATGCACACAGCATTATACATACTTAGGACAGATCTTTAAACAAATAAGACTGCTGCCATCATCTTACTTTGCTCTCAGCTGGTCACAAACCAAAGCTTTTGCCCTAGTTATCAGAACATATTCAAGTACTACAAAACTGTCTTTTAAAACAAAATCTAGGGTCTTCTCTTAGTTTTACAGAAAATAGCATTTTTGGAAGAAATGGCAATATATTATAATATTTGGATACTCTCAGGTTCAATTGAGGTACTGCACAATGATAATTGTACAGTGGAACCTCGTGTTATATACCGTCTCCCTTGCGAACGCTTAGGGTTACGAGCTCCACTAACCTGGAAGTAGATGCTCCCGGTTGCGACCTTTGCCCCGGGATGTGAGCAGAAGTCGCACAGCAGCAGCAGGAGATGCCATTAGCAAAACCGTGCCTCATGTTACGAGCAGTTTCAGGTTGAGAATGGACTTCTGGAACGAATTAAATACGTAACCAGAGGTACCACTGTACTGTCAATTATTTTGTTCAGATTCTCTCAACAACTGACCAAGAGTTAGCCAATTTTATTTATTGGTTTTATGAATTTACTTTCATATAAATTTCAAGGTGATTTACAAGCATACAACAAAAACAAAATAGTTTTAAATGGGATACAAATCCAAGTCACAAATTTACACTTCCACCTCCTACCCACCCCCATACGGCTAGAAAAGCTTGTTGAAACAAAAATGTTGCCAATTTTCTCCAGGAACTACAAATAGTGGCTTCCTGTTGCATTTCAACAGGGACGCCATTCCCTAATCACACTGAAAGCCCTGATCCAATTTGCCGTGGAGAAGGTCTCTTGATATTCTATGAACCTGAAGGAGAAAGTCGCTTGAAGAACACAAGTGAGAGATTGGGACTGACTCTGTCTTGGTCACTTCTGCTCAATCTCAGGTCTGCAACCCCACTGGAATCAGCCATAATCAGCTTCTGCAGCTACACTGCCTTGGCCCTCTCAAGTAGCTTTCATGCCTGCTTGCATTTCTTTTGCCAAAATTTGTGCTCCTTTTCACTCTCCTCGTATGGACAACCTTCCATTTTCTAAAAGAGGCCTTCTTGCCTATAATGGCTTCTTTGACTCTGCTTGTTAACCATGCTGGCATTCTCTTGGCTCTGGTGGTACCTTCCCTGATACAGTGGTTTGCAAAATGTTCTGAGGTTGCTCAACATCTTAAAGGATTTTTCAACAAGACTAGTAATGGAAAGCCATCTTCTCTGCAATGCCTTCCCCAACAATAAAGTGCAGCCACAGGAGTATATTCTGGGGCAGTACAGTAGTCTGTTCAGAACCACTCACCTTTAACACAAACATGCATTTGTGGACCCATTTGTCTGGCAATAGTGATGCTGTTGCGGCACAAATTAGGGTGACCACACCTGACCCACCAGTTGAAGGTAAAGATTCATCCAGGGTGCACTGTCTACTCAGCATAAAGTGCTGATGAAACACCATGACACAAGAAATCTCTGCAATGCACAGTGCATCTCTGACAGACAATTAGAAAGGGAAGTTTGAAAATCACTGATAGTTGAATGCAACAGAGGGTAGTGGCTGCCAGGAGCTATGGGGAGTAGGAGAAGACCCAAGTCAAAACAGGTGGCCTCCGAAAGTGACTTTAAAATGTTTAAAGGAAGTAATGGCCACTACAGCCACTATGCAGAGAAGCTTTTATAAGATGGGAGAACACTTCTTCCTTTTTAACCATCCAAGCAACAAATAAGTAGTGCAGTTGTGTGATCCAACACATGATGTGGATTTATTTGCTTATTTGCATTGCTGAGGCAATAAAAGATAAAAGGTGCTAGATTTTTTAAATAAACAAAAGCTGGAAGGTCCTGCGGTCAATGGAAGAATAGGAAGAGATAATTTTTGGAAAGGACAATTAAGAGTTTTGTTCTGGAACTGGAGTGGTACAGCTATCACCAACAAGATTATTAAATCAATGAGAAGAAATTATCAGAATTTGTAGCACTTCGTGACACAGGAAATCTAGTAAACAGACTTAAATGTTTTTTTTAACAGTGAGCACATAAGGGTAATTTTATTTGTCCCACTGCTTTGGAAGTAAACAGCAATGAGAGGAGAGAAGCAAGAGCTTTTCTAGACGATGTCAATATTCCTGGGTTTACGCTGGCCAGCCACTCACCACTCCCACCCCAGTTCTTAAAGTTTACAGGAAATATAAAGCCGTGGGTGGAATATTTCAAGATGCAAATTAAATCCTATTCTCTTCATTAATTTTGTTGATAGATTCATACATTTCTGAATATTTCTCCTGCAGCATCTTCCACCTTGGTGAAACTGCACTAGCTTTCTCAAGTTACTAGTACAGTCAAGCCTCAGTTGCCGAATGTAATCCGTTCCAGAAGACCATTCGACTTCCAAAACGTTTGACAACCAAGGCGCGGCTTCCGACTGGTTGTAAGAGCTTCTTTCACTCAAGTGGAAGCCGCGTTGGATGTTCGGGTTCCGAAAAATGTTCAAAAACTGGAGCATTTACTTCCAGGTTTTCAGAGTTCAGGAGCCAAAACGTTCAAAAATGGAGCCATTCCCCTTTTGCAGCAGCCTTAAGGCCAGCTAAATACCTCTTCAATAGTACGTCCTACATACACACTTAATATCCAAGTTTGATAAATGTTTTTTCAAGAACTACTGTTTAAAGATCGCATGTGAAAATAATACTATTTCCACAAAATAGATCCTTAAAGCATTCTATTTGAGAATTCAGTAGCAGCTTCATATGCTTCTCTAAGGACTCAGCTACACAGCTGAGTATTTTAGGTGCAATATACAATGTGAAACTAGATAGCGATGGTGAGCCTTATAGAAAATTCAATGCATTTTTAAAAAACGCTTTAAAAAAAGCATTTTCAGAACAGTTTTTTATATGTATGTAGATTTCACCAGCATCTATTTTGTGTCAAGTCATAAGCTACTTGTTTGCCATGTGGCTTCTTTGGGTGGGGGCTCATTGTAAGGTGGGGGAAATCCTTAGATGCATGGAAATAGCTGTGGCACCATGAATATATCAAGCAGATGATAGACTTTATCTCAAATTACTCTCCCCCACCTTCTTAGCCACTGAAATTTCACTACCTAGTATATGCTTACAACTCCAAATTCAAAGAAATATTTGAAAGTTGCCACAGCATTAGGTGTGCTTACCATGCTTCATTTATATTTACTAGGTGGAAGTTCGATAGTGGAAAATTTGGTAAAAGGTAAAGGTACCCCTGCCCGTACGGGCCAGTCTTGCCAGACTCTAGGGTTGTGCGCTCATCTCATTCTAGAGGCCGGGAGCCAGCGCTGTCCGGAGACACTTCCGGGTCACGTGGCCAGCGTGACGAAGCTACAGCTGGCGAGCCAGCACCAGAGCAGCACACGGAACGCCGTTTACCTTCCCGCTAGAAAGTGGTACCTATTTATCTACTTGCACTTAATTGTGCTTTCAAACTGCTAGGTGGGCAGGAGCTGGAACCGAACGACGGGAGCTCACCCCGCCGCGGGGATTCGAACCGCCGACCATGCGATCGGCAAGTCCTAGGCGCTGAGGTTTTACCCACAGCGCCACCCGCGTCCCTGTTGGAAGTTAACATTAAATTACTTCAAGAAAAAATTAATATATGGGAAACTCAAAACAGAAAAATCACCTATTCTTACTTTCAAAAGAGAAAACTAAGGAATATGCTGAAAATACTTCAGCATTATTTTTTATCCTCTTTGCAATCTTTCACCTAAAGATGTTTTATTTGTTGCACTTCCTCATTACATTCCAAGAAATGTTTATTTTTAGTTTTCCCTAAGTCTCTTGCTCCTTAATCTCAGTTGAAGCTATCTCAGTACATCAAAACTTCCTTTAATGGCTTTCAAATCTGCATAACATACAATTCCCCCAACTCAGGGATCATCAGTGACCTATTTAGGAGGAAAAATCTTTTCTAGCAGTGCTACACACAACAAAAAGCTATATTCCCAAAGCTATTTCTGTGTTCTGAGTCAAAAATCTGTACAGTAGCACTGTACAGCTCAAAGTGGTGGTCACAAACACTTGCTTAAATAGCAAGTACAATGATTACAACTGAGCTCCTTCTCCAAAACAGTTGAATATTATTTAGAGAAAACCCGGAGACTGAAGCTGCATGCCATATGCTGCATTAAATCCCATGGCACACTGCCCCAAGATCAGTCACATGATTTTGTATGATATATACCGTATTTTTCGCCCTATAGGACGCACTTTTTCCCCTCCAAAAATGAAGGGGAAATGTGTGTGCGTCCTATGGGGCAAATGCAGGCTTTCGCTGAAGCCTGGAGAGCGAGCACCGACCCCTCTCCCTCTCCAGGCTTCAAGAAGCTCTGCGCAACCCTTGGGAGACCGGCTCGAAGCAGCGCCGGGCTCCGAAGGGTCGCGCAGAGCTGCCTGCGCTCCCGGGGGTCGCTCAGCTCTACGCGACCCTACGGAGCCCGGCACGAAGCCGCGCCAGGCTCCAAAGGGTTGCGCAGAGCTGCCTGTATTCCGAAGCCTGGGGCGCGCTGAAGAGCGCACCCGGGCTTCACGCAGCTGTCCGCAAGCCTGGGGAGACAGCGCGGCTCCCTAGGCTTGCAGATAGCAGGGTGTTCTGGGGGCTGGGGAAGCTCGGGCTTCCCCCGCGCCAGCCCCGCACCTGGGGGGGAAATATATTTTTTTTCTTTATTCCCCCCCCCCCCATAAAAACTAGGTGCGTCCTATGGGGCGGTGCGTCTAATGTACTCTGAATGCCCTAGCACCATTGCAACAACAGTAACTATTTCATTCATGAACACATATGACTGGCTATACAACATTCCACTACAGGTAAAATACTCACATGTTCGAAACAGAATTTATTTATTTTTAACAGCTCCCCTTCTCCAAATAAAACAAGCAGCAGCAGTTGCTGCATAAAATTATTTCATCCTAACTGCATTTCCCATCAGCTCACTTGTAAACCAATGTCAATGTTTTGCCACAAAACCCACCCAGTAGAGTAGGTCAAGATCTTTATGTTTGTCAGGAATGCACCTATTAAATCCTATTTTCTGCAAGAAATTAATACAATTTTTGAAATTTTGCTGCAAGAAATTAATACAAAACCACATGGATATGACTAGGGTTGGGAGATATAACAATATATCACCCAAAACTGGTTTGAAGTCAATATTGTGATATCGGTTTCATAATTTTTGACCTGGCAATATATTGTGAATTATGATGTGTGTGTGCTATGCTAAAATTGCAATGTGGGAAAAACAGTGAAACCAGCCAATGCCTCTACATAGCTCCATCCTTATTTCAGAAATCGTCATATATCAGCGTAGGTAAAGGGGACACGGGTGGCGCTGTGGTCTAAACCACTGAGCCTCTTGCACCTGCCAGTTGGAAGATCGGCGGTTCAAATCTACTTGATGGGGTGAGCTCCTGTTGCTCTGTCCCAGCTTCTGAAAACCTAGCAGTTCGAAAGCACACCAGTAGATAAATAGGTACTGCTGCGACGGGAAAGTAAACAGCGTTTCCGTGCGCTCTGGCACTCATCACAGTCCTCTGTGTGCCAGTTGCGATTCAGTCATGCTTCCCTGATTAGGGAAGTTTGACATTTTAGTGTATTTTTAATCTTTTGTTGGAAGATTTGTTGGAAACCGCCCAGAGTGGCTGGGGAAACCCAGCCAGATGGGCTGGATAAAATTATTATTATTATTATTATTATTATTATTATTATTACTACTACTACTACTACTACGCCCTATACCCATAGATCTCAAATAACCCTATTTGATCTTTGTCCCTTAACAGTGCCTGATTGAACTGCCTATATCATTAAAAAAAAACCTAGACCATGAAATAAGGGCAGAAGTTGTTGTGGTCCCATTTGACTATGTATTAGACATTTTTATAACCTAATCTATTGTCCCTTTTAATGAAACAAAGCTATCTTTAGAGTGCAATGAAGTTAGGCAGCAAAGAAATGCATCAGAAATACAAACTGAACCCAGACTTCTAAAGTGCACTCCTCCTGGGCTTCCTCAGAGCACTACTGAGAGGATTTTCCCTGTGGAACAGTTTATTTCACATGCAGCTAGGGATATACTTGTTAATTATTCACTTTCTTCAACTGCATGAGAGCAACCCCTTTGTTATTCAATAAACCATGTTAGAGTTTAGGGAAAGTTCCATGGAATCATTTTTTAAGAGCAAGCTGCTTTAAATGCTTGCATAACAAAGAATCAAACTCCAAGTATGGAGAATTGTGTCCTTCCTCCCACGAGCACGCATAACTGAGATTCCATGCTGAATTTCACCTGCCAAAAATGTTTTTGCATGTCTAAGGCTTCCAGCTTACTGAAAGCTGTAATTCAATGCAATGCTGCACAACCACCCATACAGGCCAATGAAATGAAGGATCGGCATGCACTGCCCAAGGTCACAGACAAAATCTGGGACAGAGTTGAAATCTGATTGCTTCCCAAGTCCTAGTTCTACACTATTACCACATCATTAACTTTGGTCAGCATTTTAATCCTGACACCAACATCTTTAGTAACAAGCACTTTCTACTATATGAAAACGACTGGAGTGAAAATGCATTCTGAGATCTACACATTGAGTAATCAACAGCTATGCAGTTCAAGAAACTCTTTAACCTTCCAATTTTCCCCTTATATCAGTTTCAGGTATACTTCATATCAGATTCCACAAACTGCAGCAGCTGGGCTAATAGCTTCATTTAGCTGTCCAATATGATTCTATGGTCAGAATGAGGGTAGCTGCAACCATCCAACAGCTTGACCTCACACACACACACACACACACACACACACCAGTGCATTCCTCCATTGTCTCCCAAGACAGCAGCAGCAGCAATGTGAAATTACACTTCCTTGCATTTTACTCGGAACCCCTAATTCTGGACAAGTTAAAAAAAGCCCAGTCCCAATATGGATCCTTGGGGGACTCCACTTTCTACCTCTCTCCACTGGGAGAAACATTGTGAAAGAAAAGCCTTCCAAACTGTTATGCTATTAAACTGATTGATCAAAAACAATTCCCAACAGTTGCTCCACAAAGATATAGCACAACTGAAGTGTATTGTTCTTCATCTTGAACAGTGGTTCCCAACTGGTGGTCCGTGGACACAGGGGGCCTGTGGCACCATTAACATAACAAAAACTACCACAAAGAAAATTTCAAAATAGGAGGTCTATGGCTTGGCTTTTGAAAAACAGGGGGGTATGGAGTACTTAGCTAATTGGAAAGAGTGAATGTCCAAGTCAGTGGGTGGCAAATGGTTCTACCAATACAATCTGTAACAGGGTTATCCTGCCCATTCAAAAGATATTCTACAAGTTCTATGCTAGAACAAACAGAATATTTCTGTCCTTAAACAACTGTTCTTTACAGTCTGCATTTCAGCTATATTTTACAACTTTACACCTAAAGAAACACTATCCCAAGGAGTTTTGAATCTCAGTCAGAATCAACTACACAGATTATAAGGTAGCAGAGTTAACAGCACACACTATTATGAAAGAGGGCTTTTATTCAAACTGAAGCTGTGTCAGTCTATGTGTTGTACTTTTGTTCCTCAAATATGACAGCATTATTTCAACAGCCAAGTTAATGACTTCAAATTTGAATTAATACTCTGTTTACACAGACCTACACTGACAGACACCAGAGCTGACTGACAAAACACACAGACATATATATGCATGCATATTATCCAAGCTCTAGTATAAGAAAGCATACAAAAGTGTTGGACTGTGGAACATTCCCAGTGGAAAAGGTTTTTGGCTACTACCATAGTTAGTTATCCACTAGGATTATAGTCTGCCAATATTCACTTGCTGGTTTTGAACTACCGGTATTTGATCTATAATATTTGTGCCCATTCTTCTTGCTCACAACCAAACTGAAGATTTAGGACACTCAGGCATAACACAACAGCACTGATAAAATCCCAAGCTTTATCTTGTATCACCATGAAATGTTAAAATATTTAATGCCTTCTCAGCTCATTTATTATGAGACTTGACAATTCCCTGGCTTGGAGTGCAACCTTAAGCTGCAGGTTGTCATTTTAGTCACGGAGACAACTGAAAGAGGCCATTTAAGGCTATTAGGCTACATTCTATAATGAAACCTGGAAAGGCTATAGAGTAATCATTTTAGGAGGGAAGAGCAATGGGTAACTGTGCTAAATTCTATATAACAAGGATGTCTCTGGACTTTAGACTAGGACTCTTACAACAAAAGAATAACAGTCCTACCTTGGGACTCGAACATTTTGGTGCCCAAACCCCGCAAACCCAGAAGTGAGTGTTCCGGTTTACGAATGTTTTTTGGAACCCGAACATCTGACACAGCTTCTGATTGGCTGCAGGAGCTGCACCTTGATTCCCGAACGTTTTTTAAGTCAAACAGACTTCCAGAACAGATTCCGTTTGACTTCCAAGGTACGACTGTACTTAGAATTTTCTGGACTCCACTATGTTTAGGAAAGGGCTATTTAAGACATCTAGCTGATGGAGATGTAATAGGGATGAACAATGCTTCTTTAAAACACATGTTCATACAATGTCCGACACTGGTAAATTTTGGGAAGAGGGTAATAGAAACAATTACTGTGACTATACAGAAAATTCTCAAATTTGGAGAGGAAATTCCTTTGGAATTTTGTTCCAAATCTAACTAAGGGACAGTATGAATGGGTTTTCCAAGCCCTTACTATGACAAAAAGACTGGTATTGATGTACTTGCAATTATCATCTGAGAACTTCTAAATTCATTCTCATTTAGATAAAAATCAAAATGTTGCTTTCTATGTAACTTTTTTTAAAATTCATTCTCCCTCGTCTCTTCTTTCTCAATCATCTTGGAATAGTTTTCAGATCTGCTCTGGTTTAGTTTGGAAGTGAAGTGCTCCAACTTGATCAGACTTCAACTCAGGAAATGTTTCGGATTCCAGGCTGTTTGGTGCATATCATGGTTTCTCCAGTGGCATACACACACACACACACACACACACACACACACACGTGTCAGGGACCAGGAGCACTGGCAGAGGAAGGAGGATGCGGTGGGTGCAGTCTGCCCCAGGTGTCATCCCTGAGGGGGGGTGACATTGCCCCCCTGGGACGCTCACCACGGGCAGCACACACACACCCCGGGACACTCGCCGCTCACCGTGGGCGATTAACCCCGCCCTGCAGGCACAGCATGTGCGCCGCTCTGGGTGCCAGAGCCGCTAACTCCGCCTCTGACCAGGAGTCAGGTGTGGTGGCAAGGACTCCAAACCTGAAGGAGAAGGGCATGTAGAAGTGCTTCTACCCAAGGAAGCTGCAGGACCAGCACCCCCTGCCTCTAGACAGAGGATGTAGCACTGGCATCCTCTGGCTCCAAGGACTTCACTATAGAAGACCCATGACAACTTGTGCCACCACTTCTGTATCACAGTTAGAAACTACTGGAGGAGGCTGGACCCCTTTACATCAAGCAGCAACTTGCAACATAGGGGTTGCTAACAATTATGCTGCACCTGCTGCTATTACTATACAAGGGCTCAGTTTCAGCCTGTTCATTGCTGCAGCAACCTCAGAGTTCTGTGTTTCCCAGAGTACAGCCTGAACCTCACCTTTTCTTACATTTCAGTCAAGCACTGCTGCACAACAGAGCAGGACAAGCAGAGGAGTAATTCTCCATGGTTAATCTCCATTAAATATATAAAGAGGATGGCTTGACAAGAGAAACAAACAAACAAAAATCTTCTGTTGACAGCAAAAGCTCAACAACCCAAGAGACTGAGAAGAGACACATTTGATACTATCTTAAGCATGCCTCTGCTAAAGTGGGTAATAATAATTTTGTTTAGTTATTAGCCCTAACAGAACAAAAAGCAGAAAAAAACATTCTGAGTTGAGCAACAAATTTAGTTCTTAAATTCCTTGCTATTTATGCTAACTAGAGTATGTCTCACTGAGCTCAGTAAATGCACTTAGGACTGCAATAATTTTTTTTTTAATTAAGTAGTTCAGGTTTCCATCAACAATCTTTTGCATCAGTTTTCATCCAAATTGATAGCCATTGTTACCAGCTTCAAAACAATCCAAAATCTCCTTCAAACAGTGAATTGGGATTCTGGCTTGTTCTGAAGCTGATTAACTATAGTTTACTGGCTCTGATGACATAGGAAATTGGTTAAATGCCTTCCTGGTTTGACTGCTCACACTGTATCAGACATTGTATCAGACTAGACAAGTAGCCACCTTGCACAACTACAGTACTGAGAAGACCAGGTAGAATTCATTTAAGTTTTACTGTCACAGATGTCTACGCAAGATTGGTCTCCACACCTGCCATAAATCAGAGTTGTACATATATGCATCTTCCTAACTATAATAAAGCATATACATTTATGCTGTAACATGTGGGTTGAAGACTAAATTATAATTAAAGCCTAGGTGCAACATAAATTTCCTTAAATATTTCAGTCACAAATTGTTATGAATCGGGGATATTATTATAGCACACTGAACAGATGGCTATTTGTGGTCATCACCAAGCACTACCTAGGCACATACAGTTTATGCTTTTTCACAGATCTTCCTGGACTCCATCCTTCCATGAACACATATGAAAGACCAGAGCCGCATTCTCATTTTGACAGCTATAAAGCCACAGGCATCATTTGAACCTATCTAGAACTGGAGAAAGGGACAAATAGCTCATGGCCTCAGATGAGGGTGCATATTCCCATGTACCATCAAAAGACTCACATAGACCCTTTGGTAGAGCCCATACGTATCTGTCTCATGGGCTTCCCAATTTCTGGACTGAGAAACTGTCTCTCTTAAAACTTTGCAAATCACTCTTGGGTAGATACTTTCATTGACCACTAAAAGAAAAGAAGTATACATACTAATCAGTCATCTAAAGTTAATCTTTATCTTGGCTAATGTAAGAACCATCATATTTTTCTTTACTTCTGCTCTTTATCTTTCAAAGGATGAATCCATGAGTTAGTGCTATAGGTACATTCAGAAAACTGCTGAGATTTGCATTTTCAGAGAGAGAATGGGCAGTTTATTTGTCATGGGGCTTTGAGGCAATTTGAGATAAGTTAGATTGCAAACTTACACACACTCATTTGGGAATAAGTCCCACTGAATGCACTAGGACTTAGCTGCATTGTCAGTCAGTCTGCAAAGAGCTTCCTGAATTACCATATTAAGGACTATCAGACAGGTTTCCCACTTGTTGTCAAAGCTTTTTCAGCCCGAAGTCCATATTCCTCCAAGGCCAACTTTCTGGGAGACAAATGCCAGTGGTAGGCAAGGCCAGAGAAGAAAGTGGGCAGAGCAATAGATGAAACTCTTACCTAACCTGCAGTCATTCAAAAGCCAGAGTTTGTACACACACCCTTCTTCACCCAGGCAAGCAATATCCTACATTCCAGTCAGGGGAAAACACTCAGAGAAGGCATGGAGCAGGGCTGGTGAAGGGTGGGGCCTCGGGACAGAGTCCCAGGGAGCTACATTTGGCCCCCAGGTCTGAGGTTGCCTACTCGTGTTTTATAATACTTTTCACCAGTCATTTCTCCCCCATCCTAACATTTTGCTATGAGTTATTTGAAACTTAAGAGGTAGTCCATTTAATAAAACAAATTACACTGTTTCTGTATGCAGTTGTTCTAGTGTACATGGGTGCCGGCATCTCTCTGCTATAGTCTATACACTAAACAATTTCCCCTTAAATAATTCCACTTATTGCAGGAGTATTACCATTTCTCTTTGTCACTTAACATAGGTTTTACTTCTATTTGATATTATCTAATTTGAATGACATCATTACCAGAGAATACAAAAACATAAGCAACAACACACTAGTCCTGAGAATTCACAGTTCAGGTTCTACAATAATATAGTCTTGGAAGATCATTCATCATGGCATTTTGCAGCAAATTTGACACCAAGAATAGTGAAAGATTATCACATCAAAGTTAAAGGAACCTTCATAGCTTTAGCACAACAAGATCTCCATCTGAACCACAAGACAATAGCCAGCAAAAGGTCTTTCTAGTTCATGGCACAAGATGCTACAGGCACGCCTGATCCAGAGAGAATTCCTTTCAGCTGCAACCGAGGTGAACACAGCTGTTACCACCACACCCTTTGTGTATTATTTCAGTATCTGTAACAATAATGGATTTGTTTATGCACATTACAAATAAGTGCATAAATCAATCTGCATTAGTTAATCTAGCAGTTGGGATCCAACATGGTTATTTTTATGTGCAGTGGGTTCTGAACAATAGATTCTTATGCCTTATCACAAACTACACTTTCAAAAGTGGTTCCTATGTGACCTGGGGAAAGAGGCTGCTGTTTGAGAAACATAAACCCTTAGTTAATGCCCCATCCAAACACATGAACGTGTGCCATAGCATTTTGGATCCCAACCAGTATCTTACAAAACGGAAAGCTTTCTCTTAATGCCACTCGGTCAGCTATGAATCAAGCAGCCTGAAGGATTTGTGTCTGCTGCACTTGCTTTGCCCTTGACATAAGCCAACATACCGTAAGTTCTGGCCTCTAACGCGATTAAACATTAGTGGGCAAAGGTAACACAGAACTATTCTGCTCTAGAGTTTAACAGATTCTCAAACAAAGTCACTAACCATCTGATCCAGGTATTACTCCTGTATTACTCGTATCGGTATTCTCTTATACAGAGAACACAAATACAGCATGTGGTATTTAAAACATTTCCTTATTAGTTCCGCATGTGGGAAATTACCGTACTTTCTTCCTTGTTTCCATATAATACTATCAAGTGTTTTGTTATTCAAAGCTAAGATACAGCACTTCTTTGGAAACAAAGTTAATGAACATAGTAGATAGCATTTATCAATTACTGTATATAATAATTTGTTTTTAGACATTTCAACACATAAAAGTAGTACACTTCCACATTTCCTATCAAAGGAATAAAGTAACATTTTAGGCAATTAGTTACTAAAGAGACCTCCATCCAAATACTAGTAAGATACACAGCAAGGCTGTGTCCTCTTACCCAGACCAGTCAGTAAGCCACCTGACCAGTCAGTAAGCCAAAGCTATTTCCACTGTGCATATGTAATTAAGAAATAAAATGATTTGCTGAAGTCAAAACTTATCTGTTCAGAATGTTTTTCAGTTTTAGCAAAATACACTGACTAGAGTGTGTCTACACATAACGAAAAGGCGAAAAACAAATATATCTCCCAGACCTATTTCCTTGTACCACCTTATTGTAATGACCTTGTCCATACATCAATGATACTGATTTCTTGCTACTTTCTATCAGAATGATCCGTTTTTTTATTGTTTGTATGTTTATAAAAGAACAACTATATTTTTTAAAGAAACAAATTTATTATGCATGTAACATTTTAGATAAGATGAATAGCCTGTTGTCACTGTGTTGTTACTGAAAAAGACACACAAAGTTGCCTGGGCCAATCAATGTTAGTGTCATTGATCAGTGAATTAACTTTTCAGCATTGGCTTTACTCATCAAAAGTAAACAGGGGATAGCACACAAGCCACAGCCCTTTTTTTAAATAAAAAAAGCTGCCCTTGATTACCTTTTTAAAAAACGATAAGAGCTATTTTTCTGCACAAGAAAAGCAGACAATTCCTACAAGTTCAAACATACTAGGAAGGAATTGTGTTTTTGTTTGTTTGGATAATTAATGAATACTTCAGATGCTTCTAATTATCCAAACCCCCCCACCCTCTCTCTCAATACAGGCTGTATAATGTTTGAGAAACACAGCCTTAATCTCCAATCTAGTTATTTTTATTCCTCCTTTCTATTTGATTACTTAGGGCAGATCTACACAGTTTACCCTTCATGACTCTATCTTCTCATGTCAACACAGTATACATTACTGAGAGGAACACAACTATACATACACCCTAATAATGCTTAAATCTTATCTACTGAAAGAGAAAAATATGTAAGCGGGGGAAAAGATATATAAGCCAATGATTTCTTGGCATGCATAATAGGAGCAAAAAATACGGGGTGGCAAGGAAAGAATCACCTTTAATTTGCAATGTGATATTTCAATCTCTATCTTCATCATAAAAAAAATCTGCACATTGGTTTAGTTTAATGCATATCCAGATGGTTCATCTCCAGTTAAGCTATGAAATTAGTCACAGGAGCAATACTATATTTAACACTTTGCTTTAACAGTCAGATCACAGAATTCCACAGAAGACATCAACCATGGGTATCTGAATAAATGTTGGAAATTTGCTCTACTGTAATCAAAAGGGAGCAACAGCTATTTTAAACCATTCTGCAGCATGCTAAACACTTAAGTTGTAGCATATTATACCATGACAATGTTTTGTTTTGTTTTGTTTTATAAAAGTTTAAAGTGTTGGATTTGCTTTACCAAGACTGAAAAGCCTGAAGGTCTCAATAAATTATTGCTGCTGCGTTTACACAAGCCATAGAATTCTATTAACCACAGTCTCTCCAATCACGTCTGCATAATTATGGTGACAGTGGTGACCACTGAAAGCAAAGACACGAGTATCAGCACACAACTGGTTTCATAAACAACTTAAGCACCTTTCAAAAGAAAAGTGTCCTTGATCTCAATGAGCAAAACCCAACGTGAAAGGCAGTGCTTGTAAAGATTCATTCATTAACATACTTCAATAAGGAAATGCTTTGAAAATATTTAAAAATCCAGGCGTCAACCCCACTGTAGTCATATTAATTTATAAGCAACTAGTTGGAATTCCTTAAGTGGAATTAGGAGCAGCAATAGCTGAGGTGGAGCATATGCTTTGCACGAAGACCCCAAGTTCAGTCTCTGGCACCTCCAGTTGACGAGGGGTGGGGAACTATTTTCAGCCCAAGGGTCTCATTCTCTCATGGGGAACCTTCACGGGACCACATATCAGTCGTGTCCACGTCTGAAGACAAAAGTGGGTGAAAGCAATGGAAGCACCTCTTTCCTCTATACAACAAGCAACATCACAGTTCTAGGATACACTCTAGCCTGGCAAAAGCACCTGAGGAGTGCTTAGGAGGGATGAGGCCTGGAGAGGGGACCTGGCTCAGAAAGAATGCTGAGGGCCAGAAAGCCAAAGGGTCTGAGATTCTTCACCCCTTGGCTAAAGGGGTTTCTTGTGGTGGAAAGCCACCTCCTAACCTACCCTGCCAGGCTATGAGACACACTTCCTTGCATTCTGGCTGAGATCCTAGAAAGCCATGGCTTGTTAAGTATGTAGTACTCAGTAAGTAGTCCAATGGTCCAAATGTTTTGGCAACGTCAAATTTTCATGATATCACCAATTTCAAGCCTAAGCACATGTAAATACTCATATTGTGACCCTTGACTCCTGCTTTCCCTTGCTAGATTCACTTTGACTGTAAGCTCCTTATGGCACAACCCTCTCTGTCTACGTGAGTCTGCATAGAGTACCCAATATTTATAATACCCAAAATTCTATTTTTTAAAAAACTTCAGCTTTACTGTTTGTGTACATTATGGGCAAGATCCAATTGTTGCAGCCCAGTAGCAAAAATAGCCATTCTGCTACTTAGAACCCCATTCTTAACACAGTGCAACAGTCAAATTCAATGGGTAGCCTGGGCCAGTAAAAGTGATGCAGAAGTGATGAATCATATACTGTACTTTTTTGCCCTGTTCTGCTACTTCTGCAACAATGCTACTTCTCTCACTTCATACACTAACATTATATTGGCTCTTACCCAAAGTGTTTTGTATAATCACAACGCTTATTTGACTTCAGACTGCAATCCTAAATACGATATCTAAGAGACTGTACAACAGAAAAAAGCCATATAACAGCAGGACAGGAAGTAAGAGAAAAGCAAAGGATACATGCGAACATAATGACTTCTACGTATTTTGAAAGTTTTTATCATTTTTTCTCCCTTCGGAGAAGCAATTTGCATTTGCAATATGGTTTTACTTTTGAAAAAAGAATGTGTTAAAAGATTACTGAGACAAAGAAAAGTCACAAAGCAAATAGTATGTCACATATTTGCGGAATCATTATCTGAGCTATAAAAATGTTAACATGTAGTTCATTAAAAGAAAGCAAAACAGGCAAAAAATACAATAAATCACTGCCAGATACTGAACAGTTTTCTTCAAAATGTACACTGGTGTTACCGTTGCCGCTGTCACTGCTACTGCCACCAAGGGAGAGAGGTCGGAGGGTACTGGGAGGACCAGGGAGGCCACAAGGAATCACACCCCGAGCCTACCGGGCCCCGGCTAGCAAGAAAAGAGCAGGCCCCCAGGGTCTGGGGGGGAACCATGCACCAGAGACCACAGACCACTCCAGAAAAAACAAACGCAGCACAGGACCTCCCCTACTGGATGATTTCTACTACTACTACTACTACTACTACTACTACTATTAAAATGTACATTGGTAAATGGGAAGATTAATTTTCTGACAGAAGTGGATTCACTACTAGGCAGAACACACAAATAAGGAGAAGCTGATTTCTGAACTACATTTGGCAAGACTCTCTAGGATACAGGGCTTGGAGGCAGGCAATTCCCCACAGGAACAATCTATCAAGGCCGTTGCCAGTCATCTTTTGATAGGATCAGTAGACACTCTCTTGGGGAATTTTAAGTTTTGTTGGAAAGGGGAGGGAGGTGACAGACAGGAAGTTGAACACTGTCTAGATTCCAATGGCTAGTTCACGCATTTCACATATGTGTATTACATCTGTGCAGAAAACTGCATGAACTCTGAAAACTACACAGGACACACACACCCTGCCATGGTTACATGCAGCATTTATTTATTAATAAGTAATTACATAAAAGCATTTCACATATGTTGTCAGTAATCCTTGCAATAATTCTTTAAGGTATGTCAGTGTTATCATTTCTATATTGCAGAAACAAACAGAACAACTGAAAGAGAGTAGTTTGCCTACAGTGAGCAAAGATGAAGAATTTGAGGTCCTCCAGTAGGGATGTCAAAAAAAGGAAACAGGAGCGGAAATTGCCAATGGCCACTTATTCATCCCATGTCTGGAACAGAAATCAAACCAGCGAATACGATCAGCATTCACTGCTGTTGCTGGGTTGAGTCTGCAAATGTTACATAATTGATTACTTCCTCTCCCCCTCCCCAATTTGCATGGTTTCTTTTGCATTGAAATAACCAAATAACAATGAGAATAACTACATAAATTAAATAAGCTACATAATTTCATCACAACAAACACTGGGTTTTGGGAGAATCAGATGAACTGCAGCGAAACAAAAGCAGTGGTACAAGCACCAACTGCAGCAAAGAATGGAAAACAATGCCTTCTTACAGCCCATCTATCCTCCAGAGGATATTCCACCCCATCAGCCCCAGCAAGAATGAGCAATGGTTAGGAATTGTAGGAGTTATAGTACACTCTGCGAGATCAACAGGTTCCCATGCCTGACCTAATGCCACATAGGAAATTCATAGATGAATAAATATATTAACCAGAGACCTGGTTCACAGTTCTTAGTCACTGTACACCAGCTCTCAAAATAGCCACAGCAGACAAAGTTTCAACGGGAGATTACTACATGTTGAAGAAAATACACAAGTTCAACACAGATACAGTAGCCTTATAGAAAAGGTGTGGGCATAGTGGCTCTAATGGTTAGAACTCAGAGCTCGACAGAAAGGCTATCTTTGAGGAACACAATAGTAAAAAAATCAAATTATGCAATGCAACAAGTGTGAAACAAAAAACGGAACAAGAGTTGCTGTTAAGACAAAATAGGTTTTTTTAAAAAAATGTATACCGCCATATACCCGCAGGTCTCAGGACAGTTCACAGGATTAACAACAAGAAAACAAATGAAAGGGAAGGAATTTCTAACTTTCACCTGTATCTTATTCAAACCATGGAATTTCTGTTTCAGTAAATAACTTCTTAATATTTAGAGCTTTTTCTCCACCACATATTTCTATTTTGAAATACATACTTGCCTCCCAGTGTTAGAAACTGGGATAGAAAAGCTAGGAGCCAAATGGCTCCTGGGACCTGGGTTGTGGGTGCCAAAACAGAATGTCTAGTCGCCATTTGGAGGGTCAGTAACACTTTTTATTTATAAGCATGACTAATACGCAATTCACATAAGTGACATTGTTAATATCACATTTTAACAGAAATTGTTAATACATGTTTAATTTGGCGTTTGCAATAAAAATATTGGTACCATACTTGGATTTTCAATATACTCTACTCTTTATTGTTACACTCCTTAACATATTGTCTAACCATAACATATACTTCGAGACTTCAAAGCACATACATTTCCTGAATCCTTGAGAGTCAACCAGGCACAAAAAATGGCACCCAGACTATTTGAGGTGCTCGCAAATGGAGAAACTTTAGGTGCGAAATGCGCCTGGCGACCTGCTAATTTTGAACCCTGTTGCCTCCTCATGATATGAGAAGTAGCTCTCAGTAGGAAAACCCAAAGCTGCAATCCCTTGCAAATACAGCTTGCAAATCCACATTAAGAATCACTTTAACTATTTTAACCAACACAATTCTTGAGGTGCCCATCCCAACAAGTCTTTAATGAAACCCAACCTTCCCTTCAGGCCCCCCAAAAGTCTGGCTGGCCAAATCCAATTTTCAAAAGGAGACTCTCTTTGGTGTCTGCACATAATAGCTGGGTATAAACTGATTTTGTCAGACATGAAGAAAACAGAAGCATTCTGAAATAAGGAACTGCCGCTAAATCCAAGACTGCTATGCAATGGCCTTTCAAAAGAGGAATGGCTTCCAAAGCGCTCCAGTTCTACAGAATCCCAAGAAAAAAGCACCTAATCCTTAATACGCCTTATTGACTCAACAGAAACAAAAACAAGTTTACCTGCTTCCTATAAACTGCAAGAGGTTTAGGCTAGAATTCTGCCTTTCCCCCTAAGAGTCATCCTGCAAAGCTCCAATGGGGAGAACTGTGAAGGAATGAAGTGGAGAAGAGGGAAGGAAGTACAGCAACCCCACAGCTTAGTTGAGCTTTCTTGCAGGGTTGGAATGCCCATCTGTAGTGTACTGTCCCATATCCCGTACTTACAGTGGGCAAGCAGACACCGGTGGGCAGCTCAGAAGCAGGACCTGCGTGTAACAGCATTCTTCCCCCACTTGTCATTCCCAGCAAGGGACATTCAGCATCCATACCCAAAATGGAGGGGGGGAGAGAGGAATGGAGAAGAATCAAGAGTCCCCCTGTGTGCACACACCTTTTCTTCTTCCCAAAAGAAAATCAGGGGCGATGGGAGAGAAACAAGAGAAGGATGGAGCAATTCCTAACCTACTTACTATTATAAGGTGTGTGTGTGTTCTTTGTCGCTTCTGCTTTGTTGCTGTAATCCGCCTTGTGTACAGTAGAGGGGAGGTATAGGAATTAGAAGGGAATTGAAGTGAAAAATGAAAAAGTGAAAGATTGCGGGGGGGGGGGGGGAGAGAGAGATAATGGCCATCACTGCCATGTGAACATTCAATCCAAAACTATTTTCCCATGACATATTGGATACCATTAGTGTATTTAAGCACATATTTTTTGTCAATGGGCTATGGCTCTTCTCAATCCCAGCACAAAACAAGTTCGAGGGAGGATTTTCAGGTGGTGGCAGAGCAGCCCTGACCTGCCACAAAAAAGGCTGCTGCTCCTAAGACTTTGCGGGGAGAGAGAAAAGACCCCGAGGCTCCCCGCTCTCTGGAGTCTCGCCTTCTTCCTCCGGCCTCGCATTGCCGGGCTTCTCCCCTTGCCCGCCCGAGAGAAGCAGCGGCGGGCCGGGGGCTGACCCGCAGCGGGGCGGGATGGCGGCGGCGCCGGCGCCGGAGGAGGAGGAGGCCGAGGAGCGCCTCCGCCTTCCCTCCTTACCTGTGAGGCGAACTTTGATGCTGGATCCGGCCCTCCGGGTCCCCGCGTTCGACATGGCTCCCCTCAGGCGGGCGCCGGGCCCACCGGCCCAAAGGCGAGAGGCCGGGTCAGCCGACGGACGCCGCCGCCGCCATCGCTGCCCTCCTCTCGCCCTCGCGGCTCCCGCCGGCGGCCTCCCTTCCGTGCTTCTCCTCAGGCGGCGGCAGCAGCTGCAGCAGCCGCGGCGCCGCCTCACCGAGCTCGACGCCCGCCGCCCCCCTCCCTCCCGCCGCCCGACGCGAACGGCGACTGCGCCAGCTCGCGCCGCCTCAGAGCGGCGGCTGAGGCTCAGGCTGAGGCGGCGGCGGCGGCGGCGGCTGCGCGCAGGCGCGCTCCCCAGCCCCGGCCCCCCACCCTCCCCGCTTCGTTTAGCGCGCCTGCGCACACGCGCCTGCCTGCCTGCCTGGTCCCAGGGCCAACGAGCGCGCGGCTCCTTTTCCCGTCGTGCGTCGGGAGGGAAACAGACGCCGCGCCGCCTGGCGTGACGTCCGCGACGGTTCGCCTCCCGCGGCCATCTTGGGGAGGTCTGGGGCGTCCAGGTTCGGGCAGCGGAATGCCACGCTTCGAACAGATATATATATATATATATTTGTATATATATATATATGTATATGTATATATATATATGTATATATATATGTATATGTATATATGTATATATATATATATATATGTATATATGTATATGTATATATATATATATGTATATGTATATATATGTATATGTGTGTATATATATATATATATATATATTTGTGTGTGTGTGTATATATATACACACACACACACACACACACACACACACACACACAGAGTGTTCTTTCTATGTCGTCGTGGTTGCTGTTAGTTACCTGTCTATTCCACCTTTGCTCCAAGCAGCTCAGGGTGCCGCACACGGTCCCCCTGCAGCTCTGCATTTCACAACAACCCTGCGGGGTAGGCTAGGCTGAGAGACAGTGACTGGCCCAAGGTCTCCCAGGGAGGTTGATCCTTAATCAGGATTTGAACCCTGAACTCTCCGACGGCCGAGTCCAGCACTCTAACCGCTGCGCCACCACAGGCTCTCAGTACAGACCCGGAGGAAGCAGGAGGACCACCCCTTTCCGATGGAAGGGGCGTTGCAGCAACTCCCATATCTTCACTGGAAGCTTCTGTGTGTGACTTGGTGGACCCCCAAGGCGCCCTTTTTAAATTGCACGTTTGCAATGGTTTGTGCTCGTTATGTTATTGGGGCAGTCATACCTGATCCCACTTTCAACACTTGTTTGCAGCTGCATTTATTTATTTATTATTATTATTATTATTATTGAGAGGTCACAGTGCTTCATTTCCACAATGCAACTTTCTGCTGGAATCCCACAAGTTTTTATACCACAAACATTCCGCTTCATTTTTCTCCTGTTCTGCTACAGTCCCTTTCGACAGCAATCAGTTGGACAGCAGAACAAACAAACTGGCTAAGCCCGTCTCTACATGTTGCAGAATACACCCACACCAGTCTGGAGGGGCCCTGTGTAGTTGTGTCGTTGCTAAAGACTTACAAAGCACCTAAAATGTTGTAAGTTCTGTCTGACAGCCGCTGCCCATAGGCTTCCAATCTAAAAGACACGATATAAAAGGAAAACGGGTTGGGTCAGGGAAGAGGGGGAAACAAACATTGTCTTTCACTGTTCAGCAGAAGGGACCAGGCAGACCTCCCCCATATCACAATGTTCTGCCCGGTAGGCAAAGGATGGGCAGCTCGCCCCCATGGCCCAGGGTCACTTGGCAGAGGGCAACGTGTGCATGTCTTCAGCTCCTGGGCTTTAAAGTCTTGTAAATGACCCTCTGAGGGCAGCATGGCCTGAAAAGTGGGGCAAATGAATATTAAAATATACGCAGGGCAGGGCAAGGCAAGACACAAGTCAGCACCCTGAGGGAAGGCAGAGCTCTGAAGTTGCTCCAGCAATGAACAAGCTCCAACTGAGCCCGCAAGTCAGGGTTGAAGAACTTTTGTGGCTCCATTGGCCAGATCTTTGTGGAGATAAGAACATAAGCAGAGCCTGCTGGATCAGCTAGGCCAGCATCCTGTTTTTTACATTAGCCTGTGAAAAAGCCCCCAAGCAGGATTTGAACACAAGCCCGCGCCCCTCCTGCAGCTTCCAGCAACTGGGATCCAGAAGCATTGCTGTCTCTGACTGTGGAGCCATGGATAGCTCACTCTGTGAATGACACCCACTGCCTCCTGCGGTGGGAGGGAGTTCCACAGTTTGCGCTGCGTGAAGAAGGCCTTCGATTTGCCAGTCCTGAAGCTTCCAACATTCAGCTTCATCAGATGTTAATGAGTCTGGAGAGAGGGAGGAAAACTTGTCTCCATCCACTTTCTTCATAGCATGTATAACTTTCAAAACTTCTATCTGACTCACCATTTCTCTGAACTAAAAAGGCCCAAACTCTGCAACCTTTCCTCCCACAGAAGTTCCTGCATCCCCTCGATCACTCAGCCTGCTTCTCGGGATAAATTTGACAGGTCATCATTTGACATGACATCATTATGACATCCCGTGATTTCTAAGTGGGCAGCCACCTGTCAAAATCATTTGCAAAATAAAGCAGAGAAATCATTCTTGGCTCATTCCTCTACTATTCACCACTGGGATAAGTTTACCCCACAAGCAATGGTGGGGGGACGGGGGACAAAAGGGAGAAATAATTCTTTTCTTTGCCCTCCCCCTGTTACTGCCACTGCTAGAGGACTGTCTTCATTCTCCACTGAAACTGCCCGGCTTCCTTTATCATAAACCTGCACTTCGGATATTTCTGCCCTCTTCCTGCCGCCTTTTCCAAACCGTGAAAAGAATTGAAGCAGAACCACATACCAGCTCTGGCGCACTGAGCAACTTAACTTCAAAGGCTTTGAAACGAAATTGCAAAATGTGTACACCATTAGGAAAACAAAATGCAGAAAATGAAAACATAAACAAAATATGCCGAAAAAAGGAAGAAAACGAAACCCTGGGGAAACTGTGTTCAAGGAAATGCCACCAGTTCCATGCACAGGGCCGGCCGGCCAGGTGAGACTGATGGTATCAGGAGGAGGATTTGGGGCCACACTCTTCCAGCATCCTGTTCTGAGAGGAGCCAAGCAGATGCCTTTGGGAAACTCACAAGCAGGATTGGGGCACAAGAGCCCTCTCCCGTCTGGTGGTCTCCAGCAACTGCCACTCAGAAGCATGTTTGCCTCTGACTGTGGAGGCAGAGAAGAGCCTTCCTGGCTGGTAGCCCTCAATAGCCTTCTCCTCCTCCATGAATTTGGCCAGTCCTCTTTGAAAGCCACCCACATTGTTTGGCCCTCACTGCCTCTTGTGGGAGAGAGTTCCGTAATCACCTCCAACAATTCTGTGGAGAAGTCTGCTCCTTTGGGAATTTCTTACTCTGGGATTTCTCACAGCTGTCCATGGACTGGTGCAGGTCAGTTCTGTGTCCAGGGCAGCTGTTTACCAGCTCCATCTGGTATGCAGACTGAGACCCTCCCTGTCCGCGGACTGTCTCGCCAGAGTGGTGCATGCTCTGGTTATCCCACTTGGACTACTGTCATGCGCTCTACGTGGGACTACCTTTGAAGGTGACCCGGAAACTACAACTAATCCAGAATGCAGTAGCTAGACTGGTGACTGGGAGCAGCCGCCGAGACCGCATAACACTGGTCTTGACAGACCTACACTGGCTCCCAGTACGTTTCCGAGCACAATTCAAAGTGTTGGTGCTGACCTTGAAAGCCCGAAACAGCCTCGGCCCAGTAGACCTGAAGGAGTGTCTACATCCACATCGTTCAGCCCAGACACTGAGGTCCAGCTTCAAGGGCCTTCTGGCAGTTCCCTCCGGGCAAGAAGTGAGGTTACAGGGAACGAGGCAGAGGGCCTTTTTGGTAGTGGCGCCCGCCCTGTAGAGCGCCCTCCCATCAAGGAAATAAACAACTATCTGACTTTTAGAAGACACCTGAAGGCAGACCTGTTTAGGGAAGTTTTTAATGTTTGATGTTCTATTGTGCTTTTAATTCTGTTGGGAGCTACCCAGAGTGGCCGGGGAAACCCAGCCAGGTGGACGGGGTATAAATAATAAATTGTTGTTGTTAACTTGCCCTCTGACATACAGTGGTACCTCGGGTTACAGACGCTTCTGGTTACAGACGCTTCAGGTTACAGACTCTGCTAACCCAGAAACAGTACCTCGGGTTAAGAACTTTGCATCAGGATGAGAACAGAAATTGTGCAGCAGTAGCATGGCGGCAGCAGGAGGCCCCATTAGCTAAAGTGGTACCTCAGGTTAAGAACAGTTTCAGGTTAAGAACGGACCTCCAGAACGAATTAAGTACTTAACCCGAGGTACCACTGTACAAAGTGACCCTACCAGTACTCTCTGTTCCACCAGGTTTCTGTTGTGTTTACAATAGCAATGCCATCCTCTAAGACCAAGTACTCCAGGTCTCCCATCTTGTCTTGGAGGCCTCTGGCATTAGCAGATAAACACCTGCGAACAGAGCTTCTCTCTTATTTCAGTCTCTGCTGGTTTGGCCTCTTCGAATGGCTATTCTGTGCCCATGCACTCTCGATGCCTAGTTCTACAGGCAAGAAGGCTTCCTTCGGAAAAGGGGTGGCGAACCTTATCAAGCTGTGGAGCCAGACTCCCCGGTGGGCCAAATTGGACAGGTGCGTACCACTGCCCACCTGGCTCCAAGCGCACTTTGAAGTCAGGGCTTCCCAGTGTTTTGGTGGGAGTGGTCAGAGAGGGAGGAGGATCAGGAAGAGATCGGGGAGGTTAGACCCAGAGACAGCCCCCAGGTTTCTGTTACACTCACTGCAGGTAGGTACACAAGGGTTACGTTCTTGTGCATAAGCAAATTGTGTAAAGCCAGGATGACCCCTGGAACGCCCCACCTGACCATCCGTACCTGTCTGAAGGTGGCACTGAGTGGGCCTTGCCCCTGCACAGAAGGCAGAGGGCCACCTGAGATCTTACAGGAGCCCTTGCCCCTAGCAAGACCTTCCCAGAGCCTGCCAAGTGTGCAAGGAAGCCTAGGCATTCCTCCGGTAGCATTTGATTATAAACAGTGTTTTGTCCTGCGTTGCTGTGGCCTCCCTGAACTGCCACCCTGTGCCCCTGCACTCACAGTCCTTAGTTCTACACTATCTCCCCCATTTAAAATGCTCACGGTTTTTTTCATCTTCATCCCAGCGGGAAGATTTGGGCCAAAGTGGACCCTCCTCAGCTCCTGACAGCTTCCTTGTGCCCACTGCAATCCATCTAAAAGGTCTTTGCCGCTTTTCTGATTTTAAGCGCCAACATTCTGGTTCAATCCCAGTCCAAGGGGATTGGACCGTCCCTTTTGCACAAACGCAGCTTCCCCCAGAATGGTCCCCAGCACCTAACAGATCTCTCCTCCAGACACCATCACCACATCTGGGCACTGAAACTGCAGAGCTGTGTCTGTCTCACTCGCCCTCTGCATGGAACTGGTAGCAGGTTCACCTAACCTTTGAGAGGCCCTAGCTTTCAGCATCCTAAGCAGCTCCCTAAATTTGGCTTCCGGGACCTCATTATGACATTTCCCCATGTCATTGGTGCCACTGACTTACGAATTGCCGGGCTATGTAGACAATGAACAGCATCTGCAAACTTTGTACCTGGCCAGCAATTCGCCCTGCGGTGAATTTACCACTGCATCATTTAAAAAGTAAAAAAGCTAAAGCCCAAATGAGCTATTTTTAACAATTAAACAACTAACAATATCCTGCCTTTTCATGACACCAAACTTGCGCTGCC